AAATACCACGCCCATTCTTCCCAGTAGTTGCCTCCCAGGCCCATGAGACTAATACCGAGCTGTAGGAGCTACCTGCCTAGAACTAAGTAAGTAATAATAAACCCTGCCTTGCCTCCCAAATACCAAAATCTCACCCATCTCTGACCACACAGCATCCATGCAGCCCGACCAAGAAGATCCATGCGGGTCGACCCGACATTGTGGTTACTGGGTTATTTTCCCTCGGTAGTGCACAAACACTTTATGCGCAGCCGGGATCCGACGAGGTGGATGGAACTGAAGTATCCATCGTATTGTATTGTTCGAGGACATCCTGACTTCAGTAGTCACATACTATGGTGTTGTGTTGTCCTTGACCTCCAGTGTTCTGTCGCGGTCGGGTCGGTCTGTAAGTACTAGGTAGGTGTATGTGTTGTGTCCACGTCAAAGGGAGAGCTACTACTAGCTAAGCTCCATCTATCTACTTAGTGTAATGCACCATCAGAGCTGACAGTCTTCTGGATCGCATGCAGAATCGGTCGTCGGTCGGCGGTCGCTCAGGCGATGGCTCCGTGTCTGTGTCTCTGCTGCACGTAATCAACGGTACCACTCTGTACGACAACGGTGGCAGGTGCGGACGACTGCGACTGTAACTGCGGACAGTGGACACGTATCCCGGTGACGAGACAGACGTAACGAATCGATCGAGGGCAGACGAGTTAGCCTTACTCCGTATCCATGTTACAATTCCCCCCCTTGCCCTCCAGAGTCCAGACAAGGGCTGTGATGTTGCTCTCGAGTCTCGAGTCTCGACACTCGACACTCGACTCGAACGGACTCTAAACCTGATCCTCGTCACGCATCCCAAGAACGGAGTAGACGATGGAGCTAAAGTGCTTGATTCACCATCTAGATGGAGATCCCCCGGAGAAAACTCCCCTTTTGAGGACTTAGCCCGAGAACGCAGGGGCGATATTTACCGGGGAAGGTGCGCAGTGGGCCTGTGTGGGCAGGGTAGTACGGAGTATCTATCCGTATACACTGCCTAGTAAAGACTTGGTGCTGGATGACTGCTAGTAAGGAAGCCGGCACACGAGGACTCAAGCCGGACTGCTTGTCCCTCGCCGTTGTGCCGCGACGATCGAGTATCGACCCCCTGAGCGACCGATCTTAGCGATATTACTCACTACCTACCCCGTAGTCAGGCTAAACGTCGGGTGAAATTTATTATAGGGTTTTGGCGGCGGCTGTGGTACGAGAAAAGAGCTGCAGTGGGGTTGGTCGAATGGATAGTACTCCGTCCCTAGATAGTACCTATCTACAGAATAGGTACTAAGTAGTCCATCACAGCACCGCCAGTGGACAGATGTGCCTGGCTATTGTAACTGCACTCACAAAACACGGACTCAGGCGGCAGCTGAACCATCAACCATGGAAACTGTCAAATATCTGGCTGATGGGACGGGGCCGCTTCATTCGGTGCGGACCGTCAGGGTGGGGCAGAGTGAAACCTTGACCAACCATTCTCCAGCGCAGTCATCGCACGATGATCGAGAGTCCGTGACTCCGTCCGTCCCAGAGACTCAAGCGTGGAACGGACCAGGCAAAGCCGGCGCCTGACGCTCGGGTTGAGCCCAGGGCAAGTGGGCTACACCAGCTGGGTCGTTGCCCACGAATCATCTCCCCGGCGGCCATGGACAGGGTGGAACCCCCGCGTCGTGATTCGCTCAGAAGATTCGTCCCTCCAGAGACATTCCCCCGAGCTATCCCCAACAGGGCAGGACCATGGCGCCTAGACGGGCCTGGTGGTGCTGGGCCCGTAAGGCTAAATTACCTCCAGGCTGAAGGACCAAGGATGGCGCGCCCCCCTCCAAAGGAATGGGATCATATGCAAGATGTCGGGGCTGGGACCCGTTGGTGCTACTGCCTGGGGGGGGTTTCGAACCGTGATAGTTTCTTCTGCTCGAGGCGACAGTTGCAGATCCCATTTTACTGACTTATACTTACACCTATCTACGGAGTGCTTATGTACATAGTATATACACAGATATGTATAGTACTATCTATTCGGGGAGAGGGGCGCGCCGGTCTTTCCAATTTCGAACAGACCCCGACTCCTGTAGTTTCCAGTTAAGATCGCCGGGGCTTCGATCGATCGGGGGGGGGGGGGGGGGCAGATTTGCTTTTCTCGGGCTGTTTGGTTCTCGTTCGGCCGGTACCGGGAATCAGAATCACTACGGAGTACTGACGTGCCATTGTCATTTCAATTTTTTTTTTTTTGCCCCTAGATACCGTGTCTATCTAAACCGGATCCGCCACTGGAACCTGCGTCCGCATGTGGCCAGCCCTAATTTGGTGCCAAGGACAAAGTACGGAGCTCTACTACCGACGGAGGACGGAAACGGACACGGACACTCTCGCTCACACTCCCTCCCCGGCCCCCCCCCCAAGGAAGATTAATCTCTCCTTCCTCGAGACAATTGGCCCCAGGTTTGGAGCACGTATATATGCAGGCGGAGGACATAGCCAAACTCAAAAATGGTGCCATATTTTCTTTTTTTTTCTTCTTCCTTCTGCATTCCAGCGACAGAATTTGACTACGGAGTATCTGCCTGGATAATTATTCCACGTCGAGATACGGAGTACTACCTACCTACCTAACCTATTTCCCCGACTCAGGGCCGTTTCGTATACTTTTTTTCGCATCCGAACTGTAACCATCCCCGGGCGTCTCCGTCCCGAACCATCCTTCAGCAATAATAATAGCCGCCAAAAGGATTAACCGGCAAGGCGCAGAAGGCCAGAATGCCATCTGCAGGGTGGTCACTGCCATGTGACTGTGAGGGTTACTAGACTTTCTAGGTAGAGCAGCAGACAAAGAGCGCATGGACCAACCCCGCGGTACTCCAAAAGGTTTTTTCTTTAAAATGAAAAAAAAAAAAAAGGATTTAAACATCCTTTCTCGAGTTCCCAGGCATTTGGGATAAGCAACCGGCCCGCTGGGCTGGGTATTGCAGGCCCAATAATACACAGCGGTATACGGTCCAAGCGGTGACGGGCAGGGGTCGCATTCGGGTACGCACTTGTCTCATGTGAAGGGCGGTTGGAATCCAATGATCCATCATCCAGCATGCGCCAGGGTTACCAACCCGGTGGTCAATTTGGCCGTACCGTCAATCGTCAAGCTGAATGCTGAATGCTGAGAGATGCTCGTCGCACCTGTGACACCCCCGATCGCCTACTCACGATCCCCATCGAGGATGGACGACCGACCCTGGTTTTTTTTTTTTCCTTTTTTTCTTTTTTTCTTTTTCTTGATCAATCCCGAAGAACCAAATCCCGAAGCTGCAGAGAAGCGCAGAGCCCACCCTAAATATAGGCGATCAAGTAGTCTGTATATACCGTCCTCCCTCTTCAGTAAGCAGTAGGTACCTACTTAGATAGATAAAGATAGTAGATGGATAGTCGCCCCGGCATTTCTCCCAGCAACAGATCTCATCCACGGACTATTAGGGGAGGCCAATAGCGAGGCCGACTGGTTACCCCGTCGTCTGCGCATCAATTTGGAAGCGATGGCCCTTGATTGAATGATTTGAGGTAAGCGAGGTGTGATCGCCTGAGGAATCGCGCTCTCCCTGAGCCCTATACGGAGTACCTCCCTCGACTGGGAGCTCTCCCTGACGGTGTAACTCACAACGGACGCACCTCAGGTACTCCGTACTTTCGTAAGGCACCTTTCTCTGCTGTTAGTTACATAGATGCTTGTCTCGTCCTCTGACTCGACATACCAGGATATGATGACCCACCGATCCAGAGCAGCAGAGTCAGTCCGTCAGTCAGAGACTGAGGGGCCGACCGAAGGGAAGCGCCAAGCCGGCCGCAGTCGCCAGAGCCTGTCCCATTGAACTTAACCGCTGCCTTAGCTTTGGCTAAAGCATGGGCGTGGCCGCACAGTGGATCGGCCAGTCTGCTTCCGCCTTCCCCTCTCCATCTCCTTTTTTGCACTTTCAGTCCGGTCCAGTCCAAGTCTCCACCCCTCCGGCTCCGTAGTGCCGGTCCAGTGGTCCAGTGGTCCAGTGGTCCAGATACAGAGTTTAGGAAGTACTTACGGCGGCAGACACTTCCACCGAGTTGTGCGTGACTTGAACTGTTGTCATGGATGATGATGTACTCCGTACAGAGAGCGAGAACATGGCGATCTAGCCCTAGGAGGTATCTGGTTATTGTAGTCAGTGCAGTAACATGTACAGGTATCGTTAAGTATGAGACCCAAACACGGGGTGAGGGAAAGCGTAAATAATCTTCAAGTCTCAACCCTCCAGAGAAAGAAGCAGTCGGGAGTGGGCCGCCGCCCGCGGTAATTTTACTACGACCCGAAGAACAATACGCCCGCACCACTCCCACGGCGCCGTCTGACTGGGTGGGCGAGGGTATCTATACCTTGCTATAGCGCATCGGCCTTCCTTCGTGGTTACGGCTGACTCTGCCACTTGCTGCTGCCACTGCTGCTACTGCGCTGCGATCCCTCTCCATCCTGTCATTATTCTGCCGCCCGTTCCCATCCTTCGTGTCTCCATCTCCAACTCCAACTCTATCCTCCTCCATCCTCAATTACCTCCTCCCCTCCCCTCCCTCCCCTTCCCTACCTCTTCCTCTCTCCTCCCCCTCCTCCCTTCTTCTCTTTCCCCTCTTCTCCCTCCACGCTCTCTCCTCCTCTCTATTCCTCTCTCTCCATCGCACGGGTTAGTCGCTGGGTTATCTTTCGTTCTGCTGCCTACCTATCCGTCCACGACAGACCTGTCTCTATACTCTTGCTCTTGCTTTCGCCCTCTCGTTCGAGCTGTATATTTATTTTGCCTGTCGGACACTTCCATGTTGACTCCTGCAACGGTTTAAGCTGTGCGACGCATATCGGCCCACTACTTCCTTGCGAGGTCTCGTCCGTGTTTCAACCGCCCCGCCGGCTCACAGGATTCTCTCTCGGTCGCGTCCGAGCTGAAGACGCAGAAAACTTAATCAAGGACGGAGAGGGGGAACAGGAAGCACTGCCTTGGAAATCAACTGAACTAGTACACGCCCAATGCAGCTTTCCTGCTGATTACTTCAAGTCTCGTGTGTTTACCCAGTGAGTGGTCATCTCCCCACCTTCGACGGGTTATCTGATCATCTGTCGCCATCCTCGATGTCTCCGTGCGAGGATGGCAATGGCTGGTGGGCGGGAAGCTAACGTCGTGTAGGTTCATCCAGCCTCGTGCAAAATGGCAACCAGACCTCCCCTATCGCCTCCGGCCAACCAGACGGAGTATTCCGTCAGCCGCATCACTCGAGAGGGAAAGAAACTCACATACAAGCTCAATGTGATGCAGCAGCCTGAACGGGCCAGAGCATGCGGTGCAGGCGCCAAATGTACGATCCCCGCGGGACAGGGTTGCAGAGAAGACTCGTGTTGACTGTTGACTGTTGACTGTTGACAGCATCCGCGGACCGTCGCCCTGTTGATCCCCCACCCGTCGTCGAGCTGCGTATCTTCGAGTCTGACCCGAACGACGACATGCACCGGACGGACATCACCTTCGCCTACAACGCCAATTTCTTCCTGTTTGCGACGTTGGAAACCGCTCGCCCCATCGCGCAAGGACGGCTTGCCCCGACCCCGACATTCCCGGTTCTCACAGGTGTTCCAGTCGCAGGAGTCGCATACCTGGATCGCCCCTCTCAGGCGGGATACTTCATTTTCCCGGACTTGTCCGTCCGGCACGAAGGCGTCTACCGGTTGAGCTTTCATCTATACGAGGAGACCAAGGACAGCAAGGACGCGAGCGAGGGGGCTCGGATTCAGTCCCCCATGATGACGGCGGATCCGTTGAAGCCATCGGCCCCGAAATCGTTCCTGGAATTCCGCCTCGAAGTCGTCTCGGTCCCGTTTACGGTTTTCAGCGCAAAGAAGTTCCCCGGATTGACCTGCAGCACCTCCCTCAGTCGGATCATCGCAGAGCAAGGTTGCCGCGTTCGCATTCGACGCGACGTCCGGATGAGACGACGAGGAGACAAGCGCGCCGAGGAATATGACTACGATGAAGACAAATCTTACCACGGCCGAATCCCTGACCGTTACTCAACGCCCGATACTTATGTCCCGAACCCTCTTGAGCGACCTCGATCAACCAGTATCGGCACCATCGAGCATGGGTTCCCTTATGGCGCCGAACCCCCACGGCGGCCTTCTGTGACCGAGTACGGCTTCCCAACCACCCAGGTCTATCAGCGCGCGATTCCACCTGCGGCTGGGCCACCACAATCGACACCATCCCCGGCTATCGCCGTCGGGCATCCCGGTCACAACATCACCTACCAGTCGCATCTCTCGTTCGGCGCGACGCAGACACAATACCCAGCCGCCCCGCAAATACCCCGGACTCCTCAGTCTGCAACAACCCCGACACATGTATACGCCCCTCACCCATCGTACCCGCACGCGAGGACCCTATCAATGAGCACCGAGTACGATCCTGCTCCATCTGTTTATTCTTACCCCCACGCGCGGCCCGACCATATCCAGGCGCCATTGCCGCCCATGCGCTTGCCGCCATCGACTCCGAATGTGCAGCCCCCCGTGGAGCTGCGTCCTTCGGATCCCATCGCATACCAAGCCGCGACCCAGCCCGTTGCGCTTCAAACCCAATCTCCCACCAATGCCGTGCCCTCCCTGCCGTCTCTAAAATCCATCTCGGGCGAATTCCCGAATAACATCCCCCAGCACACCAACAATGCTACGCGCAGTCCGAGCCTTGAACTGCCCGCGGGGAAGCGACCGCTTTGGGAGACTGGATCGACCACCTCTTCGAAGCGGTCCTACGAGAAATCGTTTGGCTACGACGAACGCCCCCTACACAACGGCATGCGGATGGACGCCGACAGCATCTCCCCCATGAGCCGGAGAGCGTCTGACGTCGTCCCCATGGCCATGGCCGTGACCAAGACGCGCAATGAAGAAATGGCGTACAAGCGAGCGAACGGAACGACGGTCACGCGACTACTGCCGTCCCTTGAGTAAAGCCATGTCGGAGACGGATTGAAGCATTTGACCATTGTTTGCACACGGCGTCCTGGCGCACGGGTCGCCCATTTGGGGATCTGTTCTTTTTGGGGGGCATGGGGGTTTCTGAGCGATCTGGCCCGCGAGAAGGGCCTCGGGGGTATTCTTTCACGACACCAGACTTTGACGTTTATACCACCTTAACCTTCACCCTCTGGCTGTTCCTGTATATGACTCTTACTACACTTTGCTTTCTGCTTATACATATTCCCCCCATTTGTTGTTTTTTTTTTTGGTCCCCTGCCATCGGGGTCGGGCGGATGCCGCCCGATCGGTGGCCGAGTCGTTTACCCTGCGTTAATGCTTCCTCGTTCTGGGTATTCCTTTGGGCCGTGATTTTCCTATGTCGTGAAATTCCAGTGAAGCAAACGGGCACCCGACTGAGGGGTGCCCCGCGATCCCAGCGCAGCATTATCGTTTCTCCCACGCCGGGCCCGCACGGCCAGCGCCATAGCCATAGATAGCATTGTCGCATTCCATGGGAGAGAGCTCCCGGTTCTTCCTTCAGCTCGTGCCGTGCGGTTCTACGGGGAGTGAATTCTGGGCCTCCGATAGCCTGAGCAGGAGGAATGAGACGAGGCATGTGAGAGTGCCAGCGAGAGATGGGGCCACTTGATCGCATCCGCCCTGAACCGTTGTCTGTCTGTCTGTCTAGCTACCGATGCCGGTAATAGTTGTGACTGGGTGAGTCGTGCGTAGTGAGCAGTTCGTAGAACGCTCATAGAGCGAAGCTACCGGCAGCAGGAGACGTGGGAGAGAGTCGCGAAGGTGTAGGAAGACGAAGCATTCTGGGATCGGCGGCGCGGCTTGGCGCATACTCCAGGATCGGCGATGCCAGGCGGGGGAAATTGGCCGGCGTGTAAACAATCAACAATCAACAAGAAGTCTTACTCGCGCCAACTCACCGCCATCCATTCGTCCTCTCATCCCCTCTCTCTCTCTCTCTCTCTCTCTTCTTCTCGTCATTCCTTACCTGTCCTCTTTTCCTTCTCCTGCCCTTTCTGCTTTCCCCATGCTCTTCCCTCCATCCAACCGGTAGCCGCCCATAGTCGACCGACGACCCGACGACCCGACGAAGAGCAAGTGCAGCGCCGTGTGACCCCGGATGATCCGGATGATGGACCACGACCCTGCAGCCCAGGTGAGTACTTAGATCTCCCTGTTCCTGGAGATGGGGAGGGAGCGTTTCTCCCTCCCTTGCGCAGTGGGGTGACACCCAAACCCCCACCCTGTCTGTCTATCTGACACCTCGTCGCGCGATCTACAGATGGACACCACCACCACCACCACCACCATGGATATCGACTCTCTCGAGGCCGACCGCGAACTCGAGCAGATCCTCCAGACCACCTGCGCCACCCACGTGGCCCGCGAATCGCGTGTGCGCAAGCACGCCCGCAACCCCAGCGACTCCAGCGCCGACTCGGGCTTCACCTCCGACGTCTCTGGCCGCTTCGACGACGCCGAAGACTCAGACTATCCCTCCAACCAGAGCCGCTCGCCCTCCGTCCACTCCACCAAGCGCCGCCGGTCCACGGATTGGCCGCTGCAGAAAGACAACAGCAAAGCCAACACCGGCGACGAAGATAACCAGCCCCGGGCGGAGAATGCCAAGGAGAGTAGCAACCCTGCCGGTTCTCGCCGACCGTTTCACAGTGCCAGCGGCAAGAACGCGGGCTCGCCGCGGAATGGAAGACATTTGCGCTATCCCGGCGCGTCCCTTCGTGGGCGTCGCTCGCGCTTCGTCGAGGGGAGCATGAATGACTGCGTGAGCGAGAAACCCCCGAGCATCTTCCTGCGCGAGGACGCGCGCAACGGCGCCAACACCACGGGCCAGCGGCCGTCGGGAATCTTTCGGTTTGGGAAGGCGATCGCATCGGCATTCAATCCGTTCGGGCAGTGGGGTTCCAAGCATCCACCGGAGGCGAACAAGCCGGCGGGCGACCCTCTCTCGCAGGCGGAGAGGGCTTACGCCGAACTGAAGAAGTCCGGGTACAAGGGCACCAACAAGGGAAGCTACATACAGAGTCTCGCCGAGTCGAACGCGCCCCAGCGGTCTTGGAACCCTATCCCCGAGCATGTCGAGCACGCCGAGCACAGGCCCGTGGGACGGCATTCGCGACAGAACTCGGGCGACGTGACGGAATCGGCAGGCTCGATCCGCTCCTCGTTCCAGGAGCTGCGAAGGGCCAAGTCGTCCTTGGGGATCCCATACATGAAGCGACAGGACTCGAGCAAGTTCTCGGAGGAGGCGGAGGGGTCGGGCGTGCGACGGCCAAAGTCCCGGAAGGAGCTCCAGCGGCAGGCCAAACTGATGAAGCGCGTCAGCGACCTGGAGCTCAAACTGGAACGGGCCCGTCGCGAACTGCGCGAGTTCGTGGGCGAGGAGGACGAGGTACTGGCACCGACTCCCTACGTGGAGAGGCCCTATCCCAGGAAATTCGTGCCCGGGGCGCTCCCCTCGCTGCCGTCCGAGAGACTGCTGCATCCGGGGGCAGGATCGCTGAGGTCCCCTCGAGCTGTATCAGCCCCGTTGGCCTCCCTGGCGGAGAACGTCCATCGCAGCATCGTGAAGCAGCCGCCCGGCACCCCCCAGATGATGACGCCCAGTGACCGACCCCGGCAGCCCTCCCTGAGCGCCGACAGTCCCTCGCTGAAGCGCAAATCGCCCGATCCGCAGTCCCCCCAGGCCATCCCCCAGACAGACCCCACGAAGCAAACCGGCCCCCGCAGCGAGGAGATGGGGGATATGCCTGCACACTGCAATGAAACCCCGACCCCCCGCCGCGCCAAATTCCCCAAGATGGTCACGAGCGACAGTCCCGGATCCGTCGAGCGCAAGCAATCCAGAGACCACGGCCGGTCGCCCAGCGAAGAGCGCGGACGCCGCCGCTCGCAGCCGCTGCGGTCGTGCAGCACGCGCTCGCCCTCCGCGCGCCGCCGGGCCTCCAACTCGCGCAGTCGCACCCAACCACCCAGCCTGCGCATGAAGAAAGGCCGCGCCGATCTCCGGTCCCCCAGCACCAGTAATACTACCACCGAACCCACCCAACCTCACCCCCAACTCCCCACCGACCCCGAGAACGACAAGGAGAACCTGAACCAGCAAACCGACCCCATCGCCATGGCCTCGCCGCCCTCGTCCCCCACCAAGACCACCATCGCCGACGAAACCCCCCTCTCCTCCCCCTCCCCGAGCAAGAAGAAACCCGCCCGTTACGAATACATCCCGCCGGTGCCGCCGCTGCCGAAGGACCTCTCCGCCACGGCAGCCAAGGTCGATAGACGACTGGCCCGGGAGATGGGGAAGAAGCGCGAGGCGCGCAACAGGGCGAAGGTGCAGATCGGTGGGCCGCAGGTGGCTGAGGTGGTGGGGGATGGGAATTTTCAGTGGCCGGAGGATTTCTTTTGACTGGATGTTGTTGGATGATTGGTGGTTCATTGGATGGCTTTACATATACCGGTGTTGTGAGTGCACTGAGTGGTATTGGTATTGGCTATCAGAGTGGAGTGGAGTGGACTGGACTAGGCTGTCTTTCTGGACTGTCTTCCTGGCCTGGACTTTTTTTGACTTGGATCCGGATGGGTATTACTTATCTATCCATACTACCCTTCTTGTCTATCTATCTACTTGCTGTACCTTGGCTACTTGGTACAACTGAGAAGAGCAAGACGATGGATTATGAATGAAGGACAAGAGGAATGAGAAGGAAGGATACGGATTAAGCCGTCCACAGACCTTGGACATGGTACCGACTGGGTTAGTTGGCCCAGTCCCGTGTGTGAAGAACGACAAAGAGAGAAAGCGAGAAAGAGAGAGATGGATGAACCGGTTCAGACACATCTTGCTTCCTTGCTTGGGTCTTGATGGCCCTGCCTGCTATGGATCATTCTGTGTTTTGAATCGTGTAGAGGGGGTTTCCTATGTTTTCTTTCCTACTTTCCCTTAATGAATGTAACGACGTGATGACCTCAATGAGCATTGATGATTTGTTACTGCTGCTGCTGGACTGTAGACTGTAGACTGTAGATTTGATGGATCAGAAAGATAGATAGATAGATAGATAGATATTGCGTTTTGTACACACCACCACTTATTTCTCCCTGGTACAATGTGGTATCTGGATATCTAGATACAACCTGGTTCGTCCACGTCACTCACTCACTCACTCACTCACTCACTCACTCACTCACTCACTCACTCAACCTACCTCATCCGTCTCACGCCAGATCCAATTCAAATCCCATCTACATCTACATAATGGCCGTCGCATTCGCATGGGATCCCACTCCACCTATAATCAAACAGTTAGCATATCTCTCCACCCTAAAGACAACCAAACCACCAGAATCTCAACCCACTCTAACCCACCATCCCAAACCACCACCAAACAAACCCCTCTGCTCAAAAAGAAACCCAAAAGGAAAGAAAGAAAGAAAGAACATACCAAGCACATTCGCAGGCGCACTCGTCAAAAAAACCCCCCACCTCCCGACCTCCCTACACCTGGCCGCCAACGCCTCCAGATCCCACATCTCCCCAATCGGCATGCCCCACAACGCCAGGATCTGCTGATGCATATACCCGCCCTCTTTGGCAGGCGGCCACGCCTCGAACGTGGGACTATCGCCCGCCACGGCCGCGAAATAGCAATCGTGGAGCCAGTCCAACATGTCCTCGTCCTGGGAGAGGCCGGCGAACGTGAGATCCTCGTGGCTGCGACGCGAGACCTCGCCGCGTTGCGCGGGCGTGAGGCTGTGGTATCGGTCGACGAAGCCGGAGCGGATGAGTAGGATGTCGCCCGGGCGGATGTCGCCGCCTTGGTGCACGGGGCGGAGGTCGATGCCTTGGGAGGCGGCGCAGAGGGTGAGTGCGCGGAGGGTGATGCGGTGGGTGGTGTAGGGGTCGTAGGGGGCGGGGTGGGTGGTGGTGTGGTAGGTGTAGTAGTCTAGTAGGATGGCGCGGGAGGTGATGCCGTGGGTGGCCCAGTGGTGGATGCTGAGGGTGGTGGGGGTGGTTTTGATGGTGGTTGCGGGGTCTTGGGGGGGGAATTAGTTGGGAGGTTGGGTTGAGGGGATGGGGGGATGTTTGTGTATGGATAGTCTGGGTGGGATGGTGGACGTACGTTGTTGTAGAAGGTCTTGGATTCAAGGTGGGCGAACTGTATGCAGGGTGGGTGGGGTTTGTTAGTGGGTGGGTTTGATATAGAGCCAGAGGTGGACGTAGAGCCAGAGGTGGAGGCAGAGGACATACATGGCGAAAACCATCCCACTGGGTACTACTCTGCGTATTCAGAGTATACGTATCATCAAAGACGACATCCTCCACGACCTCCTTGATATCATGGTGGAAGCACTCACGGCCAAAGGCAGGCGCTTCGGGGATATGCAGTGGAAGACTAAACATATATACATCAACAAACGTCACATTTCCCTAAAGGTAATAAATAGTCTATATGTTCGAGGTGCATACTCGAGCCGGAACATTTCTCCGGATATGATTTCCTTCGCTGCCTCTTTCACTCTGGCAGGAGTGAGCAGGTTCAAGCGTCCCAGCTGCAGTGCATTAGAATCACAATCTTGAATGAATCTTTTGAGAAAAGGGCAACCACTCACCGCGTCATCTTTGCCCCAGACCCAGGCTGCGTCTTTCGGCGCACCCGGGATCTCGGGGAGCTCTTTGCGAGAGGGAAACCTCTCGCAGTTCGGATCCCAGGGGAGTTGGTCGGGGGCTTGTACGTTGGAGGTGGGTGTGGACATGGTGCTGGTGCTGGTGCTGGTGCCAACGGTTGTAAACGAAGCAGACGTACAAAGGATCTCAGCTTCTTGGAGGAGTTGTCCTGCCTGCTGCGCACGACGATCGCCTTCGCCTGTTATATAGCGAGGAGAGCTAGCGCTTTCCCCCGCCTCTTTGGATGCGGCGTGACTGGTTCACGGTGGAGAGGGTGTGGGACACGGGACGAAGTTTCGTGGCACCCTCGGCTGGATTTTGAGTCGCAGGCTCTCGCTGGAGCCTGGACGGGCCAGTCGATGAATGATCCATTGCTCAACAAGCTCCCCACAGGTGGAGGATGATCTGACATGTCGAATTCGGGCATATGCTGGGGAAGGGTGTTGAGGAGGCAACCGAGGCTGGGTGGAGTGGTGTGGTGGAACTGGACAGGTGTGAAACCCGGAAGCAGATCGATGGTCGTCTTGGACGGTGGAGAGGTCGACTCTCCCAGTCACATTGGTGGCGATGCCTGGGGACGATGATGCTGGGCAACTGTTCCGTGGTACGGAGGGATAGACGATGAGGAAGATCGATCTCCGCAATCCGCATGGCGAAAGGAAAGGCGGCTCGTCACGGGGACAGAACCGTATGATCCCTGTTGCTACACAGTACAGCAGTACGCAGCAGACGTACAAGAGCTTAATATCTACAATAAAACAGTCGGTAGACCAATTGGCCCCCTTTTTTTCGGTTTTGCATTCGTAGGGAATCATCTTGTTATGATACAGAGCATCGGCCACCACCCGCTACATCAAACAGGCAAATGCAGCAGGGCTGCGGACCAAATGACTCGGACAAAAGCCTCGCTCTTTCCTCGTACGGGCGGCAGTTTAAAAAACATCATCATCGTCCAGACATGCGACGCAATGGAGGCCCGCGACCAACATGCAGATATGCGAACGCCAATTTGACACCAGATGTCATACCCATCCCACCACGGACCTCACCAATCCCACCGTCACCCCCATATGATCCCAATCACAATCCGGAAGTCCCGACATGTACAATGCCAAGATCAAGTAGTATTCGTAGGATGCTCCATCAGACGCCAGGGATATCAGGAAACAAAAGTTGTGGAAGGTTGTCAACACCCTCCGGAAACATAAAAACAACATCGCTAAACGCACGAGGCTTGCACGTAGAGAAATAGAACGAAGGCGTCGTCATGGTAGTCGACTATGTCTGCGTGGGCACCCCGGTGGCCTGCGTGTTACGGCCCCCGCGCATGCCTCCGCGGCCGCGAGGGTTGTAACCACGTCCATAGCCACCCCGACCCCGTCCGTAGCCGCCACGGCCACGGCCCCGGCCACGGTAGCTGCCCCGGTAGCCATCCACACTGCCCTGACCGAAGGTCTCGATGTTCCTCTTCTCCTCCTCGCCGCGCCATTCCCGGCCACCGGCCCGGGCCCCTGTGCCTTCCTCCCGATCACGAGACTCGCTGGAAATGTTGTCGAAGAATGAGGTGGCCCGGTTGTAACTCAAAGGATCCGCATTGGCATCGACCGGTTCCACCTCGCCGTGGGGGATAGGAGGTTCACCCTCGTTCACGGGAGACCCGGTGGCAATGGCCTCCTTGACCAGGTCCTGCTTGTTGAACTTGGCGTTGGCCGTCTCAAAGTCATAGTCCGTATCCGGAACCTCAACCTTCTTCTGACCCTGGTATGGGGCGCGGTGACCGCCACGTCCACCCCGAGGATGCTGAGGAGCATGCTGAGGAGCACGGGGAGCACGGTTGCCATCATAGGGCTTCATGTCCGCCATCTGTCTTGCTACCCCTTCCACCGCCACATCCCCGTACTGAGGCTTCTTCGGCGTGTTAGGCTGCGGCAACTTGGCCATGGCCGCCGCAACAGCAGCGGTGGCAGCACGAGTGGCTTCAGTGATTGCTGCCTGAGCGGTACCTTGCGGCACGCTGCCTCCAGCACCAGCCACGGGAACATTGCTTACAGCAGGGACAGGCGGCTTGGAGGGAGCATTCATCGGGATGGCCGGTTGCACACGTCCACTCCGGGGTCCAGTAGGTGGTATCTTGGATGGCACCGCGGCAGGGATACTGGAGGCTTGTACGGCTTCCGTTACGGAAGGTTTCGATTCAACAGGGGGTGGAGGAGGGTTCTGAGCGGATGCTGCAGGTGCAGGTGTGGCATTCCGGCTGGCTGGCTTACTGGAGGGCCGTTCGCCAACGGGAAGCTCTGAGGTAGGTTTAGGAACATTTACGGGGCCTGCACCAGGAACCCCCTGTCGCGGTGGCGGAGGGGTCTGGTGTTGACCGGGAGGTCCAATAGGCATTTGAGGCGGGGGGAACTGGCCTGGTCCTTGAGGGAATCCTTGACCCGGGGGAGGATACCATCCGGGCGGGGGGCCTCCATACGGCATATTGGGGAATCCTGGTCCAGGAGGGAAACCGGGAGCTCCAAAGCGCTGTCCATATGGTGGGTAGAAGCCGCCCTGAAACTGGGGCTGCTGAGGGTAACCAGGGGGACCTGGACGGGGGACCTGCGGCTGCTGGGACTGAGAGTGAGGAGGCAGACCCTGGGGAGGAGGTCCAGGACGAGACATGCTCTATTGGAGAGGACACGTTAGCATCCAGCTTGGGGGAGAAGGCCTGTGTAAGGTTGCAATGACAGGGTGCAATGCTTCTCGATCATTCAGAAGGAAGGCAACGGAAAATATCCACATGAATTGTTTGCGCAATTCGGAACAGGTCTGTGAGTTTACATCCGAATATATTTCATCATAAGATCGAGTGTCCATCCGGAACAAGTCCGGAGGACGCAAAGCACCCGGCAAGCAGAGGGGGATGTGTGAAGTCGGGACTTTCGATGGACTTACCCCTAGGATAGCAGGATCATCTGGCACCTGAGGCTCAGGCTGTGCGTTCTCCTTCTTGTCCTCAGCTACGCTAATGTCTTTTACGTCACTGCCACGGAAGACAATGTATTCGTAGACGCTGGTAGACGGGGCAATCTCCTCAGCGGGACTGCCTCGCCGACCTTCGGTCCCGAACGACACCACATTCTCCAAGGCTATTGTGGAAGCTTCAGGGTTGATCTCATGCAACGTTCCAACATAACTAGAGAGCCCATGTCAGCAACAGCCGACGAGAGGAAGCTTGCAGCACGGCGACAAGACCATGCTGCTGGAGGGGAGGGGAGGGGAGTATCATACCGAATGTCACTCTTGGAAATCAGGTTGAACCGCTGACTGCCAGGTGTTAACTGCCGCCTAGCCGCACAAACCCTGGTTCAGACCAGTAGGCATAGAAGACTGACTGACCCTATTAAATGGTTCATATCCATGCTGACAGGGGAGAGCGCGATTGACGCGCAAGACAGAAAAGAGAAAACAGGGGAAGGGAGCGGGAGAGAAAAACCAGAGCAATGTTGTTATGGGAGGGTGGTGGGGGGGGAGGGAAGAGGCAGGGGCAGGAAGGAAAGTGAGGGAGAGTTGAGTTGAGTTGGGAAGAGAAGAGAAGAAGGAAGAAGGTGAAAAGCCGCGGGCGGAGTTTTGTGGTGGGAAAGGCTGGGGCTCCGGCGGACTGCAGAAGCTCTGCGTGCAGTTCCTTCGTCTGTTTTGCCCGAAATGACCACGTGAGGGGGTCCACCGCCCGGTTTCCCCTACGTAATCCCGCCTGGTCATGATTTCAGCTGCATTCTGTCTGCCCACGAGGAAGTTGGTTGTCAGTGCCGTCCACGTTGGATTGGACTATTCAGTCTGTATAGAGAGAATTGGTTGTGGTCACAGTACCGATGATCTGTATCTCATTCTTCATACGAAGCAGGATGTGGGTGGGATTCTCCAATCTGCTGCAGAATCATGACGCATTCAGAGGATTGCAGCATGCAGATACACTAGTGGTTGACCAAGTATATGATACTTCCGATGACGGTGGCACTTGGGATTGAACCTGATGTGGAAGATACTATCTACTATATGAACCCGCCAGCTTTTTCGGCAAACCCTTATCTAAGAAAATAATCGATTTCCCTCCTTATTCCAGTCTCTCTTGCCCATATTATTGGATTGTACGGCTATGTATTTACTGTGGGCACAGTGAGGGTGATGTTTGGCCTGTTTGCTCTATTTAACTAACTAACAGGTCAGCTATTAGTAAGCAACGAACCGAGTCCATGCAAACAGCATAAACAAACATAAGGAACAAACACTACAAACATGACCGACTTACATAATGGTAGTTGTATCAGCATCAGCAGCAGTGCCAACCGCAGCAGCAGCAGTAAATATTAAATGCCAGTACTTCGTGTTATTCGTGTTAGTCCAGCAGATATGCCCCATGCCATACCACTCCAAACTCCATGTGGGGGGGACAAACCGCGAGAACGATACAGTCACGTGACCCGCTGCAGGCCATGACGCACGGCGGGCGACGATCTCCCGGATGCGGGCCAGTCTAACGCGGGCGCATGCTTCCCTCTCGCTCCTCCTCATCTCCCCTCATCCCAGTATCTATCTAGTTCTCCCCAGCCCCGAGATACTGGTCGCTCGCTAGCCCTCCCCCTCTCATATTGCCACTGGTTGTCGTGGCCTCTCCTTGCCTAGCCCCTCCGCCCCTTTCGAATCCCATCCCGCCTCGACTGGTCGAGGTGGTATCTTATCAGCCCCTCCCCTCTCCTCCCTCAACGTGCGCAAATCACCTCCCACCAACACCTGCCCGCGGCGTGGATGTCTTACGCTCTCAGGATGGCTGCCCCATCTGCAGCCCTGCACCATGACAGTGGCACGGACACCGGCCCGAAGCTCGTCAACCGCCTGCGCGAGAGCAGATCGCCCTACGTGCGTCTTGACAGTTGCCCCCCCCCCCCCCCCCCCCCAACTCGTCCCCGAGGCCGATGGCTGACTTCGTGATAGGTCCGCGCGCACATGAACAACCCGGTGGCCTGGCAGCCCTGGGATGCGGAAGCCATCGACCTCGCCAGGCGCCATAACCGCCTGGTCTTTTTGAGTGTCGGTTATTCCGCCTGTCACTGTACGTCTACCCCGTGGTGCTGCATTGGCGGCTAGGGATCTAATGCCAAACCAGGGTGCCATGTCATGGAAAAGGAATCTTTCATGTCCCCGGAGGTGGCGTCGATTTTGAACGAGTCCTTTATCCCTATCAAGGTCGACCGGGAGGAGAGACCCGACATCGACGATGTGTATATGAATTACGTCCAGGCTACCACCGGCTCAGGGGGATGGCCGCTGAACGTCTTCCTCACCCCGGATCTTGAGCCTGTCTTTGGCGGTACCTATTGGCCGGGCCCGAACTCACCCACGTTGACAGGCAATGAGCCGATCGGGTTCGTGGAAATTCTCGAGAAGCTCAGAGATGTTTGGCAGACTCAACAGCAGCGATGCCGCGAGAGCGCGAAAGAAATCACAAAGCAACTGAGAGAATTCGCGGAGGAAGGAACTCACTCCAATCAAGGTGACCGGCAGGCCGACGAGGACCTGGACATTGAGCTTTTGGAGGAGGCCTACCAGCATTTTGTTTCGCGATATGATCCTGTCCACGGAGGGTTCTCCGGATCACCTAAATTCCCCACGCCCTCGAATCTGAGCTTCCTGCTGCGCCTGGGAGTTTATCCCAGTGCGGTTTCAGATATCGTTGGACTGGATGAATGCAGGAATGCGACCGCCATGGCTGTCAACACGCTCATCAATATGGCGCGCGGAGGTATTCGAGATCACATCGGCCATGGGTTCGCTCGTTACAGCGTCACGGCTGACTGGGGTCTGCCCCACTTTGAAAAGATGCTTTATGACCAGGCACAGCTCCTTGATGTCTATGTGGATGCGTTCAAGATCACTCATAACCCCGAGTTGCTGGGAGCTGTCTATGATCTTGCTACCTACCTGACGACGGCTCCGATCCAGTCACCAACGGGAGCGTTCCACTCGTCCGAGGATGCGGATAGTCTTCCGACGCCGAACGACACTGAGAAGCGAGAGGGCGCCTTTTACATCTGGACACTGAAGGAGATGACGCATGTGCTTGGTCACCCGGATGCTGAAGTCTGTGCCCACCACTGGGGTGTTCTCCCTGACGGGAACATTGCTCCCGAGAACGACCCCCATGACGAGTTTATGAACCAGAATGTATTGTCTGTCAAGATAACCCCTAGCAAGCTCGCGAAGGAATTTGGGCTCGCAGAAGAAGAAGTGGTGAGGATCATTAAGACAGCGAAGCAGAAACTTCGTGACTACCGGGAAAGAACGCGCGCGCGCCCCGATTTGGACGACAAGATCATTGTGGCCTGGAATGGACTGGCCATTGGCGCGTTGGCCAAGTGCAGTGCGTTGTTTGAGGAAATCGAGAGCTCGAAAGCGGCCCAGTGCAGAGATGCGGCAGCAAAGGCCATCGGCTTTATCAAGGATAAACTGTTTGAGAGGTCCACCGGACAACTCTGGCGCATCTATCGTGATGGCGATCGAGGCGATACTCCTGGCTTTGCCGATGACTATGCGTACCTGATCGGAGGACTGCTGGATATGTACGAGGCTACTTTTGATGACAGCTATCTGCAGTTCGCCGAACAGCTGCAAAGTAAGTCCCATGATGCCCAGAGGGTCTTGATAACACTAACCGAGTTTCTAGAGTACCTCAACGATCATTTCCTGGCATATGTGGGAACAACACCAGCGGGCTACTACACCACGCCCTCTACAGTGACCCCAGGCACCCCGGGTCCTCTTCTTCGTCTGAAGACGGGCACGGAGTCGGCCACGCCGTCGGTCAACGGTGTCATTGCCCGCAATCTGCTGCGCCTCTCGAGCCTGCTGGAAGACGAAGGATACCAGACGCTCGCCCGGCAGACATGCCGCGCCTTTTCGGTGGAGATCCTGCAACACCCGTTCCTCTTCGTCGGGCTTTTGGACGCGATTGTCGGTCTGGAAACCGGCACGCGCAACATCACCGGTGTTTTCTCCACGGCAGTGTTCCCTCAGGGCAGTGTCCAAGCTTCCGAGGGCGCAATCAACAAGACGGAGGAGCAGCCGATCAGCGTGCGAGACCTCATTGTACAGAAAATTCGAGCCGAAGCTGGTCTGGCGGTGTCTACCGCAACCACGACCGCCTCGCTGTTGGATATCAGACCCTCCCATCTGGGGGATTTTGTAGGGAACCAGTCCTTCTGGCTACGGACGCGGAACCAGTTGTACAAGGAGATTAAGTCGGAACCGGCCAAGAACTATCTCATGGTTTGTGAGAGGGGCCGGTGCAGCTTAGTGGACATATAATTTGTACCAAGTACCAATGAAGAAACCGATATTTCCGTGTTTTGTCTATGTTTGCAAACGATTGGCAGTGAATCTGATGTCCATATTGACATCGGTACTATCAATTTTAGTACAGCCGCTGAGAATAGTAACATTCAATAGCATTTCAGTTGGGCAATTCAAAACAAGCGCTTTATCCCAAAAATTTAAAGATACCGCTAAGTCATGACATGACGGGCTCTATTTATAGATATGAATGATGCAGAAAAGGGGGGAAGAGGAAGAAAGATGCAAAAAAAAAAGATAGATATGAAGGAAGCAAGCAGAACATGGGGGGAAAAAAAATCCAGCAAAGGACTGACGACAAAGAACATGAATGAAACGGAAACTGAAGTCTATCGACCGTAAGTCATGTAAACGCAACAACTTTACTGGGCTGCGGAGAGGAGCTGCGCAGCTTGGATCTCGTCCCCAGCATTCAGCGCCATGGCTAGGAGAATGTCCCCGCGCCCCCGGCGGTTGTTGTGGTTGCCGTCGTTTCGGCGTCGGCGGCAAACCAAACACAATTATTTCACATCCCCCTTGGACCAGCTAATAAGATCTCCCCTTGATCCTGTTTCTGCCATCGCGGTTCTTCCGGATTCCTCTCCGCAGTCACCATGCCCACGCCTCCCGAGTCGCCCAGGCGCAAGGAAATGCGCGTCGCGTTGCGCGCGCTCATCAACCAGGTTATTCCTGTCAAGCAACCCAGCATCCCCCCCGGCATGATACCAGCCATCCACTTCTCCCCCATGGACCTGGACCTGGACGTGGAGTCAAGCTCCGGACCCATCTTCTTCGCTCCGTATCCGGCCACCTTGTTTCCGGATCCCGATGACAACTATGACCGGGCAATGGAAACCAAATATACCGACTTCGACTCGATCTCGTTGGACTTCCGCGACCCGATGACTTCCGCGCGTGCTATTGATCACTATCTATTATCGTATGCCTCCTATTGCTCTATGACCAAATATTGCAAGCCGGAGGACGACTCGTGGTCTACAGTCAGGTATACATTGCCTTCCTTCACTGATCGCCAAGCATCCCTAAGGATCATGGGCTCCGTGTTGCTAACGTTCCGGCTAGCCTCGAGGAAGTGCCCTTTGTAGGCCTGTACCAGTACAACTACCCGGAATATGGCTCCACCGGAGTCCTCCAGGTCCGGGACGGCAGCTCAACGCACCTCAAGGCCTTTATCTAAAACAACCTGGATGGCACCGACGATCAACTTCTTCGGGGGGAGATCATGATTGCCTTGCGCCTCAGCATCGCGCAGCTACGTCGGGCCAAGTTCTTGGAGCATATGATCGCGCCGGTAAACCCTTACCCTCCACCGAGGTGCTCTCTTTTTCTCTGTTAGGCTAACCACCTTTACTCGTATTCATTAGATCCTCCTCTTCTCCTACATGGGACCGCAGCACGCCCGGCTGATCGAAGCGTTCTTCACGGGCGACGCTCTGACCGTCCGGGCGACCAGACTGTATGATCTCCGGAAGAAGGATGAGGCGGTGTTCAAGCTGCTTGCACAGTGGTACCTTGGGAAGCCGACCGGGACGACGATGACGACAACGGTCACGACAACAACGTCCTCGTCCTAGTTAGTCGGAGCTGTGCATGTGGGTCGACGTGAATGGCTTTGTTTGAATGTCAGTGTCAATGCTCATGATGATGAACTATGGAGCGAGGAATCTTGAAACCGGGACTAAGGATTTGGCGTTTTGGGTCTGATTCGGGATCGGTATATCCCTGGGTAATTGAATTGCGGTGTGGATATGGCTTGACTGGCTTGGATTTGGGGGTTGACGTCTTTATTTGTTTCTTTATGTCTTTCTTTTTGCCACTCGGGTAAATGTGTATACTGTATGTACTCCGTATAGGCAGCATGATTATTATTCTCTGACTGAGCGGGTTTCATAGTTAATCTGTCGGTGGACAAACATCCACACCCGTAGAATGTATCGTACATACTACATACCTACTCTCCCCATCTAAGTATCTACCCTGTACCTAGACAGTAGGTAGACATCATAGAAGAACCCCCACAGCATCCCCAATCCCAATACACAACCCGAAACCCTCAAACCAACAACAATCCCTATATCCGAGGTTTTCCGAACCCACCCAAAACAAAAACAGCCCTATCCCCGCCCTTCAGCTCACAGCCTCACGAACCAGTGGCCAGTAGATATCTACCCACAAACGCAGATGAAACCACCTTAGTGCGACGATTACCCCCAGCAGAATACGCAGTAGGCAGTAGTCCAACCCACCAGGCAGAAAGATAGATAGATCGATCGATAGATCGATACTCAGGTACATGTCCACTGTCCACTCTCCACTGATCCATCCAGCAGCTCCTATATAATACTCCGCATAAGCACCGCACCACATGTGTTAGATAGTCCTTGTTATCAAACGCCCGACGGAAGCTGGTTGGGCGGGGGTGGTTCCAGCGGTGATGAGTTTATCCATGGCTACTACTACTAGCAGGGATGTCATGCTGTTGCCTTCTTTAGATACTGACCTACTTACCTAGTCCCCATGGATAATTTCTGTACAGGATTAATCCGAGTCCGATTTAATGTCCTGGATGGATGCCGATGGTATCTCTAGTACGTACGTATCTACCGAAGTCCGGAGACTACGGAATAGTGAGGGGGGGGGGGGGGCAAGTACGTAGTTAGTTAGTTGGTTCTCTGGCGATCATGATCAGAAAAAAAGGGGGTCATTCGTTAGACAGTTGGTTGGTAAGTTGTAGTTCCTAGGCCAAGCTCATGCTAAGCACGCAAGGAGCCGATGTACCCGATCATGACAGCCAGTCAGTAGTTACCAGATAGATGGATAGCCATAGGTCTGTCTAGTCTATCTATCTACTATCTACTATCTACTATCTGTTCCATATCGGTAGATAGTAAGTAAGTAAATAATTAACTACCCATGAGGGAATAATACGGAGTAGATACTTCTGGATAGACACCCGGGACCCGGGGAGATTAAATCGCTCGGTTCAGCTCAAGACTCCCTTCCCTGACTGATTGATGTATCCATCCGTTAGTTATCCGTTTGTCAACGTCAGTCAGCTTAGCTTGTCAGTGACAGACAGACACACGTGTACCTGTGTCGTGTACTGGCCACGGAGTACTCCGTTCTCCATTCTCCATTCTCCGGACATAGGCAGTAGATAAGTAAGTAGGCACAGTAGATGTGGGTAATGTCAACGTCTCCCCAGGTCTAGGCAGAAGAGCAAAAAAAAAAATAAAATAAAAAAATAAGAATCGAGATTTCGTGTCCATGCGTTGGTTGCATACGCGCGCGTGGATGGTCGGTCTGGTATGTAGGTACTAGGTAGTAGTATGTACAGCCGATCGGCCCATGGGTAAGGGAGATGAATCCTTCATTCTTTACGTGAGAAGAACGTTGAACGTTAAGGAATGTGGATGCCACGCGGATGATGACAGGGCGATACGATAGATAGCCTTAGTGTTGAATGTGAGAGAAAGAAAAAAAAAAAAAGAGGTTAGTTCCATGGGTCTGGGGATTTGACAATGGTGTCGTGGGGGTATTTCTTTTTTTCTTTTTTCTTTTTTTTTTTTTTATACTTTGACATGATGGCTGAAAGGTGACAGACAAGGAAGAAAGGAAGGAAGAGATGGTGGGTGGTGGATGGTCTTTGTACTCCGTAGGTAACTAGTGAGTGAGTGGTTCGTTGATGCGGATGATTGCCGAACGGAGTATTCCGCTTATGTATATAGGTACAGTAAGTAGTACAGTATGATCTGGTCGCCTCTGGTTTGGATTTGAACCAGAACCATGGGAACCGAACCGACCGAACATACTCCCTTCTTTTGTCCCCTGTCAATATAATATTATCCCAAGAAGGTGTAGGTATCTGAGCTGAATGCTCCGCAATATGCATCTCCTTTATCTATCCCGGACTCTGAGGTTGCAAAGTGTCAGTGGCGTTGGTCTCGGCAATGGCGCAATTCCAATCTGGCTGGACTGCTGCTGGACGGCTGGACTGCTGGACTGCTGGGACTGGAGAGGGGAGGGGGAAGAAGCCGATGGAGAAAAAGCCCCATCGCAGGCACGACGTATCCACGATTTCCATGGTTCTAGACTTCGAAAGGCAGCTTCCAGAGCCCATCGCGACGGAGCGTCCAGGACCGTCACAGTAGCGGCGGAGGGAGGCGAGGTGGTGAAGGTGGGAACCGGGCAGGGCCCAATCTCCGAGCGACGATGGAGAGGGCCTTAAGTGAAACATTAGCGGGCGCCATCGTGGTTCCAGGTGGGTTGGGGGAAGTTGCCAAGTTTTGGTGGTTAATCAGTTAGTTACTTAGTTATCTAGTACCAACTTACCCCTGGCACTCTCCATCGGCTTTGACGGTTGGCAGCGTTGCCGCCCTCAAATTTGCGCTGGATTGGTGGGCGCGGCGGGGAGGACAGCCGGAGGGGTCGAATCAGCTGTCGTCATTCGTCATCGGCTTACATTGCAAATCACCCACTTTACTTAATATCTTTACAATAACTAGTTAGTTATTACCTATTGTTGTTGTTGGTTTTGGTCTGATTCTGGTTGCTGGTTAGGTACTCCGTACCTGGGTAGTTACGTTTATGCAATTACTCCACCAAATTAACAAACTATCGGAGAGTTTTTCCTTTTCCCCCGGTGTTGTGCTACGGTCAGAGGTATGACGAATATTCAATCAACGCGATATTGCCCTGCCATGACAGGGTCAATACCGAGGCCCTCAGGCCTGATCTTTGTGAACATCCCAATTCCAGCCTCGCGCCCTGGTTGGCTGCACACTTACCGGTGCCTGAAACGGGCGGCATGGCCCTGGCCCGATCGGGGCTAGCGCGGGCCAGGGGCACGGGAATCCGCCACGGTTGGCTCGACCTTCGTTTGGCGCCCACATCTCGTCCAGGGGTCGCTGCTTCACCAGACACCACCAGCATTATTCAGGATCCGACCAGACCAGACGGCCATGGCGAGACGAGGCGCGATCTCGCTCCGCCTTAGTAGGTGGATTTGCGGATGACGATACGCTCTGTATGACTCTGTGACTGCACATCCCGGCTCCCAGCGTCTCATGTCGGAAGTCTCACCTCTCAGGGACCCCCGGAGCTCCCAGGGACCCTGGCTGGCTACTCTGGAGATTCCTTGTCCGATTCAGACGCCATCGGCGGGAATGTATCAGCCGGTGGGATCACTGGGGACTCTTTGTTGTTGTTGCTGTTGGACCGACATCCTGGTCGATCCCCCCCCCCCCCCACGGAAGGTATGCCTGCCTACCTGTGGTTGGGACAGATGAGATATTCAGGAGACAAAGATGACATTCCGTGGTACCACGACGCGACCTGTCCTCGCAAACCGATATTATTAAGGCCCTGGGGCGCCAGCCCAGTCCTTTGACCTTTTCTCTACCTAAAAGAAATTGTTGGTGAAAGGATGCTTTGCCTGCGCGTTCGGGACAGGCCCTTTCCATCCATGATCCATCGCGACGTCGAGATCCGTCCGAACCCACCCGTATATGAAGCCCCCTCCTCCCCGTCCGGGTTAATTTGCGTTTAATTATCAACGATCGCCCGACCCCACTGGGGACACGCCGCCCTCTCCTTTCCGTGATTACTCCGTCCTAGCCTCGCTAGTCTCGACTGCCAGCCGCTGCTGGACTGCGGCTGCTCCAGACTATATTATCACTTGGCTCGCCTCCGCGGCCTTCACCACCTCTCTCTCGTTCTCTACCGTTGGTTCCTCCCCCAACTTTCGCTTCTTCCAACCGCCTCTGCTGCACTTTTTTCACTCTTTCAAAAAGTGCTTCCGACGGCTGTCATTCTTTTGTCCATACACGCTGGTTCATCGTACATACACCACACCCACACCACCCACCTTCCACACACAAACCTCGCTTCGGCCCCCATCTTTTGCAGTCGATCTGCCCATCGCCAGAATCCGTTCTCCATACATATCCTCGCGGTTTTCGAGCTTGTTGATCAATTGGTCGCATAAACTTCCCGGAGAAGTCGTTCTTATCGGATACAGTTGAACTGTGAACCCATCTCGCGAGATTCTTAGCAAAGATATCAACCCCGGCAATCATGCGTTACTCTTTGGCTCTGGGCGCTCTCTGCGCCGCTGGTGCCATGGCCCACAACGTTGACAAGCGTGCCTACGTGACTGACTGGACTGTCGTCACCGAGACCATCACCGTCACCGACTACCTCACCCCCACGGCCTATGCCGACGTCGCCGAGAAGGAGGTTGTCGACACCACGACCGCCGCCGCTGCCGCCGTCGAGACCTCCAGCGTCGCCGCTGTCCCCGTTGTGTCGAGTACCTCGACCTCCTCCGTCGTCACCCCCGTCGCCGAGCCGACCACGTCCGTGGTTGCCGTCGAGCCTACCACCACGGTTCCCGCTGTGACGACGACGGCTGCGCCTGCGGCTGTGGTCGTCACCTCCGTCGTCAATGAAGCTGCCGCCGCGGTCACTTCTGCTGCCGATGATATTGCTGCTGCGGCTACCTCCGTCGTGGCTGATACTGCGGCCGCGGCTACCTCCGTCGCGGATGGTGCTGCTGATTCTTATGCGACCTCCTGGTCCACGGCTTGGACTTCGGCCTGGACTTCCTCCGCGACCGCTACGACGCTGGCGACCTCGACCTCGTCTAGCGCCACTTCGACCGCTACCAACGCTTACCAGTCCACTGTGCTGTTCAACCACAACATTCACCGCAGCAACCACTCTGCCAGCTCTGTCGAGTGGTCCGCCGACCTGGAGACCAGCGCCTATGCGCTGGCCGCGAAGTGTGTCTACGAGCACGACACGTAAGTAGTATCTCCGATAAAACCCCAGGGCGTTTCTTGCTAACAGCCACTCAGGAGCATTGACGGCGGTGGTTACGGCCAGAACATCGGATACGGTGTCGAGGCGTCCGCAATTGGCGAAATGATCACCAACCTGATGTACAACGACGAGATGGGCTACTACACCGACCTGTACGGCGAGGCGGACCCGTCTATGACCTACTTCGACAACTGGGGTCACTTCTCGCAGATCGTGTGGAAGGCGACCACCCACGTGGGTTGCGCTACGGTCACTTGCGCCAGCCTCGGCAATGTCGATGCCGCCGAGGCCCTGCCGTTCACTGTTTGCAACTACAGCCCAGCCGGTTAGTGCTAGACTCTGGCCGCCCGTTTGGAACTGCGTGCTGACATGTTTGATCCACAGGAAACTACGAGGGCGAGTACGGTACCAATGTCGGCGAGCCCCTTGGACAAGCCGTTTACGTTGCCTCCTAAATGCCGAGAGATGCTTTCGCCTGACTGTGTCTGGAGACTGTCGCCGTTGCACCACGATCAAGAAGCGTCGGTCCCTCAAAGCCCGAGGGCTCAAGTTTCCGAGTTGTTTTGATTGGGACTGGGGAATCGATGCGGGTTAGCTCTGCTTGTGGAAGTAAACACCGCCCGTGACCCATGTTGTGTGCGAGGACGCATCTCTGGATGTCGGCCGTGCGCGAGCCTCTCGAATTGAAACCGAACAATGGAGAATCTGACGATTTGTCAGTCCTTTTTTTCTTCCCAAATCTAATCATATATCGACTCCATACTGTCCATTTTTTCTCTTCTTATTAATTAGCTTTGTTCCGTGAAACGCGTCATGCCCGTCTCAACTCAACTCCCAACCTCGCCAAGACTCGGTGACGGGTGCCCGGGGAAGATGGATCTGCGATCTGCAGCACCGCTCCCCCGAAGAACCGAGGGTTTCCACCCGGCTCGAGAGTCGGACCAGGAGGCCGGAGCCGTGCAGGACAGGGACTTTTCATAGTTTCTCTCTCCTTCCCTTCTTCCCCTTCTTCTTCCTTTTCTTCTTCATCTGTGAATATTGTGTGTGTGAGAGCTTTTGGATGGTATCTTCAATGACAGCGACGTGCCTCGTGGGACGATTTACTTTTCTTCGCATTGTGTTATTATATTATGCAGCTGGTGTTTGGCGAGCGAGCGAATGTGGATATGGCGCCTTGAATAGAGTCGGTACATGGCGATGACAAAAGCCAAATGATGAGACCTTTCCATGATAGAGTGTACAGTCATCGTAGAACCCGCCATAACAAACCCCGCCCCACGTGACCCGCTCACTCCCGCCCAGCTCCTTGCCTGATCGGGCGTCTCCCCGCACCGCAACCAGCAACATCGCCAACCCATCCAACCGCCTTGAACGTTAACTTCTCTCTCCCTTCGCCCGAAACGTCATCCAAGCCACCCTGCAACCGTCGCTTTGCTGGCGATCCACTGGTTCGCTCACGTCCCCAGGGTGCTCGCCACACCCACCCCCAATCCTTGGTCGTATCCATCCCACTAGATCCTTCCCCCCCCCCATTAAACTACTGTCTAGTGCGGTCGGTGCAGTGACCCAGCCTCACCACCTCATCTGGCCCCGCTCGTCGCCTGTACGTGATACTCGATTTCTCATTGCTCTCTGTCTCTTGTCTTTGCCTCTGCCTCAAACTCTCGCCTTCACATGGCGGTTCCTCCATGGCTTGTCCCCGCATTTCCTACCACCACCACCATCATCATCATCATCCGTATGGCACGGCAGACAGGTACCTTTACCAGGCTGCGCGCAGAAGCATCGGGCCTGACGCCATTCATCTGGAGCCGGAGGCACTCATAACAAACATTTGATTCTTAGTCGTTGTCCGTGCAGCCGGAAGCGCATCCCCTTGCCGTTCATGCTGTGCGGCCCACTGGCCCTATCACTGCATATCTCTTGGCATCCCGATGCTTCATCCACTGCCCTCAGCAGCCAACCTCCATCCGTTCCCCCGATCCCACCTTTCCCTCCTGCCTTGGGCGCGACCGCGGACGGCTAGCCCGGGGTGTATCATCCACCGTGGTTCAAGTGTTTCATTTGCTCCCAGCCTGTCACTCTTCGGCGTCTTCTAAGCGTCCATTCCCCCGTTTAGCTCCCTTTGTCCCGAAGGTAGGTCGGTCTATTTTGGTTCCACCCCGCGGCCTGCAGTTGCTCCCCGGGCGTGACTTGGAGAGGATGAGTCGCCGTACCGGAAAGACACACTTTATATACCACACCGTTTCCCCTCCCCATGTCTGGACAGTTTTCTTGGTCCCATGCCTTCCATCTCCTTGTGATTGCTGCCCTGTGACTTCATCCGGGTCATGGGATAATCAATCCCTCTATGCCCGCGTACTGTTTGCAAGATTGCCATTATTTCTACCGCAGCGCTTTGCGCTTCCTCTCGATCCCCACATTCTTGGCCTGTCGCTACGCATAGGTTGATTGTGCTGACTCCATGTCTTACTCGTCCATAGCGATCCGTCACTTTACGGCTCCTAAGCCGCTGGGGAGCGCGATGGACTCTGTCCGCTCTAACACCCCCCCGGAGACCAAGATTAGGCCATCCACCAATGCTACACCGATGAATGGAGAGTCATTGGAACCTCCCAAGACGGGCTTGACCTTTGCCAACCAGGATTCCCTACCCAAGCTGCCCATTCCGGACCTCGAAGACTCATGCACGAGATATCTTGACTCTCTAGCTCCGTTACAGACACCCCGAGAGCAGGATGATACCAAGGCGGCCGTGCAGGACTTCCTCCGATCAGAAGGGCCGTCGCTACAAGATAAATTGAAGACCTACGCCTCGTCGAAAACAAGCTACATCGAGCAGTTCTGTAAGTCTCAAGGGCGACTTCCTTCTGTGCCTGTGAACGCAGACTGACTACTGCTCCGGCTCCGTTCTAGGGTACGACTCATACCTAAACTACGATAGCCGTAAGAGATAACCTGCCACTGGGAGTGAGGCACGATGTACTGACTTGTCAAAATAGCCGTCGTGTTGAACCTCAACCCCTTCTTCCTGCTGGAAGATGACCCAACCCCCGCGAGAAATAACCAGGTGACCAGAGCGGCGTCGCTGGTCGTGTCAGCCTTGTCATTCGTTCGAGCCGTAAGGCGGGAGGAACTGCCTCCTGATACTGTCCGTGGCACGCCTCTCTGCATGTACCAATACTCCCGCCTGTTTGGAACGGCGCGTGTGCCGACGGACAATGGGTGTGTGATCAGCCAGGACCCCCATGCAAAGCATGTTGTCGTCCTGTGCCGGGGCCAGCTCTACTGGTTTGATGTGCTGGACGAGAACAATGACTTGATCATGAACGAAAAGGACATTGCTGTCAACCTCCAGGTGATCATTGGAGATGCCGAACAGACGCCCATCCATGATGCCGCAAAAGGCGCCCTGGGTGTTCTGAGCACGGAGAACCGCAAGGTGTGGTCCGGTCTGAGGGATATTCTGACTAGAGAAGAGGGCTCCAACAATGCGGAGTGTCTAAACATCGTCGACACGGCCTTGTTTGTGCTATGTCTGGACTATACTGAACCACACAACACCTCTGAGCTCTGCGCCAATATGCTTTGCGGTACGAGCGAAGTTATCAAGGGCGTGCAAGTAGGCACCTGTACCAACCGCTGGTATGACAAGCTGCAGATCATCGTGTGCAAGAATGGAAGTGCGGGGATCAACTTCGAGCACACCGGTGTGGACGGCCATACGGTGCTTCGATTCGCCAGCGACGTCTATACGGACACCATACTCCGTTTCGCGCGGACCATCAACGGCCAGGCACCTACCTTGTGGGCAACGACCAGCCCCGATCCATCCAAGCGTGACCCTCGAAGCTTCGGCAACGTCAGCACGACGCCTCGGAAACTGGAGTGGGACATGGCGCCTGAGCTCAGCATCGCGCTGCGGTTTGCGGAGTCACATCTGTCCGACCTGCTACAGCAGCATGAATTCCAGGTCCTCGACTTCAAAGGATTTGGCAAGAACTTCATCACCTCGATGGGATTTTCCCCCGACGCCTTCGTGCAAATGGCATTCCAAGCCGCATACTACGGGCTTTACGGCCGTATGGAGAACACCTACGAACCGGCGATGACCAAAGTCTTCCTGCATGGTCGGACGGAGGCGATCCGGACAGTGACCAGCGAGTGTGTCGATTTCGTCAAAACGTTCTGGGGCGACAACCCGGCCGAAGAGAAGGTGAGTGCGCTGCGGAAGGCGACTGAGAAGCACACGGCCATCACGAAACAATGCTCGAAGGGCCAGGGACAGGACCGGCATCTGTACGCGCTGTACTGCCTGTGGCAGCGATCCTTTGACGATGACGCCTCGTCGGCGAGCAACAGCGTGGCAGACAGCTCCAATGGATACACCAGCCCTGGTGAGACCGCGTCCGTCGAGTCACCCAAGTCTTCCGCAATGTCCGAGGATGGGATGTCATCATCGAATGGCTACAGCGTACGTAGTATGCGCACGATGCCGGCGATCTTCAGCGATGCGGGCTGGGACAAGATCAACACGACGGTGCTGTCGACGTCCAACTGCGGCAACCCGTGCCTGCGGCACTTTGGCTTCGGGCCCACGTCGGCGGACGGGTTTGGAATCGGGTACATCATCAAGGACGACACGATCTCGTTCTGCGCGTCGTCGAAGCACCGGCAGACGGCGCGGCTGATGTACACGTTGGAGTCGTACCTGATGGAGATCCGGAAGCTGCTGCGCACGATCAACCACCGGCCAGCGAGCCCGCGCACGAGCAGGGCGCGCGAGATGGAGATGATAGCCGAGCGGTTCCAAGGGGATCACCGCCGGGGCCGGATCGTCCGGGGCGACCCGGGGCAGCTGCATCGGGGAGCCGAGACACCCACGACGGACAGCGGCGAGATCGAGGACGACGGGATGGGCGGATGTAAGTGCAACCCCAGTTTGGCTGTTTGACTGCTCGACAGTTTTGACAGCCCCCTTGCGTGTGACAACAGCAGCTGACAGGCGAATCAGACGGGTTCTTCGACGCAGGGATGCTCCTCCACGCGCTCAAGGGGCTGAATGCAGACCGCGAGCGGGGCGCCGACAAGCCCGAGAAGCGTCGGTTTGTCGGCAAGAAGCTGCGGCTGAACGACTATTGAGGAGATGAGTGCACGGGCTTGGGTTCTGGTGATCCCGGGTGTTGGGCGTATGTACATAGGTTGGCTCCGGCGGTCGTGGAGCCGATAATCGATAGTCAATAAATACCCATACTACCACGACAAGAGATGATTTGCAGCATGTTGAGAGGTAGTGCGACTGGACTCAATTCCTGGCTTCCGCTTCCCCCACCCCACTGTCTCTTTCCGCCGAGGTGCATCAAAACCTCTGCATGCATGAAGCACCCAATCTACTAGATACTAGATACTAGACAAATAACGATGAAACGCCTCCTCACCACGGAGACTCTACGGATGAGACACATACTACTTTACATCCATACATCCGGGTAAACGCCACTAGCCGACGCAGAATCAGAGTTCAGTTTAGTTTAGTTCAGTTCAGTTCAGACCGACCACCACACCACACGACGCCACGCCACACGGCGACGCACGACACGGAGCGATAGAATTTTCTTCTGCAATCGGCAAGGAGTCAGAGAGTTCAGCGTGCGGAGTACTAGCCACTACTGCCAAGTGTGCTGTTGATTGCATAGATAGTACAGTAGTAAATATGTAAGTAGTAAATATGTAAGTAGTAAATATGTAAGTAGTAAATATGTAAGTAGTAAATATGTAAGTAATTACTATGTAAGTAAGTAAGTAAGTAAGTAAGTAAGTAAGTATGTATGTATGTATGTATGTACATAAATCCGCTCTCCCGATCGCATCGCGATCCAAGGTGCCCTGCCCTCTCTCTTCCGGGAATCATGCCACAATTTGATCCCGTCAATACTGTTACAGAGTACGGAGTACGCGGGCAGTGAGCAAGGTAAAAATGTAGTAAGTAATATCTCCGGGACCTCAGCCCATGTTCATGCCATTAGTTATTTATTATTCCCGGTCTCGATTACTAAACTACCACCCTTTACATGAGTTTTTTCTCTGAAGGGAGGAGGGGATGGATGTATTATTCAACGATTAAAAATAATAACAACCATAAACAATGATAATAATGATAATAATGATAATAATGATAATAATGATAATAATGATAATAATGATAATAATGATAATAATGATAATAAAATAGAGAAGAAAAAAAAAGCATAATAATAATCACCAGCTTACGAACTCACTCTCTGCCAGTGAGTAGATAATGAGTGTACTCGGTAATGAATGAATGCCAGACGATCCGATTCCTGCCCAACGGAGTCTGATGCAGAGTCTACCTACTTACTCTTCCCAGACTAGTCAGAACCTTCAACCTCCTATTACCATGCTTCGGTGGGAAGATAAACGGTCACCGCCTGACTGACTGACCCCGATCGCTCTGCCTATCAGATGGCCGGCACCTCTGCACTCTGCAGGTGCTGCACATGGTCGACCGCTCTGGGAAGGACGTGCAGGTTCCGTTCCGGGCGGATGTAGGACTGGACTAGATAGCTATCCATCCATGTGTGTCAGTCTGTGTATGCAGTTGGGGGTTTGTCTTGCATATGCATGTGTATGTGTATGTTGTGGGAGGGGAAGGACAAGGCACAGTAGGAGGTACCGAGCTAGTTAGTAGGAACTACCTGCTTGCTTGCTTGCTTGGGTGGTTGGTCTGGTATTTACTGTTGTAGTAGGTAGTAGGTACTAGCTACTAGGTACTCTGTATGAAGTATGGAGTAGGAGGATTGGATTGGGTTGGATTACAGGATATGTGAGTGTGAGTAGTATGGGCAAGGAGGGATGTCTATGGATTGGATTGGATTGGGTTTATGGTGGGGGAGTGTGCTGGTCTGTTGATCTCGGGTTGGTGTTCTATCAGATTGGGTGTCGAGTCTGTGAACTGTGGTGTGGTTAATTAAGAAGTAGACACTACGCGATGTTCGTATCTAGAAGGGTGGGTGGAAGGCGACTAGAAAACAACTCCCTATCTGATACCATCCCTCCACAGCCTTCTAATCATCAACATCTCTTCTGCAGTAGTATACTATTTCCAGTAGTAGATACTCCCTAGGCAAGGACAAGTATCCGGCTAAATGCATCCCTCCAATGGCGTCCTCGGCCGGTGAGATCATCCCGATCAGACCCCTTCCCAGTCTTCTGATGACTGATCCGCCGATATCCGACTGACTGATCCGTATCCGTACCCTGTAACTATCTACCATGTATCTACAAAGTATCGACCGCAGCTGCAGCGTGCTCATGGCTACCGCGTGGTGTATTCTGCCTCCCACCGTAAATTACCCGTACCGTCTGCCCGATCAGGACACGCTAGTCCCCATCGGGCCGCCGCCCTAGCTGGTCCCGGCCAGTCATGTGCCGCACGTGATCCCCGGGCAACGACTCCACTGCCGATATTGATTCACCTTCACCCAAGCTACTTACTATCAACCATCGACCTGCTGGAGTTACGTATGAATTGAAGCCGGGTGTCTTCATTCTTCTTCTCTTTTTTTCCTTCCCCGGTGGTGCCGCGCTCCTTCATCCGTTGTTATTGGTAAGTGGAAGAAATCCAAGTGAATTTGTTGTTGTTGTTGTTGTGTATGACTTCATCATCCTTCATCACCCCTGCCTCTCTCTCTCCCCGACACCGGAACAACCAACCTACAGTACACTTACCTGCTGGCTGGGATCGGCCGGCCTTGGTGCTGGTTGCTGGTTGCTGGTTGCGAGTATCGCGCGCATCCGCCTGGTGTTGGTGCCTTAAGCCGTGTCCCCCTTCAGGCTTCAAATTCTCAGGCCCTCAGGCTGTCCCCCCTCGACCAATCCATTCGTTGCATTCTTCGCTCTCTTCTTCTGCTGCTTCCCTTTCCCCTTCCCCTTCTCCTTCCCTGTGTGCCCACTGCCCAGGAAGAAACAAGAGTCAAGAGTCAGGCCATCGTGCTCTGGCCGGGCCCACCCTTCGACCGTCCGACGTGACGCTGCGCCTGGGATTGGCTCTGGCCCTGCTGCTAGTCGCCCACTGCACCACTCCTGCTGGCGAACTAGCGCCCTCGTTGCTGAACTCCCTTTGCGGCTGGCTCCTGGCTGGCTCCTGCAACCCCCCGACGGCAAATCTTCTCGCTCCATTCCCTCACCCTGGAGAGGAGGGGCCTGCGTTGCGTTGCGTTGCGTTGCTGCTTCTCTGCCCGTGTGCCTTGATGGCCTGCCTGCCTCGATACCGATCTCTGCCTCCTCCACCCTACTAATTTTACTTCCACACCCCCCGGTCCACCCGGTCCCTGTCTTTATCTGGCCCGCTGTTTTCTGCGTCGCAGGATCCCTATCCCCAGCAATTCGTCCTGGGAGCTCGGATCATCTTGCCTTGCAGTCCACCAACCCTTCCTTTCATTACGCGCTCTCTTGTCATCATCATCCTTCCCCCCTCCCCCCGGCTATCTATCTTGTACCCCCAATACCACCACTTTGCCGCGCATCGTCATCTTCTTCCTCTTTTCTTTTCTTGCACCCTCGGAAACAGCACCGACCGAACGGACCTGCGCCGGTATTGACCCGATCTACAGTTCCGATAGCAGACGTCTTGTCTTTTCCGACCCACGCCTCCTCTCCCCCGACCGCTGGGAATCCTCCTCCTGCCGTCGATCAGCGGTCGCATCTTCCGACGACGGCATCCTGATCGAATCCCGAAATACTCTCCCTTCGTCCTTTCCGTCTTGAGATGATGGCGGCAGCGCTTGATCAACCCCTTTTCGAGTCGATCGCGGGCGGTCCTGCGACCGACGCAACCTCAATCACGCCGCCGCAGAGCGTCAACGGCAAGAAGGACATCCCCGACGGCGTCTCATCAGAGCTGTCTGATCTTGAGCTCGACCCGAATGCTCCCGGCGCCCAGGATATACCATCGGTGGAGGCCGACGAGGACGAAATCGAGCCGGACCATTATTATGGCGGCGGCAAGATCCCGGTGTTCAAGCCGGTGAGTCTCGACCCTGTTTGCTGAGCCCCCCCCCCCTCCGGGCTTTGGTGTCAAGGGTATGGACTAACCGGTCTTTACCACAGACCATGGACCAGTTCCGCGATTTCCAATCGTTCATCAACAAGGTTGACGAATATGGCATGAGGTCCGGAATCGTCAAAGTTATCCCCCCCAAAGAATGGTGTGTCTCCGCGCGCTTCTGGACCACATCCATGGCAGGATGCTTACCAATTGTCGTTAACTAGGACCGATGCTCTACCGCCCCTGGATGACGCCGTTCGGAACATCCGTGTGAAGAACCCGATCATGCAGGAATTCCACGGCTCGCACGGAACCTACACACAAGCCAACATCGAGCGACAGCGATCGTACAACCTCCCTCAGTGGAAGGCGTTGTGCGAAGAGAGCAGCCATCAGCCGCCCGCCCGGCGAGGTGAAAGGCGCAAAAACCAGGAGCGGACCAGTCGGGCCCCGCCTGTTCCCCGAGCTCAGTCTGTCCGATCGGATTCCCAGAAACGCCGTGCTGGCCCCGGTCGCCCGCCCAAACGGACCAACCAGTTGAAGATCAAAGAAGAGCCGCAGGCGGATGAAGGCTTGGACAAGGTGAAACCCGAAGGCCCGCCGACCCCTGTGTCACCCGAATCGAACCCGGTGGAAGCGAAGACGGAAGATCTGAGCGACGGCGAATCGTTACCCGGCCCGAAACCCAAAGGACGACAGCCCAAGTCGTCGGTCACCTCCCGAAGGAAACACAACAAGGGCGATGCGATCGACTACGTGGACGAAGAGGCTTTCAGAGATTTCGACTACCGCATCCACGACAATGACGAGTACACTGCCGAACGATGCGAGGAACTCGAAACGGCCTACTGGAAGTCACTCATGTTCAACAACCCCTTGTACGGCGCGGACATGCCCGGCTCCTTGTTCGATGATGATATCACGACCTCGTGGAACGTCGCCCGTTTGCCGAACCTGCTCGACGTCATCGGACAGAAGGTGCCGGGTGTTAATACGGCATACCTCTACCTGGGCATGTGGAAAGCTACGTTCTCGTGGCACCTGGAAGACATGGATCTCTACAGCATCAACTACATCCACTTTGGTGCACCGAAACAGTGGTACAGCATCTCCCAAGAGGATGCTCCTCGTTTCGAACAGGCCATGAAGAGTAAGATTGCCGCCCCCACAGTATGAAATGTTGAGGAACCGGACGCTAATACCGATTCTGTTTAGGTATCTGGACCAGCGATGCCAAGAGCTGTGACCAATTCCTCCGCCACAAGACCTACCTGGTGTCCCCTAATCTGCTCAAGTCCCAGTACGGGATTACGGTGAACAAGTTGGTGCACTACGAGGGTGAATTTGTCATCACATACCCGTACGGGTACCATTCCGGCTACAACCTGGGGTACAACTGCGCCGAGTCGGTTAACTTCGCAACCGAGAAGTGGCTGGACTACGGGCGGGTTGCGAAGAAGTGCAACTGCGAGTCGGATAGCGTCTGGATCGACGTGGATGAGATCGAACGGAAGTTGCGGGGCGAGGCCACCCCCGAGTACTTCGGCGAATATGAGAGTGACCTGGACGAGGTCGAAGGCGCCTCCGATCTTCTGACCCCGCCACGCAGTGTGCCAGAAAAGTCGTCTACCCGTGGCCGCAAACGCAAAACTGTCGGCGAGACAACCAAGGCGAAACGCATGCGGGTCAACATGGAAGTCCCGCGAAAGATCCCCTGCGTTCTGTGTCCGAACAATCTGGACTACGAGGACCTCCTGCCCACGGAAGATGGCAAATCCCACGCGCACCGCCGCTGTGCCCTGTATACCGAGGAGACCACCATCCTCCGCGACGAGACGGGCAAGGAGGTGGTGTGCGATGTGGACAAGATCCCCAAGGCCCGCATGGGCCTCAAGTGTCTCTTCTGCCGCGAGGTGCGCGGGGCGTGCTTCCAGTGCAACTTTGGCAAATGTACGCGGTCCTACCACGCGACGTGTGCGCTGCTCGCGGGCGTGCAGGTGGAACAGGGCCTGGTGGGCGTGATTGCGGACGACGGGAACCAGTACTCGATCCCCAGTGTGGATCTCAAGTGCAAGTACCATCGGCAGAAGAAGCCGTCGTGGCTGGCGAGCACCGAGACGCCGGATTTCGACCGCAAGCTGATCCAGACGGCGCGGGGCCTGGTGGCGGGGGATCTGGTGCAATTCCAGGCGGACAAGGAGATCAATGGGGCCATCGTGCTCCAGAACCGGCCCGAGGAGCGGGCGCTGCTGGTCAAGGTGCTGCCACGCGGGTAAGTGTGCTAGCCTGCTAGCTGCCTGTGGATATGATGCCGGAGATGCTAACCGATATGCTTTTCGCTGCCAGGGACGTAATCGAGTTACCGTACCGGTGGACGCTGGTTGTCCGGCGGAGCAACTTCTCACCGCTGGCTCCAGGCACCAGGCCACTGCCCGCCCACTTAGCCCGGAAGCCCGAGGCCCGGAAAGAGCTGGAATCGGCGGTGCCGGTGGCAGGGAATCCGTTTGGCGATGGGCGATCCCCGTATCAGTGGGCCGAGTTCGAGACGGTGGACAGCACTAACCAGCCGAAGCAGGCAGGGGCCCCACCGCCGACGCAGGTCGACCTCAGCAAGGGCGAACAGCTGTGGTATTACCTGGGCGAGTCCTCCACCGAGTGTAGGGCACAGTATACACACAACCCTAGCGTGGCTGTCCACAACCCGCGCGCGAATTTCCTGGACAGCGTCAAGTCGCTCGGCGCCGTGATGGCCCGACTGCCCCCCTCAATCTCATACGCCCCCCACCATCATCTGGCGCCTCCGCCTCACCACTATGCCGCTGCCCCTCACCGTCCAGCCCCTCAGGCTCCTCCGACGCTCCCTCCTCACCACCTGGCTGGTGGTGGTGCCCCTCCCCCTCCTCCCCCTCTCCCTCCCACCGCCTCTATAGTCTCTGCTGCCACCACTGCTGCTGTTGCTGCTTCTGCCGCCACCTCCGCCACGACCGCCGCCGCTGCTGCTGCTTCCCGCCGGCCTTCCCTGCTGCAGCACCCTCCTCTTGCCCCTCCTCGTCCTGCGCCCTCTTCTGCTGCTGCTCCCCCTGCTGCGATGCCGTCTGCTTACCGATCCCTGCCAACTCAATCCGCCCGCCATGCTCCCTACCCTCAGGTCACCAAGGCCCCTCATCATCATCATCTCCCCTCCGGTTCCCGTCCCCAGCCTCTCCATCATCATCACCACCTCCATCAGCAGTCCCAGCAACCACCACCGCCGACACCGCCACAACCGCAACCACAGCAGCAGCAGCAGCAGCAGCAGCAGCAGCAAACCAACAACCCGCCCCCCAACAATTTCGCCAATGTTCGAGAAATCATCGCCCGCCGTCGTCTGGTCCAGATCACCGACCATGCCAATGTGTTCGCCGGCTATACCATTGTCAGCCCCGAGTTGGTCGTAGAGACCCTCCTGGGCCCCATGGGCTCGGTGCCCCCGCCCAATGGCCTCGAGAAGTTGGAACTGGCCATGGCTCAACAACGCGTGCAACCACGGGCACCCGACGGAACATTGCTGCCGCTGCAGCCCCTCAACATGCGGTCGGAAGAGGTGACTCGGTTGTTGCAGATGCTCCGCTTCTCGCTGGTGAGTCATCGGGACCGGCTGGACGTGCTGCAGAAAAAGGAGCCGGAACACATCAAGCAAGAGCCGGTCAATGGCGGCCTGCCGGCCTCCAAGCTGCCTCGCAAGTACGCCTACCTCGAGCAGCAGCGGGAGCAGGTGCCGACCGTCTACCGGTCCCCGTACGACATGCCGTCCGGCTTCACGGAGTACGCCCAGAAGTCGTATGGCCTGACGCCGTGCGAGCCGGAACTGCCCAAGCCCTCCCTGGCCAACGACTTCTTCGCCAGCCTCTCGCCGGAGGACCAGGAGAAGATCCTCAAGACATGTGGCAGTTTTGTGCAACGGGCGATCGAGCGGTCGGCCAGCCATAGCCGGCAGAGCTCGGCATCAAACCTCCGATTGGCGTCGGCGCTGGCCCAGCAGACGGAGAACCCGACCATCGACATCACGACGGTGGAGGACATGCACTTCCCCAACCTGGACTTCCCGCTGCACGCCGACTCGCCGTGCTCGAATTTCAGCCGGTCGCATCTGCGGTTCCAGTCTCCCAACGAGTTCGCCCCCCACGGGCCCGAGCCGCACCACGACCACCACGATCTGTTCGGGGACCAGCAAGCCAACACGCGGTTCTGGCAGCATGGACCTTGGGCCGCGGGCGACGGCAACACGCCAAACGAGGAGACGCGGCCGTTCTTCGGGCCCCACGAGCGATTGAAGCACGACTATGCGTCGTCGGATATCTCGCTGGGACGGGGCGGGCCGGGGTCGTTGCACTCGGTCGATATGGCCGGGTTTGGCATGGACAACGCGGAAGACCCCCTGGGCGTGCTGAGCCCGTGAGTCGGGCGGTGCGTGATTTCTTGTCTCTCTGCTCTGCATTTGCGTGCCATTATGACTGCATTTTCACCACCACCACCTCCCTCCTCACCACCACCATCACCACCACCATATCACCCTGTAACGACTTATCCGGATTGACGACTGCATGACTGGGCGTTTTTATTTTTCATGTTTTGAACTGGTTTTTCTTGAACCGTTGGGGCGATGATGATCTTGACGACGGAGCTGTTGACGTTAGACGCTAGCTGGCCGAGCCAGGTTGGCGACTCAGTTGGAGGCGCGGCCTACGGGAGGCAGAGGAGGCTTGTTTCCTCTTGTCTCCTCTTGTCTCCTCGTTGGGGGGACGGTTGTTGGGGTCCTTGGGGCCCTGGAGAGGTGATGCCCCGACCGCACGTTCCAAGTGGCGGTGGGCGAGGCGGCCAAGTCACCCGTGTGGCCTTGGCCATCCCAACCCAACGATGCCCGGCCAACATCCCCCTCGCCCACCGCCGTTTCTCTCGCCTCGCTTCTCTCTCCACTGTCATCGTCTTGTCTTGTTTCTACGCTTCCCCATCCATTCCCTCCCCCTCCCGCGGACCCTCTCCCCACATCTCGGAGAGCTGACGGGGCCTACTTTCGCCCCCTCGCCTTCTGGTCCTACGTACACTAGATGCCAAAAAGGAAAAAAAAAAAAGACAAAAGACAAAGCTCCCCCCCCTGTTTGATACCCCCCACCCAATTCCCTTTCCCCTGCCTGTGATCCCCTCCGTTTCGGACGCGTCCCCTCTCGGTCGGCCATCTTTTGTGTGTATCTGTTCCCCTCCCCCTTTTCTCCTTTTCTCTCTGGCGCTCATCCTTGCGCGAGCCCGTCTGACCCGCTTGCTGGGGGAGGACGGGTCTCAGCCGTCCAAGGGTGTGGCAGCCGTCACAGCATCGTGACAACCGCCGTGATGTACGTTGGAATGGATAGCTGTGAATAACCGAATCCTTAAGGGAATCTTTTCATCCATCCAAGTGAGGCTTTTGTAGGAGTCGAGTAGAGGAGATGGGTAAAATGTAGAAGATGGAGGCGAGTCAGTGACGGGGGAACAGTAGATAAGTACAGAAAGTAGTTCGAGAGAGGTAGATAGAGATAGGTCGTTGAAATAGGCAGTCCTCGTGCAGCCGGGGAGACCCAGGCTGGGAGGCGCCATGGTTCAGGGCAACCCCCCCACCCACTGGGTTGACCCAGAAGATAGATAAAAGTGTTGTCGGAGAGACCGAGTGAGTGGGTGGAAAGGCATGAGGTCATCCGATGCTCAGGCTGTTTGCAGGGCTGCATGCCCCTGACATCTGTCTGTCTGTGTGTCTATCTATCTCCAGCGCGGTCCTGACTTTTTGAGACAGAGGGTGTAGATAGATCGATGGTCTGTGTGCCATGGTTTCAGGGAGGATAATACGAGGTCAGGTCGAATGTGGTCTTGTTCGATATATGTGGAGATATATGTGGGAGGGGAAGGGATTGCCGCTATCATCATCACACATCAAGACTCAGAACGCACGTATCGATAACAGTCATCAGGGCCCAAATCATCCAGATAGCGCTTTATCAGCGCGGTCCCGGACCGCCTGCTTTAGCCCGACACCGGAGACCCCTTAGCCTGGAGCTTATCGCGGGGGAGATCGTCGCTCATTGGCATCCCAGAGGGAATGGGGATGCGGATACAACGAGAACTAGAAACTCTGGACCAAGACGGCCAAGACGCGGTGGTGACGTGCGGGGGAGAGAGTGGAAGTGGAAGTGGAAGTGAAAGTCGAACGGAGGCAAAGCCGCCGCCGCTTCTTCTTTTCTCTCCTCCTCCTCCTCCTTCTTATTCCCCTCATCCCCCGCCCCTCTTCCACCACTTCAACCACTTCACCCTGCCATTGGGATTTCAACCTCTCACGGCATGTCCTGCATATAAACCTCTTTCTTCTCTACTTTCTCGTCCTCGACTGTTATTGTTTATTGTCCTCTCATCCTTCCATCATGCGTCAATCCTCCGTCGACGCCACCGCCGATGAGGCGTTGGCGAGGATGGGCTACAAGAGTGAACTGCCGCGCAATCTGAGTATGATGAGTGTCCTGGGCCTGTATGTTCTTTCTGTTCTTTCTGTTCTTTCTGTTCATCTCCTCTTCTCGGTCCATCCCCCCCCCCGCTAACCCATGCTTTCCCAGCTCTTTCGCCATCATGGCCGCCCCCTTCGGCCTCAGCACCACTCTCTCCATCACCCTCACCGACGGCCAGTCCGTCAGCGTCATCTGGGGCTGGGTCGTCGTCACCCTCATCTCCATCGCTATCGCCGCCTCGCTGGCCGAGATCTGCGCCGTCTACCCCACCGCCGGCGGTGTCTACTACTGGAGCGCCATGCTGTCCACCCGCCGCTGGGCCCCCATGATGTCCTTCATCGACGGCTGGCTGACCCTCGTCGGCAACTGGACCGTCACCCTGAGCATCACCTTCTCCGGCGGCCAGCTGATCCTGAGCGCCATCTCGCTGTGGAACGAGGACTACGTCGCCAACGCCTGGCAGACCATCCTGATGTTCTGGGCCGTGCTGCTGGTCTGCTCGCTCGTCAACATCTTCTTCTCCAAGTACCTCGATCTCATCAACAAGGTCTGCATCTACTGGACCGCTGCCAGCGTGGTCATCATCCTGGTGACGCTCTTGACCATGGCGAAGGACCGACGGGATGCCGAGTTTGTATTTGCACACTATGATGCCTCCGATAGTGGGTGGTAAGTCGGGATCCATTATTCTCGCTGATGAGCCTCTGCTGACTGGCCAGGCCCACCGGATGGGCGTTCTTCGTCGGACTGCTGCAGGCGGCCTACACGCTGACCGGCTACGGCATGGTCGCCTCCATGTGCGAGGAGGTGCAGAACCCGCATCGCGAGGTGCCCCGGGCCATCGTGCTGTCCGTCATCGCGGCCGGCATCACCGGACTGATGTACCTGATCCCGATCATGTTCGTGCTTCCCTCCGTGCAGAGTCTCCTCAGCGTGGCTAGCGGGCAGCCCATCGGGCTCATCTTCAAGACGGCCACGGGGTCCGCAGGCGGCGGCTTCGGCCTACTGTTCCTGATCCTGGGCATCATGATGTTCGCGGGGATTGGCGCGCTGACGGCCGCGAGCCGCTGCACGTACGCCTTCGCGCGTGATGGAGCTATCCCGGGCTTCCGTCTCTGGCGGAAAGTCAACAAGAGCCTGGACGTGCCCGTGTGGGCCATCATCCTGTCCGCCGTGGTGGACGGCCTGCTCGGACTGATCTACTTCGGCTCCTCGGCCGCGTTCAACTCCTTCACCGGCGTAGCCACCATCTGTCTATCGACCTCGTACGGCCTGCCCATCCTGATCCTCATGCTCCGCGGCCGCCAGGCCGTCAAGGGCTCCAGCTACTCGCTCGGCCGATTCGGCTACGCCATCAACATCGTATCGGTATCCTGGATCGTGCTGGCCGTGGTGCTTTTCTGCATGCCGACCTCGCTGCCCGTCGACCCCAGCACCATGAACTACGCCAGCGTGGTGTTCGCCGGCTTCGCCCTGATCAGTTTCCTGTGGTACGTCGTGTATGCGCGCAAGCATTTCACCGGCCCGCCCCTCACCGATGAGGATATGCCCGGCGTGATGACGGGGAAACCGGTCGACATGGAGAATCTGTCTGCGAAGAATGAGAAGACATTGAAGAACTGATTTTTTTTTTTTTTTTTTTTTTTTTGTATCTGTGTTTTGATGCGGTGATGTCATGTATATATACCTCCTTGCGATTTTGTTGATAGTGGTGGTGGTGGGAGTTCCGCCATTGTGCTATATTAAGTTGTATATAATTGGGCTGGCGTTTTGCGTTGTAGATAGATAGATAAACGAGCTAGCTGTCACTGGGTATTGAATACTTCGGAGATTTATTTTTTATTTTGCCTTTTTCATTGCATACAGGTACGGCGTACAGATGGATCTCGACAGGACGATTTGCTGCAGTCCCGTCCATCGGCCGATCACAGGGTGCTGGACTGATTGGTGGGCCGACAGCCGCGGTTCAATCGCCGGCCGCAACTCGCAATCAACACCACACGAGCTACTCTTCTTCCCTCACACACACACTCCCTCTCCCTCTCCCACTTACTCACTCACTTCCTCCCTCCCTTCTGCTCTTCTACTTCCACACTCGATCCCACGCGACCAATACCTATCCCTGCGAGCTATCTCTTCCCAGACACAATCCAACCACACCACCCCGACCGCGCCTCCCTCCCTCCCTACTTTCGTCAGGCCGAAATCCGGGGAAGCTCCAGCAGCACTATCCCTACCTACCTACTTCCTACCTACTTCCTACCTATCCTTCTGTCCTCACACTACCACCAACAACGGCAAACAAACTTCGCGGAAAGGTCGACATTGAAGCACCTCCGTCCCTCTTCAAATGCGCATGCGCGACCTCCGCGCGTGCTCCCGCCACCCCCTGCTCTCATGAAGCCTTCTTCCGCTTCCGCTCCCGCCGCCGTTGACGTTGACTATCGACCCTGTTTGAGTCTGAGACTGAGACTGAGACTGTTCGCATTCACACTATGTCGGACTCTGTGGGTGCGTTTTCCCCCTCCTTCTCATGCTTCTACCGTATGCTTCCTTCCCGTGGGAATGGGAATGGGACACTTCCGCGAGAACGACATACTTCCCACGCCCGAGACATTCCCCGAGAATGCACATACCCCCCGCGCGAATGAAGCACACTTCTGCAAGAATAAACCAAAGGTAGTCGGTTAACCAATGGATGCACGCAGATCGAGTCTTCGTTCATGCCTTGAACACCGTCAAACGGATTCCCCGCACGGGGACGGCCCGGCCGCCGGCTTCGGAGCGCTTGAAGTTGTATGGCCTGTATAAGCAGAGTATGGGTATGGGCTTTCTTTCTTTCGTTTCTTGCTTTGGTTTGGTTCTTGGGTGTGGGGATGGAAAAAGAGCCAGGTAGAGAGTGCAATGCTAATGAGCTATACATGTGTAGAAGGCGATGTCGAAGGCGTCATGGATCGTCCGGTCGGGAATACAGCGGATGTGTTTATGGAGTGTGAGAAGTGGTTTGTCTCTCTCTCTCTCTATTCCTTCCTTCTTTCTTTTTTAATCTGCCCTACAAGAAATCTCAATCATACTGCGTATACTGATTTATCCACAGGGACGCCTGGTCCACCCAACGCGGCCTCTCCCGCACGGAAGCCAAACGACGATACATCTCGACCCTGATATCGACCATGCACAGCTACGCGTCGCAGACCGCCGAGGCCCGCGAGCTCGTCGCTGAGCTGGAGTTCGTCTGGGACCAGATCAAATCCAATACCGGGTTGTCGTCGTCGTCGTCGTCTCGGGATCAGGGCAGCTCGGGCTCGGCGCGCGAGCGCGACGTGCCCCCCGTGGAGTATCAGTCCAGGATGTCCAGGCCGGAGTATGAGCAGCTGCTCAGCACGGGGAGGGGGGATTCGAGGTTACGGGTTATGAGTCCGGTGAGTCAGCCGGAGGGGAGGGGGTTGGGGACACGTTCGGGTTCAGAGAACGGGGGGACGTGGAAGAAGAGGAAGAGGAAGAAGATGAGGTGTATGCCGAGGCGCAGGATAACCTGTTTGAAGACGATGACGAAGATGAGGATGACAACGAGGACGATAACATCGACGACCACAACCACCACCACCACCACCATGCCCACGACCACGACTACTACCAGCAACAATCATACCCCCTCCCCTCCCCCTCCCCAGACCAAGCCGGAATCTACAGCGAACACACAGCCGACCGTCCGGCCAGAATTCCCCCCAGAGACAGAGACAGAGACAAAGACAAAGACAAAGACAAAGACAGACGCTGGCGTCGTCGCGTCGAGCAGGCCTTGACGAAAATGACAGCCGAGATCGCCGCCCTGCGCGAACAGCTCGAGACCCGCGCCCTGGCCCACCGCCGACGCTCCGGCCTCTGGGCCTGGCTGAAGTGGTTGACCTGGACGACGACCCGGCAGCTGCTCGTCGATCTGGCTGTCTTTGGGCTCCTTCTGCTATGGATGCGGCTGCGTGGAGACCGTCGGTTAGAGCAGAAGGTGAGGGTCGGTTGGGCGGAAGTGAAGAGTCGGTTGGCGAGGTGGAGGGTGTTGAGGAGGAGGGGGTCTTGATGATACTTCTTCTTACTTCTTATTTCATGTTTATAGTGGTGGTTGTCTCTCTTCATGTCTTCTTTCTTTCAGGTACATATATATATATACCATTTGCCTTGCTTTGCTTTGCTTTATTTGTTGTGTTGGGTGTTGGGTGTTGTCTGTTGTCTATCTGACTGACTGACTGACTGTCTGTCCGTTGACATGAATGGATGAGGATGATAGGTGGATGAGTTATTGTATCATCCTAGAGAGATTGGATTGCGAGTACTACCTACCTACCTACCTACCTACCTACCTTAGGCATTTCATCCCGTTTCAGGGCGGTTAGATTTTACTCTTACTGGGTTTCTGTTCTCACTGGGTAATAGCAGATGGTATAGATAGATATAGATATAGTATAGGTATAGGTATAGCTATGATGGATCTCTATAGTTAGTTACCCATCCTCCTCCATCTAGTATAGTCATCTTCTGAGCTCTGCTGCTTCACTGGTTCTCTGTTCACTGCAATTCGAGATGTCTATTCGATTTGCACTTTGACTGATAGTTCATGGTTGTTGATATACGCAGGGTTCGCCAAATTTTGGATCTTACGTGGAATTCTAGAGATTTATAGTAGCTCTGTACTGGGACTGTTTTCTATTGCTCTGCGAATTCTATGGCTTATGGCTTATGGCTTATGGCTTATGGCTCTATGGTTTATGACTGTCTACGGATTATTCTATCTGCTCTCTGTTCATTATTTTTTTATAGCTCTGACGGGTCTATGCTTCTATGTATATTGCTTTATAGTGCTTTATAGTGCTTTATACAGCTATATACAGCTATATACAGAGCTGTATAGCTCTATTAGCTCTATTAGCTCTATTAGCTCTATTAGCTCTATTAGCTCTACCAGCTCTACCAGCTCTACCAGCTCTACCAGCTCTACCAGCTCTACCAGCTCTACCAGCTCTACCAGCTCTACACATCCTTGTACAGCCATATGTAGCTCTCTACTCCCCTACATCTTACATCGCTTTATACAGCTTCACTCCACTCACACTCTTCCACTCTCCAGTCCACCCTCCACCCTCCAGCTCCAAACACTACACTACACTACACTACACACTGTAATCAACCCCCCCACCTAAAATAACCAAATGCTCATGCGGAACCATATAAATTCCTCGATGCCAATATATACACAAACAGACATGACATGACGGAAAAAAAAAAAAGAAAGGAAACGGCAAACACCAGCATACACAACCAAGACCAGCCAGCCAGATAGACAGACAGAAACAAAAAACCCCACTCGTCTCGCCTCGCCTCGCCTCGCAGCGCAGCGCAGCGCACGGCCAACCAAACAGGTTCTTCTAGCGCAGGTTGGGGGTGTTGGCCGCGTAGATCGGGTACTGCGGGATTCTGGTGGTGGGCCTGGGGGGCTCGACGGCGCCGGGGATGGTTTTTTTAAGGCCCTATAGATAGATATTAAGATCATTAGCCTGGGATTGCTTGACTTTGGTGGGTATGTGGATGTGGATGTGAATGTGGATGTAAGTTGGGTTTGGGGTATGGTATGGTGATTCTTGGGGGGGAGGAACTCACCAACTTGTCGAAAACACAAGCGTTCAGGTCACTCTCGGCCTTGCGACACTCCCACAGACGGTGGTTCCAGTTCTCCAGACACTCCCAGTGCGCGGTGAACTGGGTCAGGCAGTGGGTGTTGATGTCCTTGATACTGCACATCACGTAGAGCCAGTCAGTCAGCCAGTCAGCCAGTCAATCATTTCCCAATCCCAGCTTCAATTCCAATTGCGTCACTGCAAGCACACCCCAACGAGGGAGAAAGAGAACAAGAAAGAGAGAGAACATACACACTCGCCGCACAACGGGTCACTTTCCTACCCTCCTTCAAACACTCCAGCTCGCCGCGCCCGTTGCTCTCCGCCTTACACTTCATAAAGTCATCGTTGTACGCCTGGCACCGGTCCCCAATGAAGTACGCCGCGCTGGTCAGCGGCGCCGACGTGGCCCCGATCTCCTGCACCTTGGGGATCTCGGCCGGCATCGGCGTCGTGTCGATCAGCGTCTGCTGGCTGAATCTGGGGGGGTGTTAGCATTCATCCTCTCTCCATCTAGCGGTCCCTCCATCTTCTTCAACCCTGGGTGATTGACGGTGATGCTGGTGCGGGGAGGGCCGGAAGCCATTGCCTCGGGCAATTGGGGCTGGGGCAGCTGGAGAACGTACTGGGGCTCGCGACGGGACATGGTGGCGGTTGGTGGTGAGACAGGGGGGGATCAATGGACGAGGAGGGTCGGGGTGGGTTGGATGGGATGGCCGGAGACCGATGATGAGAGTTGAAGCCGTGAGTTTGGAAGGGTGGTTTTTGCGGCCGTCTGATTGGTTGGGTTAGTCATCGCCTGAGGCAGAGGCAGCCAGCCTGAGGCATTTTCACTTCATGCCTGGGGCATAAAGATATCCACCTGAGGCACCAAGGCACCATTGCCTGGCCCGCCGGGCAACACGTGACGCCGCTGAAAAACAAAGCTCCCGGAAAAGCAGCAGCCCCCCCGTTGACGACCAGCTGGATGCCGCCGCGCCTGCGCTAGGACTGACTGACTCTGTCTCTGTCCTGCATTCTTCCTCTCTGTGTGTATTTGAGCTGCGCTCGCCAGTCGGGGGCTTTCTTCTGCCCGTTTCCCATCGAGGACTTGTGAATTGGTCGTCCTGCGTGTTACTGTCTGCCTTGCCTTGCCTTGCCTTATTGCGGAGCTACCTCACCACACTTCATAACACAACACTACACCACACCATACCACACCAGTCTTGGAATCCCACTACACGTCCAACTACACGAGTCTATTTTGATCGATCCGTCCCGCAGTGCGACACATACCTCCCGCAATGTCCTCTCTCTTCGGCCAAACGCCCGCGCCTGCGACCGGCGGCGGCCTGTTCGGCCAGGCCGCTGCCGGTGCCGGTGCCGCGAAACCCAATCCCTTTGGCGGCGCTGCGACGGGTGGCGGTGGGATCTTTGGGGGCGCCGCTGCGCAGCCTCAGCAGCAGCAGGGTGCTACGACCGGAGGGCTGTTCGGTGGAGCGACGCAGACGCAGACGCCGGCTAGCGGTGGTGGACTTTTCGGGGGAGCGACGCAGACGGCGCCCGCTTCTGGGGGAGGATTGTTTGGCGGAGCGACGCAGACACAGACGCCCGCTGCCGGGGGTGGGTTGTTCGGGGGAGCGACGCAGACACAGACACCGGCTGCTGGGGGTGGGTTGTTCGGTGGTGCCGCCGCCGCCCAGAAACCAGCTGGCGGGGGCCTGTTTGGGAACTTGGGGCAGACGCAGCAGCCTCAGCAGCAACAGCAGACTGGGGGCTTGTTCGGACAGACGCAGACGCAGACGCCGCAGACTGGCGGTGGCTTGTTTGGGAACTTGGGCCAGACGCAGCAGCCGCAGACTGGAGGGGGCTTGTTTGCTGGCTCTCTGCTTGGGGGTCAGCAGCAGCAACAGCAGCAGCAGCAACAGCAACAGCAGCCGCCGCAACTGGGCCAGACTCAGACGCAGCCGCAATTGGGTCAGTCTATGTGGGAGCCGGGTCGTGCGGTGACTGGTGGTATGTTTTTGATTTGTTTCTTCTTTTCTGTTTGTGGCTGTCGAGCGGGATGTGGCTAATGGACTTGATAGTACACCGCACTGTGCCGATGCAGATTCAGATCGTCAAGGACAAGTGGGATGCCTCGAACCGCGCATCGCCGTTCCGCGCCTACCTTTATAACAATGTCGGGGAGGACACGGCGCCGTTCTACCAGCCCGGACCGGAGGACGACGACACGAAGTGGGAAGATGCGCTGCGGCAGCGCCCCGGGTCGGGATACGTGCCGGTGCTCGTCAAGGGCTTCTTCGAGCTGGGCAAGCGCGCGCAGCGCCAGAAGGACTTCCTGACCATGATGCAGACGCGTCTGCACGAGATCAACAACTGCCTGTCGGATCTGCTGTCTCGCCACGACCTGAAGATCTCCGTCAAGATCGCCGACTGTCGCCGGAAACACCTTGTCCTGAGCAAGCGGTGTCTGGCGCTGGCGGCGAAGACCCAGGTGCTCCGCAACCGGGGCTACGCGATGGACGACGCCGAGGAGGAGCTGAAGAAGAAGCTGAGCCAGCTGGAGCGGTCGGTGTTCGACCCGTCGCTGAGCGGCCGCGGCGAGGAGGTGTGGGCGCGCATGCTGGCCATCCGGGAGCACTCGCGGCGTCTACAGCAGGAGATGGAGCGGGTAGGCCCGAGTGCGGCGGCACAGGCGGACGACGAGCTGGACGAGCAGACTATGAAGACGGCGAAGAAGGTGCGTATTCAGCCTACTACTATCACCACTGTCGTGGCCTACGAGCTAACATGCCCAGATCCTGGACGACTACCACACGCAGATCCAGCACCTGCAAAAGGAACTGGCCGCGGTGAAGACGGACTTCGAGGAGGCGCAGAAGCTGCCCGGGGGCGGGAATCACTGAAACGGGTTTATGTTTGGGTTGTGCTGTTTGGAGCAAGGAGTTTCTAGGAGCTGGCTGGTACCCGCACGTTCTTGACCGTGGTTCATAGAGCATAAAAGTAACCGAGTGCCGGGACAGCGAGTCCTCATTTGTGATAACCTGCGGATGTAACAATATAATACATGATGCGATGCCTTCTTTCCTTCGTATACACCAACGTCTTGCCGGGTCGATTGTAGAATTTCTTGACGAGTCGATTACAGGAACTTCTTGACGAAGTCGATGGCGAAGGGAGCTTGAACCGTTAGCATACTTCGGCTTACAGGATGGGACGCACACGTACAGAGGTAGAGCAGGATACCGCCGGAGATGGCCATGCGGATGGTCTGGCTGGCCTCGATCTCACCGGCCTGAAAAGTCAGTATGATCATCGTCATGGGGACGGACGGGGAGCATTACCCTGATCTGCTCCTGGGAGAGCTGTTCCTGGCCTTGAATCATTAGCACATCGCGGATTCACAGACATTCCGGTTCAGGATCTCACCTGGGGCAAACATTGTGAGAGAGATGTGATGTGGTGAGGTGTGAAGGTCGGGGAGAATGGTGAAGGAAGCAGCTGAGGGCGCCGGTGACCAGCAAATGATGGAGGATCGATTCTGCCGCGCACGGACCAGCGCGGAGGCGGAAGGAATCTGCGTTGCTCGGCGCTGCTCTGCGGCGGTGGTACTTTGTTCTCGACCACTACTTATACCTCCTTCCACGCTCCTGGTCCTCTCCTTCCATCTTGATTCAAGTCGAGTCGTGCTGGCTGTGTGTGTGTGTGTTTCATCCATCCGAACACCCCGGGCGGAATTACTCTAGTCCACGAGTGTCGACCAAACGCTGCCATCGCCACCTCCCTCATCAGGAGGCTGAACCACCACCCAAACACATAACCAACCATCACAATGTCCGAACCCAACAGCCCCTCCGAAAACCCTCTCCCCGCCGAAGAAGTCGAAGAGACCCAAGCCCCGACCCCGGACGCCGCCGCAGAAGAACCCGCCGCCGCGGCCTCCAGCCCCGACGACAACGACAACAACTCGGACGATGAGTCTATCCTCTCGGAAGTTGACGAAGCGCAGTTCGATGACTTCGACCCGGAGAATGTCGACATCGAGGACCGGCCGCAGCTGGCCATCGACGAGGATAACCTGAAGCTGATCGGGCGGCACAAGCGCACGCGCGCGGAGGGCGATGACGACGAGCGGTCGAAAAGGAAGCGCGAGGGTCGGCGTGAGAAGAAGAGTCGGCGGATGCGCGAGCTGGAGGATGGTGGGGGCAGTGATGATGAGAAGGCCAGTCGGAGGAGGAAGAGGAAGGAGGCGTCGCCTCCGGATGAGGAGTTGTTGGATCCTGCTACGAGTATGATATCTATTTTCTGTCTATCTGATGGATAGATGTGGTGGCTGGGTTGGCGGCTAACTGTGTCTAGGACGGAGGAGAGCCCTGGATCGTGCGATGGACGAGGCGCTGAAGAAGCCCACGAAGAGACGGTTCCGCAAGGCGGACGGGATTGTATGTCTTCTGGCCCGAATATGAGATGAGGGAGAGTGCTAATTGTGTAGGACCTCGAGCAAATGGCCGATGCCGAAATCGAAGACATGCGCAAGCGCATGACCCACGCCGCGCAGATGGACGCCGTCAACCGCCGCGACGGCAAGCCCGCCATGCACAAGCTCAAGATGCTCCCCGAGGTGGTCTCGCTGCTGAACCGCAACCAGTACGTCAACAGCCTGGTCGACCCCGAGATCAACCTGCTGGAGGCGGTCAAGTTCTTCCTCGAGCCGCTGGACGACGGGTCGCTGCCGGCCTACAACATCCAGCGGGACCTGATGACCGCCCTGGGCAAGCTGCCGATCAACAAGGAGGCCCTGATCGCGAGCGGCATCGGCAAGGTGGTGGTGTTCTACACGCGCAGCAAGCGGCCTGAAGCCGGCATCAAGCGCATGGCGGAGCGACTGCTGGCCGAGTGGACGCGCCCGATCCTGCAGCGCAGCGACGACTACTCGAAGCGGGTGTACCAGGAGGCTGCCTTTGATCCTACGTATGTCTTGATCCCCCCCTGACTGACTGTGTACTATGACTGACTGAATATAAGTAAACTCACCGCGGCGCGCCCGCAGTCAGTGCATGTCACTGCGGCCGAGGCACGCGCGCGCGAACTGCTGCCGCCGCGCCTGGCCAACCGCGCCCGCGCCGACATCACGCACACGAGCTACACGGTGGTGCCGCGGCCGACGATGGTGCAGGAGAGCAAGTTTGCGCGACCGTTGGGAGCCAGCGGCGAGGATCGATTCCGGAAGATGCGCGCCCGACAGATCGCAGCGGCGAAGGGGTCCCGGCGTTGATTTTTTTTTTCTATCCTTTTTTTGCTGCTTATTTTGTGGCTGAGAATTTTTTCTTCTTGTATTTGTTATCATATCTCGGAAGTCGGCGAAGTCGGCGCCAGGGGACTGCTTGTATTATTGGATCATGCCATAGCGAATGGATGGGATTTATCGCACTAGATAAACGGCCGGGCGTTCTCGCGCGAGAATCGCTGTCAGCCATTGAGCATCTCCGGGCGGAATACGGCATGCTGGCCAGTAGCGCTGTCGCACCGTAGTTACTCCGTCAGGGTACCACTGCCGCACCCAGCGCTAGTTGCTCTGTAAGCCCGGACGGTGCTCGGCCCAGCCCTGCCGGGCAAACGCCGGGCAGCCGAGTCTCCGCCGCAGACCCCGTACGTCACTGCGGGCTTTGCTATAATAACCTCACTTTTCCGCTCGCTTTGCTGTCCTCCATTCCATCCACTTCACTCCCACTCTGAGCCACCACACTTGACTCTTCCTCAGTTATCACCTGAATCGCTAATCAGACTTGCCATTGTCAATTGATCCTTTCAACAACACCACTCCATCAACCCCCTCGAGCTCCATAATCATCCACCATGAAGATTCTCACCAAGGAAGAAGAAGATGCCCACTACCGGTACGTTTCCCCCACGTACCCCCTCAAAAAGCACACCCACCCCTCGCTCTCCCCCTCATGAATCCCCTCCCACCTCTCCCTCGCAACCAAACTAACCCGTCTCTCCCACAGAACCGTCGTCAAAGGCGGCACCATCGGCGGCATCCTGGGCCTAATCGGCGGCGCGGCGGGCGTCCTCGCCGCCAGCAAACGCTACCACACAATCCGCAACCTGACGCTACCGATGAAATCCTTCCTGGTGACGTCCTCGGGCACCTTCGTGGGAATCATCTCCGCCGACCACGCCTCGCGGGACTTCGAAGCGCAAAACAACGCCAAGCGCCAATGGTACGAGAACCGCGAAGAGCGGCTGCGGCAAGAAGAGCTCTCCAGCCTCTCCTTCACCGACCGCGCCATCATGTGGGCGCGTCGCGAGAAGTACAAGATCGTGGGTGTGACGTGGGTGGCCAGCATGGTGGGCAGCTTTGCGCTCGTCGGCCGGAATCCGTACCTCAGTGGGCCGCAGAAGATTGTCCAGGCGAGAGTTTATGCGCAGGGCCTGACGCTGGCGGTTTTGGTGGCGAGCGCGGGGTTTGAGATCTCCGAGAGGAGGAATAGGAGGAAGGGGCTTTTGGAGAAGGAGGGCGGTGTGAATGGGAAGGGGAAGGGGAAGGTCGAGGAGGTGAAGGAGAGTGGGGAGGGGCAGGGCGAGGGTAATGAGACGGGTGATTTGTGGAAGGATATGGTTGCCGCTGAGGAGGAGAGGTTGAGGAGTAGGAAGATGAGTCTCCATGAGAGTGATTATCATGGGAATCATGCGCATGTGGAGGAGAAGGAGAAGAAGACGGAGGAGAAGGAGGAGAAGAAGGAGGAGGAGGAAAAGAAGGAATAGGTGGTGGTTGTTGATGCTGCTTTGACGTGGTTAGGCGGGTCTTAACCACGTCGTTGGTTCTGTCTGTCTCTGTACTCTATTCCCTCTGGACATGATGTCTTTGTGTTAGTTAGACCATTGATTTCAAAAGTCATAATGATGATTGTTCTTATGCTTGGAGTGTCGATACTGAATATCTTGGGATGTTCGCTACTACTTACCATCTGATATACACTCAAGCTGATGTGGATGGTCTCACAGTCAGAGGACCAAGAGCCATTGGGCTAGAACGACCCTGCGGTAAAAATAGAATTAAGGTGTTCTAGATCAACCTAAATTAATGGTGCCTGATCTTATGCTCGTGCTGATATAGTAGCCACTTCTGTGATGTGATCTTGGATCATTGCCCCACCCTGGGTGTACAACCTTTTGGGACAGACCCAGATATTGATGACAAAAAAGCATCTCCATAGCATAAGATATCATACCCGAACAATAGACTCCAGCAATAATATCCCCCTGTCATGCCTCAGGGCTGAGGGGGTGACACGCGTCATGTGATGTTGACCTGATCGGTCATCCCTGCACGCGTTGGGTTCCCTTTCACTTTCCATCCTCCCTCTGTCTCTCGCTAACCTTATAAAAGATGAGGTTGGCTCTACTCTCCAGGGGATTATCCCCAATCCCTCGAATAAGGCCCATGAGACAGTTCCTCAGACGCCCATTCGCCTCGCTCAGGGAACCCCTTTCGTTCTCCCCGGGGCCCCTTCTCCCAAAAGAAAAGCTGATCGACGAAGAGGTCTATGCAGGCTACAATTCCAAGAGCTACTATCCAGCAAAGGCCGGAGAGGTTCTCGACAATCGCTATCAACTCGTCGTCAAAGTTGGCTGGGGCGTCTCCTCGACCGTATGGTTCGCTCTTGACATGCGAGGGTTATTTCTGCCGCGTCTGGGCGAGGTTCCCTGCTGACAGACTTAGATGCGAAGATGACCCGAGGCAGATCGTCGCATTGAAGATAGGCAACACCAAAGAGGGCAAGAATGAGTATGAGATCGAGGAGCACATCGCACAGGCAGACCCATCCGCCCGAGGCCTCGGTCTTCTCCGGACTTCGTCAGAGCGCTTCGAAATAACCGGCCCAGAGGGCACACACATATGTCTTGCATACGAGCCCATGAGGGAGCCATTCTGGCTCTTCCGCAGGCGCTTCGTAGGCGACAAGATTCCCCTCCCCGTCATAAAAGCATACGTGCGTCTTCTGCTCGAGGGCCTGGATTACCTGCATACCAAATGCATGGTTGCCCATACTGGTGCGTATCACAACCATGTTCTCCTCCTCCTCCCCTGTAACTGGAAGTGGTTTTGACACTGTATCTATAGACCTGAAGTTGGAGAATATTATGGTCGACTTCGAAGACCCAGACGTGCTTTTGGACTTCATGAGTACCCACCTGAACCAGCCCATGTCGTACAAAATCGACTCCACGGGCCGATCGGTCTATCGCCGCTGCAATGACTTCGGACCCCTGCGGGCAGTAAGCAACGCACCCCGGATCGTGGATTTCGGGCAGTCCGATAGATTCTACCAAGAGAACGAGCTGGGGATTTATCCCATTCAAGCGAACCACTATCGTGCACCGGAGGTTATCCTTGGCTGCGGGTGGAGGATGCCCGTTGATATCTGGAGCTTGGGGGCTCTCGTACGTAGTATACTCCAGTACTCACCCAGACAACTAACAAGAACTAGCTCTGGGATATAATCCACGGCGACGAACTATTCCGCCAAGTCCACGATTCCGAGTGTCGGTATACCGCCAACGCGCATCTCGCAGAAATGATAGCCTTGCTGGGCCCCCCTCCTCCCAAGATGATCACTCGATACCACTCAATGCGGGAGCTCAAGTGGCCCAAAGCTGCAACGTTCAATGGCCAGGGTCCACTTTGTCAGACTACAGAGGAGTGTTTCGGGGGCCCGTTCTTTGACGAAGATGGTAGGTATTTTGATCGTTACGTACGGAAAAGACGAGACGGTTTGGATTGCTGACGAGGAAGTAGGCAAGTTTTTGTATGAGGAGCTGATCCCGGATCGAAAGCTCGAAGACACGATAACTTTCCTGGAGGAGGAGGAGCGAGAGGGCTTCTTGTCGTTTGTCGGGAAGATGCTGGTTTGGCATCCGAGTGATAGAGCCACGGCGGCAGAGTTGATGGAGCATCCGTTTCTTGACGTGAAATAGTGTATGTATATGGCTGGGTGGTGATGCACGGTCTAGGGTCTGCATGGCTGGCGTGGACTGTGCTTGTATTATAGTGAACCTACATATCTCCTCTCCTTATATTGTTATTGTTGGCTTGAGTATAATTGTCAGAACAATGATCCTCAGTCACGACTTCTGTTGATTTTGTCAGCAGTGCCTGAGGTTAGCGCCCGGTAGTGATTGCCTGCGCGACGACCTTTTCCTCCCTCTTGATTTATCTTTTGCTCCTGCTACCTACACCTCTCCCTGCTTCTTCCCCCTCACGAGACAGTCAGCTAGCCATTCAACATGTCGTCAATCTAACAATCTTACAGACTTGTTTTCTTGCTGTACGCTCCATCCACACATTCAATAAAACCTATCCACACAGCTCAACCATTGGCCTGGGACATGCCACCACACATCCAGCGACAGGCTCGGAATGCACCCAGAAATCCCGAGTCTGTGCAAGGCTAAGGAGTAACCATAGAAGATTGCATTTGCCAAGAAGAACAGCCGGCCTGCTGATATCGCATCTTCCACAAAATGATAGGACAAGACCTGGTGCCACAGCACTAATTGACGGCGGCCGCCGGCACCGACGCTCTTGTGCGAGGCAGGCGGCTGGACATGGTATCGATGGTCGGTATGTATATATGGACCCAGATGTAAAGAAGGAGGCTTGGAGCTTATGGTACCGCCCTGTTTGTTGCGAGTATATTCTCAATGGGAGACTGAGTGGGAGGTTCTGTGAGAAGACCAAGAATGGTCTTCTGAGCAGGGGATTCAGGCCAAAATATTACAGTCAGAAAGGCCTGCAACACAACAATGGCGGCATTTACGTCGAGCGACCCTGTGGTAACAGTCCTCTCCCGGCAAGCAAACCTGATTGTCACACAATGTCGATCGAGGTGAGTCTTATAAAGACAGCATCGATCCCGGCACCCTCACCATGCCAGCAGAGAAACAAGCGCGGAAAGATGATACTCATTACTGCCTGTGTAACTTCCCTTCTCTATCCTGTCGCACTCGCCATCTATCGCCTCTTCTTCCACCCTCTGCGGAATTTCCCCGGTTCCAAACTAGCAGCAGCCACACGGCTTCACGAGTTTTACTACAATGTTGTCAAAGATGGCCAATTTGTATGGGAGATTGAGCGTATGCATCAGAAATACGGTGAGGCATCTTCCCATAATTACCGGAGGCAGTGGAATGCCAACCTCACCGTTCAGGCCCAATCATCCGCATCAACCCTGACGAGCTCCATATCAATGACCCGTTCTTCTACAATGAAATATACGCAGCCCCCTCCAGCAGGCGCGAAAAGTACCACGAATTCTCCAAAGGAATCGTTCTGCCGCTGTCAATAGTCACGACAATCGACCATGACCTTCACACTTTGCGGAGGAAAGCTCTCTCCAACTTTTTCTCCAGACAATCCATCCGGCGCATGGAGCCTCTAATCCAGGACAAGGTGGTCCAACTGATACAGAAGCTTGCAGATGCCCACAAGGAAGGCCATGAGGCGGATCTGAGCCTGATCTTCTATGCACTGACGATCGATACCATCTCCCACTATGCGTATGGTACGAACTACCAAACCCTGGACAAGACGGACTACGAGAAACAGATCCGCGAGGCTCTCATCACCGGGACATCCATGTTTCACCTGATGCGGTTCCTCCCCATTGATACATTGTGGGTGACGAAGGTGCCCCAGGGTCTTCTCGAGTGGATATCCCCCGCCGCAGCGTTCGTGATGGCTTTCAAGAAGAACATCCGTGCTCAGGCGATTGAAGCGTTGGGTGGTGTGAAGAAGCCGGACACCGAGACTGTCTTCACGGCCCTGATGAGCCCTGAGCTCCCTGGGGCGGAGAGATGCGTAGAACGTCTGGAGGATGAGGGATCTGTGCTTCTTCAGGCTGGAAGCGAGACGACGGGACAGGCTTTGAGCGTGACAATCTTCTATATCCTTCGGGATCGAGAGATCCTGTGTCGGGCCAAGAAAGAACTGACGGGGGTGATGCCCACGCCGGAGAGTCGGCCTACCGTGGCGGAGCTGCAGTCGCTGCCTTACTTTGTCTGTTTTTGTCCTTCTGTCTCCTAGTCGTACCGCGCACAGCTGACACCGACAGAGCGCCGTGATCAACGAAGGCTTCCGCCTGTCTTTCGGCATGCTATCGCGTCTTCCGCGCGTGGCGCCAAACGAAGTCCTGAGGTACAAGGAGTGGGATATCCCGGCGGGGGTATGCACCCAGCCCATGATCTTATGATGTCTACTAATAGAAATAGACACCCGTCAGCGAATCCAACCACCTCATCCACACCAACCCGGATCTCTTCCCCAACCCGCGCTCGTTTGATCCGGAGCGATGGATCCGAGCCGGCGATGGACGGAAGTATCTGGAATCGATGCTGACAAACTTCAGCAAGGGGCGTCGACAGTGCTTGGGTATATAGTATGTGATGCTAGCTGTGGTTATTCCTGCTCAGAAGATGCTAATCTATCTTATTTGCAGCCTGGCACAGGCAGAGGTGTATATTACCATCGCGCATCTGGTCCGCTGGGTGGATATGCGGCTGCTGGATAGTCGGTTGGAGTGCATTGAGCCGTGGCGCGATCGACTGATTATTCTTCCCAAGGCGGGACATTATAGTGTTAAGGTGGTGGTGGATGGGGTGGAGATGTGATCTGCCTATCCGAGTGTAAACATCTGGGGTTGATATTGCGTTTCATTATCAAATGGTAGATAGTAAATGCATGTGGGTCGGTTATTGGTCCCTGGTATGCTTTCTTTCCAGTCCTGAGAATTGATATGAAGTATTCCCTAGACATATTCCATGACGATATACAGGGTGTTCTGCGGTACATGGCGTAGAGTCGTGGCGCTGCGATGTTGAGCTGTTCTTCAACTAAAACCAGAGCCTTTCCCTCATTTTCGGTCACAGGCGGGCCATATTTCACAATATTTGTCTTTGATTATGTACGACCAGGCGCCCACCATAGTTTGATCTCTTGGGGAGGGTCAATCTCATTCTGATCAGGAAGAGGCTTTGATATAAGAAAACATCACTAATTGAATCATGAATATTGATGATGATTATTCTCTATGAATTTATTGTAAGTGTAGGTAAGATTATATTTCTATTAAATATATTTCAGGTATATAACTCAGAATTAATAATCCTTGCTAGCATCCTAATTAAGTAAGCACTAAGCAGTTCACTTAACTAGTTAGTTATATACTAGTATTTAACCACCACCTCGTCCTTTGTAACAACTAATTAAGTAACAACCCCAAACCTCCACCCACTGCATTCCCACGATGTTCCTCACCCTTCTGCTCCCCTCCCTCGTCCTCGTCGCTCTCATCTACAAACACCTCTGGCACCCCTACTTCCTCTCGCCCCTCTCCGCCATCCCCAACGCCCACCCCACCTCCCCCCTCAGCTCGCGATGGATCACCCTCCGACGGCATCACACGCAAGACATCCACGCCATCTCCGCCGCCCACCGCCAACGCGGCCCGATCGTGCGCCTCGCCCCCAACGAACTGAGCGTGAACTCCCTCGCCGGCCTGCGCACCATCTACACCGGCGCCTTCGAGAAAGACGCCTTCTACAGCGCCGCCTTCATCAACTTCCACACCCCGAACCTCGTCGGCATGCTGCACAACCCACCACACGCGCGTCAGAAACGCATGCTCAGCAACATCTACGCCAACTCGCATCTCCAGAACTCACGTCCCATGCGGGTGCTCTCGTCGCATATCCTGTGGAAGCGATTGTTTCCTATTCTGGAGGGCTCGGCGGACGCGGGGGAGGCTGTTAATGTCTTGCCGCTGTTTCAGGCCGTCGGGATGGATTTCACCTCGGCGTTTTTGTTCGGGTTGAGGGGTGCGACGAGGTTCGTTTTGAAGGAGAGGGAGGAGTGGGCGACCTGGCTGGATGAGTATGAGAGGTTCAAGGTTTTGTCGAGAGAGGAAAGGTATCTGGGGTTTGTGGAGCGGTGGTGTTTGGATCTGTGTGCGAAGGTTCAGAGGACGACTCCTAGTATGCAGGAACGCCTCCCGGCTACGGAGCCGGTCGTGTTCAATCAGCTGAAGTCGTGTTTGGAGAAGTCCCCGGATGGAAGACCGCTCGATCTGGCGATTGCATCGGAGCTTCTGGATCATCTTGTGGCGGGCCATGAGACGACGGGGATCACCTTCACATATATTATGTGGGAGATGTCGCAGCGGCCGGGGTTGCAGGCGAAGTTGCGGGACGAACTTGACTGCTTGTCGGTGTCGCTACGGTATGATGAGGCTAAGAAAGTGCCGGAGACAGAGGGTGAGATCCCCCCGCTGTCGGAGATTGATCGTCTTCCGCTTCTCGATGCTATTGTCCGCGAAACGCTCCGCTTGCATGCTCCTGCTCCGGCGCCTTTGCCGCGCGTCACGCCCCCAGAAGGCACATGGCTACATGGGTATCAGATCCCCGGTGGCGTGAAGGTGAGTTCGTCTGCGTACTCGCTGCATCGCATTGAGGAGGTATTTCCCGCGCCAGAGGAGTGGATGCCGGCGAGGTGGGTGGATGTCGAGGAGGGGAAGATCCACGACATGCGGAGGCTGTTCTGGGCGTTTGGGAATGGAGGGCGGATGTGTCTGGGGAGCAATTTTGCGCTCTTGGGTGGGTTTTCTTTCGATCCGGGTGTGTTTATGCTAATTGGAGTAGAGATCAAGTTGGTTGTGGCAGCGCTGTATGCGAATTTCACCACCGTTGTGGTCGAGCATGGGGACATGGAGCAGGACATGGCGTTTATCTCGTTGCCCAAGGGGAGGAGGTTGCTGGTGAGGTTTGATAGAGTATGAGCATGAGGGTAAGTAGATTGGTTCAAACCTCTGCAGCGAACGGGGATATTCATAGTCCCCTACGGTCTCACAGCCACCCTCATCATCGCCAATCGATCCCTCGCCTCATCAGAATGGTTATACACGTCTCCGTTGAACTCATATGTGACATCGCCTTTGATATAAAGCTCCGGCAGTCGTTCACCACCCGGATGTTCCTTCATGAACTCGCCAACGTCATACACAAATCGACTCTCGATATTCAATTTCCTCTGGCCGCGGGAAAACTGCTCACTGCTCATTCTCATCAATCCCTCTTCTTTCATCCCTCAATCCAAGTTCCTCCTCCTCCTCTCCAATTCCTTTGTCTCCATCTGCACTCTTCTCTTCTCGACCCCCTCCCAGTGTACCCTCTTCAACCCCCCCGCCATCCCGACCACCATCCACCCAAAGATCATCCACTTGGTGACGTCCACCTGCCACCACTCCACCCCACACCGATAGTCTCCCGGAAACTCATGGTGGAAATTATGATACCCTTCCCCCAGTGTCACCACCGCCACCCAGCCCGAGTTCCTCGCAGACCGTCTATCCCCATACGGCTGGCCCCCGACCCAATGCGCCAACGGGTTCACGCTAAACGTGGCCTGCTGCACGAAGAACGCGCGGAGGATACCTGCGTCCAGAACACCGCCTTTCCAATCTCCCCAACCAAGCCCCGCAACAAAGGCGGGGAAAATCCAGCCCATGAACAATGAAAGAGCTCGATAGTATTGGTCCTGAGTGTCGAGGACCGAGTCCTCCGCGAGGTCAGACATCTCGATAGGATAACGAGGCGGGGGGATCTCTCCTTGATCCCGCTCGAGAATCAGCCAGAGAATATGCGCGTGTCAGAACCCCTGCTTGATATTATAGGGATCATACACGGGGTATCCGTATATCGGTGGTGAGCGCGGTGATCCCGCACCCAGCTCCTGATACTACCTTGCATGGCGCCAGCACCGAAGACGGCTAGAAACCATTGTAGGGGCTTGCTGGCGTTATAGCTGCGGTGCGACCAGAGGCGGTGGTACCCTGGACTGTCAGCTTCACTTGAAGATTGTATAGTAGACGGTGAGTCCGTAGAAGAGTACGAAAGAGCAAGGAGGCGAAGGGAAAGATACCGGCGGTAATGCAAAGCATGGTGATGAAATAGTAACCGAGAGACCAGAGGAGCGTGTAACAGCGGAGAGGGATTTTTGGGATTTCGTGAGCAGCATCAAGAGGGATGAGGAGGAGGATGGTCAGATTGAACCAGTTGATACGAGGACGTAGTAGGCCCAGGAGGGCCAGGAGGTGTTGCAGGGGGTGCAGGAGTTCTTCCATGTGTTTTGCTGGTTGGGCGGGCATTTTGGCAAAGCTGTCCGGGATTAAGAAAAGAAGCTGTTGGGGGGGTGAGGGGACTGATAGGGAGGACTGGCGGTATCATGATATATAAATTCATGGAGATGGAAGAGCATCGCCAGAAAAACGTTGCATCATCATGAATAGTTACATTCGAGGATTTATATATCTCCCCCGTCACCCACTCACTCACTAACTCATCACTCACCCACTCTACAACATCCCTTCCTTCCGTCCATACTGAGTATCTCTGGAATAACCCCACCGCCCTCTCATGGCTTTGATCCCTACAGAGAAAAAAAAAAAATACGTCCGCCAGAACTCGCGCGCCGCACTATATATAGCGTAGCATCAGGCATTCCTTCCATTCACTCCCTATCCTTACCATCAACATCACTCACAAGTACCGACATATTCAAATCAAAGAGGCAAATACCCCGTCGTCTCCCAGGCAATGATCCCATCCCATCCCATCCCATCCCAGTTAGACGTCTGTTCGGCACCATGATATTCCCATTAGTGAGATTTCCGTGCGTGAAGTGGAGGTGGTTGTGGGTTTGGGGGGAGGGGAGGGGGTTGGATGATTATGATGGTAGTGATGATGGGGAGGAGATGTTGGATTGGGGATATGGGTTAACATGGCACCGCCTGGGGTGTTGGAGTTGAGGCCTTGTCTGGCAGGCACTAATTTGTTGCCTAAAGTCCAATGACTGCAGCGGGCGATGGAAACAATCAATCAATTGAGTAATACATCTTCTTCTACCTTTCACTACTCACTACTCACAACTCCTCCTCCCCCTCATCAAACCCAACCACAACAATACAAACAGAGACCCTTCTGTCTAAAAGAATGTCAAGACACCCTTTAATCCAGAGAGAGGTATAGCTCCTGCCTCAGCGGACGGTCAGACATCATCGCCGCACCGCAAAGTCCCGAGCGTGCGCACCCCCCGACTTCGACAGCAGCGCCTTCAACACGGATCCCATCTCCGCCAGTGCCTGCGCGGCAGTGGAAGGAGCAGGAAGAATCTCCGACGAGGACGCAGACGAGGACGCAGACTCAGCCGGCACGCTGGATCCGACGGCGATCACCGCCGAGGTGGCAGCCTGCGTGGCCGAGGAGACGGATGAGGTGGTAGTGGCGGCCTCGGCAGCAGCAGTGGACGCAGACACAGCGATTTGAGTGGGGAGGACGGCGGAGGTGGTCGTCTCAGCAGCAGCAGCAGCAGCAGCAGCAGTGGTGGTCTCGACAGCGGCAGCTTCACTGGTAGTCGTCGCAGCAGCAGTGGTCTCAACAGCCGCTGCACTCGTCGTCGCAGCCGCAGCCGCAGCAGTAGTGGTCTCATTCTCCGAGCTCGACGACCCATCCCCAATGCTAGTGGTCAACTCCCCCTCCTCGACATAAACACCACTCCAGAACCAATCCTCCGCCGCAGCATCATTCGCCCCACTGCCAGGCAACCTGAGGACACCGACGTGCCAATCCTCCGAGTTCGACGACACCGACGCACTAACCGGGCTCACAACCTCCGTCAACGCCTCCGACCCATTCGACGCCCAAAGACCCACCGTCTTCGCACTGAAATCAATATCATACGCAAAGTTGTACCAGTTGCCGGCCTCCAGCTGCACAGACCATTGGGTGTCTCCCGCAGCGTTCCAGCGGAGGGTGTTGTCCGAGGTGCCCGAGGCGCCGTCCACCAGGCCGTACTGGATCTCGGTGAAGTGACTCTCGAAGAAGGCAATTTGGTGCTCGAAGGAGGCGTTGGGCGGGTTGGTGGTTTTGGTCGAGAGGGAGAAGTGGTAGTAAAGGTGGCCGGAGCCCAGGTCGGCGGTGGTTTGGGGGATGAGTTCCGTGCGCTCCATGGTTTGGCCTTCCCAGAAGGAGGTTCCGTCCTGGTATTGTGGTTAGTGAGGGGGCATGGAAGGGAGGATAGGGATAGGGGAGGATTACAATGGTGGTTCGCAGACCCTGGGCATCGCTGGCGGCCGGGTTCTTGAACGAGCTCGACAGCCCCAGGTACTCGGATGTGTTGGCGGTGCCGTGGATGTACCATTGCCACGGCTCGATCTGGTTCGACCAGGACCCTGCAGTCGGTTAGCCAACTGCTAACTACCTTGGACTGACTGAACAGAGACGAGGGGAAGTACATTCGTCCAACTCAGCCACAGTGGCCGAGGAGTTGAAGATGCCGCTCCACCGCACGGTTCCAGCCAGCGCGGAAGCAGGCAGCGCAAGAAGCGAAAGAGAGGACTTCATCGTGAAAAAGAGCGAATATGAATTTGAAAATGAAGGAAAGAATGAAAATGTGACCGGCACAGTTGCAGAACAAACGAAACGAAAAATCAACCGACACTGCTGGGCCAGCCCTCCATATATAGACCAGACCAGTCCCTCCGGGCGGGTAAGTGAGAGATAGATTGCGGAGCGGGTGCTGAAACAAGCCATCGTTGCCCACCCACTCGGCCGTTTCAGGGCCCGACCGTTTGATTAAGCTTGTTTCATTTTGACATCAGGGTCTCTCGGGTCTCGGTGACAAGTGACAGGCCATTGCTTGATCCGGGCGCTACGTGAAATAAATTGGAGAGGGGGAAAGTTTTCATTCATGGCTGAAACACTAACATGACAACATGACAACATGATTATTGATTGATCCTGGGATAGGGAGATATATCCTACAGCGCCAGCACGGCCTCCTTCAGCTTAGCGAAGTTGGGAGTTCCTAGACCGGTGGCCGGATCCCAGCCAACGGTGGCATTCCAGCTGGCCCAAGGGATCACACCACCACCCTCAACCTCACCGGCCTCGCACCCGACCGTCTCGCCGGCCGTGATGTCGTTCAGGCTCTTGTAGCCGCTCGAGTACAGCCACGGGTTCAGGAAGCCCAGGGTCGACTTGCCCGCGCGCAGACGGGCGTCGTTGAGCAGCGCGATCACGCCCGCAAACGCAGGGCTGGCGCCAGACGTACCGGCCACGAGGGTCAGCTCGCCGTCGATGTAGGTTTCGAAGCTGATCAGTCGGTCAGTATGCACAATAACCACACGCAAACACCCACACGCACAGAGAGAGAGAGAGAGAGAGAGAGAACATACTAAGGAGAGCCCGCAAAGGCAGCAATATCCGGGAACGCCCGGCCGCTGAAGTTGGTGTACTGCGTGTAGTACTCCTTGGTGGCCTCGGAGATGTACTTGTCGAGGTAGGTCTCGACCTGCTCCGACTGGTAGGCCGGACGGGCAAAGTAGTTGCTGAAGCCGCCCGAGCTGTCCACCCACGCGATCTCAGGCACGTCCTGGGTGCCGCCCACCGCGGTGATGTAGGGGCAGCCGCCGGGGAAGGTAGGGGTGAATTCGACCTTGTTGCTGCCATCGTTCGAGAGGCAGGCGGCGCCGACACCTGGTCGATTGGTTAGCTTGGTTGTCATGCAGAGTGGGGTTCCCGAGTGCTCATCCGGAGAAGAAGAGGGGAGACATACCAGAGTCACCGGACGATTCAAGGACCGAGATACCGCGCACACCCATCAGACCGATGAGGTTGCAGACGTGGGTGGCATAGGCGAAGGGGACGGTCTGGCAGGTCAGTAATGCACACATACGAAGAAAGAGGAGAAGAAACATACATCCTCGTCATCACCGTACGAGTTGCTGATGACCTGGGGCAGCTCGGCGTTGGTCTTGGCCAGCAGGTACTCGTAGTACTGAAGGTAGGGCTCGTTCTCGTCCGTGGGGGTCTCGACATCGGGGATGAACGGGCTGATCGGTCAGTATTCTCTTGCTTGAAGCCGATTTGATTGATTCGGGAGAAGATAGGAAGAAGACATACGGAGATCCACCCGTGATGAATTCGGTCACAGGCAAGGGGTGGGAGATTCCCACGATGTTCTCGACATCCAGATCGGCCTCACCATCAGGGTCGTCCTGCTGGTTGTTGATACCACCGTTGATGGTCTCGACGGTGAAGTTCTGCTGGGGGATACCGAAGTACTGGGTGAACTGATCCAAATCCGAGTACAGGGCGGACTCGTTCAGGAAGCTGCCGAAGCCGACGCGGCTGCCGGACGAGGCCTCGGGGGTGTAGTCGATGCTGTACTGCTCCTTCATGCAGTCGGGAGTGATGTACTCGCAGACATCGCCGCCCTTCTTGCTGCTAGCGCTCTGGACGGTCTGCGCGGCGCGCACGGCGGCGGACCGCGCGGCGTTGGACTTTCCGAAGAAGACGGTGGGCGCGATCAGCTCGATGCTGCCCGTCAAGTTGCTGGGCACGGAGTACTGCGTCGTGCGCACCTTCTGGGTCGATCCGCTCTTGTACACGGAGAAGGTAGTCTCGAGCAGCGAGTTGGCCGTCTCGACCGTGGTCGCGAAGTTGATCAGCCCTCCTTCGCGCGTGATGTGCGTGACGCCCGCGTTCTTGAGCCACGAGACCACCGCCGCATCATCCGCCAGAGGGAACTGCTCGTTGACCTCGTCCAGGTCCAGGTACTGTCCGTACGTGTCCTTTCCGGGAGTGGACACGGCCAGCAGCTTGGTCTCCAGCTGGTCGATGTTCTGGCGTGCCAGAGCAATGGACAGCGTGATGGTCGAGCTGGAGTCGGCCGTCTGGACCAGGGACCAGTCGCTGGGCACGGCCTTGATGGTCTCCAAGACCACGCCGCCCAGGGCAGGGGCAGCAAAGGCCAGGAAGCCGGCGGAAACTTTGGAGAAAGCGACCATGATGGAGTTGAGGGTGGGTGGACGGACAGCAGCCTGGACAGCAGCAGGACCGGGCGACGGAGCTCCTTGTTATAGCCGTGTCGGTGATCAAGCCATGGCCTGTGATGATGTTAGTCCGACGGACGACGGGGGACGTCCGACCGGTGTATATTAAGCTGCGTCCGGGGAATCTGCAGGCTCGTCATGCATGCAGGAACCGGCCCGCTGCAAGTCACATCCCATCCCATCACATCCCATCACATCCGAGAAGCGCCTCGCGTAGTGATCTCGCCGTCGCAGTCCCGATTGGTCAACATTGAATCGACACAGAACAGTCTCCCATGTGCTGGATGCGTGTATTGTCCTCTCTCCTCTGGACAGAGCAGCAGATCGACAACAAAAAAGAGTATTCGCTGCGTTCCTGCAGCGCAAGCATGGACCTCGGATCCCCGGAGACCCGGCGGAGTCCGCTAATCGCATCATCGGGTCGGGGCGTTTGATTGCAATCTGCAGGAAAAGCAACTAATCCGGCTAGTCATTCGGCAGGCAGCAGCAGCTTATCAGTGGGATGAGGGGCTCGGCAGGCTCGGGATGGTGGTATCTCTCTATCTATCGAGTGGGTTGACGTTGGGAATGAGGATGCGAAAAGAATGAGTGGTGGAATGACGAGCGATGAACAAACACAAAACACCATCTGCGAGAAACTCACGCAACGGATGGCCGATGTTACCCTACCAATGACACCACCGGTTAATTCCAAGGCATTCATCAATCATTAATTACCTCGTCCACCATGCACTCAGTGCGCTTTCATTCCTGTTACTAATGTCTAATCCAGCAATGAGCAATTTGGTGCGGGTGCAGCCCCAACAAGACCATCCACCTCCTCACCGTCTCTCTGTCTCGTTTCCGTCTCCACAATCGAGACAAGAAATCCGGCTTCCTCCGCATGCTCCGCGAAATTGATGTCTCCGCCCGGACCATCCGTCCGTCGGACATCGGGCGTCGAGATGGCGCTCCGTTCGCTTGTTTGCTAGGCCTGTCGCGCACAAATTGCGTGATGCAGGTCGACGCTCTCTGAGAGGGGGCTCGCGAAGTCACCGGGTGTGCGCGACGAAGCCTACGCCGTGTCGCTGGCTCGTGAAGAGCTGCGAGGGCCGGGCTTGGTGGGCGAGAAGAGGCTTCAGGGTAACTCGGTAGGTGCTAATTTTGTTGGTGAAGGCGGTGGTGGTGGCGGTGGGCATGATGTGATGGCTTGGAGTAGTGACCTGCCAGACCGGGGTTGCCGAGATATGTTCCTTCTCAATCGAGGGTTTTTATCTTTGACGCCGAGGAAATGCATGGCCGAAGACTGGTAAGTAGATAGATGGAGGAGCGGCTTTGGTGCTGTTTAGAAGGGAGGGGACTGTGTTGAATAATTATTCTTATACTGATGGTAGCAATGCTGCCTTTGACATTTTGGGTACATACCGGATCTATCTCTGGAGCGGAATACAAGCCATCAAACAACACCCAGAATTGGAAAAGGAGAACAGATAAAGAACGAGATATCTGGAACAACCCACTTCCTAATTACAATACCCTACTCCCCACCAACTTCAATCGACTGGAACCAAGAAATGGAAGACTACAGATGAACAATACCGGCTCCCTCATCACTCATCACTTATAACCGGACCGGCTCCCTCCTCATCAAACAAACCCTCTCCCTCTCCCTCTCCCTCTCCCTTCCTGTGGTATCTATATCCACATCCATATCGCCAAAACCCACCTCCACCTCCCCCACAACACCCCACCCCAACCGCTCATACAGCCCCCTCCCCTCCCGCGACGCCTCCAGATATATCCCCCGTCCGGCGGCATCCGCCCTCTCCATTCCCCACCGCAGCATCGTCGTCCCGATGCCGTGGCCTTGGTGGGCGGGATGCGTGCAGAGGAGGTCGAGGACTGTTTGTTTTTATTCATTGGGTATGGTTAGTATTTCATATCGACGTGGTGATCCCACTCCCTCATTTTGGGGTAAGTATCGTCAGGGGGAGGGGGAAATAATTGAGAGAAGGGAATATATAAGGGAAGAATAAAATAAGGAAGGAGGGGTGGGAAAGGGAAAGGCAAAGGAAAGGGAAAGGGGGACTACCTATATCTCCCTCCCCGACCCATTTCTCCCGCCCGGGTTTCATGGCATTCGCGAAAGACGTAATCACAGCTTCGTTGCGGGGCATGGATGATACCGCTGGGGGTGGGGTTGCGAGGAGGGCTGCTGTTGCGGGGGATGGATTTATCTTGGTGTTGGTGTTGGAATTAGGGCTGGAAGTTGATGTCTCTTTCTCACTCCCAGACCCAGAAACAGAACCAGAAAGACCCATCCAGCGAACAAGAGCGAGAATCTCCCCCTCCGAGACGTTATTTGTATCTTTATCTGAATATTGATCTGTAGAACTGGAGAAAGCCGTAGCGACAAGCGTCGTGATATTCGGATCCGCGAGGGCCTGCAGCGCGCGCTGGTGCAGGTATGCCGTGCGGGATGCCAGGGTGGAGCCGGGGAAGGCGTGCGCGAGAAAGGCGCTGTTGGTGAAGGCGAGGGCATGGAGGGCGCCTAGGGCGGGGGCGTCGCTTTCGAGGGCGGGGCGGATGTGGATGGGTATTCGGGACATGGTTGACTTGGGGATACCTAGATAGTAGTAGAGTGATAGAAATAAAGTTGAAAAGGAGGGAGTGGTGAGGATGAGGATCAGGATGAGGATGGATCAACGGAGGGGGACGGAGATCCGGTCGTTATCGGATGGGGAGAGAATACGGGTTATGTTAGTCGGTTGGATTCTTAGCCTGCCTAGCGGGAGGGAGCGGAGCGGAATCGGATGGATGGGGGTTAAAGTATCAAAAGTTAGAATACCAAACCCAAAAAAACACTAACTAATTAACCCTAACTTAAAATATCAACCAACCCAACATACTATAACCAATTGAGAATCCTCCTTCCACCAGCCAACAAACTACCAACGACCAGACCAGACCAACATCAACAATCCTTCCAACCACAACCACAACCCTCACCACCCAACCAGACACAACATCTACCAAAACCCCTGAATCCCCGTCCCTCTCCACGCAATCTCCTTGGTCAGATCCTTCTTCAACTTCTCGAAACAAGCATCAAAGCTCCCACTCGTATCCACCTAAACCCACCACATCACATCTCATTCACATCAGCACACTCCACCCACAGAAGCCCGATCAAACCAGACCAGACTACACCACACCACACCACACCACACCGGATCGGATCGGATCGGATCCACTCACCCTCACCAACACCCCCATCCGAAGATAATGCTGCAAAATCAGCTTATTCTCCTTCGCGAACTGCGCGCCACGAACACCGAACGCCTTCTCATCATCGACCCGGCCCTCCACATCTCTGCTCAGGAATCGCTGTCGCGCGATATCCTTGGGACAGTCGAAGTAGAGGACTAGGTCGGGGGTGCCCATCTACAAATCAAACCAAACCAGAATTAATATCTCACTTGCATATAAGAAGAAGAAGAAGAAGAAGAAGAAGAAGAAGAAGAAGAAGAGAGAGGTAGGGGAAGGGGGATATACCACAGCCTCCATAGGAGCGATCTGCTCCATGCTGCGCGGGAGTCCATCAAGCAGAACATTCCGATTATCGTTGCGGGGGAAGCCGCGGGCCACGTCCTCGAGAATCGGGATGAGGTCCTTGATCTCCACGAGATTCTTCTCGCGGATGGCTTGCACGACGTGCGGCTGTAGCTTGGTGGGGTCGGCGCGGGCACGCTCACGAAGGATGTCGCCGATGGGGAGGTGGTGGTGGCCGCATTCGTGGGATATTTTGGCGCACAGGGAGGTTTTGCCTGATCCGGGGGCGCCTGGGGGTGGGGGGAATGGGGAAGTGGGTTAGTATGATGGTGGGGATGTTGGGAGGGGACGTGGACTGGGACTGAGACTTGCCGATGACGAAGACCTTGAAGGTGGCCATGGTGGTGATATCTGGGCTGTGTGGATGTCGGTGTTGGCGTGGGAACTTGTGGATGATGGTTGATGGTTGAGAGCTGGGGAAGGAGGGGAGGAAGTGGGAGAGAGGGAGGGGGTGGAGGGTCTATCTATATATGCCTGCTTCCATCTTGTGAATGTAAAAAGCGGCTATGTACGGAAATGAGGGCTTATAACTGTAGCCATGGAAAGGAGCCACTAGTAGGGATGATGCAAAGAATAATGCGGGACGATAAAAGGAGTGCAAGACGATGCAATGTATTGCGAAGTGATGCTATTCACCATTAGGGCAATACAACCGCAGCCCCAACTCATTCCCTCTACCTTCCTAATTCCCACCACCCACAACCATATCCTTTATTACTATCTTCTATCAACCAACTCCTTCTTCCAAGTCAACCCTCCTCCCAAATCAACTCTCCCTCCAAATCAACCCTCTTTCTAAACCCCAAAACCATGTACCTCGAAGTCGAACGCAAATTCGCCCATCTAACCACCTACCCCCACCCCCTGCACCTCATCACCACCACCACCGGTACACCCCCTTCCTTACCCTCCACTACACCGGCCGCAAAACCTTCCACGACACCTACTACGACCTCCACAATCTTCTCTCCTCACACGGCATCTGGGTTCGCCAGCGAAACGGCCTCTGGCAAGCCAAGATCCGGCGCGGGGGGGACTTCATCAACTCGCGATTCGAGGAGCTATCTATCCCAGACCAGATTGCGCACTATGTTGCCCAGGTCACAGGAAGCAGGAAGACAGAGAGGGAGAGCTTTGGACTGAAGAAGATGGCGGCGTTTGGGACAGTGAGGGAGTCGTGGTTGGCAGATGGCGAGTTTGGGATCGTGCAGGATGTGACGGATTTTGGACATATGGTGGGGGAGGTGGAGGTGGAGTGGGAATCTGAGGGGTGTAAGGATGGGGAGGAGAGGATGAAGGCGAAGATGGAAGAGATGGATGCCAGGATTGCGGCGTTTATGGGGAGGTATTCGTGGGCGTTTTACATGGGGGTGCCGAAGGGGAAGTTGATGGCTTATCTTGAGAGAGTGGGGGGATGATTTTGTTTCTTTTTGTTCTGTGTTGAGTATTGAAAAAAAAAAAAAAGAAAGAAAGAAAAAGAAAATGGAGTCTTTCTAGGTCTATTGTTGAATGGGCAATGGGGTTATGTAGATATGTAGGTCCCATGAAAGGATGGAAGCCCTAATAACCCACGTGACCGTGTTCTGTCGAATTATCCTGTTTTTTTTAAAAGTAAAACGGCATCCGATATCCATTGTCTGAGACACCCTCGCATCCTCTCTTGCCCTGCCGCCTTGGTCTATTCAAATCGTGGGGATTGGATGGGTGGAGCGCGGGGAGGGGAGGAGAGTGAGGATATCCTATTTTATGAATTTTGCGGGGACGTAATATATCAAGAACGACAAGGAGCTAGATAGGGCTGGTAAGTACTCGACTATGTTTAGTTACTACTTAAGCTGTTTTGGTAAGTGGTGAAGATAGATATTAGCACTAAATAGCAGTGGAGCGAGCCGGGACTAAACCAAGGATTCAATACCCAGGAGATAGTATATATCCTAGGTCATCTGGTCGAACCTCACCTGATCCTGTCCAATTCCCAATCTTGCGTATTGGGTAGCCTTTTAAGGAAATTACGGTGGCGATGTCTATATTCACCATCCAAGTCACGGTGATTGACAACCAAAATAGGCTACCCACTCTTCGTGTCTAAGGATCGTTGTTTGACGGTGTCAACTCAACTAATTTTCCCTCTTCCATTTTTGATGATTTAGCAAGGTGGACCTTTTTGGAGGACGAAATTTGCGGTTTATACCAATGGATTGAGTGAGACATAGGATTAGCCGTGGCGGGCTACTGTTGATGGACAGACATTTGGACCTATGCATGACCTCCAGATGAGGTAGATATCTGTATTCGGGGCAGAGGTAGATCATATCCCGGTAAGCAGCGAGGTCCTACCATACCAAGCCGTCCTTTTCCCGACGGGGCTTGTTCATCAACTTCCTCGTCCGATTCTCCACCCAATGTTCTATCTGCGCGAGTCAGCTTCGTCCTCGCACTTTCCGACAACTTACAACATACATTGGTAAACTTGGATGAAACCCACACCACAATCGTCAGCAGCAGCAGGCCGCCTCCAATCAGGAGATACCAGTGCCACGAAGGGTTGGGCTTGAGGATATCCACGTTCATACCGAAGAGACTCTGCATTGGTTAGATAGCCCTACCTGAGGATAAAGATACTCACGGATGCGAAGGTAAGCGGTAGGTAGATGAACTGTTCATGTTAGTGTATTACTATAACCAATACAGGCAGTCCTACCGTGATCCAGCTCAGCCGCTTCATACTCGTGGCCAAACTGGTCGACCGATGTGCTTCGTTAATAGACACCCATGCGAACTCCTGCACTCGTTAGTCGAGCTCACACTGACCAGTGCAACTTACAATTTGAAGCAAGTCCCGCACAGTCTGCTCGAGCTTGTCAATCTGCCCGGAAATATCCCGGTCCAGATCGTGGATCGTCTCGTGCATTTGCTCGCTGAACCGACGCGTCTCGCTGAATCGCTGGTACTGAACGACAAAGTGCCGGGCCTGGCTGAGTTGCTCCGCCAGTGTCCCTTGGATCCGCGTCCACTCTTGCATGCTCTCGGCAATGGAGTCGATCAATCGATCGTCCTTGCCTCGGGCCGTCAATTGATGTGTTCGCTGTATTGTTAGTATCAGCGCTTGCCATCGAGAGAGTACATACCAGTCGTCCGAGGTATCTCCTGGCCTCCCGGCAGAATGTCATCCAGTCGTCTCGCCAGCTCTGCATGAACAATTGCACCATCTCTAGGTCATTCTGGGGTATCCACCCGTAGGGCAGGTTGCTGAAGTAGTGTATTGCTTTGGGGGGCGCCTCCAGAACGGCCCATTCGATTACGCGGGTTGTGTTGTTTGCGTGTCTATATTCGGTGAACGAGTTGCCTATCTTCAGATTCATGCGGATAAACAGTGAGAATGTCCGACAAGGGCTTTTATTACCTAGAGAGAAGCACAGCTCGTTCGGCGTATCGCTCATCTGGCAATATGTCTGCCAGAGATGATTCTCCCGGAAGAGTCTGTTCTACATTAGACGGATCTCTGACACGATGGGGAACATACAGCAGATGTGTCTCTTCTGCCAATTTAGGCATTCCCTTAACATGTTGGCTCAATGTATCGTCTGTTATCCATTGCACCTTGCGACTTCCATTTCTGAGTGCCACGATGTCGACAGCCACACTGGACTTGATCCCAGGGTTGTATGGCCCAAACTCATATCCGGCGTCATGCTCCATCAGCCTCATCCGGTGATTCAACAAAGCAGTCAGTTCTGCGCGGTCCCTATCTGGGATAGTCATGTCCATCACTGGGATTGAGGTTTGACCGTCCTGGTGTGTATTCTGCGTGGACATCACACTGACGGATGCTTTTGCTGTGCTGCAAGGTCCGAACCAATCACCATTCTCCAGCCCGTCAATACTGGCTTTATGCTCGAGGAGAACAGTCACTGTGGCGCGGTCAGCCTGCTGCAGCGCCATTCGCATCAGGGGGATCGAGCTGTATTCCTCCTCTTCCCTAAGATCGGGCTTGTACCGCTCGAGGAACGGCTTCAGCAGGCGGGCCCGACTCTCTTGGATCATGATCCGCAATGACACAAGGTCTCGCCTACGATGTGTGTCATCTCCAACTCCGGACATCAACATGTCAGCGATATCGTAATGACTCCATTCAATGGCGTAGATCAACGGCGTCTTCCGGTACCGGTCGACGGAATTAGGATCTGCCCAAGTGGTTTTCAGCAGCTGGCGAGCCAACTCCTTGTCCCCCTTTTCGCTCGCCCAGGCGAGAAAGGTCCGTCGGGCCTTGGTCAAAGGCTCCATGTCGTGACCAGAACCAAGGATCTTCAGCCATCGTTGTAAATCCTCTGGTTGCGCGTCCGCTGTGTTTCTCCTGTCCGCATTCCTGATAAACCACCACAAAGGAATTTGTCCCTCAAGGTCATGGATATCTGCGCTCGCACCATGATCGACCAAGACGCTCACAGTATCGAAATGCCAATTCTCCGCAGCCCACGACAATGGCGTCCGTCCTCGCCCGTCCTTACTGTCCGGATCAGCTTTACCCTTGTGCAAGAGCAATTCGACGACTTCCCGGTGCCCTCGCTCCGCCGCGCGCGACAGTGGCGTGCGGCCTCGTATGTCGACCATGTCCGATACGACACCCTTCTCGAGGAGGAGACCCACCATCTGAGGATCCCCATCCTTTGCCGCCCAGTGCAAGGGAGACTCTCCATGGTGATCTCCGAGGTTAGGGTCCGCACCTCGGTCCAGGAGGAATTGCATCATGCGACCGGGACGGTCGCGGTCCGTCGGGCTCTGCGCCAGATTATAGGAGGCTGCCCACGAGAAGGCCGTTCGACCAGTGTGATCTTGGATATCCGGGGAGACCCCGTAGAGGAGGGGCTTGAGCTCGTCGACGAGGCCCCGCCGTGAGGCTTGCATAAGCTGGGAGATCGGGCCATCGTCCAATTCGAGAAACACGGGCGCCGGGAGTTCAGCCATCCTTTGCAACAGGTCGCATCAGTGATGATGGAGGCCAGGTTGAGGCTACGGAGTCAGCGCTCTGATCAGACCGTCAGCCTCGCGGGTGGATGCGATCGCCCACTTACCGGCTCATTGGTGGGGTCGCAGAGTCCGGGGAGGCATCCAAGCCTCCGCAGTCCGCAGTCTGCAGTCTGCACGGTCTGAGGCATTTCCGCAAGGCAAAGAAGATAGATCGGTGTCATCTGTGAGCTTATAAGAATATTCGCCTTCTGGCACAGCAAGCATTCCCCAGTGCGACCTTGTATGCAGCTGCCTGCCCGCTTGGCGCTTATAGGCGGGGTTTCACCGGGGTTTAGTAAACTGCCCGGGTTGGACATGATTCGACTCGTATTCCGGGACAACCCAGGAACGCTTCTCCAGGCAAGACTCCATTGACTTGGTGCTTCGGTGGGTTGAGAGTGCCACTGCTTTTGTCATGAGGCCGTGGTAAGCAACTATAAAACAGCTAGTACTATATATCGAGATGATAAGAAGATTCATGGAGACTGCCATCTGCGAAAAGCCTGACCTGCATCTTGTAGCTCCGTCCGTACAGACCCTGCGGTCGTCATTGTCAGCGAAGTCGGAGTCCGTTTAATCCTCATGGGTGTTGCCTGCTTCGTGCTGGTCACGGGATACGTAGACATGTGGATGCCCCAGGCGGCAGCCCACGTGACGTCTCGGCTCTCTCCGAACCAGTTCCTGAAGCGACAAGCGACATCCATGGCCCATGCGCCATCGATAACAAGCGAGTACGTAAACCTTTCCCGGCCTCGAGCCGTCCCCCTTGTTGACACTTGACCATCAGGCCATCAGAATTCTGCCGTGCTGGACGGCTTTCAGCGGTGTCAGGTTCCGTCCGGTTGGCCGAGACATTTGGGCGGAATCCCTGGCAGGCCGGAATCCTTTGGCCAATACACAGTAAGCAACATCCGGTTTTACGCAGCGTAGATATCTAGAGTGCAGACAGAAGACGGGGATCGGTGTCTGCGGGCGGGTAAGTGTTTGAGGCCTCCACCCACTTGGCTTCGTCGAAGCTCCACTGCCAAGTCTTGGCGGTCTTGGCCCGGAATCCACCGGGGGAGGGGCCGCTCCGTGATTGGGTGAGCGGATGCCGTTATCAGAGAGCGCGGTGGTGTCATCTCCGCCCGCTTATCTGCTGTGTCGCTTGGTCTTGATGGAGTATCAGAATTAACTTCACACTGCACGCTCAGCAGTGAGCAGAGAGTTCTGTCTGTGTTACTTCTGGTGAGGTTACATCCCGGCCCACCACGACCCGGCCCAGTCAGAGCCACCCGTAGTCCTAGGTCAGGGGTCTCATGTAACTCGGCTTGACGGACGCTGTCCAGCCGATCCATTGGCCAACACTGTCGGTGGTGCTTTTCCTCCTTGCTGCTCCTTTCCCTTCTGGCTTTTCGGGCCAAAGCGCTATCAGCAATCGGGGTCACCGTCCCTGGACACGTCCGGATTCTGTGCTTTTTGTGTGTATTTCTCTCAGCTACTAGCTAATTGAATCTTCTGCGAGACAGGACGCGTCCGAATGCGGGGATGCGTGAATACCACGGTTGGACGCATCCATCCGGCTGAATTAGCGAGGGACTTGCCGGGGTAGTCACCAAGTTAGTTTGGCCCACGACAGCTTGACCTGACTAACAGAAACAGCCCTGTTCTTCAGATACAACGACGGTTCCAAGCGAGCACCCGGGCGTCTTGCCTGATTTGTGGTCCGTCATTCCAGGGACCGCCATCTGTGTAACCCTGCTCGCCAATGAGGGCCCCGCCAATCTGACCGGGCCTCCTGGTGAACTTACTCGCCCTCCATGACCGGGGGTGGCCATGCAGATGACTGCCCTAGTACGTGTCCACCTGCGCACCGCAACGGCGGACTTCGCCACGAGAAACCTGCTCGGAATGCCTCACTCCATGTGCTAGATGGCCGCTAGAACCAGCTGCTGCCTCCCCACTGGCACGCACAGAACATCCTCGACCTGGCGAAATGTGATAGGCGCCCAAGCCCGGGTGGAGGCAAATCTGTCCGGAAAACCTCATTCGGGTGGCCTTTGATAATGGCGAAGACAGTGGGACCAGCCGGCTAGTCTCTTGGTCATCTATATTATGTCTTCTCACTAACAGCCATCTATCTAGTTTTCGTCCACTGATAGTAGTGGACAGTCTGATTGCACGCGAGGCTGCTGGAGATTGCCAAACCCAAAATCCAACCGAATGTTCCAAGCTTGGCATCGCTCCCCCCAGGCTTTATTACCTCCCCCCTCCCGAGTTGATCAGCTTGACTGGGACGATCACTCATCCTCTCTCTCCACTACCTATCTGCAGGGCCCTCCATCTGCATCATGAGTGACCCCGTTGGCGCAGACGACCTCGTCTACGTCGCGCAAGCCCATGCTCCCCAGAAAGAGCTTCAGACTCCGATGGACGAGAAGAAGGACCTGAAGGCCCCGATAAATGAGGAAACAGCCGTGGTCTCTGCTCCATCCATCGTTGATGACGGGCGGGAATATCCCACCGAAGAGGAGGAACGGACTCTCCGCCGAGTGTCCGACAGGGTCAGCTGGACCGCCTATACGGTTGCCTTTGTCGAGCTGTGCGAGCGGTTCTCCTACTACGGAACGACTGCCGTCTGTATGTGTCCCATGTCCTGATCCAGAACGAGCTAATTGTTCTAGATGTCAACTTCATCCAGCAACCTCTCCCGGCCGGCTCGACGACCGGTGCCGGCTTTAGTGGTCAATCCGGAGCTCTGGGCCAGGGTGAACGGACATCCACTGCGCTGACTACTTGTAAGACTCCCTTTCGGCTTTTTATAGCTATGCTAATTGGTCAGTCAACACGTTCTGGTGCTATGTCATGCCTATTCTGGGCGCCTGGATTGCCGATGAGTACTGGGGTCGGATGCGAACCATCCAGGTCTCTATCGGCTTCGCCATGCTGGGCCATATCATCATCATCATCTCTTCCATCCCGCCCGTGATTGTGCACGCAAACAGCGCTCTGGCATGCTTCTGTGTGGGTCTGGTTATCTTCGGTATCGGTGTGGGCGGTTTCAAGTAGGTACCTCAGAGCATGCGGTCTTACAGTCCTAACGACCATAGGTCCAACATCTCGCCCCTGATTGCCGAACAGTACAAAGAAACGAGGATGTTTATCAAGACAATTCCCAAGACTGGCGAACGGGTCATCGTCGACCCTGCCCAGACAATTACCCGCATCTTCCTGTACTTCTACTTCATGATCAACGTCGGCTCCCTGATCGGATCCGTGGCCATGGTGTACGCAGAGAAGTACGTGGGATACTGGCTGGCGTTCCTGCTTCCGACCATCATGTTCGGTCTCTGCCCCATCGTTCTGTTCTTCTGCCGAAAGAGATACACAGTGACCCCCCCGACGGGGTCGGTCGTTACCAAGGCCTTCCAGCTGTGGAGCCTTGCCCTCAAGGGGCAGTGGTCCTGGAACCCGATGACCTTGTAAGTATGCAACTTCGTCTCAAAGAACCATGCTAATGATAGTAGCTACCGTCGCTGCCAGTCAACCGAGTTCTGGGAGAGCGTCAAGCCCAGCCGAATTGCGAACAAGCCCAAGTGGATGACGTTCGACGACCTGTGGGTGGAAGAGGTGCGCCGTGCCGTCAAGGCCTGCGCTGTCTTTGCCTGGTATCCTCTTTACTGTAAGTAGCCTTAGTCCATAGTGCTTGGATTGGTTTAACAATAGTCAGGGCTGGCCTACGGCCAAATGACCAATAACCTGACCTCGCAGGCGGCGACTATGCAACTGCACGGGGTCCCCAACGACATCATCAACAACCTGGACCCCCTGGCACTGATCATCTTCATCCCCATCATGGACCAGTTCTTCTACCCGGGTCTCCGCAAGATGGGCTTCCACTTCACCCCGATCAAGCGTATCTACGTGGGCTACCTGCTCGCCTCCGCATCGATGATCGCAGCCGCCGTGACGCAGTACTACATCTACAAGACGAGTCCGTGCGGCAACCACCCGAGCACCTGCGACGAGGCGGCGCCGATCAACGTGTGGGTGCAGACCGTCCCGTATGTGTTGATTGCATTCTCGGAGATCTTTGCTTCGATCACCGGATACGAGTATGCGTACACGAAAGCGCCCAAGAACATGAAGAGTTTGGGTATGTCCTTTCCCCAATACTTCAGAGAAAGAACTAACAGAGTCAGTGCAATCTCTGTACCTCTTCATGAACGCCATCTCCTCAGCCATCCAGCAGGGTCTGACCGCTTTATCTACCGACCCTCTTCTGATCTGGAACTACGGGTTCGTTGCCGTGCTGGCCTTTGTTGGTGGTAACTTGTTCTTCATGTGCAACTTGAAGCTGGACAAGGAGGAAGACGAGCTGAACAACATCGAGGAGTCGAAGTATTTGGGACGAAATCAGACGGCTTTGGGAGAGAAGGTTGACCCTGAGCTGTGAGATGATGTATGAGTAACGTGACGCAGTATAGAGACTTAATGAGCATGAGCATGATAGTAATGAGCTGTTACCTTGAACCACATATTGGGCCTAGAAAGTACAACACGCTGTAGTGAGCGGTGTCATTTAGAGAGACACACTGTCAAGTCACGGGGGGTGACGTCCTCAGGCATCGACCGGAGAACAACGACCACGACTTCCCCACCTTTTTTCACTTCACTGCCACTACTTCAGACAATGATCTCTGCAAGTTTGCCTCACCGCATCTCAGTGACTGGCATTATTAGGATTCCAGATGTACTGCACCAGATACTGCTGGCTTCGGCCACCGGGTATCCTTGTGAGTACTCGACAAGCATGCAAGTGACAGGCCTGGATGCACTTGACCTTTAGTCACACAGCGCCGGTGAAGTCAATCAGCTGCAGCGAGGGATTTAGGACTTACCTACCGCTCCAGGAGATCTCATCAGATCCCGATATGCTACCCGATCAAGGCCTTCAAAAGCCAATTTGCTCTGACTACTTTCCACTATCCTTTACCTCCTCTGCGTTATCCCGAACTACACGATGTCGACCTCGCTGCTCTCGGATAATCAGGCCCCTGAGCCGATGCTCTACCCATGCCGGGTCCGACACACCAGACTCCAGCCGGTAGTGCATTCATTCTCCTACTCCTACCTGTGGATAGCGCTCCCGGTTCGTTGGGAAGGCAAAGATCTCGAAAGACACCGCCCCACGTCTGTCTGCTCCGGCTGGTTTACTGTCGATGCCGAAGATTACTTGGAAAGAGGCAACCACACAGGGCTGGATGGAAAGCTGCGTCAGTATCTACACAGTCAGGTAAGCCAAGCCGCCGTGCATCCGCTGCATATCATTGATACCCAATTGCAGCAACTCCAGGACGAGGACTATCCCTATGTCTACCTCCTCACTTCCCCTAAAGTGTGGGGCCATATTTTCAATCCAGTCTCGTTCTGGTATTTGTACTCAACCAAGAAGCAATTGGTTGCCACGATCCTCGAGGTGAACAACAACTTTGGCGAGCGGCGTATGTACCTGTTGAGATCACTGCCTGGGATATCAGATGACTATAGCTCTGCCGATCATGTCGATCTAAATCGCTCCAGATCACCGCATCGGTTCACCAGCAGATGGCCAAAAGATTTCCATGTCTCGCCATTTAACCCCAGGGAAGGCATGGTGTATACCCTGGACACCGCTGATCCATTACTGCTGTGCGCTCAGGGATGTGAGCAGCCGATCGATAGCAGAATCGTGCTGATTTCCTCACATGGCCAAGCCCAACTCGTTGCCAGCATACGCTCCGCGGGACCAGCGGTTCGACCCGCAGCTCTCAGCACCTACGGGAAATACAAGCTCATTCTATCATGGGGCTGGGTTGGGATCATTACGGAGCCTCGCATTTTCTTCCAGGCTGCCCGTCTGCATCTGCAACACAGACTGAAGGTCTGGTATATTCCAGAGCCGCTTGAGAAAACAATATGTCGCCGTGCCAGCGCAATAGAACGGTATTTTGGAACTGTTTTTCGGGGATACCTGCGAGACTTGGTGGAAAACTCTGCTAGCTCAGTTACCGTGCGATATCATGCTGCAGGATTATCTCGGGATCAGTCGGTCGAGACGATGCAAACACCGTCGGCTCGGCGAATTTCCGACGAACCAGCCGACAAAATGGTGGAGATTCGGGTTTTGCGGCCGGACTTTTACACCTCCTTCGTGCAGAGTCGGGGTTTGCATGCTGAAGCCGTCGTGAGTGCGTTGGCAGACAATAGTCTGCTGCGAGTGTCTCGCATGGACCTGTTTTACGGGATCATCAGTGCAGGAGAATTCACTAGAAAGGTCCAGTTATTTCTTCCGGATCGTGTTCTTTATCAAGTGATTGACTGGTTCCGAAAGGGGCGACACGCAGCAAACGCCGGGCCTTTATCTGCAATGGATCACTACGTACTAGCATGCTGCAGGCGGGATGAACAAAGAGAGTACCGGAAGCATCTACTGCAGCTTCTTCTCAGTCCATATGTTGCATTTGGGAGCATTGGCTTTCTCCAAGCTGAAGTCTTCGTTGCTCAGTTGACTCTTTTGTGGGCTCTTCTTCGGCTTCTCGATTCTCTTGTCTTTGTATGTGTTATCTAAGGGGTTGAGACTGGAGGATTGGAAGATGTTTTTCTGTGGAATCTCTGGTCCCATACTCCTACGTCATAAGCTGAAATTGAAGTTCCTCGGATAAGTCACTACAGATACGATGCTTGGACTCCCTCCTGCTGCAGCCTCCTGCATGACTTTTTGATTGCAATAGCGCTTATGTTTTGCATGTTTTTCGACGTCTACTGACTCCCTTGGCAAATGCCAGGGCTATCCTTGCTCACCAAGTCATTTGCACCCTCCTGCATCACATGATTAACGCTGTGTTCTTTGTGTAAAGGGTCTCTCATCCAGAAAGGCAACAAGCATATTGTCGACATAGGCACGCCGTTCTTTCAGCCAATGAAATCAATCTAGACAGGCCGTGGGTACCACAAAGACCACGAGGCTTATAGTTACAGTCCTTCGCCCGGGATTTGGTCCGAAGCAGGTCGATCACCTACAAAAGCTTGACTTCCTGGAAGAGTTACTCTACAGATCCACCTTCATGCAGAGTGATACAGCTGAACATACAATTATTGGAAGCGATCGGGTCATGGGTATTCGTCATCTAGACAACTTTTCCACTTCGCCACCTATACCCTGCTACCAGCTGGATGTACATGTCGCACAGAAAACAGGTATGTCTGTGCCACGAAGTCTTTCTGCGCACGAGCTGACGTTCAAATAATGATAGATTCTAGTGGCGGAATATTCCCTGCACCTGCAGCCGCATGGGGATGGAAATCCTGTGCCGGTGAAAGGATGTCGTGGTGAAAGGGAGCGCATGGCTATTGATCAGTTGCTGTCACTGAACCAGATCAGGGAATCCTGCATTTATTCATCTGAATGGGGACATCTCGAGGTTTTAAAAGGTCGCCAAAGCAGTTGGTAGAGCCTTGCTTTCTCGATTCCTAGATAATCCTTTGTAGTGGAAAGTTCTCGGCAACTATACAAGGATGCAAGGCCAGTATGTTAATTATCTCTCCGTTGCGAGCAATGCTAATCACATATCACAGGAAAGAGATAGCCATTGTTGGCAGCGGTGGCGCAGGCATCGCAGCCCTGTGGGCGCTCCACTACCACTCGCCTCATCGAGTTCATCTTTACGAAGCAGCCCCTCGACTCGGAGGCCACATCAACACGGTGCAATTCAGAAAAGGAAGTGAGAGTGTCAACGTCGATACAGGGTTCATCGTCCTCAATAACTCCACCTACCGTAGGCAACTCCCCCTGCTCATCAGATAATACTGATCCGTACAGCCAACTTCCTCAACTTCCTCCGGACTATCAACGTCCCAACGACGCCCTCCGAGATGTCCTTCAGCGTGTCTCGAGCTTCTGACTCCGGAACCTTCGAATGGGCCGGTTCCTCTCTGACGGGCCTCTTCGCCCAGCGCAAGAGCTTCTTCTCTCCATCCATGTGGCGGATGCTGTTCGACATGGTCCGGTTCAACCACTTCGCGCCGGACCTTCTCCGGCAACCAGACGAGGACAACACAATCACGATTGGCGAGTACCTCGAGAAAGAGGGATACTCGGCCTTCTTCCGCGACAACTACCTGATCCCATTGACGGCGTCCACATGGAGCACCAGCCCGGACAAATGCAATCTGCAGTTCCCAGCTGCGACCCTCGTGCGGTTCCTGTATGCTTCCCACCCACAACCATCCCCACAAAGCACGTCACATACTAACCACCACAGATACAACCACAACCTCCTTAACACCCTCGGCCCGGGGCTCGAATGGCTCGGCATCGCCAACGGCGCAAAGAGCTACATCGACGCTGTGATGGCCGACTTTCCCTCCGAGCGGATCCACCTCAACCAGCGCGTCGTCTCCATCACCACAGACCCCGACACCAACAAACCCTCATCCCGCATCCACCTCACCACTGCCAACGACCGCACCACAACCTACGATCATGTCATCATCGCCACGCCCGCTCCTCACGCCCTATCCATGATCTCCTCCTTTTCCTCCGCCACCCCCACCGAGATATCAATCCTCTCTTCCTTCCAAACAACCACCAACACCGCCATCCTCCACTCCGACGCGTCCCTCCTCCCTGTCTCCCCCCGCATCCATTCCACATGGAACTACCTCTCCCACTCCCTCTCCCTCCCCACCGACTCTTTCTCTACCTCTACCTCCACCTCCACCTCTACAGACCAAGTTTGCATAACCTACAACATGAACAAAGCCCAAAACTTCCCTCTCTCCAAATACGGCCCCATCTTAGTAACCATGAACCCGGTCTGCATGCCCGACGCGCACACTATCCAGGGCGTCTACGAGTACGAACACCCGCTCTTCACCCCCGCGGCCATCAAGGCGCAGGCCCTGTTGCCGCACATTCAGGGTACGAGGGGGATCAGCTATGTGGGCGCGTGGACGATGTACGGGTTCCATGAGGATGCGTTTACGACTGCGTTTGAGGTTGCGGAGGGGTTGGGCGCGAGGGTGCCATTTGAGGTTGTGGGGAGGGTGGTGGAGGGGAGGGGGGAGAGGGGGAGGGTTGCGGGTTGGTGGGAGGGGGTGTCTAGGATGGTTTTGAGGGGTATGCAGATGGTTATTTTGTTGTTGGGGGGTGAGAGGATCGGTGGGGTGGGGAGGGAGAAGGAGAAGAAGGATAGTTAGGGAGAGAGGGGGGTGGTTTTGGGCATTATGCTTTTTTTCAAAGGGGGTTTATCTGCTGAAAGGATCTTAGGGTTACTTATCTACGGCGTAGATCCAAGATAGAAATTCAGCCAAAGAAAGAGATAAAAACAAGTCTCTCGCTATTTTGACTCCCAACCAAACAAACACTCACCATGCGACTCGAAACTCTACCCTCTCAACCCCCCTTCTTCAATCTCTCTCTCTCCTCCACAGGGGGGAGGGAAGAAGAGGGAAAAGACTAAATAAAAAAAGAAATTGTAATGCATTAACTGGGAATCGAACCCAGAGCACTTCCTGTCACAGACATGGAAGGGAAGTATGTTACCGCTACACCATTAATGCTTGTTATGAAAATTAAGTTTGTTTTTGGTTTTTTGACGTTTGCAATAAAAATAGTGCATAGCATATCTGTACGATTAATTTTTTTTTTTTTCTTTTTTTGATTTTGGGTCGAGGTTGAAGTTAAGAAATGAGTATCATGACATCACATCACAATATCGTTCCCGCAAGGGGGAGGTATTTGTTCTTCATTATTAATCCCGTTGGTTTGTTGGCTGGCTGGTCTGCCCTCGTGAGGTGAGATGGCTGATCGGGATCGTTATTGCTAGCCTTGTACTTACTATCTGGGCATAGCCCTTGCTTTGCTTGTGGGGTTGAGGGTTGAGGAACGAGGGTGATTAATCACTATTCAAGGTAGTTTCTACTCTCTCTGTGCTCTGTAGATGCGACTGGAGGAGAGCTTTCAAGTAGTGTATATTTTTTTTAAAATTAACGGGCTAATTTCATCGTACATGGCAGAAGCATAAAATAAACTGAATTTATACATAACTGGGTAATCATTAATCTTGTTCTTGTGTGGTCCTGAGTCTGATTAATTATCTCATAAGTACTATACTATATCTGGCACTAGATCACCGGGTATGTTCCTGATATTATTACTGCCTTAGTATCCTAGGTAGGGACAGAGTAGTATGTTTTCAAGGCACAGAATGACCATTTCATTTCAGCTCAATTTAGTTTAATTTATACCTAGACATTGAACACTACCCCCGACATATATTACCATCATAGTAACACAATCAGCTTACATTTATCCAGGTCAATATAGATCCTCTCTCCCACTCTCTCCCCTTACACCCCTCCCCCCAACTTACAAAAGAGGAAATAAATAAAACCATCCCCACACTAATCAGGGGAAGGTCTCAGATGAATAATCTTCCCGGAAGATGAGCATTAAAAAGATGCAAACAGATAGAATACTCAGTGAAAGGCAGTTCAGCCATGGTTCTGAACCCTGAATTCATTGCAATTTACAACAATCTAGCTACTTTATATAATATATAATATAAATCATGATGCTATGCATATATACACACTAACAAGGCCTTATCCAAGAATCTACCATGTAAATGCAATGCAACAGCTTCAAGGATGGGTAGGTAGGTAGGTGCACGAAGTGTAGGGATTAGATTTGGATTGGGATTCATGTAAGGGACATAGGCAATATTATAATAAATGTTACATTCACACTTACACTTACATCCGGGCCCAGGAGTCAGCCAGCCAGCCAGCCAGCCAGTTGGTCAACATGCTGATTTACTACCGTAACTAGCAATTACTATCAATACAGCAAGTAATACACTCGGTGATATACATATATCTTAGGTAGTTACTACCTAGGTAGCGATGTAGTATTCCGTATTTCTACTACTATATTAAACACCTACCTACCTACATCCCACTCTACGCGCCCGCGCTCCTTCAAGTTTATTTTTTTATTTATTTATTTTCTTTTTTACTGCCATTAATATTGATACTATACGCAATATACCCGAAACTTCTAAATAAACAATCTTCTCAAAATGAAACTCTCCATCGTTTCCTCTCTCGCTACCCTCCTCTCCCTCGCTGCGGCGACTAGCATCCCGCAATGTTTGGTACGTATCACCCCATCCGCCCTCCAGAATGAGCCATCATGTATAATAATTAAGCCCTAACGCCATCCTCCATTCTTCCATCCACCAGAGCGACTGCGTCTACGCAAGCACCGCCTGCGGCGCAAATGACCTCAACTGCTACTGCACGAACGGGGGCTTTCAGCAGGGGATCCGGGATTGTTTGACCCAGAAGGGGTGTCAGGGGGATTTGCAGGGTGAGTGGTTCTCCTTCTGGTATTTTTGTGTTGGGTTTGATGGTGGGTGATGGATAATGGATGGCTGATGGCTGATGGCTGATGATTGGGGGGTGTAGCGGGGCAGGATTTGCAGAATGCGCTTTGTGGGAAGTAGATAGATGTTGATGTTGATGTTGATGTTGGTGGGTGGTGGGGGGTGGGTGGCTCTGGAAGGATTCGTGCATTCATTACTACTGATATACTATACAATTATCTATAGCCAGGCTGGCCCTACGTCTACATGTCTATGTACATGTATCTGGATCACCGCTCCCACTCGGAAAACAACTTGTCGTCCAGTCCTGCGTACCCCTCGACCACCTTTAACCCCCTCAGTCTCTCCTCCTCGATCTTCCCCCACGTCCAGTCATCCTTGCTCCACGAGCCGACATTCCCCTGCCTGACCTCCTCCATCTTCCCCTTATCTCCAACTTCACTCCCATCTCCCGCGGAAATCTCCTCCAGCGTCTCTGTCTCTTCATCCTGCTCGACCAAAACCCCCTCCCCCTCCCCCTCCCCCTCCGTCTCCGTCCTCTCCGGCAAAAACCCACTCGCCCTCAACACCCTCTCCGGCGAAATCGTCAACCACCCCTTCTTAACGACATACTTACTCACCGCCGCCGCAAACACCACCCTCTCCCCCCTTCTCCCCCTCCTCCCCACAAAACTCGACAACACATACACCCACTTGCGATCCCAAGCAACCACCCGACTAACCACCTCGAACCTCTCCAGCGGCTTGATCTCCCGCTTGAAGCTACAGAACGTCGACCCCAGGGCAATGTACACCTTCTTGCCTGCGTTCTCACGGCCCGCTTCCTGCGTGGCGTGGGGCAGCTCCTTGTCCAGTTGGGCGCTGACGAGCGTGAACCCCGGCGTGTAGACCCGGGTGACCAGCGCGGTGCGCGAGATGTCCAGGTCCGAGAAGTATGTGCTGTTGGATTTGTGGAAGTTGTAGTCTGTTTCCCAGGGGGAGTTGTGCGTGTGCAGGACGTGGGGGGTGAAGACGGGATGGGTTGGGGTGGTTTCTTTGGTGGTGGGGGGTGGGGGCCGGTTGGGAAGAGAGGGGAGGTCGGGTGGCGGCGCAGGTTGAGGAGGAGGTGGTAGAGGAGGTTGGTCTTTGGGTTGGTGTCAGTTGGTGGTTCGATTGGTTCGTGGAGGTAGAAGGGGCAATGGGTTGGGGTAAGGAAGGCAACTTACGTGCCACGCGAAAGGGAGGTTCTTGAGGTTGATCACAGCCAGGATCAGAGCGAGGCTCTTCCAGGAGAATACGGCTGGAAGAATCGCGCGCGTGATGACCTCGTGCGCGGTGGTGAGGAGTTCCGACATACTGATGATGGACAGTCTGTTGATGCTGCTGCTGATATCGGAGATGCGCCGGTAAGATCAATAATCTGGGGTAAATAGTCTCAAACGCGCGACAGGATCCGGGCAGGCAGGAAGGAGTGACTGCAGCGGGCGTGCCCGGTTTATGTCCAATGCCCAGAGGACATGCGATTTGATTGAACAGGGGAAGTTGACGAGTTGACTCAAAAGTTGGACTCGGCGTTTCAGCCGAGGATGCCCGGCTCACGTGCGCTGACTAAGGACGGCTATACACATTGCCCGATTGGGAATGAACGTAGCTTCATCCTACCATCACCATTCCGATGACTATCAAAAAATAGCCATACAATTCGGCGGACTCGACACTCCCCGCGCACAATTCAACGGACTACTCGAGATGAAAAACGACCACCTCCCCAGTCGCCGACACGTCTCAGCCAGCTCATCCAGATCGAACATCTCCCCAATCGGCAGCCCCCACCCAGCCAGCAGATGGTGATGCATATCGAACTCCGGCTGCAACGCCGGAAACACCTCAAAGCTGACGGCATCCGACGCGACCGCCGCGAAATGGTTATCCCACATGAACCGCAGCACGCGCTCGCTCTGCTCCATGCCCGCATGCTTCGGCATCGCCTGCTGACTATACTTCAACTTGTCCTGCTCGCCCATGCCATCCCACGTCGCGGGCAGCCCCACGCGCAGGAAGAAGATATCACCCCGCTGGAACGTAATCCCACACTCCTCCGCAATGGCGAGCACATCGTCCAGCGACACGCAGTGCGCGGTGAGCGCGTCGACCGTGATCCCGCGCTTCTCCTTGACCCAGGTATAGTAATCGATCAGCACCCCTCGTCCCGCGATGCCCTTTTTCGCCCAGTGTCCGATCCCGATGCGGGCGGATTCCGGGTCGAGGATCTCCTCCGCCGTCGTACCACCGTAGAAGACCAACTGGTCGGCACTGGTGGCGTTTGGGGCGGGCGCAGCGTGGTGTCGCAGTCCGTCCCATTGCGAGGATTGTTGCGGGTTGAAGTGGTATTCGTCGTCGAAGGCGACGCCTTCCCAGACCCATTTGACGTGGTGTTCGAAGGGTTTGCGACGGAAGCCTGGGGGGTTAGTTAGTTAGTATTCCGTGAGCTCTATTTAAAATCGAAATCGCATGTAGGTAGGGGGAGAATACCAGGAGGGTTCAGCTTCTCCAGATCCCAGTTCAGACACACGCGCTCGCCGGTCTGGATCTGCGTGCGGGCGGCGGCGGCGACGACCTCGGGCGTGAGCAGCCGGAGCATCCCCAGCCCTTCGTCGCGGGTGTTGGGTGCGCCGGGCCAGTATCGTCGCTTGTCGGGGAGGTCATCGTATTTGTCGGGGAGGTCTGCCATGGTGAGGAAGGGATTGGATGGGAGAGTGGATGTTATAAAGTGTGATGAAATGTTTAGTGAGGGGGTTGATAAGGTGGAGCGGGGGGATCCACCGGGTGTTTCCTACTCCGTACGGAGTACCACCATGTACTATAAGTATTGTATTTGTATGCAGATTACGGTGTTCCCCACCACGATATCCTCCTACCCCGGAAAGGTCAACAATTCTCCATTCGAAGCCATCCATTCCATCGACTACCCTACCAAATAACCCAAAACTGCTGGATCAATACAACGGTGAATAACCCCTTCAAACTCCCAAGACAGTCGGTCTATCGTTCCCGCAAATCAGGGCAGGTCCATGGTATTGAACAAGCGATTGCCCGTGTCCGTCCCCCTGGTCCCCGTGTATCTGTTGATGGAAAGACGCAACGCAACCACAGTGAGTCCTCCATCCTGAGCGATCGCCGGCAACGGACCATCGCGGCCCACAGCCTGCGCCTGCACAACCCCAGCGACCACCACAATGCGAACATCCCCCTTCAGGCCGCGAACGCGCGTGAAAAACTCGGCGACAGTCTTGCCATTATTCACCACGGAGTCCACAAGCAACACGATCGTTTTGCCCTGGAGATGGTCAAGGTGGACCTCCTCAGGCTTGGACACAAGCAGGAGACTCGCGTGTCCAAAGACGTTGTTGACGCCCAAAGCCATTGACAATCCACCGCGCATCAGGCCTATGATCAGCATGCGCTCTTCGTTTGCTAGTCGATGCCCGATGGTCATCTGGCCCTGAACGTGCGCAATTCTGTACTCTTCCACGCCAAGAAGATCGGCCAGATACTCGAATGCGAGGTACCATCCGACTTGGTGGTGGGCCTTGCGCAATGATGGGCCTTGCACCGCTGCGTTCCGCATGGGGGTCTGCAGCAGCTTGGTCGCGCTTTTGCCAGTGGCGTGGATGAGTTTGAACTTGACTGCCACGAGGGTCTCGATGAGGACCGGGTCGTCGAGGCGGGTCACTGGAAGCACTGTTGTGTTCAATCGGAGAGGCGCAGTGCCGGGCAGCAGAACCTGGCGCGCTTGGAGGCCCTTCTCAATTGCTTTCTGCAACGCGGCATCCATGTTTCTACTCCGGGAATATCCGTCCCCCACGACGACAATGGCGTGGTGCGCTTTGCTGAGCATCTCTATATCCAGCGAGCTGTCTCCAAACGCCCAGACCTGCCCATGATAATCAGTCTTGAGTCTTTCGACCAAGTCACCTTTGACACGAGGCGTCACAACATATCCATCGGAAATGCGTCCCCCGCCGATCACCTTGACCGCATCCGCAAGGCCTTCTCGCGCCAGAACCTTCTCCCAGACCAGACGCAACCCACAAGTCACCACAACAATGCGAATATGATCACACCTTACAACGCGACGGAAAAAGCTCGTTATCTCGGGATACAGCTTTGTTGCAGATGCAACCCGCTGGCAGAGCTCGTCGTACCTGTCGTCGTCCGTCGCCTGCTCATAAAGCAAAGTCGCCTGCTTGAAGCCAGAGTACGAATACACCAGCGGGCTGTCGAACAGTTCCACGAGGGTATCCCACGACTTGGTAGCCCCGTCATAGTGTTTCCAGAACTCCAGGCCCGTATCGACAGGCGCCATCGTTTTGTCCGCGTCAAACAACAGGACATGTTCCGGATACGCCTTGCCAGCAGAGACCGCTTCGACGAGGCACTCATCGGCCACTTTCTGGTTATGATACTCATCATGGCGCTGGAAATCCTGAAGCAACAAAACAATCCGCGGAAGACTGTCCGGCATGACCATGAACATGATATTATGTTTGAGACACAGTTTTCTCAGCTCGCCCTTCTCGTGATAACTCCATTCTCCCAGCTGAGCGATCGGGATTCTCGGACGGTCCCTCTCCGCATCATCCTCCCGGCGACGATACACCACATCAGCCGGGGTATCCAAGTACAAGATGTGGGTATAGGTCTTGAGATCTCGAGTAGTCATCACACTCGCTGGCTGCTGGCTCGCATGGTCCGAGAGCATGAAGTGCCCCGTCACGATGGCCGTGCCGCCGGACCCGCCTTTGGCGATGTATTCGATGGCCTGACCGCGCCAGTAACGCTTGTCTCTCCCCGACATCTCCTTGAAGGCTGACAGTCCGCCCGGCGTGATGGTGTTGATCGCCTCGGAGCCCTCGTAGAATGAGAAGGTTTGGGTCCCGAGACGCTCTCGCAGCTGCTTCAGGAGATAGGACTTTCCGGCGCCTGGGATGCCGTAGATGCCTATCACGGTGCTTTTGGCGGGGGGGTGTTGGTCTGTTGGGTCGAGTTTGGGCTCCGCGGGGTCCATTTTGGTTGATGGATGGGTGGTGATGTTAGAGATGGGTGGGTATGAGGATGGGTATGAGGATAGATATGGGGATAGGAAAGAGGGAGAAGGGGGGGGTGGTATGGGAATAAAGCGAAAGAAGCAGAATAAAGGGCCAGGTGGCTCTTATTATAATCCTTGGATACGATTCACCTGCTTCTACCGGAATGAACCAGAGTCATCCTTTGATTGCTTGATAGCTGGACGCAACCTTGATGCATTAACTGTAGCGTACAGCAACCCTATAACCGTGGTTTACCTGGCATGTGTAGAGCCGTAATATCGCTACCCTGGTAGCGAAACAACATACCTAGTATTATAATCAATATTCACATTGGGGCTGTCTATTCGTAAGAGTGAACGAAGCATCTTCTCTTATTTGAACCGTAGAAGCTTGCAGCATTCAAACAAGGAGCAGCTAATTCATTCTATATAATCCTGATTTTACAATTACTATCATTCTGCAACCCCCTCTCCTTAGGGCTTAGGTCAAGTTACTCCACTACATCCTCTAATCAAACCTCCACTAGTACGGACGTACTCCAAGTGATGATGCCCACCCTCCACATACAAAGTATACAAGCAATCGCAACAAACACCCGACGACACGATTGGCCACCCAGCGCGGATATAGAACCCCCAAGGTTACGGCCCGATCTCTTTGTCCCGCAGCCAAATACCGCATCCGCATCCCGCATCCCGCATCCCGCGCAATAAGGGTCAGCCGTAGCCTTCCAGAGACGCTCTCTTATGTACGGAGTACAATAAATTTTAAACCCGCCCTCCTCCACCCAAGCTTTCAAAAGCAATAAGTAGATAGTCAACCCTGATCCCCGAATTCAAAACCAACCCGGACCCTGCATGCAGGGCCTAAGACAGGCAAACATTAAGTAACTAGCGGCCTAGCCAGTAGCCAGCCAGCTAGCCGAGGCGGCAGCTGCGATGAGATCACCGCAACGCAGATAATTTCCTGCCGGCATTTCGAGCGACCCGTGGGGGTACGTGGGGACTCCGTGCTCTTCGGTAGCACGGATGATGGATGATGCGCGGTGGCTGAGGAGCTTCTTGCCATATAATAAAATAAACCCACGGGCCACAGCTTGTGTGATGATCTGTTCCCTGGCAGCTGGCAGACTGGCAGACGTAATGATGACTTTGTGCATAATAATAGCAATCTCCGGTCGACTCAGTAGTACACGTACATAATGTGTGTGATACAGCAGGGGACAGGGTCTTGACAGATCCGTTGGAGCCTAGATAGCTTCCGGCACTAAGTTAGCCTCGCAAGCCCCCAAGAATATATCTCCACCACGCCATCCCGTAGACTCGGGGGGCTCGGCCGGAGGGAGCATTGGGGTTTTCTCCTGAGAAAGAGTAAAAAGGAGGAAAAAAAGTCAGCGATGGCCGGCGGGATCTCGAACCGGATGAGTCAGCGGGGGAGCTGAGTCATCGGAGATAAGGGCCCCACACTGACCGGCTCGCGATCGATCCTTTGAATAGTTCCGGCTGCGACAACGTCCGCCCCATGGCTCGTCTGGCGGCTGGTGAACGGATCTTCTGCCCTTCGGGGAGGCGATCACCGTCTCTCCGCTGACACACCACACTCGCTCGTCTCCATTGGTCGCCTGACGCCCCCAGATCAGCCATAGATGCGAGCTTGCGTCGGAAGAAGAACGTTCCATGCTGCCTACATCCGTGCCACGACAATGCCCATACACAGATCCGGTACCCGGTGCACGGTATCTATCTATCGGCCAACAGATCTCCAGACCGTTGGCTATGGAGGCGGGTACCGGAGGGCCAGGAGGCAACTTGTCCCTGGTCCGAATCTTCAAGGGAATTCCCCCATGGTTATAAGAACCGTTGGCAAGCCTCCTACCCCTGCCTCTTCTTGCAAGCACACAAGTGCATGGTCCCTATTTCCGGCCTGGGCTTTCCCCCCCTCTCTCTACCTCGATACGTGTGATCCAGCGTCCAGGACGGACACCACAGTACGAGATGGCTTCCGACCAGAGGGGCCCCGAGCCCCAGGATGAGGACTACCTCCTGCGGCAAAACACACCAACAACACTCCACGATCAGACCGCCAATAATACAGCCGTGGCAGCCGTGGACCTCATCAGCGAAGATGAGCGGAACACTCTCGTTCGCATTGCCACCCAAGAGTCTATAAGGCGGCGCTCCAGCGTCTACACCCAGCCGACAGCGAAGAAAACAGACACCTTGGATGTGATCCGCGAGGATAACCCTAGTCTCGACCCGCAGGGAAAGAACTTCGACCTGGGGAAGTGGCTGGCCTTTGCGTTGAATGAGCTACGTCCGGAGAGCGCTCGCGACCATCGGCCGGGCATCGTGTTCAAAGACCTTACCATCTCGGGCACCGGAGCTGCCGTCCAATTCCAAGACACCTTGGCATCCACTTTCTCCGCACCCTTCCGCATCGGACAGCTCCTCCGCGATCGTCACTCGGCACCGAAGCGCATCCTGAACCAGTTCAATGGGCTGGTGAAGAGCGGAGAGTTGCTCTTGGTTCTTGGCCGGCCCGGAGCTGGCTGCAGTACGTTTCTGAAGTCGCTTTGTGGTGAGCTTGACGGATTGAGCATTAACGAAGACAGCGTCATCCACTACAATGGTATGTAGCTCTCTACACTGTCCGAGACACTACTGACGTGGGTTCACATAGGGATCCCTCAGCAACAGATGACAAAGGAGTTCAAGGGCGAGGTCCTGTACAACCAGGAGGTGCGTCTTATCTATATATCCTAATTGAATCCTGCAACAATACTGACCTTTAGCCGTCTAGGTCGACAAACACTTTCCTCACCTCACCGTCGGTCAAACCCTTGAATACGCGGCCGCCATGCGAACCCCACAGCACCGGTTCAAGGGGATGTCGCGAGACGAGTACGCACAGCACGTGGCCAAGGTTGTCATGGCCATCGTTGGCTTGAGTCACACATACCATACAAAGGTCGGAAACGAGTTTATTCGCGGAGTTTCCGGCGGAGAGCGCAAGCGCGTCAGTATTGCCGAGATGGCTTTGGCGGCCTCTCCCTTGGCTGCGTGGGATAACTCCACCCGCGGTCTGGATTCTGCCACAGCATTGAAATTCGTCCAGTCTCTTCGTTTGTTCGGCGACCTGACCGGCTCGGCACATGCGGTTGCCATCTACCAGGCCAGTCAGAGCATCTATGAGATCTTTGATAAGGTGACGCTGCTGTATGAGGGTCGTCAGATCTACATGGGGCCGGCATCGGCGGCCAAGGCGTTCTTCGAAAAGCAGGGCTGGGAGTGTCCCGCGAGACAAACCACCGGAGACTTCTTGACTTCCGTGACCAACCCTCAGGAGCGCCAGGCACGCCCGGGCATGGAAGACCAAGTCCCTCGGACTCCGGATGATTTCGAGGCTTATTGGCGCCGGTCACCGGAGTATCAAAAGCTGATTGGCGAAGTTGCTTCGTATGAGCAGCAGTACCCATTGCATACCGACCAAACAACCCAGACCGGGTTTCATGAGCGCAAGTGGGTAGCTCAAGCCAAGCACACCCGGCCCAAGTCGCCGTTTCTGCTGAGCGTGCCCATGCAAGTCAAGTTAAACACGAGACGGGCATACCAGCGACTGTGGAATGACGTCCAGTCCACCCTCACCACCGTCTTCGGGCAGATTGTTATGGCCCTGATTATTGGCTCCGTTTACTATGATTCCCCTAACGACACGGCCTCTTTCACTTCCAAGGGAGCGGCCCTTTTCTTCGCTGTTCTCCTGAATGCTTTGACCGCGATGTCTGAAATCAATTCACTTTACGCCCAACGTCCAATTGTCGAAAAGCAGGCATCCTATGCGTTTTATCATCCAGCTACCGAAGCGATCGCGGGAGTCGTCAGCGATATACCGGTCAAGTTTATCCTTGCTATTGCTTTCAATGTCATCCTTTACTTCATGGTTAACCTGCGACGTGAGCCCGCCCAATTCTTCATCTATTTCCTGATCTCATTCATGATTATGTTTGTCATGAGCGCGGTCTTCCGCACGATGGCAGCCATCACCAAAACAGTTTCCCAGGCCATGACCTTAGCAGGTGTTCTGATTCTGGCTCTTGTTGTCTACACTGGGTTTGTGTTGCCCGTCCCGTCTATGCATCCGTGGCTGGGTTGGATTCACTATATTAGTAAGTTTACTCACTTGAAGGAAATGGTCATACAGCTGACAGTCTACCAGATCCGATATACTATGCCTTCGAAATTCTGGTCGCCAACGAGTTTCATGGCCGTGAATTTCCGTGCTCCTCGTTTATCCCGTCTTATGCGAACATGGATGGCACTTCCTTTATTTGCTCTACCTCTGGATCAGTCGCGGGCAGCAAGTTGGTCAGTGGTGACCAGTACATCGCCCTCAATTTTGAGTACTATTACAGCCACGTGTGGCGGAACTTTGGGATTCTGATTGCCTTTCTCATCGGTTTCATGGCTATATACTTCGCCGCGACAGAGCTCAACTCCTCTAACACCAGCACCGCCGAAGTTCTCGTCTTCAATCGCAGTCAGATCCCCGCCTTCGAACGCACCCAGGGCTCCAAGTCTTCCGACGTCGAGAACGGGATTGAACTTGGTGCTGTCAAGGAGCCTGGCACGGACGAGGAACCACGGGAGCTGGCCGCTCTGGCGCGACAGGAAGATATCTTCACCTGGCGCGATGTTTCGTATGATGTAGACATCAAGGGAGAGACACGCCGGCTGCTCGACCATGTGTCAGGGTGGGTCAAACCGGGCACCCTTACTGCACTGATGGGAGTCAGTGGAGCAGGTAAGACCACGCTGTTGGATGTTTTGGCCAGCCGGACTACCATGGGAGTCATTACGGGTGATATGTTTGTCAACGGCCGAGGCCTAGATGCCAGTTTTCAGAGAAAAACCGGGTACGTGCAGCAACAGGATCTCCACTTGGAGACGGCTACTGTGCGAGAGTCGTTGCAATTCAGTGCTCTTCTCCGCCAGCCTGCCAGCGTTCCTCTCAAGGAGAAGTACGAATACGTCGAACAGGTCATATCCATGCTGAAGATGGAAGCCTTTGCGGAGGCCGTGGTTGGTGTTCCCGGGGAAGGTCTCAATGTCGAGCAACGCAAGCTGCTTACCATTGGCGTGGAACTGGCGGCAAAGCCCAAACTTCTTCTCTTCCTGGATGAGCCTACCAGTGGTCTCGATTCCCAGAGTTCGTGGGCCATCTGTGCATTCTTGCGTCGCCTGGCAGACAGTGGACAGGCTGTTCTCTGCACCATCCATCAGCCTAGCGCTGTTTTGTTCCAGGAGTTTGATCGGTTGTTATTCCTCGCTCGTGGCGGAAAAACCGTATACTTCGGACCGGTGGGTGAGAATTCCCGCACGCTGCTCGATTACTTCGAATCCAACGGAGCGCCACGTCCCTGCAGCGAGGAGGAGAACCCGGCCGAGTATATGCTCGAGATTGTCAACGAGGGCTCTAATGTGCACGAGCAAAGTTGGTTTGACGTGTGGAAGCAGAGCAGCGAAAGCCAGGCTGTCCAGGTGGAAATCGATCGCATCCACGAAGAGCAGAAAGGGAAGGCTTTGGAGGAAGCGACCGAGTTGGGCCACTCCGAGTTCGCCATGCCGTTCTGGTTTCAGCTTTACCAGGTCACCTACCGTGTGTTCCAGCAGTACTGGCGGATGCCAAACTACGTGGTCGCGAAATGGGGGCTGGGAGTCTGCGGAGGTCTTTTCATCGGTTTCTCGTTCTATCACGCCAAGTCGTCCCTCCAGGGGCTGCAGACGGTGATCTACTCCATCTTCATGCTGTGCTCTCTGTTCCCTTCCTTGGTTCAACAGGTAAGCCGCTATCCGTGTCGTACCAAAACCTCAACTAACAGGCTCAGATCATGCCGCTCTTCCTGACGCAACGAGACCTTTACGAAGTCCGCGAGCGTCCCAGCAAAGCGTACTCCTGGAAAGCGTTCCTGATCGCCAACATCGTCGTCGAGATTCCGTATCAAATCGTCCTCGGCATCATCGTCTTCGCCTGCTACTACTTCCCGGTCGTGGGCATCCAAAGCTCCGCGCAGCAAGCCACCGTGCTGGTCTTCTGCATCGAATTCTTCATCTACGTCAGCACGTTCGCGCACATGGTCATCGTCGCCCTCCCCGACACCGTGACCGCAAGTGCGATCGTGACTCTTCTTTTCGCCATGTCTCTAACCTTCTGCGGTATCATGCAAGCGCCCTCCGCCCTGCCCGGATTCTGGATCTTCATGTACCGGGCGTCACCCTTTACCTACTGGGCCTCGGCCATGGTGTCTGTTCAGGTCCACGGTCGCACCGTCGAGTGTTCCACCGCTGAACTGTCCGTCCTGAACCCGCCCTCGGGCCAGACCTGCTCGCAGTATCTTTCTGAGTATGCGACTCTCGCTGGCGGGCGGTTGATGAACCCGAATGCCACCTCCGACTGCAGCTACTGCGCTGTGGGCACGGCGGACCAGTATATCAGCGGCTCGGGAATCTACTACAGCGATCACTGGCGCAACTTTGGCATCTTCTGGGCGTATATATTGTTCCATGTTGGGGCTACCACGGCTCTGTATTATTTGTTCCGGGTCAAGAATTGGAAGAAGGATGGGATGAAGAAGAAGGGGAAGGGGAAGACTGGTGCATGATACGGCCAGCAGTTTCTTCTTTTTTTTTTTTTTAACTGTTCTCCCCCTGCCCCTTTTTATTTTTCAGTCTTTCATTTTCACCTTCTCTTCTTTATCCTTCGACCTGATTGTTTTATTTAGCTTCCTGTTCAGCTTCATACCAGTGTAATCGGATAGATTAGAGCCTTTCGGTTCGAGAATAATATACCATTTTTATCGCGTGATACATGACTCCAGTCTCAAATGTTCTAACTTGGACGATGATATACTTCAGATTCATGACATTGCCTCTATCCCAAAGATCAGCTGTCACTATCATCCATCAAAGTCCTGCTTCCACCGTAGAATAATGTACGGTAAGATCTCGGAGTAGAAATTGCCTGTTCGGGCTAGACCTCGGAGTGCTGCCATCCCGATCGACCACCACCAGCAGTCAGTCAGTCAGTCCAACATCTCCCCAAAGTCAACAATGTCCATCGGTGATGTATCGACGCAATGGCAAACCCACCTCCTGCGAGCCCTGCAGGCTATCCAAAGTGCGGTGTGACCATGCCGTCCCGGTCTGCGGGCGATGTGCCCGTCGCGAGCCAGAGAAAGTACGTCACGTACCGAGTCCAATAATAATAAAGAAGCGCTGAAGAGAAGAAAAAAAAATAAGAAAAAGTCATGGCTGATGAGAACAGTGCTTCTACCATCCCGCGCCGTTGACGCGGGCGCGGACGAACCGTCGTTTTCGAAGATGGAACCCGCCTGTATCTGGCGTATCGAGCGTCTCGTCGAACATCCAGCAACGCCAACAACCATCACCAACGACTCCGAACTTTGCATCGACGCCCATCCACGACACCCAGACTCAGCCCGGACCAATCCTCTACCACTCGGCCAGCTCATCGAGCGTCGCCTTCGCCCGAGCCCAATTCATGAAACTCTTCATGGCGTTCCAACAATACGAAAGCGTGATCGCCAAATACTACAGCATCAGCCAATTCGTGATCATACCCCGACCACTAATCCTGGGCCTTCTCGCCAGCCTCCGCCGGGATCTCGAGAACGGGCTGAACCAAGAGAGCCTCGAGCAGCTCTACGCGCGCACCAGCATCAACACGCGGAAACCTTTCCCGACGATCACGGAAAACACAACCGTGGAAGAATTCCTGGCCTGCATGACGGGGCCCCGTCTGCGATGGGAGACGGTGGGGACGATCTTCGCGCTGGCGGGGATCGCGTCCTTCCATACGAAAGCCTCCGAGATAGCGGGTAAGGAGGCCTTCGCGGGGGATATGTACGCGGCGAGTAAAGCGTGTATTGAGATCTGCGAGGAGAATGGCCAGGTCAATGATGGGACGCTCTGGATGCGGTTGACGAATGTGATTCTGGCGTCGAATTTGTATGGGGATACCAGTATGTCTCACCCCGGATTACTGACATTCCATCAGATGTACTTGTTTGCTAACGAATGCAGGCAAACTCCTCTACCAAGGATTCACGCTCTTCACCACCGATCTCACCATCATGGGCCTGCACCGCCAGATCTCCTCTCCCTGCAGAGTTCCCTTCTTTGTGTCTGAGACCCGTAGGCGGATCTTCGCGGCGGCGTTTAGTCGCGACAAGACCCTGGCTACCTTCCTCGGTAGACCGTACCAGATGGACTCGCGGTTCTGTGATACCATCCTGCCTCTGGACCTGGACGATGAGGAGATCGTGTATACTGTGCCCGCACTCACAGGGGCGCTGCAGACACTGGACGAGAACGGCTGGAAGCGCTCCCCTTCCCCTGGCCAATCCCATCCTCTCCGTCCAGCGACTGTCATCCGTCTCCGCTATCAATGGTCCAGACTGCGTGAGCGGATCCTCCGGCTGTCACTGGGGAATAAGATCGATGACTTGGCTGGGGAACTAGAGTACGCCCCCCATCACTCCCAAAAAAAGAGTAGAAGAAAAAAGAAAAAAGGAGAGAGAGAGCGAGAGAGAGAAGAATCACACTAACAACCCAGCTCCATCCACCAAGCCCACCAAACCGCCTGGGCCCCCATTCCGCCGCAATACCGCTACACGCCCGTCTGCTGGACCCACCAGACGCCCAACGCCTGCGTCGCGCTGCTTATCATCCACCTCGACTACCTGTATACGGGGTTTCAGCTGCACCGGATATATCAGACGGAAACTGAGGTAGTTAGCAATGCTCTGCTTGATACATCGATGGAGCTGGTGGAGGGGATGCTTGAGTTCGTTACGCAGCAGGAACGGTGCGCTGAGTTGAGGGAGCGGTTTATTTGGATTGTACGTTTGTTTTTGTCTTGCCTTTACCCTCGCTTTCCTTTTGTTTTATCTTCAGTCTGGTTATATATACTTCCTGGTCACTATATACACCACATCCCCCCAAAACTACCCATCTAACAAAAGCTGACATAAGTAATAGTTCCTCTTCTACCTCCTCCCCGGCGCAGGGACGCTCGCTGCATCTCTCCACCAACACACCATTCCTCAAACCCAGACCCCAACCCAAGCCCAAACCCAAACACACACTTCCACCACCACATCCACATCCACATCCACCCCCTTCACACCTCCCGCGTCTACTAATACCTCCACCCTCCCTAATCCTATAAACAATCCCCTCCCCTGCTCATCCCCCTACTCGCGCATCATCCGCAGCCTCAGCGTCGTGATCGCCTGGTTCGAGAACAAAAGACTGCTTCTTCCCCAGAGATCCGATTATCAGGTGTGTTTACAGATCAGTCGGGTGATTGGGGGGTTGGTGGATGAGGTTGTTGATTGGAGGTTTACTTCTGGGGAGGAGGGCAGTATATTGGGAAGGATATCGGGAAGGATATCGGGGGGTGGAGGTGGACGAGAGGAGGGGGAGACGGGGAGATTGAATAATAATAATAATAATAATCATAATAATAATACTGTCGGTGTGGGGGGGATAGGGATGGGGATGGGGATGCGACAGGCGAGTGTTGGAGATGGATATGAGGCTGGAGATGGCCTTGAGGGTGCGGTTGGAGTTGGAGTTGGGGCTGGGCCTGGGGCCGAGGTTGGAGTGACCGGGGAAGATTTCCTGGCGTGGTTCGATGAGGTTGTTTGGGACGAGCCTGTTTATAAGCACTTCAACTGATGAGGCACTTTACTACCTCATTCCCAAGGAATCGTAAATGACATAGTGGAGTGAGTACTAGTAGTATCATCATCACAGCCAAAGGCTCTCTCATCTGACCGACTGTATCCGGCCAGGATTTCTTTTTATCGTAGTAATTTGGCTTCAATCTGCGGTCGCGTAATCGCTGACAGCGTGTAGCAGATCTTGACTCATGCAATATGGGTGGATAGTAAACACATATTTTTTTAATGAAGTGAAAGTACCAGACCTTCATTGTTGTCGTCACGGAGCTACTTGGGCCATGCCGATGATAGCGATACATTCCAAGCGAATACGGGGCAAAAGTCCCTGCCACCCGAATCAACCTATTGTTTCCGTTGCTTCATGTGGCCTGTTTTCCTTGTTCTCGAGAGCTTCAGCCTGTGTGGCTTCAACCTGCATGGCTTCAATCTGCGTGATTTCAATCTATATAGCTTTAATCTGCATGATTTTTGATCTGTCTCTATGACTTCAATCTGCATGGCTTTAATCTATATAGCTCGATATTAGATGGCTTGGTATTAGATGGCTTCGCTCTGCACGCCTTCTAGGCGACCTCGATCATCTAGACACCTAGTATAAAGTATTCGATGTATGTGTAGATCACGATGAGCTATATGCTAAGATACACTAGAGGCCGTTCTTTCCAGTCATTGTTCCGAGTTGGCCCAGAAGGAGTTGAAAGATCCATGACTATTACCTCGAAGCTTACCTGGCTCTCCCCACTCGACCAGCCTGCCAGATTCAAAAACCGCAATGCGATCATATCGGTTGACAGTGTTAAGTCGATGCGTCACCGCCAGGATGGTGTGTTGACTAAACCTCTCCTCCAGGAACTTTAGCATCAAAGTCTCAGTTACTTGGTCCATACCACTGGTGAACTCGTCCACTATCAAGATCCGCTTTTTGCCATTCATTAGAAAGCTACGTCCGATGCAAATCAGCTGCTTCTGCCCATGACTGAAGGGCGATGCGTCCATTTCAGCATCCAATCCACCTCGAGATGAAACCGTTCCCCACAGTTCCAATGATTCCAATATAGCCTGTAACTCGGCGTCGGAGTGGACGAGGGCCGGATCGAGATTCTGTCGAATACTTCCCGGAAATATCACAGGCGCTTGGGGAATCGTGTTACATATGGATCGGACCGCATCACAAGACAGGGTGGAAATGTTGACACCATCGATCGTTATCGCACCCTCTCGCAGTGGTAGCATTTTCAGCAAGGCCAAAATCAATGAAGACTTCCCACTATAAGCATGTGTTAGTCACACTTCTTTGGACGGACAGAGGATTCAAGCAAGGAGTTTTAGAGCCTATCTCCCTGATCGACCGCAAATACCAATTTTCATACCAGGCTCAACGGAGAACGAGACTCTATCTAGGGCGGGCCTGGAAATCGAACTATCAAATGCATGTCAGTTCAATTGCCCATTTCTTTTTAGAGGACTGGACGCGTTTCTGTCTGTACCTGTAGGATGCCGTGACGGAAATGAACTCAATTTTGCCAGTGCTGGAACGAGGGCAGTGCTGTGGAATCTGGGAGCTCGCAGTTGCATCCTCGTCCTCAGGTCGCACATCGGATGTAAAGGATTTAATTCTTCCCACGGCTCCCAGTGATGTCTCAAGAGTAGTATATGCGGAAATGAGTAAGCTCAGAGTTTGGGCAAAATTAAGAACGTTGATCAATGCGGCACCCATTGCGTTTCCAGATGTGATATTCTTGATCTGAGTTCCAAAGGTGACCAGAATGACGGAGACGACAGCAACCAGCAAAGAGAGCACAAAGCTAAGCCAGCGCTGAATGCAGTACAGTGCATAATATGGTCGTTGGGACTTGTCCAGTAGTGCTAGGTTTTCGTCTTTGAATCGATGCTCCCATCCGTGGGCTCTTATTGTGAGGATCCCACTATATGTTTCTAGCATCTGGCTGAACAAAGGTGATTTGGCTTCTAGATCTAGGAAGCGCACTTGTCGAGACGTTCTGAGATACAATTTCTGGATCATATATGTTGCGATAATTACTGCAGGCAAGAATGCAGCAAGGTATTTGACACCCGTGCATATCAGGATAGCTTGGCCAAGGCAAGTGAAGCAATCCAGGAAGAACTCCACTGCCGCTGAAGGGAGATCAATATCAACCAGAGTTATATCTTGACTGAACCGGTTCAGTGTAATTCCTGGGTCTGTGACGGCGTGGAAGCTGTAAGGTGCACGTATTGTCGCTTCGAGGAGTGCCGAGTGTAATCTCCGAGCGGACCGAGGAACGATCACTTGAAACATGAAGAAAAGAACAGATCCATACATGATCATGCCTCCCACCATTATTGCGACATATGAGCAGCCGTACACGATATTACTGTGCCGACCTGGACTCGTCTCAACGGCGTCGACCCAGAAGCCGACCCAAACTTGCCCAAACCGAGTGCAAAACACATAAAGACAGTTCAGTAGGACATAGACCAGTAGGTTGAGGATACCGACACTGTTCAAGTAATACTTGTATATGGATAAGTCTCCTTTCTGCCGAGACAAGTCGTCGGATAAGAACTGATCCGCTGAAGCCAAGGGCTGTGTTGCATGGTCCGGTTGGTCCTGTGACGCACCGTCACCTGTTCCTTCGGGGCTTTCTGGGTCATGGCTGTCTTCGTTTGATATATCCTTGCTTAATTCAAGCTTCTCAGTGGGCCTTCGATGATGTATTCCTCCGTTCTTATCAAGGATGAGCACTGAATCTGCATTGTTTGAAAAACGCAGGCTGTGTGTGACTAGAACGACAGTGCAGCCGAGCTTTTTCAAAAGCCCAGCCGGGCCGAACAAGCGGTTGTGGATTAGGGACTGAGATGTGGTATCTAGGCCGCTGAACGAGTCATCTAGGAGAATCAACGACTTGCGTGCGTAGATTGCTCGCGCCACGGCAACCCGCTGGCTTTGTCCACCAGAGAGGCTCACTGCCTTCGACCCTAGTCTGGTCAGATCACCCTGTGGAAGCTTGGCAATTTCTGAATCCAAACAAGTCGCAAATAAGACTTCCTTATACAGTCTCTGGTCAAAAGGAACTCCTCCGAGAATGTTGTCTCTCAAAGACAGATCCCGAAGCCACACATCTTGACCACAATAAGAAACGCTTAGATCTGCCATGGAAACAGATCCTTTGAAGCATTTGACTTCGCTCAAAAGTGCCTTTAGGAGTGTTGTTTTCCCCGATCCCACGGGCCCCAGAATGACAGTAAAGGAACGAGGTTGGCATTCCCAACAGATATCTTTCAATACAGCATTGTCTGCATCGTCATAGCCGAAGCAGCCATCGCGGATAGAGAAAGAGAAAGGTGGAATGTCCAAGTCCGGATCCATGTGATCGTCACCGATTGTGATACTTTCTGACAGCTCAATTTCTTTTGTACCGGAAGGCTGTTGGTACGTGATAGGCGGCCGAAGTGCAGTCACCGTTCGATGGTTCGGCGTAGTATCTCGGTAATCCTGTTTTTCCTCCAGTAACAGGTACTTCTGAATCCTTGCAAAACATGCCAGTGACGCCAGGAAGGTTGGAAACGCATTCAACGCTAGACCCAAGGGTGATGACATCAAGGCAACGATTGTGAGAGTGTAATATACCAAAGAGCTTGTAAGCTGATCAGACGTATGGTTCATTGTCACAAAAGCAAAAAGAAGAAGCGTCGCAACTGGGGACAAGAGTGCTGAAGTGTTCGCGCAGACGTTCATCAGGCACTCGATTCTCAGATAGGACTTTGCCTTGGTAATTTCAGCGGACCGTAGACTTCGGATCCTGTCACCTATACTGACAGCCAGTGCCATCATTTTTAGGCCTCTGATGTTGGTCAGAAGAGATGATGTCAAACTGACACGCCTTTGCACTGCCTCTAGCCAACTTTCCTGGCGTCCCCTCATCATTTTCGCAATTTGGGTGCTCCCTATGGTTGAGAAAAGCGCCAGAGCAACAGGGGCTATGCACGCAATGCCTAGCTTTCGCTGCAGCAAATAGATTCCCATCCCCACATCAATAGGAGATGCCCATATTTCATGGATGTTTATCCAATTTGTGGCAATGCTGTCAATATCTGTAGTCATGAGCGTCATGGCCGCTGAATCCGTGAGCCTTTCCATATTTAACTTCAGCGTTTTGTCGTAGAGAACTGAGATAAGACCACCACGAACCATGGTGATCATCCGAAATGTCTTGTGTCTGTACATAGCGCTGCTGAAAGCGAGTCCTGTGTAAATCAGCGCAGTTGCTGCGATTAGTCCATATCCGTAGCTTTTGTCTTCTGTCTCATGGTCTCCAACGTAGTCAATTACCCGGAAAATCAAGAAAGGTTGGCACCATGTAAATCCACTTTGGAAGATCCGCGGGATGGCAGCCGCAAATATCGGTCGCTTCAGCGAACGAGCCACCGAAAGAAGCAGCCTGAACTTGATGTTTGGCATCGAGGCAGTCCAGTATATAAGAAACCTTCTCCCCAGGAACTCTGAAGATAAATCGGAGTCCACCTGGAACATATCTGATGGTGATAGCAATGTGCGAAAGCCTTGCCACAAAAGAGGATTGAGCCACCAGAAACAGCCCCGGGTGAGTATTCCCGATACAGACTCTGGGGACAAATTTCTGTATGGCTGACGTAGGACCATGCGTTTGTTTCGGGCCTCCAGGATCAACAAGATCGCCTTGGTAGCTAGGCTGGCAGTTGCAATCGCAGACAGGGGAGTTTGGTTGTGCATCAGCCAAAGAGTCCGCAGCTGAACGGCATCGAACAGGAGACTGAATAATAGGTATATATTTAGAACTGTCGAGGGCTGAACGGATCGACGATATTCAACGGCCGACAAGGCAAGCATGGCGAAAGCATCAACAACTCTGAGAGAAGCTGCGGGAATGGACATGCGGTTGGACGGCGTGGAAGGAGATGCCCATTCAATTAAAAGGGCTATCTGGAGAGCAGCGAAGACCACGAATGCGATCTGTGGGAAGTTCAATAATTAACAGGCGCTGATATCTAGGCTCCAGGGGGGGGGATTTCACTGACCAGTCTTGTGTAGAGCCGGTTGCTCTGTACGGCTTTGACATCTTGTCGCAGCAGGTGAGAAAGCCGCCATGGAAACACGAACAGCAGGACAGTAGATGGAAGCAGAGAAAGGATACTTTGCTCGAAATAAAGGGTGAAATCAAAGCCCGATCGACAATCTCCGGTCACCACGGGGCCAAACATATCATCATTACAGCGAGCCATCCTAATGCTTGAGGAACGAACAGGGACTGATAACAGGCGAGGGTGAGAGCCGGAACGGGTGCCTAATATATAAGAAGTACAGGGGGTTCTCTCTTAGCTGGCCGGCCTAAGATATTCCAAGGACCATGCGCAAGAGGGATTGTATCAGGATGAGTGGATGGTAAGAGAAACCAATCAAACCAAGTGTTGAATGCATATGGCGATAATATGGCGACAGCACTCCACCCGGCCTAGTAGTGGGCAAGGCTGAGCGCGCTATGCGCCCGGAGTAAAGGACATGGGGAGCCCCAAGACGCTATACTACCACCTAGATAGCATATACCTAATAGTTAGTAGTAGTTTACCAGTAGTACAGGGTATAGGTAAGGTACCAGAACCTGAGCCCATACGGGTTTACCAATGATGGTCGGTAATTAACTAAGTCAGCCTATATTACGAGAAATGTATCAATACAAAGAATTTCATCTTCCTCCTGTATCTTATTGTGCTTATCATCCAACTTCCAAGGTTCCTGTCAATTCAGCTGCGCGGGCCATGCAGCCGAGCCGCGTCCCGCTCTTTGTTGTATGATATCCATCTGCCATCTATCTATGTACCTATCCAGTACCCCTGTACTACTAACTGCTTGCATCTACGCCACCCCCTCCCCAACAAGCTTGGTTTCCTGGATTATTGGGAGAGGAGAGTCGTCGGAGTCCGCCTAGCCGCCGGAGACCTGCCTGAAGCATGACCAATAAGGGCACGCCGCCTTCTGGTCAGATCATGATGCGATCCCATCCAAAAGTCCGGAGTACAAACAAGAGCCCCGACAGAGACCAACTCTCTGTCAGACATTTCCCAGGAAGACCGGACCGAAAGTTCTTCTTCCTATCATCTTCCTACTTTCAATCCCTCTCCCCACTGCACAACCAAGTCAATCCTCCCCAACACTGCCCCAACAAGCAGATGGATCAACAAAGTGACCATAGGCGATCGAAGCATCTGCTTCTTTTGCTTTCTTTGACGGCCTTCCTCTTTTTCCTCGGAGAAAATATCCAACAAGCCCCGCGAACCCAGATCTACGAGACAATCATCTGTGACCAAATGATACCATGGAACTCGGAAACCCCGCCACCGAGTTCTAGATGTAAAAGCAAGGTCGTTCAGGAAGAGTTGGCCTTCCTCAAGGGCACAGAGAGGCTTTTAGGGGCTCTGCCGAGTAAATCTTGAATAGCCCTCAAGCTCCTGGATGCAGTACACGTGCTAACCTGTCAATCGCACCATCATTGTATAGCCATCCTCGTGATTCCGTGGAGTATGTTCGCCGAAAGGTACGGCCGCTGCCGTTCGCTGAGATTGGCGTTGCTGGGCGTTCTATGTGAGGAAGCCTGGAGCTGTCTCATCTGCTGGCTTTCAGACTTGGTTCCGATTCGCCTCATTCTACTGGCGCCCTTATTCGAAGTGGTTGGGGGAGGCCCCGCCATAATTACCACCATGATCCATCTGTTGGCCGCCGAAGTGACTACGGATGAAAAGCGGACAACCACCTTCTTTGTCATTCGTGCCATGGGGATTGCAGCAGCAATGCTGGCCCAGCTCACCAGCTCGTTCCTGATGATCCGTAATGTGTGGGTGCCGTGGGTTTTAGGACTACTCTGCATATTCCTCTCGACGCTTGCCGCTCCGTTTGAGTCAACCCCCGGCTTTCAGATTCCTCCGGATGAGACCCCTATTCTACAGCACAGTGTGGGTCGTATGGGTAGCTTGGATCGGGATAATGTCCTTCTCAGTAAGAAAAATGCTGGTATAAAGTCTCGTTTCGTCTTGGCGGCGAAGCAACTCCACGAAGGCGCAAGGACTGTTTATGGGAACTTCTCGCTTCTCGTCTTACTTGGACTGTCATTTCTGGGTCAGTTGAGTGAGGACTCGCTGCCTATGATCCTGCTGCTTTATATTTCAAAACGGTTTGGGTGGGAATTTGCGCAGGTAGGTGCTGGGTGAAGCCTTGATTGGAGCATTGGGGTGAAAAAAGGCTGACCGATTGAACAGGCCAACTTCCTATGGGCCTTAGGAGAGGGGGTTCAGTTTGTGATCCTCATTGTCCTTCTTCCTCAAATCAGTCGGGCCCTCCTGACTCGTGTCCACATGAGCGCATATGGGACCGATTTTGCGATATCCATTGCCAGCGCAACGATGCTGAGCTTAGGCACCTTGCTCCTCGGACTGGGTGTTTCTATTCCTGTCGCCATCATCGGTATGCCTACCCGTTACTCCTTGTCTCTGAACTATCGTTGATATATATCCTGCTAGGGGTCGTTTTGATGTCAACAGCAGGAGGTCTTCAATCTGCGCTGCGGTCTCTCCTGACCATGATGATTCCTCCAGATGATCTCAGCGTTGTATACTCCATTTTCACTATCCTCCACGTCTTGAGCACTTCCTTGGCAGGGCCGCTCTATTCGGGCACCTTTGCTTTGGGATTGAAGTTTGGGGTCGAGTACACTGGATTCCCATTTATCGTATCTGCTACCTTAGCTGCCCTCTCATTGCCGATGTTATTGTTGATTCGACCCCGCCATGACTACGAGCCAGTGCAGGACGTGACGGCTTGAGGCATTTCGAATTTACGAGAGCAGAACACCGGTCTACTGATAAGGAGGAATCTAGCATGGAACTATCTAGTTCCATGCAGTGCGACCGCAACGCATCCGCTCGCGTCGTCCCAATACACGGGTAATGACCTCTTGTGATGAGTTGGAGAATAGCGTGTCATAGAGAAAGGAAATTTTCAAATGTAGAGAGTTGCCAAAGAGATGCCAACCTCTCGCCTTCAAATCAAGTGTCGGTATGGCCGGAAGCAGCAGGCCTTCCTCCGACGAATCAACCAGTTTTCAGAGCTCATGCTTCGTGCCCATCTCCTACTAAAGTCCTATAAGGCTATAGCCGACCAATAGACATATTGTATGCTATTTCGACAACTTCAAGAGTCTCCTCCAATCGACATGATCCACTGCGAGAGAAAAGACATTCTCCCAATCAATCAATCGGATCCAGGCCTTGTCTACTTGATAATTTTCAACCCGACTACATAAATTCCACCAATGGGAGCTTGGTTGGATGCTAATATTCACTTACTAACATATTCCCCTGGGTTAAATTTCAAGTGTCTTGAACCCTTGTAATTCATCACTCATCGCTCAAAGAATATTGACTCTACGCATACATACACAGTGCAAAACACCCAGCAATCATAAGCAGCTCAACTCAACTCATCCTAGTCAAGCATACCACTCCCCAACCCACTCCTTAATCTGCCTGACCTCATTATCCACGACGCGCCTCACACCCGCATTGGCATAGTAATCGGCCATGTAGAGGTCGGAGCAGTGGAAGGCGCCGGGGATGACCTGCACGGGTTCGCGGGGGGTGCTGACCAGGGGGCCGGTGGGACGGAAGGTTGACGAGACGGTGGCGTCTCTCCAGGGGTCGTATTGTCTGGATTTATTATGCAGTTAGTTTCGGTGGGGATTGGTTAGTGGGTTTGTATCTGTATCCATCATATACAGTATACAGTATACAGTATACAGTATACAAAAGATATCGTGGAGTATAACCCTCATCCAAGACGAGAATCGGGTACCTTCAGCTCAACTCCCTCTAAGATGAGGAGAGGAAAGCAAGAAGAGGAAAGGAAAGGAAAGGAAAGGAAAAAAGACGTACCCATTCGTCCAAATCAACCGGGTCGTGTTACGGGTCATATCCCACCCGCCAGTCCACTTGTTGAACGTGTCGGCGGACTTGCCCACCGCGCTGCCGAACGTGTAGCCGTTCACTTCGGGGAAGTACAGGCCGCATTGGCGCTGCCAGTACTCGGCGCTGACGAGCCGGGGGACGATGGTGCTGGTGTTTTCGGGGGCGCCACTATTGTATTATTAATATCTTGTTAGTATGTTTCTCGTGGGGAGAGGGGAGGGTGCGGAGTAGAGTGGAGTGGATGGGTGGGTTGAAAGGGTAGGGTAGAATGTAGATAGGGCAAGCAGGGTAACGAAGATAGGTTAAAACCAAGTAAGGGGAGGGGGAGACGACTCACTCCTGCCACCAAAAGAAAGGCTCATTACAGAGCAGCCACTCCCACTGACGATCGATGGCGTTGCCAACCGAAGTGTCCGTGAAGATAGGGCTGGAGGGGTTGTAGGTGTCGAAGCAGGCGACGCTCCATTCGTCGGACCAGTAGCCGTAGCTGGCGCAGTCTGCAAGTATATCACATTAGGATATGAGCATGGAAATAGCAAGACCACGGTAATAGCAGAAAGAATAAGGGGTCAGGTAATGGGGATCGTACAGTCAGGCAGTATAGTCGCGTTGAACCAGTTGGCGTAGCCCGCCAGAGCCTTCTCGAGACCGACGCCTTCGGGGCCGGGCGTTACGGCGGCACCGGCTTCGACGCCCTGGATGGGTGTTAGTCTTTCTCTCTCTATCTCTCGTATGCAGCATGTAATATGCAGCATGTAACATGCAGCATGTAATATGCAATATAGAAGGCAAGTAAGGAGTCAAGGGGGAAGTAAATACCTCAACCGCATCACAAAAAACAAAGAAATCCGAGTATCCCGTCGCGAAATCATTGTCCTGCCAGAGATAGGGTCCAATGGGGAGGATACTGCGTGTGTCTGTTAGCCCTGAACCTTCCACCTTCCACCTTCCACACAAAAACCCGGACTTAGGATAGAAAAACAACTCACGCAGCAAAATCATCATAATGCTTCAACTTGCCCACGCCAAACAGCTCCTTCAGCGCCTGCTGCTCGGCCACCGTGCCCGTCTTCCCGACCTTGTCGACGTACTCCGCGACAAGGGAGACATCCTTGCTGCAGTTCTGGGCCATTCCTTGCTGGATGGGGTAGAAGTATTGCCACTATAGGTCATCAGTATCAACACTACCAGCACTACCAGCACTACCAGCAGCCAACTGTCATATGACGGTCAAAAAAAAAAGGAAGAGAGAACGTGGGCGGGACATACAAAATCATAAATCGACTCCACAGGGGCACTAGTAGCGTGATACGCCCAGAAAGTGCCCGGGGCGAGATCCTCCACCCAGGCGGTTAGGGCACCACTGTAGGAGCCGCCGACCAGGACCCAAGGCTGTTGGATTCATGACAGTTAGGGTTAGCGGGTTGCATTGCACTTATTGTCTGACAGATGGGACATGCAACAGACAGAACGAGAGAAGGGAAGAAGGGAAGAAAGAAGGGAGGAAAGAAGGAAGGAAGGGAGAAAATCATACAGCATCCTTAGCGTTACTGCGACTGCTATTGTCGAAGCTCAGCTGAGCCGTCTCGGCGAAGTAGGTCATGTCCAGGACGGCCTGCTCGAGGGTGAGATACTGGAGGGTTTCGGCGGTGAGGTTCTCGTAGGGGGAGGAGTCGCCCCAGTAGCGGTCTAAGACGTAGCTTAGCTATCAGTGTATATTTTCTAATAGATCTCGAGGATGGATGCATGGATGCATGGATAGATGGATAGATCGGTAAAACTCACGCTCAATCAAAATCACCGCACCCTGGATCTCCTGCGCATAGACACCAGTCAAGGTCTCATTGGTGAGGTATCCCTCGTAGCCATCGGCGGAGACTTCGCCGGGGGTGAAGAGCACCACCTATACCGAGACAATGGTTAGCATTGATCCATCCATACATAGTATACACAACCACATCCACATCACCCCAACCCTAACCCAATCCCCCAACTCAAACCCCCCAATCGCAACCCAACCCAACCCCAAACCAAAAACACCAAGACCACCACCACCAACACCATCACCAAAACCAACAAAAAAAGTAACAAAAAGAAAGAGAGAAACAAAAAAAAAAAAAAAAAAAACCTACCGGCGACCCCGGCCCACCCCAATACTCCGTACTCCACCAATACCTCTGCGCGAACGTCCCCTTGCTAGGATCAGCATGATCCAGCAACTGCTGAAAGTAAGTCTGGCCGGTGGTAGCAGCATCGGCACTACCCTCAGGGCGAGAGACAGGCTTCGGGACCATGCGAGGGCCACGCGCGGCCTGGACGAGGGAAGCCCATGAGGAGACGGCGAGGGCGGCGGCAGCGAGACGGAGAGGTGAGAAGGGACGCATCTTGATCTGTCTGGGCTAGCTGGCTAGCTAGCGAGCTAGATAGATAGCTATCTGAGCTGTATGTGTCTGTCCGGGAGTCACGGAGCAGCAGACTAGGTAGGTAGACTGCAGACTGGACCGACTACAACCACAAACTACAGACAGGGACGAGGCGGCGGCGGAGGAGGAAGAGGGGGGATGGGGGGAGGGCTTTATGTAGCTAGAGCTAGCTAGGGAAGTAGGACGGAGTGCATAGGCCATGGTGAGAGAGCCAGAGAGAGAGAGCGAGAGAGATAGTGAGAGTGAGTGAGTGAGTGAGGGGCATATGGCGCAAGCGGAGCCAGAATTGTGCACATTGCATTTCACATTGGATCGGGTCAGTACGACCAAGCTAGGTAGCTACTCCAGACCGCAAGATTACTGCAGCGGGAGAGGGAGATGGGAGGGGAAGGGGAATGAAAGCAGCGGCGATAGTCAGAAATCGCCGACGGAGAGCGTCGGGGAGCCGAGGGGGTGGATCCCCGCCTGCAGAGTGCAGATGACATCGTCAGGAGATGGGGCGTCGGGGATGGGGAAATCGGCTGCAGGAACGGGGAGGGTTTCTCGAATGAGATAGGAGAGCTTTATCGCGGGTGATAACACCCACACTAACACTAACAATCTAACGGGTGCGAGAGAGAGAGAGATAGGTAGATACTGACTGATAGATAAATTGATTACGACGGATGGCGGATGGAGATGGACGGAACGGGTGGATAGATGGATGGATGGATGGATTGACCGCTTCTGCAGGTGGAGAACGAGCGGAAGTTAAGAAGTAAGACATCACATTGTTCGCCAGTTCAAGTGATTCTTGCAGCCTGCAGCGGTGCAACATCACCTGCAGATGCAGCCCTCTCCATGCCTTCTGTCCTACCGGCTTAGGGCTTGTGACAGTCACAGATGCCGGGTGCGGAGCCTGACCCTCCAGGCAGAAACCAGCAAAGATGAAAAAAAAAAAGAAAAAAAAAAGACTGATGCAGTAATCTATAAGTCCAGTACAGTGACAAGAATGGAATGGAATACAATAATACACTTTACAAGTCCTCCTCGTCCTCCGACACCGCTTTCCCTTGCTTGTTGAGCCGCGACATCTCGTGCTGTTGCCCGCCCGGCGTCGACATCGCGATCGCCTGTCGCCCCGTGTCCGACGACTCCAGGAACTCGCGCAGTCGCCGTTTGCCCTCCACCATCGCCTGGTTCGACGCCGCCTCCGTCATCTTCAGGATCGGGCCCCAGAGGTTCAGCTGGTACGTCACGTACGCGCCCACCAGGCACACAAAAAGCAAGAAGAAGTAGGCCGGGTTGCGCAGGACTGAGTAGCAGTTAGCCGGGAGTCATGCAGTCGCAAATGAAATAAAAAAGAAAAGAAAATATAAAAGGCGGAGAAGAAAAAGGAAGAAGAGGGAAAAAAACTCACCAGCAATAATCTCGTTCCACCCCAGCGCAAGCAGGATGCCGTAAAAGTACAGCGGCACCTGCGTCATGCCTCCGATGGCACTCCGCTTGGCCTCGACGTACACCCCGTCCGCCGACTTCTTAAACCGCACCGTCAGCTCCTGCCGCTTGGCCTCGCCCAGCATCGTCATCTCCTCCTCCAGGCTCTTGCCCTCCTCCTCGTCCACTCCGCCGATAGGGGGCAGATCCTCCTCGTCCGCCGGCGTCGCCGAGCTGGGCGTGTGGCCAACCCAGCGATCCAGCGGGGGCGCCGCCGACGTGTCCGCCAGCCGGAACCGCGACAGCAGCGGAATCAGCGTCAGCGTCGACTCGCGAGCCCGCGTGTACACGCCCTCGATGTCGTCCGTCGGCCGCCAGATCCGAGGGACGCCCGCCTCGTCGTAGCGGAACTTGTCCTCGAAGTTCTCGCGCAGCTTCAGCAGCAGGTTGCCCTCAATCATCTCCTCGTCAATCTTGGCGCGCAGCACGCCCCACGACTTCCGACGCAGCCGCCAGAGCCCCACGTCCACCTCCTCCAGGCTGGCATCGAAGCTGCTGGCGCGGTCGGTGAATCGCCGCTCCGCATCCAGCACCGTCTCGACGAACACGTTCCACACGCGGTCCCAGAACTTCTGCTCCGTAGGCTTCTCCCCGGATTCCGGCGCGGCACCGCCGGCCCGTCCAGACCCGAGCGCGTTGAACTCGAGGCCCACCGACTCGCCCAGGCGCGACTGCACCCATCGCTCAACCCGGCTGGCCAGGCGCCGCATCTCCTCCCGGCGGAGTCGCGCGCTCACCTCGGCCAGTTCTTTCTCGTACAGCGACCGTTGCTGCTGGGAGTCGCTCCACGCGGCGCCTTCGACAGCCGTGGACCGGGCGACCTCCTCGAACTTCTGGATGGCTTTGGCCACTTCATCATTGACAATCTCCGCGAAGTCGTAGCCGGTGCCCTTCTTCTGCCCCGCCTTCACGGCACCCGAGACCGCCTCGGTGAACTCCTGGATCCCTGACTTGTGCGTGGCATCGAGCTGGCCTTGGAAGAGAGCCTTCAGACGAGTATCAATTTTCTCCTCCAGCTCTGCCTGCTTGCGCTGGTACACCCCCTTGTGGTACCGGCTGGCTTCCGTCTCGAAGTTCTGGAAAGCCTTAGTCCGCGCAGAGCGCATCGCCGCCCCCAGGCCCCCAAGAATCTCCGGTTCCCCAAGACGAGCCGCCTGCGACTGTTTGTCTTCGAATGGAACGATGGCTTCATCGAACGCGACCATGACCTCCCGCAGAATCTCGTCGCAGCGGAACTGCGCCAGCAATTCCTGCTGCGTGGGGAGGTCCAGATCCTTGTTGTTCACGATCTGATCCCAGATGCCTTCTGCGTAGCGCGAAAACCCGTCCGCGGGGATGCGACGGTGGTACTCCGGGAGGAACACGCCGCCGTCGGAAAACTCGCCCTTCAGCGCATCCAGGCTGGGGTCCTTCTGGCCCTCGCGGAAGCGCAGGCTCAGCTTCTTCGTCTCGGCCACGAACTGCTCCGGCTGGTAGCTCTTATGCGGGAGCCCGTAGAACTGGAAATCGAAGTAATCATGGACCGTGCTGCGCTCCAGGCCCTCGGGCTTGGTGATCGTATCCCAGAGACGCGAGATATCTTCTATGAGGGTCCTCTGCAGGTTCTTGAGGGGTGTGTTGCCGACGAAATCACGGATGACGAAAAACAGGAGGGATCGGTGGGTGGTACTAAGAACAGCCGTTAGTAGAGCACAACCATAAGACCCAAGTAAGACCATACTTCCTGTCCTTCAAGAAGAGCTGCAGGTTGACCTCAAAGACCGTCTTCAGCAGCCCCATGTTTGCGCCCTGGTACAACCCGACCTGGTGCTCCCAGATGTTGACAATCAGAACTTCACTCGTCGCCAGCGCGAATAGAGCACTCTTGCGCTCGAAGTCCTGGTCCTCGCCTCTCTCGCGACCGTCCGTCCCCTCGACATCCATGACGAGGATGTTGTCGGCCATGGACCCGTCGCCGCCGTTCTTGTTATTCGACATCCAGATGCCCTTGGTGGTTTGGCGTCGCTCCAGCTCCGACATCACGGAGAAGTGGGTGCCGAAGAGGTGGTTGAGCAGAGTGGACTTGCCCGTCGACTGGGACCCGAAGACGGAGATGAGGTGGTAATTGAAGCCGGCGGAGGTGACATTTTCGAGGCTGAGGTATTTCGAGATGTTGGCACTGTGGAGGTTGTCAGCTTATGCGCCGTCGGAGACCCCTGAAATGATGGTCGCGAGAGTGTCGCATGGTGGCGGAGGTCTGGTGGGAAGGCGACCATGCGGGACTGTGTCAGGGACAGCAGGGGAGCAACGCATACTTGAACTCCTTATCCCCGTCGATGACCTGCACGCCATGCTCGTAGGCGGTCTTGTCACTGCTGCCGTTGCCAATCGCGGCAAAATGGCCATTGGTTGCCATGGCGAAGGAGGGCGGTGCACGTATGCCCGAATTGATGGAGGGGTGGGTGTAACGGAGTGTGGTTGTGGTTGTGGTTGTGATGGGGATGATGTTGGTTGTTGAGGAGGGATTTGAGGGGGGTTGGTTGGTTGGGGAAGGAAGCGATCCGGAGGCCGCTGGAACAACGTCAGATGCGGAGACCGTGGCGAGAAAGAAAGGAGAGATCGGGAAGTAAGGAGAGCGGGAGTCGAGGTGGTATGAGGTCAAGGGAAATAACTAATAATAATAATAGATCACCACGGGAGACGGGCAATCACAAGACGAGAAAGCCCCCACCGAGGTCTGGTGGAAACGAGGGAGGGAGGGAGGGTCGGCTGAGAAAGTGGAAGATGGAAAGAAAGGTGGCTGGCCTGGTCAGGAGTCTTTAACTTTCTTTTCTGACTACTTGGCAACGGCGTAACAGTTGTTACACAAGTTGTCTACTTGTACACAGTAATAACTGCAGCCAGCACACTTGTCGCCTCAGATTCCAGGCAGCCACCGCCCGGTCCAGTCTCCGCCCCTGTTCGGGTTAGCCGCCCGTGATGCGATCGATCTATACTTGGGTCTACTCGGTACGGGGTACGCGTACAATACATCCATCTACTGTGTATTTCTACTCCGTACACAGTACGGGTACGAGCACAGACAGTAAGAGATCGTCCAGTCATATTCAACGACATAGCTAGAATAGAGAAGAGAGGAGAATATAGAAAAGTCTACAAGGTTCAATACAATACAGATACATGGATATGGCTCGAGAACTCCGGTGCAACCCACCATCCTGGCGTGTCAGTCCCGCTGCAAGATGGTGCAAACATTATCAATGGATCCCCGTCCCAGTTTTTGCTTCATTTCCCCCATACTACTCCGCGGCCCCGCATTTAATTCTCCAGGACCCGGGTAACCAGGCCGGTCGCAACAGTGCGGCCACCCTCACGGAGGTTGAAGCGCTGACCAGCCTCGGCGGCGACGGGGCGGTGGGTCTTGATCACCATCTCGACGTTGTCACCGGGCATGATGCGGCGGCTCTGGTCACCGTCGGGGAAGCTGAACTCAGCCGCCTCATCTAGCAGGTTGTTAGTCAATATTGGGAGCACCGGGGACCGCGAGACACTTACCGGCAGTACGGATGAACAGCTGGGGACGGTACTGGGTACCGAAGCCGGTACGACGACCACCCTCAGCCTCGGTCAGGACGTACATGGAGACCATGAACCTGTCGTGGGCCTTGGTGCTTCCGGGGGCGACAGCGACCATACCACGCTTGATCTCGTCACGCTTGACACCACGGAGAAGGAGACCGGAGTTGTCACCAGCACGGGACTCATCGCAGGACTTCTTGAAGGTCTCAATGTCGGTAACCTTGGTCTTGATGACCTCGTTGGAGGTTCCGATGATCTCGATTTCGCTGTCCTTCTTGAGGAGACCACGCTCGACACGGCCGGAGACGACGGTACCACGGCCGGGGATGGAGAACACCTCCTCGATGGACATCAGGAAGGGCTTGTCCATCTCACGCTGGGGGGTGGGGATCCAGGTGTCGACGGCCTCGAGGAGCTCGTCGATCTTCTGGGCACCGATCTCGGGGCGGCGGTCCTCCATGGCGCAGAGGGCAGAGCCGAAGACGATGGGGGTCTCGTCACCCTCGAAGCCGTAGGAGGTGAGGAGCTCGCGCATTTCCAGCTCAACGAGCTCCAGCATCTCCGGGTCGTCAATGGCATCGACCTTGTTGACGAAGACAACAAGCTTCTGGACACCGACCTGACGGGCCAGCAGCAAGTGCTCGCGGGTCTGGGGCCTGGGCGGGGGTAAGCAGCTATTCTCGGGCGAGCAAACGAGAGGGTCAATCCTACATCTGACCGTCGGAGGCAGCAACGACAATGATGGAACCGTCCATGTTGGCGGCACCGGTGATCATGTTCTTGATGTAATCGGCGTGACCGGGGCAGTCGACGTGGGAGTAGTGACGCTTCTCGGTGGCGTACTCGATGTGGGCAGAGGAGATGGTGATACCACGCTTGCGCTCCTCAGGGGCCTTGTCGATGGCACCATACTCGAGGAACTCGGCGAGGCCCTTGGTGGCCTGGTGCTTGGTGATGGCAGCGGTCAAGGTGGTCTAGAGAGAGAGGTGTGAGAAGTTTTCGGGTCGTGTCGGAGAAGGCACCGAGGGGGGAAGGCATTGCAAGCTCACCTTGCCGTGATCGACGTGGCCAATGGTACCTATTTCGATGTGATTAGCCATTGCACAGGGCCAGATGACCAATATGGACAGAGGATGAAAGCATACCGATGTTGACGTGAGGCTTGGTCCGCTCGAAGGCGGTTGCCATACCACGGGCAGCCAGCTTGTCCTTGAGGAACACATGCTGGATGGGGTTGACACCGCGGGGGCACAGCAGGGAGGCCCTGCTGGAGCGGAGGAAGAAGTTGGCAGATCTAGCGAGACCGGACATGATGGCTACCCTGTGATGAGAGACAACCGGACAGGAATGAAAACAGAGAACGGACGAGATGAGCTGCCGGCCGGCGCCTTCTTGAGCCGGGAAAATTTAGGGGAGCGCTGACTCAGCCGTTGGCCAATCACGCCCGCAGCATTGCGGAAACGCTAGACTACTACTACTACTATACTACAGGTACCGGGCCACCCAAGTACTACGCGCAGGTACATCCGAGCATTCACTTCGTATCATATTCGTGTAAGAACTGTGTTCATTCCACTTTTCATTCCCTAGAATAGACTATATACATGGCACCGCATTCCACCCTAGCAGTATACACATTGGATATCATACACACGCCCCCTCCCCCGTCACAGGTCCTTTTTCTGCACTACCAGCACCACATGCTTGCCCGGCATCCCTTCCATAGGCTTGACCGGCATAGCATTGGCCTCCTTCGTAGCCGTCATCACCTGGTCCATCACGTTCTTCACCTCTTCCACCGTCGGCGGGCGCTTGCCCTTCTTCCGCGTCAGGACGAGCTCCACCTTGCGGCCCTTGCTGAGGAAGTTCCCGAACTGCTTCAGCCGATGGGAGAGGTCGTGCGAGTCGATGGCCCAATTCAGCTCGATCTGCTTGAGGATGTCCTTGGGGGCCTTGGCTTTATCGCGTAGCTGTTTCGTCAATTCGTATTTGTTCATGACCTTGCAGACCGGAATTCCCTCCGCGCCCGCCGCCACCTGCACCAGGCATAGCTTCGAGCGATCGATCATTTTCAGGGCATCGCGGAGTCGTATCGGTTCATCCAAGCCGTTGTTCTCGTTGACAATCTGAACGACACGGGCCTGGATGGCCTCGTCTCGTTCTTGGGCTGGTGGGGGAGGTACGTTGGTTGGTTTGGAATATATCTTGTGTAGTTGAGCGGTCGGGCTGTAGTGGCGAACGGGAGTGTCATTGATTCTGTTCTGGAGTCCCAGGCCCAGTCGACCGCATTGAGGTCGGACCGTGGGTTGGGGAATGAGGAGTGGACGGAGGGCCCGCGTGGGCGGGCAGAGGCTGCGGATGTGCTTCATTTTCGGGGCGTAACCTGCCTGCCCGGAGCGGCGGTTGGAGGGAGATTGGGAAGGGAGGCTGGAGGGAGCGAGACCGGGGAGGTTCTGGAAGCAATCGACGGGGAGAGGAGTGAGGAATGTGTCTCGAGAGGAGAGCTGCAAGCGGCGAAGGCACCAGCCACGGCGTGCCGCACGCCACAAACGGGCGGATCCATCGTTTCAGAGACCCTGAGAGGCTGAGAGGCCGACCGACCAGACCCTCCCTAATTAATCGTAAATGCCCGGTGGCATTTGCCTCTCTGCCGTCCCTCCCTCTCTCTCTCCCTCTCGTTCTCTTCTCACACGCTCTCTTTCTCTCTCCCCCCTGAATTTCCCTCCCCGTCATCCTTCCTCTCGCTGCTCTGTTTTTGGGCTGGACCGGAGGCTCCCGGACGATCCTATGGTTTCTCTTTGTTCCCATCGTTAATTTATCACTCTTTCGTCGGTCGGAACTACACAGCGTTGTCCCCGGGACCACACACGATACAGCCTCATCCATCTCTAGGCCTTGTCCGCATGTCGACTGGAGTTGACAGTCGACACTCCCAGGGTACACCGTCATTTTCCATCCCCGGTTCGAGAGCAGGTCGACGCTCAGTGTCGCGCGCCTCCGATCCCGCATTCACTTCTGTCAATCTGGACGATTCACTCGATAAACCTCCTCGCAGCCTCACCGCTATGATGTCCCAAAATCAGCGGTCGCGCTACCTCAAGACCGGCGCCATTGTCGGTGTCGTACTGCTGATGCTCCTGTGGCTGTCGCCTTCCAAGCCCAGCGTCAGCAACTTTGGATCCCGTAAGTTGTCCCCCGCCCATTCGACCCCCGAGTCTGGCTCACATTCGATTGCAGAACCCCCGAACACTGCCGTGGTTCCGTTGACCGACAAGTGTACGAAGCCGCACGACCCCTCGAAGCCCTTGATCCAATATGCGCTCATGATCGACGCGGGAAGCCAGGGCTCCCGCATCCACGTCTACCGGTTCAACAACTGCGGCCCGACCCCCGAGCTGGAGAACGAAGTCTTTGAGCAGACCGAGAAGCGCCAGGGTGGCTCTGGACTGAGCGCGTACAAGGAGGATGCGGAGGGGGCCGCCAAGAGTCTAGACCCTCTGATGCAGGTCGCTCTCAAGTCCGTGCCCGATGAGTACAAGTCTTGCTCCCCCGTCGCCGTCAAGGCCACCGCGGGACTGCGCATGCTCGGACCCGAGCTGAGCCAGCGCATTCTGGAGGCCGTGAGAACGCGTCTGGAGACGGTCTACCCCTTCCCGGTCGTGTCTCGAGAGAAGGGCGGTGTTCAGATCATGGATGGCTCCGACGAGGGTGTCTACGCCTGGATCACCACCAACTACCTCCTTGGAAAGATTGGCGGTCCGGACGAGACCCCTACCGCAGCCATCCTCGATCTGGGTGGCGGTTCCACGCAGATTGTCTACCAGCCCACGTTCCCGAAGAGCCCCAACGGCGGCATGCCGGAGCAGCTGGCGGCTGGCGACCACAAGTACGAGCTGCAGTTCGGCGGTCGGCACTTTGACCTGTACCAGCACTCCCACCTGGGCTACGGGCTGATGGCCGCGCGGGACGCCGTGCACAAGGCGATCGTCGATGCGAAGCTGGCCGCCAGCCCCGTTGACCTGTCCTGGCTGACGCAGCCCATCTCCAACCCTTGCATTGGACCGGGCATGGAGCGCGATGTCGAGCTGACCTTCGACAACGACCACAAGCTCGCGGGCAAGGTGACCGTGAAGATGGTGGGCCCGAAGGCGGGCATGTCGTCCGCGGCGCAGTGCCGTGGCCTGACGGAGAAGATCCTCAACAAGGACGCCGACTGCAAGCTGGCGCCATGCTCCTTCAACGGGGTTCACCAACCCTCGATGGAGAAGACCTTTGCGCGGGAAGACGTGTACATCTTCTCTTACTTCTACGACCGCACCAAGCCGCTGGGCATGCCGGACTCGTTCACTCTGGAGGAGATGCACCAGCTCACGGCGACGGTGTGCGCGGGCGAGCCGCAGTGGAAGATCTTCGAGGGCATCGACGATGCTCTGGCGCAGCTGCGCGACCGGCCCGAGTGGTGCCTGGACCTCAACTTCCAGCTGGGTCTGCTGCACACGGGCTACGACATGCCGTTGTCGCGCGAAGTTAAGATCGCGAAGAAGATCAAGAACAACGAACTTGGCTGGTGTCTGGGCGCGAGGTGAGTCCCCCTATCTTTGTTCTTTCCTGTGTCTTTCCATTTTCATGCTAACAAGACATAGTCTGCCCCTACTGAGCAAGGAGTCCGGCTGGACATGCCGGGTGAAGGAGGTTTCCTAAGCGGATGACGGTGACGCGGTGACGACGATAGTTAATAAGATCAAGACTTTTTACTCTTGAGCGTATACATTTCTAATTTCATGCAAATAGTCTAGACTTGAACCTACCTTCCCGTGCGACGTGTGTTGAATCTGGTGGTGTTGTGTTGGTGTTGGTGTTATGTACGGTATGATTATGCTAGTTATGCTATCTATCTATTCTATCCAACCATGCCATGTTTCAACCCCGAGAATTCCATCCAAAGTACTAAAAACAGAACCCATGACCCAACTTTTGTAGACCAGCCTGTATAGTACCCCAGCCAGTAATAACAGCAAGAATAATGATGATGATGATGATAAGATAAATGTAACCCCAAGCGCCAACCATGCAACCAGGCAACCTATACCAAAACTGACAAAAAAAAACCCCCCCTCCCCAACCACCAACAAACCGTCATAATACCCAAACAAAGTAAGAAAGAAAGAAGAAAGGAAGAAAGACAGACAGACAGACAGACAGACAGATAGACAGAGTAGAATCTGGTCTGCTTTAAATCTCCTCAATAGAGGGCTTCCCCCCCTCAGTCTCAGAATTAGTATTCCCCATCAGCGTATCCAAAACATTCAACCCATCCTTCTGCAGCCCGTTGGCATTCGCGTTCGCGTTGGCATTCGCATTCGCATCCGCATCCGCATCCGCATTCCTCTTCAGCCTCTCCGCCAGAATCTGCCGTCCACTCAACTCCAACTCCACGTCGGCGTCGGCGTCATCGTCCCCGTCGCGCTTCTCTTCCAGAACGCCTAGACCCAGATTCTACAACACGACGATTAGCACACCGTCCATATTCACATCCACATCCACATTCACATCCACAAGAAGAGAAGGGTAAAAGTAAAAAGTAAGTAGTATAAAAAAGACATACCATCTCAATATACTGCCTCCCACTCCCCTCCCCACCCTCCGCAGTAATATCGTCGTCGTCGTCATCATCACTATCCTCCTCCAACCGCAGGTCCTTCGCCCGTCCCGCCGCAATCTCGCGCTCGAGATGCTCGTTCGCGCTCTTCATCTGCGGCAGGAAGGCGGATAGTCGGGAGAGCAGATCGGGGTTCTGGTTCATGGCGCGGATGCGCGGTTTGGTGAGGGTGGGGATGCGGGGGATTTCGTCGGCGGAGGTGGTGGTTTGGGAGGGAGGGAGGGAGGCGGGTGAGGTGTCTTCGTCTGAGGCGTCTTCGGAGGAGGAGGAGGAGGAGGAGGAGCCGGAGGAGGAGGTGTAGTCGTCGTCATCGTCGTCTTCGGGGACGGGGACGGGAGGGGGTTGCGGTGGGAGTGGGGGGGAGGGGAGGAGGGGAGTGTTCGCGGCGGTCGAGGTCGGAGGAGGTGGAGGTTGTGTGGGTGCCATTGTGGTGTGATGGTGGGAGTGGCAGGGAGGTAGAGGGAGGGCGGGGGGTAAGGATGTAGATAGATAGGTGAGTGATTGAGTGAGTGAGTGAGTGAGTGAGTGAGAAAGATGGCGGAGGAAATCGATCATAATGGATCGACTGAATCTGCGACGGGCGCCGAAGTGGGGGGGGAGCAGCGAGCGGGTGGGTCCGCCCGCACTGGCAGCAACGCCGCCCTCGTGCGGCGTGCCTGTGGGCTTGTTTACTTGGACTGTCTACCACCTACTCCGTAAGTAGATGCACTCACTCACTTCTCTTGAAGGCCCTTTGAAGCTCGACGGGAACGGTATTCTGGACAAAGTCGACAGTCAGAATTCTAACTACTCAATAAGTCTAACTAATCCCAGTATATAATCATATTCATACTATAGCTGTATTTGACGGCTGACGACAAATACCTCTAAAAACAAAACCAACCAAACAACCAGCTCGCCATTCTTTGTCTCATATGCTTCTACTTGGCCAGGCCCAAGAATTCCGAGATTTTCCTATTTCAAGCCAAATCCGTTTCCACAACAGCAAGAAGAAACAAACAACGGCGGCATGGTAGATAACGTATTCGAACTCGGGTGTGAGTACCTGGATAACATCAACACTCATGGAGACAAGCAGCAAAAAGCGCTTAGCCACTTAATCCAAGGAATATAATAAATACCCTTCAAAGACGACAGAACCGTTGAAAAAAAAAAAAAAAAAAAAAACTAATGACTCTTCTACGCTATCGCTCGGCTGCAGTGAGTTCTTCGGGGTTATTATGAATCCGGTTTCTGTTGATGTGTGTTTGGAAATGTGGAGTGCCAATCTTGTATCTGTTCTATACATGTGCCCAGCCATTGGCGATGAGAACTTGCATCTCGTCGGTCAAGCAGAACTCGCCAACTTCATGACGGTCGTTTGAATTCGCCTGCCACAATGCGACTCTTCTGCGAACGACGAACTTCTGGAAAAACGTCGTTGTAAGCCAACGCCGGAGTCTACTCTGCCAAACGCCCAATGCAATATACCGTGGGGATAGCCAAAAGGGATGAACGGCTGCATATGCAGCGCCAGTATAGCCCACACGAACAAGAGGGTTCAGGTAGACGCCCAGGGCCCGAGAGAGGGGGTTATCCGCGTGGATGAGGCAGCATTCGGAAGCCTCGAGATGGAATTGCGCGAGAGAGTCGGGGATCCCGCGGAATCGGAGAGGGGTGGGCGACAGGAAGGGCTCCGTGGGCATGGCCACTGGAAAAGATGGTCGTGATTAGCGAGGCAATTTCGAAAATGGAGGATGATGTGCAGTTGGTTGTGCACGACGCGTCGGGGTGGGCTCACCGATACCATTCCAGCAGCTTTTGACGGGGATCGGGGACATGCTGAGCAGCGCATTCCGAGAATCTGTAGAGCGAAAGTAGGGCCATGTTGGCATCAGATGCCCATCACCCTCGGAGTCGCGCAACGCAAATGTATCGTAATAAGCAGGTGGTCTCATAAAGTCTAGCGAGCATGCCGCAGAGTACACGCCATCATTTGTCCGAAGTAACGCGATAATATCATCCACCTTTCAACAGGCATTTAGTATCATGGGACCAAAAAAAAAAAAAAACATGGAAAGGCGCTCCAACTCACGGTGAATACCACATCACCCAGGAAAAGAATCTTATCAAATAAAATGCCCTGGCGTTGGAGATCCTCCAGGGGGCGCAAAGTCCAGTTGCGAATCCGAGCCAAGTAAGGTATGCGCCTGAGCTCTTTCTGACCACGGGGCGTATCGACCCATCCCTCACTTGAAGGAATCGCCGAGATCTCCTCTCGATGGGTTGTGGGAGATAGGGTAATATTCCGTCGGACTCCCAGCCGGTCAAGGTCACGATCAAGGTCGCGAAGCGCCCCCTTTGTGTTATCCCAGCTTCCACTCTCAAAGACGCTCACAAACACATTGCCAGCTCCCCATTTCTCCGCCAGGCGGATGACCGCCTCATTCCAGTGACTTCGAAGAATCGCCTCGGTGTTCCAATGTACGCTCGCAATGTAGATCCGTTCGGGTTGGGGCGACGGAGGAGGTCTGACGGCAACCGCGGCGGTCACTCGGTGGTGATGATATACGAAATGATACAGGGCGTCCAAAGTAGCCCAGCAAGCCAAGGCTAAGAAGCCTAGAAGCAAGAAGCAGCGACGACGTCTTCCAGGACGACGTGGTGTGATTCGAGAGAGATCAAAGGCCATTGGGTTGTCGGTCATGTATCAGTCATTCTAAGGCATCCCAGAGTTGCCACGATTGATGTTCTCGAATCCATCCCAGCCATTTCTTTTCGCCAACGGTAGCAAACAAGAACCGCCACGTGACCCTTTCCTGGATATGACATGGGATGGAGCACATCTGTGAGCACAAGAGCAAACGTCTCCCCCTGAGGCTGTAGGTGACAGGACCCAGGGGGTTCAGTAATTGAGGTGCCCAGCGGCAGGCTGCAGCTTTTTAGCCTGTTGAAAGATGTAATCAATTAGGATGACTCACCTGAAGTAACTGACTAATATGATACATTAGCTAGTAAAGATATCATACTGTGACCGATTCATAAACCCCCTGGTTCTGAAGCACATAATCTAGACTGTTGGGCGCTAGAGGCACGGACATGGCAAATACTCCTGAGTCCTGTCCAGGGGGAAACAACTCAACCGCATCATCGTCACCATTGGTCCGCTTAGGGCTAGCACCATCTAGCGCCTCTCCTTGTGCCACCTCAGTCCCTGTAACCTGTCGTCGCTTGGCTATCCGAGTCCCATACTTACAAAGGTAGTAGCTTTATGCAGCTCAGTCCCTATGGTCCCTACTGCGTAGAGAGGTCGTAGGCATGAGGCATTGGGCCCGTCATCCTTTGTTGGGGTTAGTCTGGGCCACCCCTGCATCCAAGTAGCCACTGCTGTGCATTCCCCCAATTAGGATATCTGGACGGCCATCTTCTTTGTCACATACTGTCTGTACCTATTACTGTACCTATATGAGACTATTATGAGCAGGAGAGCCGACTGCATACGACTCCGGAGATTCCACGCCCTTCAGCCGTTAATATCATGGGTCTTTCCGGTTTATCTACGGTATCTAGAATCAATTAGGGCTACCATCTTGGCCGTTCAGGTGTGGTGTCGAATATCGAATATCGCGATACTGACGAGCGCCACTGCGGCAAAAGGAGCACTCAGAGGGACAGACGTCCTGACAGATACTCCACATTCCCACCACACTCACGGAAGTGTCAAGACTCTAGTGGGAATCCCGAACCAAAAGCAATCGATGTCTAAACCACGGCGGAACGATCACTATGAGCCCGTATGGCCGGCGATGGCCGGTTTACTCTGCCTAATCGTGACGGACTTCCTATCCTCCCGGCAATCCGAGCTCTGCGCCGAGATGCTGGGCTGGATGCTGCTTCCGATTGTGCTCGAAGTGGCGCGAAGATCAGGTAGTCCGAGAGATAGAACAACAACCCTTGTCCCCAGCTCGGAGGCTCAACGTCAACCTGCATCTAAGACAGCCTTATGGGTAGTCGCTCTAGGCGTCGGCATCGTTTCATTATCCAAAGCCGAGAACGGCATGATTGGATTTTTGGTAAGCGAACAATCTTTGCTCAGAGTGGAGGGGGGGGGGCTAGGTTAACAATAAGCAGCCCGCATTGACTCCCTTACTCCTGATACCCCAGAAGTATCCTGGCCTTGGTCGTGAGCCTGGTATCGAATCAGGAACTATGACCATCACCTCAGGGGTTCTCTCCATATCCACGTTTAGCGACACGATCTGGGGCACAGCCGTGGTGGCTGTATTGCTTATTTGTACTGTATCGGATTGGGACCCTCGATTATATGTCCTGTCGGCTATTCCTGTTGTTGCGCTATTGGTCGTCTTTATCATTCTCGCGCATAACGGCTCTCGACTCTTTCGCCCACTTGATATCGAAAAGGCGGTTCTCCCTCTTTCACTGCGTGTTGTAGCTGTGCTGGCTACTTTGATATGCGCGGAAACGTTTGCCTTTGATTTTCCCAAAATTGAAACGGGGCCCATTTTGACACTGGGCGTGATGAAGGCTTTGACCTGGTGCTTCATGGCTCAAACGGTATGTCGTCGTCTGGGTGAATGAACATGTTAAGTGTTATATGAAACTGACAAGTCTCCAGGCTGGGCAATCGTCCTGGCGCATCGTCAGCACTGCTGCAACATTTAGCATGGTGGCCACGATCGATCCCTTCACATACTCCTCCGACACCCACGCCTTCTTGCATCTCGCAGGATCACACATTTCTCTCGGCCAGACGATTCACCTGCTTCCATCACACCCGAAACTCAAGAGGGCGCTCTGGTCCCTTTCCCTAATCCCCGTTGTCGTGTTCATCCGCAACATACTTGATATCAGAGCCGCACAATCGTCACTCATTCACTCTCAGAACCATCCCATCGAACTCCTCGTCCAGAACGCCAAGCTGAACTTCGAGGCATTGCTCAAAAGCCAGTCCGAAACTTACCCCGCGGCCCATGCCGAGTACATCCGTCGCTATGGCGTCCAACCACCCCCAGGCTTCGAAGCCTGGTTCGAGTACGCAAAGCTGCACGATTCACCCATAATCGACGACTTCGACACGCTCTACCGCGCCATTTCGCCCTTTTGGGGGCAAACCGGCAAGGAGTTCCTGGATGTCATGGACCGCGCGTATAACGCACGCGACAGTGAGCTGTGGCTCTGTGAGTTCTCGGGAGATCTGGCTCGGACATCCTGTACTCACCCGCATCGGACTCGCGACAGGAGTATCCAGCTTCTATTCAATACAGCCCTGGGCGAGCTGCGCGGCGCATTACCGAACGTCAAGTTCCTTGTGAATCATCTCGACGAGCCGAGGGTTATCGTCCCGCCAGATCCTTCAGGGCCAGGAGACCAGTTCGGCCTGACTGATAGCTCCAGACGGTCTGCCTGGGATCTCCTCACGAGATTCTGCTCCTCTCAAGGAGATCAAGCAGGCCATCAGAGTCAGGAGCCCTACACCGGATCCGGACAACCCTCCGCCCTGGCCTTTGTCACCGACCACCGTTCCGCACTGGACCTATGCCGGCACCCAGAGTATAGGGCCATGCACGGCATGCTTCTCAGCCCCGCGACCCTGCGGCTGTTCGAGGGTCTCGTTCCGACCCTTTCAACGGGGTCGCTATCCACCATGAGCGACATCTTATACCCCAGCCCGGCCTACATCGAGCCCGAATTCCAGTACTGCCCAGACCACGACCCCCCGTGGGATCAGAAGCGCAACGCCCTCTACTGGGCCGGATCGACAACCGGCGGGTTCGTCACGAGCAGCGCCCAATGGCCACACTTCCACCGCCAGCGCTTCGTCCAGTTGGCGCAGAACCTGGACGGTCGTCATTCCTACCTCCAGGAAATTGACGGCCAAATCCACCTCACGAAATCCCCCTTTCTCAACGGCCGATTATTCGACGTCGCCTTCACGAAGACCCCCCAGTGCGAGCCGCAGTACTGCAGACAGCAACGCTCCTACTTCCGCCTCAAGCCGTGGGCGCATCGCGACCTTGCCCTGCACTCGCGCCTGGTCTTCGACACTGACGGCAACGGCATCAGCGGGCGCTTCTACAAGCTCCTCGCGTCGAACTCGGCGGTGCTGAAGCAAACGCTGATGCGAGAGTGGCATGATGATCGTCTGCTGCCGTGGGTGCACTACCTCCCCGTGAGCCTGGGCCTGGAAGAGCTTCCGGAGATGGTTTCGTATCTCACGTCCACCGAGGCGGGACGGATGATCGCGGCGGAGATTGCGGGGAGTGGTCGGGGGTGGTTTGAGACGGCGTTGAGAGAGGTGGATAGGAGTGTTTATCTGTATCGCTTGTTGTTGGAGATTGCGAGGTTGCAGGATCCGGAGAGGATGGTACTGTGCTAATCCAAAAGGGGGTTGATTACTGCCAGAGGAGGCAGTCGACTATAAGATGACGCGATGCCCCGGTTTACCTCTACGGCTCCTCCTCCATCTCGTGCCCCAACACCCCATCGCGCACAACAACATGTCCATGTCCACGTCCACTCCCACTCAACAACCCGACGGCGACGCCGCCTCTCTCGCCCGTCTCTCCCTACACGACCCCATCCACTTCAGCATCCAGCACTCCCAAACCCAGCACCGCCTGGTCCTCCTGCAGGAATGGAACATCCCCAGCGACTCCAAGATCCTAGAGCTCGGATGCGGGCAGGGAGACTGCACGACGGTTCTTGCGCATGCGGTAGGCTCGCAGGGGCGGGTAGTAGCGGTCGATCCGGCTCCCTTGGATTACGGTGAGTCATGTTCGCTTTTCTTATCTTAGCCCGACGCCTAGTATCTATCTAGCCGTCGACTGACGGTCTCCGCAGGTGCCCCGTATACCCTCGGCCAAGCCCAGGATCACCTCTCGCAAGGCCCGCTAGGCGGGCGGATTACCTGGGTCCAACAGCCCCCGCTGGCGTACCTCGCCTCCCTCCCAGCCAGCGAAGACATGGCCTTCGACGCAACCGTGCTCGCCCACTGTCTATGGTACTTCTCGTCGCCCTCCCTCATCCTCTCCACCTTCCGGGCCCTCAGGCAGCACAGCAAGCGTCTCCTCCTCGCCGAGTGGTCCTTGGTAGCGACGCACCCATCGGCCCAGCCTCACGTCTTAGCCGCGCTCACCCAGGCCGCGCTGGAGTGCCGGAAGCCCACCAGCGACTCGAACATCCGCACGGTGCTGGGGCCAAAGCGGCTGACCCAGCTGGCTCTGGCTGCTGGGTGGCAGCTGGAGCGGGAGACCCGCGTGCCGGATCAGGGGGAGGGGGGGTTGTTGGACGGAAAATGGGAAGTCGATGCTTGTCTTTCTTCCTCGTTTGAACGGGAAGTAGAGGAGGTCGTGAGTGATGAAAGGGAACGGGCGGTGATTCTTGCGTCCCGGGATGCGTGTGAGGCCAGCGTGCAGGGTGTACAGGGGGGTCGGAAGGGTGTTAGGGCCATGGATGTTTGGGTGGCTAGTTTTGTTTGATCAGTCGGGCCGGCTGAGCGTGTCCTGGCCAGCGGGAGCGGGCTGCCCCAGTAAGGCTTGCGAAGGGAACTTGTATGTAGGTTATGTTGCTAGTATACCTATACATATACTACATATACATATACATATATAGTATATATATATATATATATATATATTGAAAATCTGCTACCGGTATCTACACAGCATAAACCCAAAATTAACCCCCCCGTGTGTACTCCGCACTCGGTAGGCAGATACTACTATCTAATAGCTACAGCAACAGCGAGATTGGCGCCGAAGTGGGGAATCGGCGGGGTTGTCCGTGACGGACAGGTCTGGCAATGAGACCCACAGCCCTGATTCAGGAGGGGGGAAAGGGAAAGAGAACAGAACAGCCACCAGGGCAGCAGTAGTTGGCAATTCCTCTCCTGATGACTGGACTCGTAGTAATCCAATCACTCAACCCCGTTATCCGCCCTGGCAGGCACGCGGGGCGGGGTGAAACCTGCCATCACATTCACGGGGCGCGGTAACTCGGGGGGGTTGTGAGGCATCGGTGAAACTAGCGAGGATCTAGCTCATGGGGTGGTTGGTAGGTATATGGGGCCTTGATAAGCTGGCCGACTCGCTCGTGCTGTCCAGTCCTGACGTCTGACGGAGGGTCGGTTATTCGTCATTCGTCATCACTGTCAGTCTCCTGACTTCCCTTTCTTTGCCGGGCGTGCTGCTTTGCTTTGCTTGCTTGCTTGCTTGCTTGCTTGCTTGCTTTCACGCTCTTTGGGTCCGGTGTGTCCATGGTCTGGTCTGGTCTGGTCAGCGTGGTCATATCTCGGAATAACTTCATCATTGGCTCCTTCCGGTAAGGGCGGGAGACTCTCTTTGTTGATGGTTTGGAATTCTTTTAAGGGGGGTCATAAACCCCTTTGTTGAGGGGGAAGGGGGGGGGGGGCTTTGCTTTGTTCTTGTTCTTGTTCCGCTGCGTCGTTCTTTATTCATTGACTTACGGACTTGTCCTTGGTACAGGTAGAATCCTACATCCCTATATACCTATATACAGGCCGCCCTCGCCATCATCTCCTCCCACCATCCACCCCAACAACCCCAACAACCCCTCAAAATGAGCATCCCCACCCTCCACATCAACAACGCCAGCCCGATCGAGGAGCCAACCACCACCAAGCCCGTGACGCGCAAATCCCTCCACCAAAACATCTTCGGCAAGCTGCGGCCCCTCCCCCTGCAATACCACTGGACAGTCTGGTACGACAAACACACCGAATCCCCTCCCCCAAGCACAGGCACCCGCACCACTCCCACAGACTACAACGCGCGACTATACGTCCTACACGAGGACGTCGCCGACATCGCGACCTTCTACCGGGTCTACAACAACTACCCGTGGGAGAAGATCCGGCTGCGCGACACGGTGCACATCTTCCGCAAGGGCGTGCGGCCCGTGTGGGAGGATCCCCAGAATCGCAACGGCGGGTGTTGGCGGTTTCGCGTGCCGAAGAGTAAAGCCCAGGCGTTCTTTCATGAGATTGCGATCCTGTGTATGGCGAATGAGTTTCAGGTGGTGTTGGAGGATGGTATGTTGCCTTTTTATTTCTTCTATACTTGTCTCTTTGGTTGTTTTCGGGAACTTTATTACAATGATGTATATCTACACCTTGCTAACAATAGACAATTAAAAAACACCAACATAGAACACGACCACGTCCTCGGCGTCTCCACCTCCATCCGCTTCAACTCTCACCTCATCTCCGTCTGGAACAAACTCGGCGACAACCCCCGCTCCATCAAGCTTCTCGAACAGACCATCCTCGATCGTCTATCGCCTGAGCTTCGGCCCACTGGCTCTGGCTCTGGTTCTGGCTCTGGCTCCGGCTCAAACGCCTATTTCTATAAACGACACGCCGAGAATGAGGGTTATAAGGAGGCCGTGGAGGGGAGTAAGTAGTTAGTAGTTAGTAGTTGGTGGGTAGTGGGTAGTGCATAAGTAGGGCGTGACTGACTGAGCGGCTGCTGCGTTTTGTATATCTGCTTTTCTTTTCTTTTCTTTTCTTTTCTTTTCTTTTCTTCCTTCCTTCTTCTTTTTCTTTCTTTCTTTCTTTCTTTCTTTCTTTCTTTCTTTCTTTCTTTCTTTCTCTCTTTCTTTCTTTTCTTTTCTTTTCTTTTCTTCCTTCCTTCTTCTTTTCTTTCTTTCTTTCTTTCTTTCTTTCTTTTTATTTTTACCTTTCTGCATCCAGCTGGGTCTTTCTTGGGATTCTTGGGGTTGGGTTGCTTAAGCTGGTTTTGGACTTGTCTTGGATTGATACGGACAGAGTGGGTGAACGAGCGAGCGAGCGAACGAGCGCGTGCATGTATGCGTGTGTGCATGTATGCGTGTGAGCATATGTGCGTGTGTGCGTGCGTGTGAGCATGTGAGCATATGTGCGTGTGTGTGTGCATGTGAGCATGTTGTCTGAATGTATACTTTAGCACCAAGCATAACTCCAACATAAATGGTATTTTTACGGTGATATGCGATCTGTTGTGTTGCCTATGAAGGTGTGATAAGTGATAGGTATGTAGTATAGTTTTTAAGCTGGCAGAGTTGGCTGGCTGGCTATAGACGGGATCAATGCTGAAGACAGAGAGGATCGAGTAGGTAGGAAGGAACCAAAGCCAATCTGGAATGTTAACGCTATATACCCACCAAGAAGCCAAGTCTAGGTAGATGGACATGGAGATGGAGTGTAGATGGAGTGTAGATGGAGTGTAGTGTAGATGATACATTATATTACATTCCAGGCAGCCCTAACCACCTTGGTTGTTTGGGTACAGGTACAGCTACTACTAGACAGTAGACTAGATGAGAAGAGAAGACACGGCCAACGAGCAAATACTACTGCTAGCTCAGCGACTCCGACTCGGACTCCGCCGTCGGGGTCGCCGATCATCCATCTCTCTCTCCTTCTCTCGTTCTCTGTCCCTCTCTCTTTCTCGCTCCCGCGGCGTCGACGTCGGCTCGCCCTCACCCCCAGTCCCCGCAGCCGGAGCATTCCCATTCCCCATCCCCACAGCCGGAGCCGAGCCCGACCCCGTCGGTCCCGTGGGGACATACCGATCGATCCGCTCCTTCTCGGTTGTTGTTCGGCGACGAGGGGACCGGCTGCGTCGGCTGGTGGGCGGCACGTAGCGGTCGATGTCGTGGGGACTGCGGGATCGGCGGCGGGACCGCGAGCGACGGCGTGAGGAGACAGACACCTGGTCGGATTTGTCGCCGTCGCGCGCGGGGTCGCGTTCTCGGCCGCGATCGCGGTCTCGGGCGAGGTCTCGGTCTCGGTCCCGGTCCCTGTCCCTGTCCCTGTCCCGATCTCGATCTCGGTCTCTGGTGTCGCGTTCTCGGTCTCGGTCGCGGTCGCGGTCTCGGTCGCGGTCGCGGTCTCTATCGCGGTCTCTATCGCGATCTCTGGTCTCACGATCTCTAGTGTCGCGGTCGCGGTCGCGATCTCTGGTGTCGCGGGCTTTGGTCTCTCGCTCTCTGGTGTCTCTGGTCTCCCGATCTCTAATATCGCGGTCTCTGTCCCGGTCACGGTCACGGTCCCTGTCGCGGTCTCGGTCTCGCTCGCGATCTCGATGTAAAGAACGAGCGCGGGACCGAGAGCGGGAGTAGAAACTTCGTCGCCGGCGGTAGTCGTCACGGTCACGATCCCGATTCCTATCCCGATCCCTATCTCGATCTCGATCTCGGTCCCGGCTGCGGTCGCGACGATAATCAGACTCTCGGTGTCTATCCCGCTCATGCGTGCGGGTGGTAGATCGGCTTCTGCTTCGCCGGCTGGGCCGGTAGCTCGTATATCGAGCCTCGCGGAAGTCCCGAATCGGAGGTCGGTCGTCCGACTCACGGTTCCGCGACTGGCTGGACACATCCTGCGACTTATCCTGACGGTCGTCGTCAAACCGCGACTTCTTTACCGAGCGACTGCTACTCTCATCGCGCCGTTTTGTCCGATTCCGATCGTCCGCGGTTGATCCGCGTCTTCGATTCGCGTCTGCATCGCCTGATGGGCTGCCGGAGCGGGTGGGAGTGTTGGAATATCGCGATTCAGCCTTGGGTTTCGAGGGTGGTTTCAGACCGTTCTCGATCGCTTCCGCTTCTTCGAAGTCAAACTCGGGTTTCTGCCGCGCCTTGGCTGCCAGCTCTTCTCCCTCCTTCAACAACATCAGTAACGCCGTCTCCTCCAATGTCTTCTCATCCACTGGGGGCGGCGCCGGTGCGGGTGCCGGGGTCGGTTCCTTCGATGCCGAGGACTTTTCCTTTCGCGAGTCGAGATGCCGTGGGGAGTTCGCGCGGTCAGAGCGGTGCCCTTGTGAGCGATCCCGGTACCGATAGCGATCCCTGTCCCTATCTCGATCTCGATCCGAGTCTTTGTCTCTCGTTCGACTTCGGTCGCGCCACTGAAATCTCTCCCGTTCTTCGCGTCGCCGTCGCTCGTACCGTTCCTGGCGTTCCTTCTCTCTTTGCTCGTCCAGCTTCCGTTGCTCTTCCCGCCGCTGTTCCTCGCGCTCTTTCCTCCGCGCCCTCTCTTCTTCCTCCTTCTGGCGCTCAAGCTCCCGTCGCTTGCGTTCCTCCTCCTCCTTTTTGCGCGCTGCGGCCTCCTCCTCTTCCTGCTGTTTGCGCACCATCTCCTGCCAGGCCTCTTCGCGCACGTCGCGTTTCGCTTTCACGTCGACATCGTAGTCCGCGTCGGTTTTATTTCCTGCCTTTTCCTCTTTAGTCGCAAGTTCTTCGCCGATTTCATCGCGACGGATTTCGCGAACGAGGTCCAAAATCGCAGGGAGGTGGTTCGCCGCCAGCGCATCCAGGGCATGTTCGACACTTTTGTAGACGTCGCTCCGATCGACGGCTCCCTCGATCAGGGTCGCGGCCTTCCCGCGTCCGCGAGACAGCAGGCCCGGTTCGCGATCGATTTCCGTTTCGGCGAGGTCGACGAGGAGTTTGGTGAAATCCACCTTGCCTTCCTAGACGGGGCGCATTAGCAACCGCCACGGGACCAACACCACAGACCCAAACAGGAGTAGAAAAAGAAAAATACCCCATCGTGGAATTCAGACCATATCTTCTTCCGAATTGTGTCGAACCCGCCGCGTTTCTTGAACGAGTGGAGCAGATTCTCGATCACCGTGTGTTGCGCCGCGGATAAAGGCAGCTCTTCGGTCTTGAACTTCTTCCGCTGCAGACTCTCCAGATCCAGCGACGGGCGCTTGACGCCCGTCGCCAAGAGACCCTCCGCCATCTCCTCCGGACCAGCCATGTCGAGAAGAAGTAGTCCGGGCCAGCGATGATCGCAGCTGGGGGAGTGAGAGAGGAGGGGAGACAACAACGACAACAATAACGGGGAGCAGCGCATGCCGGGGCCAGAAGTCCTGCGGCGCGCGGTCGGTCGGCCGAACGATGATCCGGGAGGACCCCCGATTGGGAACGACGGCCCCGTGATTCGCCGGCCGCGTCCAATTCGAACCTCATCTCGAGTCCTCCACCCGTGCTGCGTGCAATTGTATTCTTTGGCACTGTTGCCAACTGCTGACCTGCTCGGACCTGACCTGCCGCGGTCCTCATCCAATTACCACTCCTCCCTCCCCTCCCCCTCCCCCGACTTCCTCGCCCACCGCTTCCCTCCCTCCCTCATCCATCATGGTTCACAAAGTCCTCTTCTGGAGCGGCTTCGGTACGTCCCCTCGCGATCATCAGCTACCACCACCACCACCACCCTCAATCCCTCACCCCGCACATCCGCACCCACTAACCACTCCACCCCAGGCATCGCCGTCCGCCTCTGGCAACTGGGCATCGAAATGCGCCCCATCCTCGCCAAGGAATCCCTCTGGGTGTACCCCCTCTTCGCCGGCGTCGGCGGCAGCTTCGGCTACTGGCTGCAGGGCGTCGAGACCCGTCAACTCGGCATACTCGCACAGCGCCGCGAAGCGATCCTGGAGAAGCGTCGGCGGAGAGACGAGCGCGAGGGAGCGCTGGAGACGGGCGCTGCGTTGGCCGCGACGTCGTGAGATGAATACACCGTGGGGGATCGAAAACATGTACATTTGATTGAGCTGAAATGGATTGCGGTTGTTGCTTTGGGCAGGGTTGAGTTGAGCTGTTGGGGTTTGCGTTGAGTGCGGCCCTGGGACCGATACCGACCGATGGTTGTTTGTTATTTTACGTTCAATGGAATTGTCTATCCGGCTCTTTCTCTCCTCTTTTTCTTTCTTCGGTTTTGCTCTTGGGGTGGGCATGAGAATGGGCGGGGCGGGGAGGAAAAAAGAAAGGCTTGTTTGAGAGACTGATGGTTTTGGGGTGGGTTGTAGGATGCTTAGGTAGGGTTGGGATGGGGCGGGTTACAGAGTAGGATAGGATCGGGATCAGGCCATGGACTCAGAGCTGAGGCTGTCTACATACCTACCTATCTACGCCACTACCCAGCTAGGTAGTGTGCACTCACTACGCTTTTGACCCTTTCCAGTCTCCAACGGAGCCAATGGCAGATCCATTCATTGGAGACAATCAAGGGGCTTGCGGCTTGCTTATCTTGTGATATACTGGAATGCCGACGGGCTCTACCGACGACTGCTAAGATCTGTTTAAGGCAGGCGAACCAATACTATACCGTGAAAACAGGAAACCACAGAAACGATTACTTCAATGTGTTGTCGGGAGTTCAGACTAGTTGTAAGAATAAGAAATGGGATGGGTTCTTCACAGGGTGCATGTTCATGTGCATGTGCATGGTACAGAGAAAGGAGGACGTACCGTACATACTTGACCAGGATGTGTTTCATAGGTATTCATGAAGTACTGTCATAGTTACATTGAGTCTTAATATCAATTGATGAGGATGAATGAAAACATGACTATACACTGACACATGATATCATACATTATAGCTATACACATACACATACATGATATCCTCATAAAAGCCCAGCCAGTCATGGCCATATATACAGACATGGCTTGCTTGTCCCGCTACGCCTTCTCGCTGGTAAACTGCAGAGAAACCTCCCATTTCTGGCCCCCGGTGCCGTATCCCCCTCCCAGCCGGTTCTTGATCAGACTGGCGATCCGTTCGCGCAGCCGCACAAGACTATCCTCCGGCCCGGAGACCCGGAGCTTGAGGTTCGCCATGCATAGCCCGTAATGCACCTGCCAGAACCGGGCATCGTCGACGCCGTAAACGGCGGGGTCGGCTTCGATGTCCCGGATCACGTCGGATACGCCGGGACCTGAGTAGGACATCAGGAGCATGGAGCCTAGGGTCTTGACGAGACGCACTCCGATCACGCACATGGAGATGGAGATGGTTCCGGATAGTAGGACGTCGATCCAGTTGTATAGTCGGATGGACACCAGGGGCAGTAAGAGGAGGAGGGCGGAACAGGAGAGGGTCAGGAAGTGCGAGGGATTGCTGAGAACCGACGGGAGCGAGTCGATGTAGCCGAAGCGCATTGCCTTCCCTATCCGGCCGTGGTTCTTGAGGCCGATTGCCGAGACCAGGGTGGATGAGATCGCCAGAAGGGCGGTAAAGTCAACGCGACCAAGAGAGACACGTTCGTGGACATGGGTGTGATGAGGCTCGTGGCCTGACGACTCGAGGAAGTGTTGCAGGTTGTGAGAAATGAGGTCCATTCCCATGAACAGCAGCAGCACGCACATGGCAAATCCAGCGAGCACCTCGGCGCGCTCCAGTCCAAACGGGTGCCGGACGCTGGAGCGTTTCCATACTTCGAAGTTTCCGAGAATGTCGACGGCTACACAGAGCAACGCGCCGAGGGAGTCGAACAGGATCAGATGCGACAGCGCCGTCATGGCCAGGGACCCATGCGCACTCCACAGGGTGTATGCCGCGACGCACATGTGGCAGACACTCCACCAGAACCGAGTCGTCTGCTCCCGCGACATACTGGAGCGGTATTCCTTGAAGGTCGGGATGGGCAACGAGTTGGGCAGGGCCAAGGGGGCCCTGGGAGGCGGTTCAAGGAAGATCTGGTGCGAAATACTACTGTGTTTGTACTTGTGTCCGCGCCGCTGGCCGATGTTCTAGTTGAGCCGAGGCATCAGTATCTTCATTCGCAACCACTGGAAAGCAGCATATACTCACAGACTTTACGACCGGGCTCTTCGCCATCGTCGTCGTCTTGAAATTGAAGGGCCCGTCCGTGACATGGTCGCCCTTCTCGCTCTGCGGGATCGCGTCCGCCGGGCTGAGGTTGTTGAAAGACGCCCGCGTAGGGCTCAAGCGATTGGCATCGCCGACATCCAGGGTGCCCCGCGAGACCGGAAAGGTGTCTCTGAGGGGCGAGAGAGAGTCTTTGTCGTAGACATGAGACGACTGATCGGAGAAGCTGGGAGGGTCGTCTGCAGGAGGCGTCGGGGTGCGCGGGGGGATGGGGATGGGGAGATTGGAGGCCATGTTCGGCGCGACGAAGGACAGGCGCCGGCGCCGAGTGACTTCGGTGCTGGATCGGAGCAGCAACGTCGGGGTGCAGGATAGGGACGGAGACGAGTTCTGGAGCGAAGAATGGAGACACGCAAGGGTCAGGAGTCGGGAATGTTGCGGGATCGCCTTGTCACTTGCGCGGTTGCGCTCTCGGCTGACTGTACGGAGTGCCTCGAAAGGACCGCACGGGGGCGAAAGGCCCCAACGCCAAGCCACCCGATCGTGGAGGCCTGGGGCCCTCACCGCCCGGTCGGATATCGAATCCACGTCACATGATGTCTCACGTGGTCTGCGTGCTTGGGGCTGAAGATAAGGGCTGAGGAATACTATAAGAGAGTTCAGGGAGAGAAAAGTAGACTTCTGCCCTATGTAACATGCCGGCGACTACTGGCACGATAGAGTTTGGCAGCAGGGCGTGACAAACTGGCTCTAGTTCGACTTGTTCGCAGCTTAGTATAGTAGTTGGGGTGGATCGCCTGCGGAAGCGGGGAGAGCCCGGCTCTCGCCTGAGGCCTCGACTCATCATCGCATCATCGACTCCCGCCTGGCCCGGTCCAAACCTCTCATCATTCTCCCACTCTCTCAACATCCGGCGTGGTCGCGCTCCAATGACTCTGCCTTATTAGTGCGTCCCTGGCTTGCTATGTAAACGGGCCATGCGACGCTCAGCCACATAGACTCAGTCCGATGCCCGCGACTCCGACTCATCGGCCCCTATGGATCACCGCGGCTCTTTCTTCTTCTTCCTGGTGGTCTTCTACCTCCTCCTGAGCTCGCAGTCTCATTCGCCCTTGGTGTCTCAGGATCGGGAACACCAGAGAGAACTGGAGAGGGAGCAAAATGCCCTGCACATGCTGAATGAGTCCAAGTATGGCGACTTCGACCCGAGGGCCGACAGGTGGCTTCCCTTCCCGGGCGTCAGGAAGAACGACAGTTATGCCTGGGATCTCCTCCCCGAGGTCCAGGATCGGGCCCGGTCTCAGCTGCGAGCTACCATGGCAGAAGCGGGCTTGAAGCCCCCCAAGGCCCTGGCGGTCCCCGAGGCGTTTCCCGATCTCAACCTGACACAACTGCTTCTCCCGGTCTACCGCAACGCAACGGGTAAGTTGCGCGGCGAGTGGGTGCGCCGCAGACAGGACAAGGGACACACCCCGCTGAACACCTCCGCAATCGTTCTGGAAAACGAATACTTCACGCACGAGTTCAGCCAGAATATCACGGGCGACAGTGGCACGTTCTATCTCGACCTCCGTGAGGGCGGCGGGGAAGAACTCCGGTTGCCAGATGGGCATGCTCGGGAGATCCGGGCAACTCTGGCTGCCGAGAGCGGCGATTTCTGGGGAAACACCTGGTACCTGTCGCTATTTGGGGTTCATTTCCCGGAGACAGGGAGCATCATCCTGAGTACCACCAGCGAGAAGTTCGGGGGCGTGTTCTCTCTGCCGCATCTGGCCCTCTCGTCGGACGCATACAACCTCACCCATCAGCTTCTTATCAAATCCCTCTCGGATACCATATCAGAGAAACAAAACCGACCCCCTACCCTCTTCCCATGGTCCTCGTTGGTTGGAACGGAGCAGATAGAATACCCAGCGCCGAAATGTGAGCACATTGTCTACCTGCAGCAACATCCGGTCGCGATCCATGGCTACCTCACCGACAAAACGATCATCGAGCAAATGGAGCAAGAGCTCAGGTACCCGATGGGGGCGCCCATCCCGTCCCCTCCGCTGTTGGTCATGTCTGCGGTGGTGTTCTCGCCCGACTGTGGGTATATCCTGGAGACCAAAGGCACGCCCGACTTCCCTCCGACGGAGACGCTGTACCTGTCGGGACCAAAGCTGGAGGAGTTTGGCAAGTACTCCGCTCGCATCATCTTCGTGATATCTGCCTTCTCCGTCGCTCAGATCGCGCTGCTGTTACGCCAGATCAAAGAGGCATCCACGCCTTCGACTCGAAGCCGGGTCAGTTTCTACACAATCGCCATGATGGCGTTCGGAGATTCGTTCGTGCTTGTCTTCATGCTGTTGGAGCTTTACCCGGCCGTATCGTTCCTGGTGATGACAACGGCATCCTTCCTTACTTTTCTCTCCGTCAGCTATATTGGGATGAAATTCATGATGGAAATCTGGGCCGTCCAGGCCCCAGAGCGACGGGAGCAAGACCGCAGGGCCCCCCGAACACACGCCCAGGCAGCCTGCCGCTACCCGCCACAATGGCCCGAGTCCGAGACAGCGGCGCGACCCCAATCATTTTGACGCCGGACCAGGATCCTCCCCCGGAGGAAGACGAGCCACCCACCGCTCGGAACACCACGCTGACTGCGCGAGATACCCGCGGGGATGTGGGAGCCATGTACGCGCGGTTCTACTTTATCCTGTTCGTCCTACTCATCATCTCCATCTGGTCCTTCCTGTGGCCAAACCGGATGGGCGCGATATACGCCCGGGTTCTCGGGTTCGTGTACCTGTCGTTCTGGGTCCCGCAGATCCACCGCAACATCATGCGCAACTGCCGCAAAGCACTGCGCTGGGATTTCGTGGTCGGGCAAAGCTTCCTGCGAATGTTCCCGTTCATCTACTTCCTCACTTCCCGCGGAAACGTGCTCTTCATCCGGCCGGACACGACCACGGCCCTGGCCCTGGCCGGCTGGGTCTGGATCCAGGTCTGGGTGCTGGCGAGCCAGGACATCCTCGGGCCCCGGTTCTTCATCCCCCGCGGCTGGGCACCCCCAGCCTACGACTACCACCCCGTGCTGCGCGACACCGCCGGGTCGGGCGACGACCTCGAGTCCGGCGGCGTCCTCCCGATCGGGGCGCTACGGGCCGACGAACGCGAATACGCCAGCGAAGCCAAGGACGAAGACAAGCACCGAGCCAAAGACAAGAAGAAGGCCATCTTCGACTGCGCCATCTGCATGCAGGAGATCGAGGTCCCCGTGCTGGCGGCCCTCGGCACCGCGGGCAGCAGCAGCGTCACCGACGGCGCGGCCACCATCCTCAGCCGCCGCACCTACATGGTCACCCCGTGTCGGCATATCTTCCACAGCGCGTGTCTGGAAAGCTGGATGCGCCTCCGGCTGCAGTGTCCCATCTGCCGCGAGTCCATCCCCCCTGTATAGTCGTGTACGATACGATACTATCCTGACCGACGCGTCAGACGTACAGAATACTTCCGCCATCGATCTACAGATAGAAGCCAATATGATATGGAAAACTCAGGTAATATCATATATTCCATTTCCCGTCTGCTCTGCCCGGACAGACAGACAGGTTGCCTTTTGTTGAAGAAAAGACCCGCCGATGACGGCACGACGTAGCGTACGTAACTCTAGACACTAGACAGTCACTTTGTGATGAAGACATAACCATCCATTCATTCCCATTCCCATTCCACAAACAACCAATAAAATCCAGCCAAAAAGGCCAACCAACCAACAACAATCATAACAGAACCGCACTTTATAAACCAACAACCATCATCCATCCATCAATTCAAGTAATTCACCCCCAGCCAAAAGAGAAGAAAGAAAGAAATCACTCAACCTCTTACTCCTCATCAATCGTCTCCTTGTAGGCCTTCTCATCCAACAGCGCATCCAACTCCTTGACGTCAGCGACCTCGATCTCGGCGATCCAGGCCTCGTCCTCGGGACTCTGGTTGATGAACTTGGCCTTGTCGTCCAGCACGGCGTTGCCCTGCGTCACGGTGCCGGAGACCGGGGAGAGAACGTCCGACGCCGACTTGACGGACTCGACGGCGCCGACGGGCTCGCCGGCGCTGACTTCCAGACCGACTTCCGGGAGCTCGACGAAGACAACGTCGCCCAGGGAGTGCGCGGCGTATTTGGTGATGCCGATTTTGGCTGGATATGGCGAAGGTGAAGTGGTTAGTTTTGGGGGTTATTTGAGGGGGGCAGTTAAGGGGGGAGGGGGGATTTAGCAGGGAGTGGGTGGGTGAGTGTAGATGTGGTGTGGGGAGGGAGGGAGGTATAACATACCCGTCTTGCCATCATCAGCGAGCTCAATCCATTCGTGCGACTCAGTGTACTTCTTCAATTGAGCTGGACAAAAATAAATCAGTATGCTCACAAGCCATATCAGGGTCATCCGCCCTCTGAGAGGGTAATTCAGGGGAGGGGGGGGGGTTCCTCACCCAAAGGGCTCTGGGAGAAGCACCGGATACTTCCCCGCGGGAAACTGGCGGGCGCGGCGGCGGCCCTGCAGACGGAGGGGAGAGGGAGCTTCTGGGCGAGGAGACGGGAAGCGAAGGGGCGGAGGGAGTGGGCGATGGGAGACATTGTGAGTAGTAGAGGTGGGGCTTGAGAGGAGAGAAAAGAGAGAAGAGAAACTGAAGGGGGAGGTGAGAGAGAGTTTGTGGTGTGTGGATTGGAGAAGAGGGAAGATGAGGAAGAGGAATGAATTAAATACGGATGACGGAGTCGGAGTCGAGATGGAGATTCCCGGCGCGCAGCGAGAGAGAGAGCTGATAGATAGCGGGTGCCAAGGCGGTTGCTGATAAGAGAGAGTCACTGACTCCGCAACCGCTCCGGAAAAATCTCATCCCCTTCCAGTCCAGTCCAGTCCAGTCCAGTCCACGACGCTATCTATCATTGCTCTGAGAAGCACCCCACTCCACACATCGTTGATGCCATGTTGTACGAGCTGATTGCCATTGTATGTGATTCCGGGTCTGGGAATTAGGGGAGGGTCACTAATGCTGATTGTTTGCAGGTCCGTCCCGGCAGCCTCCACGAGGTTCGAGAGTACGTTGACCAACTACCCGCCTATCCACCACCCACCACCACCCACCACCACCCACCACTGCGCGTGTCGATGCAATTCTAGCAGAGATACTATCTCGCGAAATATTCAAAACTCTACACACACTACACCATAACCCTGATACCTAATTGACTGACCACCACAGAATCGCCCGCCATGCCGGCACCCTCGTCCTGCGCTCCGGCGGCGTAGTCCGCGGCTTCACCAACTGGGGCACCTTCCGTCTGCCCAAGCCCACGACCAAGCACCAGGCCCGCTACACCGACGGCCAGCACTTCATCATGCGCTTCGACACCGCCGGCCCCGTGCAGTCCGCCATCCGCCGTACCCTGGCGCTGGATCCCCGGATGATCCGCTTCTCGGTCGTCAAGCTCGGCGACAAGCTGGAGGAGGTCAAGCACGTGGACGGCAAGGTTGAGTGGAACAACAACCGCAGCATCGCCGAGTCGATCTGAGGAATGAGGATATCTAAGGTGTCAGGGTTGATGGATTATCCTCGGGAGGGGAGGTGATGGGCTGTGTTGTTTGGTTGGGGACGGAGCGGATTCGAATCGTCAATGAATGTATTATCTTTGGGATGGGGTTTTATTTCACGTGTGTATATCATATCAGCATTATCGGCGCATATATCTTACTTGGCAGATTTGGTCAATAAAGATGGTGATCTGTTTCTTTATGCTTGATCGATGGGGGTGCTGGCATAAGGTACTGTCTTATTGTCGGACTAGGATCTGGATGGCAATTGTGCTGGCAGTGGTGCTGATCTAAAGTAACTGGATAGTGGTGGAAGCCGTGGATGACTAGAATCATCTCAAGACCGCTCTTCTACCGCATACCCCGTATATGAATGAGTGTACTACATGGAATGGAACGATGATTACCCAGCTTTCCATACCTGTGTATCGAGCCCACAAGCTACACCATACACGATCGCTTGAATGCACAAGGGATAAGCAGCCCTTCTTGCATGTTCCACTTAAAGAGCCACCGTCGATCCCCCAGCCATGCCTCACGGGCAACCAACCAACTCCGCCCCGTCAGCCGAGGCTCCCCTGGCCTGCGTCGGTTAAGATCGATCCATGGCACTCGTCTACCCCAGCTTACAGTTAGCCTGTTCCTTAGTCCTTTTATAGGGGATGCGAGGGTCCGTGTTTAATTTCGACTAGACACCTATATCGGCTCAGCGGTGGAAGCAATTTCACGGGTCTCCCATCAGCGTTGTCTATGACCTCTCCGCGGTCATCACATCGCCATCACCATCATTACTACCACCGCCACCATCGCTATCAACATCTACATCAATATCCACACCCACCAACCAACCAACATCACAACCTAATCTCCCACCATGCCAGACCGCTACATCGAAAGCCCCTCCTCCTTCGCGGAACTGATGTCCCTCCGCCGCCTCCCCAACCCACTCAACAACCCAGGCCCCGAACAAACCTCCCACTTCGAATCGCTCGCCCCGCCCTATCCCCCCGGCGAAGGCACCCGGGCATTCGGCGGACACGTCTACGCGCAATCCGCCTACGCAGCCTCACAAACCGTCGACAAGGGCTTCGTGATCCATGTAATTCCCCCCCCCCCACAACTCATACCCCATACCCCATACCCCAACCCCAACCCCACTAACACCCCTCACCACCCCAGAACACAACCGGAACATTCATCCTCGGCGCCCTCCCAGACACGCCCTACACATACAGCGTGCGGCACCTCCGGGACGGAAAAATGTACTGCACGCGGGCGGTCGACGCGCGACAATCCAACACGATCATCTTCAGCAGCCTGGTCTCGTTCAAGCGGGACGAGAACCAGAGTCCGTTCTCGCATCAGCCTCGGCCCGTGCAGCAGCGGTATGCGGAGATTCTGGGGGGGACGAGGCCGGAGGACTGGCCGGTGAGTCCGAGTGTGGATGCCGATTGGTGGGTCGAGATGGGGGTCGAGGGGAGGGAGTTTCCGGGGGTTGATGTGCGGAAGGTGGGGATGGGGGGGTTTAATGATAGGGTTGGCGGGTTGGGGGGGATGGGGATGGCGATGGGGTAAGGGGAAGGGGAAGGGGAAGGGGAAGGGGAAGAGGAAGAGGGTGCCTGGGAGGTGGAGGCAGTTGGCGGTTTATAGGTTGAAGGGGGGTTGGATGGGGAGGGGGAGGGGAGGGGAGAGGGTGAAGGGTAATGGGAAAGGGTTGTCGTTAAGAGAGAGGGAGGAGGATGGCGAGTTCGATAATCTGTATGCGTGCGCGCATATGTATGCCTGTGATCGGAACTCGCTGTTGTTGATTCCGCGGGCGTTGGGGGAGAGGCATTGGACGTCGATGGCGAGTTTGACTCTGACGGTGGTGTTTCATTGCCTGGGGGAGGCGTTGAGGATGGTGGATTGGGATGGGGATGGGGATGGGGATGATAAGGAGGGACAAGGGCTGAAAAAGAAATGGTTCGTGCAGGAGGGATGGACGCCCAGGTCGGCGGAGAACCGGGCCGTTCATGAGAGTTGGCTGTGGACGCCTGGTGGGGAGTTGTTGGCGACGAGTTATCAGGATAGTCAGTTGCGGTTGACGAGGGGGACGGGGGAGAAGCTATAGAGTATGGCTATACTATACATGGTTGCATGGATGGAATTGATTTTTATCCCCAGACATAATATGGTATCTTGACCAACTATCTAACAACATTGTGTAAAGCTTGAATCCAGACATACATAATAAACTACGCGCTCTGGAGCTCAATCTCAATCCAAACTTGATGGCCCACGCTGCTGTGGTAGAGCATGATGTGCCACTCCCATTTGTGGTCTTCTTGTTTGAAGAAAGCAAGCCGTGGCATCGTATAGGTATACTTACCTATCACACGACGGAAGCTTACCTTATGAACTACAAGGCTTTATCCAGGGAACCTTCAACTCGCTCACGCCCCCGAGGGCCCCTGTTGCGTCGCTTATGATCGAGTCTGGCACCTTCTCGTAATGCTTCATGCCCCCCCCCCCCCTTCAATCCTTTAACACAATGTCCCAGTGGCATAAACGATGCATATATCGACTCCGAGGAGAGTAGTCGCCGGGCAACGCGCATAACCACAAGCAGCATGAGGCTGATACTGAGTCTGACAGGTATTCATATTGTGTTTTCCAGCGTACTCGACTGTGCCAGGTTTCCTGTCCGCTGTTTCGAATATTATAGAACGCAAAGGTTGTATCCCCGACGGAAGGGGCCATAAAAAGCCCCGGGTCGATCTCTTCTGGCTTCATCATGGGCTAATAGATTCATGACCACTAGTATAAGTACCCCTGAGTATATCCCATCAATATACCAAGGAGCAGCCAGAAACCTCACCAAAAGACATAAGTAAACCAACTAGCCGAAGCAGTATATTCCAGATGAGAGAACCGCAAGAGCGGAGTCCGTCCTTGAAAGGAGATGAGCACGAGCACAAAACCAGCACCCGCACCGGCAACCTCGGTGTAGGCAATCAATCCAATGCTCCTGTTCAAACTTCTTCTGGCCCGCGCCGGCCAGATCCTACTGTCCAGGTGCAGCGCTTGAGGCTTTATGAGCATAATTCTTCTGGAAACTGTGCTTTTCATTCTTTGTCGTAGTGTAGGCGGGTCGGTCTGGTCATTGCAATCATATCACATTTGAGCTTGATCACCGGGGAATAAGATTCCAGGTCCCATCTTGCATTATTCTCGACCCGTCTGACGAATATTGTTTCCTTGTAGTTGGAGCGAAATCCATGCATGCTTCAAATCTATTTCGCGCATGTACCGGGTACTTTGTTCTGGAGTACAGTAGTACCTACATAAGCAATTATTGTATTGAGTCGGCCGAGTACTTGGAGGCCAAACGCGGCCATTCCAGCAACGAGCAAAATCGCTGTAAATTCCAGATATCTGATGGCTTCAAGGGTAGAACGCTTTATATCCAACAATGCATTACTTGCCTCATAGGGCGATATTTCACTCCGATATGTTTGGCTTTTTGTACGGTATTCTGCCAGGGCGATATGGCATATGCGGATGTTTCGGAAATTCGGTCCTCGGCAGAATACCCATATCCCGGGTTCATACCCCGTGCGAAAGGAACGAGTGGAATGGTTGAAGGTTTTCATGGAAGAGCCTTGGTTTTATCTTCTGGCTTCTTTTGTCGGTTTTTGTTGCGTATTGAGACGCATTGGGTTTGTATATTGGGTTACTGGCACGGTGTGATTAACAGACGATGTATATTGGTTGGCTCAGTGTTCCATGAGTTGTAGATGTAGGAGTAGTCATCATGAAACTGCCATTCCAGAATTAATTGAATTCGCATCGTACATGCCAGATATAATGGCTGGTGGGATGATGTTGGGAACTTAAATGAAGATCCCGGGTGGGCAGAGACGGGTAGATATATTTATATTAGGCAATGGCCATGGCTCTTCACTGGCACCGAGTGAGTGACTCCACTGACATTGACAGGACATTTCCATTGAATCAGGGTTAGAGGGTGTTGGAGTAATAAAAAAATTTAGGAGGTGAATAAGGCAAACATTTTCATCTTCACTAAACCTCTCTATATACGACGGGAGCCTCAATATACTTGGACCGACCCTAAAGCTTCGATCTACCTTCGAGTCCACCAACAAAGCTAGCACTCCTGATCTCCGGGGCCTGTGCCAGACAGGGTCCCACTGCGCGCGAGAATTGCTTGAACTGTGATGTCGCCATATGGGCCTTGAGACTATCACCATCCGCGTATCTGTGGTCATTTTGTAAGCCCGTTGGTACCATGAAAAGGCTCTACGGAGGCCTACTTTTCAACCAGAATCAGTTCATCTTTGTCGGTGGGACGGAGAGCAAGATAGACATGCGTCCCGTGCTCGTGATCCCGGATGTGTTGCGAGAATGCATTGAAGGCTGCTACAACCTACCCAGGGGTTAGTAGGTATGTCCAGAGACATCAGACCACATACTTCGTTGAATTTCCCTGGCTTGGGCACCAGCTTCACCACGTTGTATATCTCACGCGGGGCCATGATGTCGACTGTGGATTGACTGATGATCGATCTCCTGGGGCGGCCTCGCTTCTACTTAGGAGGAATCGGCAGTCGGCAGAGATGGATGTGCTGTGGAGAATGGGACAAGCCGAGGCTATACCTCCCAAAACCATCTGGCCAATCATTCACGTGAGACGGACTCGTGGCCCATCACGTGGTCTGGAGACCCGATGACGTAGCCGCTTCCCGAGCCTTCGTTGTTTCTCTTGCACTCTTGCACTCCTGCACTTTCACGAGAGCTCCCTCTCACCCAGCAACCCCTCGCCAACGCTCGGTCCTTCGTCCCAGCAACGTGCCGTCCGATCCGGCACCGCAATATACAATGAAGAAGACCCTGCTTTTAGTGTTCATCCATGGCTTCAAGGTACCGAACAAGCTTCCGCCCTCATCCAGCATCGTGGTGTCGGCACGTGCCCGGTCCTTGCCGAGTATTATACTTCCAAGATTAGCTCGCTAACACTCCCAGGGGGATGATGATACGTTTGGCGAGTTTCCAGACCACCTCCGTGTGCTGATGGCCCGGTCCCTCCCTGCTGTGCAGGTCGCTACGGCAGTCTACCCGAAGTACCAGACTCGAGGCGAGCTAAAAGAGTGCGTGGGTATGTTCCGGGAATGGTATGTCGCCATCGCCTCTGTTCGCGAGCTCTGGCCGGAGTGGGTGGGACACACTATTGACCCTTGGTCCCGCATGTAGGCTGCAGAATAAAGTCATCGACTTGGAGGTCGAAAACCGGACGGCTTCACCCACTGTTGATCCCTCCGTCCATGTTTTTTTGATTGGGCACTCCATGGGCGGGATAGTCGCCGCAGAGACCCTTCTGCTGCTTGCTTCGGAACAGCCCATTCCCACGAAATCCGCCGCAGATATCTCGACGGATCCGACTGCAACTAACTCCCTAGCGGATTCTGGAACGGCGGTGGGGGCGGGGTCTTTCATGTTCCCTCATATCCAGGGTATCGTCGCGTTCGATACCCCTTTTCTGGGCATCGCTCCCGGCGTGGTATCGTACGGCGCCGAGGGCCAGTACCGAAATGTTACCTCCGCTTACACGGCACTATCGGAAGCGGCTGGCTTGTTTGGGCTGGGAGGTGGCAGTTCCTCACACAAGTCAGCGTCTAGCGGTCAGGGAAACGATTCCAATAAGCAGCTGCCCCCTTCGGCTCCTAGCACCTCCTCGGCCACGGACGCCGCCGCGACGCCGTCCTGGCAGCGGTGGGGCCGATATGCCATGTTTGCAGGAGCAGCAGGGGCCTTGGCCGCTGGCGGAGCGGCCGCGATGTACTCCCAGCGTGATAGGTTGACGGACGGATTGGGCTGGGTGTCATCCCATTTGGCATTCGTTGGCTGTCTAGCCCGTGCTCCGGAGTTGCGGCAGCGTCTCGCGCTCTTATCCGAGGCACAACAGGAGCGAGGGGTTGGCTGCACCAATTTCTATACGTGCTTGGGCCAAGGCGCAAGTTCTCTGGTCGAGAACAACAAATCCGGGACTTCATCGTTTAGCCAGAAGATTATACGGTCCAAAAACCGCACATTTTGCTCGCTTCCCGCGGAAGTGGAATCGGGAGCCTCGCATCGAGACATTCGATGGGTCAGGGCGGTGAACGATAAAGCTGCAGATGAAATCAAAGCGCACGTTAGCATGTTCTTGCTAAAGGAGAACCCGGCGTTCTATTCACTCGTTACTGATGCATGCCAGCTGCTGGTGGAGTCGGTGGACAAGGGCTGGTACGCTACGGCGACGGGGCCAATCGAGGAAGTAAACGAGGACATGCAGCCGCAGGCCGAGGCTGTCCGCGCCGAGGGCCAGACCGATAGTGGGTTCATGGACGGTGAGGACGTCGTGGTCGTGGAATGATCTCGTTCCAGCACCAAACAACGCAGCTCACCAATCAGAAATCCAACCTGCCGAACATATCTAATTCCCATTACCATCAGTACTGACAAGCTGCACGATCTCCGATCAAAAACAGTCCAGTCTCCCACTATCCCTCACCACCCACTCCCCTCAGCCTTCCAGAAAGAAGAAAGAGAGGGGGGGGGGTGTTTCAGAGCACGAAATTCTGCACCCATCTGCAGATTATCCCGCGTAATCCGATATATCGACCGCCCAGCCTGGACTGACAGTATGACTGGCTCGTGGCTGACCGTCTGGAGGGTCTGATCGCACCCATACTCCGGTGCGATGGGGGAAACCGAAAGCGGGGCCCAAGATGGCTGATGCTTACGGAAATCCCCCCTATGGCAAGGCAGTCCGCGCTACGCCCTAACAAAGCATCAGTGAATACTGAATAGGGATGCGTCCCCCGTGTTGTCGCGGACCCGACCTTTTCTTTCGTCCTGAATGGCCTGGCCGGCAATGACCAAGTCGGTCGCCCCTCTATCTATCTATCTACTGGGATTTCCTCCCAAGGAGCTTTCGGAATTGATTTCCACTGGCCAGACGTCGACGTGCGTCCACGAGTCCACCGCCCGTGGTTTTGTCTCGACGGTAACTCCGTATTCCATCATATTTTACTTTACTAGTTACCGTTTATCGTGGTTGCTATACTATGCATTTTCTATGTCGGGTCCAGACAGCATTAATGTTAATTCCCTTGCGGAATTCGACTACCTAGATACCTACCTACCTCTAAAATTAAACAAAATGAACGAAATCGATCCACTATCTATCTAGAGAGGTACTTACTATCTATCGACTAGCCTGGCTAGATGCCTGCCTACTCCAGAACCACTATGCCAATCCCGCCGTGTCATTGGCGCGGAAATAGTATCACGCGTATCATAAGATTTAAGTACAGTACGTAGGGACGGATCGGAACGAGAAAAACAAATATCGTACGGACGGACGGACGGACGGACGGACGTAAGGTATGTACGGAGTGCGTCTTATTCTCCACAAGTCCACACACTATTTCCCCGCTAGTAGGGAGCACATAAGATGAAATCGAAAGTAATAAAGACAGGGCTCTCACTAGTCCCATAGGCTAAGACTGGGGCTGGAACTAAGGAGTGGTAAAATCGACAGAGAAGGAAGAAAAAGAAACGCAAGGAAATGGAATGGAAAGAGAAAACAAGGTGAATAATAAAATGGAATTCTGGGGATGATGATGATGATATGGCGTGAGATGTCATGTGTCGTTAGTATGGATTAGTATGTAAATGGATAGATGGATAGATGGATAGATAGTAGGTAGTAGGTTTGAATGATCTATGGCTGCGCTGCATGCGACTGCACTGCACTGCAGGGATAGCCCGGGGATGGAGGACGGGCGGCAGAGAAATCATTCGGCGAAGGTCGGGCGGTAGAGACATCGACATCGGATAGAGCGTGCGGTTGGACGTTTCACGGCAGGGGAAAGGAAAGGGAGAAAAGTGTAAAATACACACCGACACGACTTGAATAGGCTAATAGTTCTTGTTGTGGGTGTGATAGGTGGAAGCCCGGTGGTGATGATACATGCTCCCGGCATACTCCGAGCCTGCATCCTGGTATGCGGTTTGGCGGCGATCGTCTTCGGGAAGGAGTTCCTTGACTTCCCAGGTGTTGGGTTTGATTCCGACGGAAAATTCGAGATCTTCTTTGGTGATGTAGTCCCAGAACTAGGCAGGGGTGTCAGGCCATGTCATGTCATGCAGGCAGGGAGAACCCTAGCAGAAAGGACCTTGAGGGTTTTGGGGAGGAGGGGGGAGAACGTACTTTATACACCATCATGACGGCGAGGAGGTTGCAGAAGGTGGCGAAGAATAGCCCATCCATGTAGTGCTGCACATTATCACAGATCAGATCGCTGAATGCGTAGAGAAGCACCTGGCCGCAGATAAAGACCCCTAGACCGAATGCGATGTGACCTAGAGGCCAGCGGTCTTCGAGCGTGTTCATGACGAGCAAAAGTGACATGACCAGGTAGATGGCGATGCAAATGGCATTTAGAAGGTATGTTACAACGAACATGCCGACGGTGTTGGTTGGCCCGAGGCCGCCCCATGACTTGAAGGTCGCGAGGGAGATCAGGAAGGATACGAGGAACATCGCCGCGGAGGTTAACCGTAGAAGCCAGACGGAGAGGAATGTCCCGTCTTCGTAGAGCTGGAAGCCGACAAATCCATTGACGAGCAGGGATGTGCACAGTGCCGAGACCAGGCCGTTCTGCACGGCGGCAAAGTATGGGAACGGGCTACTGCCGGGGGGAGTTACTCCCGCATCGAGGATCAGGGAACACATGGTTAGGAGCATGTAAATGTAGAAGAATGTGATGATTTCCTTGCGACCTGATATGACGTAGTGTTAGTTTGTGATATTCAGTTGTCACCGTGTGTAGTGTTAGACAGGACGCCCGGGACATACCGACGGCAGTGAACTTGGACCGGATGTGTAGAATCATGATCACGGTCATACCCAGCGCAATCAAGTGAAGGAAGCACGCAGCACCTTCGAAGATGATGGTGTTGGCGACCTCGATGTTCCGCGCATAGCAGTTGGGTATGATGCCGGTCGAGCCCGATATGGAGGAGGGCGGGCCGACCAACGAGCACAGAGGCAGCGGCGCCTTCTCGCATATGGAATTGAAATCGCCGAACCCCATGTTCGTGGTGAAGCTAAATCGAGCAACAGAGGATGTGTGAGAGATCTCCGATTGTTTGGGTCGACCGATAGCCTGCACGAGATGGGCGGATCCGATAATACCGAGCCCGTCTCCACAACGACGGACGGAGGCGGGTTGTTGTTACCTGAGCCAAATGGGCACCCCTCCTTTCACCGGAGGGCGATGGCAACGAGTGAGGTGGCTGTCACGGACAGGAGCAGCAGGCTGACGAGTGACAGCGGGAAGCGAGCGTAGAGGATCGACCGGACCCTAGTACAGCGAGCGGACCATGATGCAACCAGGGAGCAGGAGGGAGGCCGAGGGGCGCATGGGAGGGAAGATCTTTGGCGTTGCGGCCTCGAGACGATGGCGGGCAGGGGATCACGGGGTTGGGTTCCCCTAGGCCCGATCGGGGCTGGTCCGGGGGATAAGACCCCGGTGCTCCTTTAGGTCTAGCGCATCACCGCATCGCCGTCTGCTGCTAGCCCGAATAGGAAGGTTGTTTTTCTTAGTGTATTGTCCCACCCGGTATATCTACTGCTAAGATAGGGCATGCATGTAAAGGACCGTACTACTAGTATCTTATCCGTACTACAACCAGTAGTACCGAGGTAGTAGTAGCAACAGCGCTTAGGATGTACTTTTGGACGGAGTCCGTGGGTCATAAGCAAACAACAGATGTGCTGGACATACGTAGTATAGGCAGTTGGCTAAGTCCGCCTGCAGGTACAGTGGCTTATCACCTCTTAGCTTTGGATGGCCCCAGCACCTGATTGCTGGGATGAAAGACTAACTGGTTCCAGTTCGGAGGACATACTCAGTCGGTACTCGGTAGGTACTACGGAGCACTATCTACTAGATAGATATGCCATAGCACTGTGGACGGCGTGGACGAGTCGCGATGCGGCCTAGCGCCCCCACCTGATTCCGAGTCCAACTCGGGAAATGCCGAGTGTGGGCGTGGAACTCGACGCTTCGCTTTGAACGCACTGGACGCTTTGGACGCTTGGGACGCCGTCACCATCAATGGCCGTCGTGGGTTCTGACTCGCAATCCACCACCTTAGTGACTTAGCGACCATGCCCTCCCAGTATCTAGTCCCGCAGTCCATCCTATCTCGGGCGTGGGCCAGGCTCATCATATCCATCCATTCATCCACTGCATCACTAGGTGGATGCAAATGGTAACTACCCCTCCCGTCACTCGCCCTTCCTAGGCCTACCCAGGCCATGATCGAGGTTTCATCACTCCCATGGCCTCCTTACCTTGCCTCGCCTTACCTCATTTCCTGCTCTGAAATCTGGAATCTCCCGGTCCTCTCTCCGATTTGGAGACGCTGACACCGGACCTGGAAGTCTTGGGCACTTTGCCTTGGCGAATCAATTAGTACCGTGGGAGGTGCAAGCCTCATCATTTACACCCTGGTCTGCCTCAGAAACATGTTTGTTTGCCCCCAACAGCTGGCAGGTGTTCATGCAAACAAAAAAAAATTAAATACCTCATCGCTCGTCTCCTCGATAACATCTCCCTCTCTGTTGATACCGGTTTCCCGCTGACTGCTCTGCCGCCTACTACCTAGGTTGAATGTCGGCCGGCAGTGGGCCGAGACCTTCCTGCGTTTCTGTATATGGTACCATGAGTGGGAAGTTCCCACCATCATGCATGTCCCACGGAGAACAGCCGAATATTCCATGCTAGTCGCTTTAATTACTTAATTTAGGTTCGCGAGGTATCAGGAAGGCCGGACGGGAAACGGAGAGCAGAAAAAATAGTTAGAAGGATTCCACTATGTTCTTGGCACCGTTACCTCCCGATCTCTTTCCGATCTCTCGGAATCCTACTCATGCGACCCCATCAGCGCACGGCAACCCGGTATGTGGCCGAAGCATCGACCCTCATTGACTGATTCTTCAGCGGGAAAACGAACTGGAGACCGACCATCATCTGCTCAAATGCGGTAGAGCCCGTGCGTTGGGGAGGTACGTTGTCTGGATGCCCAGCTGCCTGCTGTGAGGGTTCATATTCTCTCACTGGGCTTCTTGGAAGCCTGCACGAGGTAACTACCTCTGGCTGGGAACTCTCTGAACCAGACCATCTCTAACGCAGGTCCTCTGCGTGATGAGCCGACTCCGACTGCCGTGATCTGTACCCGAGCCCGGTCAGTTGCCTGGTTCAAGCTGTCAACCGGGGTGGCACCATGCTCCCAAATTACCTCGTGGATAAAGTTATTAATGACATGGGTTCTTCAAGAGGGGACCAGACGCAGGATGATCAATGGGAAAGGAGGGGGGCTAGACGTCAGTCAATCGAATCCAGAGGGTGCGGAAAGGGCAGGACGGGCCAGGCACCATGATATTCGCCTGACCCAATGATGGCCCGCCCCTCTGACAAACTAACTTCTGATTTCCCCATACCCGATATTGGCTAATGCATCCATCTGGCTATCCCGGGGCGATTGCAAACTAGCCAGGCTAACCAATTGCAGCCGCCCCCCCCGGCGATTTCGCACAGCGAGCATGAAGTCGCAGGCCGGTCAGGGTGGCAGGAGGACCTGGCTGTCGACAGGGTCCTAACTCCTGCCTCGGAACACGAGACCTCTGGCCCATCACTGCCTATGCATGAAGATCCTAGTTAGCGCCACGTGTAAATGAAGCATCAACGGCTGCGAGGGACCGCGTCGATCTCCCATTGACCCGATCAGTCCGCGGCAGATGGGGCTTCGCATCGCGGTGGAACGGTATCCGCCGGTGGTCCTCCATACTGATAGCAGCTAGCTAGCATCGTTGCTGCCCGTCAGGGTGATTGATGCACCTCCGTAGCCCGAATGACGTGGGACCCGCCTTTGTGCAGGGACCTGCCTTTGACAAAGTTTCCGGACGTTTCAACGGCCCTGAGGTTCATGGAGCGTGGAGCGGGTCTGTCTACTACTATAGTTGAAAACCAAACCGTGGTGGAACAAATCCCCAATTTGACTTTTTTTTTTGGGTACACCCTGGATTGTCGTTGGCTCGTGGTGTTTATTTCTGTTTTATTTTATCTTTTTCCCCCATTTTTCTATTTTCCCTTTAATCTTTTTTTTTTTTCCATTTTGGCCAGGAAAATCGAACGCATGCATTGGGAAATTAAAAAAGATTTGGCTTTTTTCCCCCTTCCCCCTGTTTAACCTTACGGCAACGGGGCTTGTGATGGGCCTTCACCTTATTTTCCCTTTTCCCTATCCCTGGTGAATTTTTGGAGCTGGCAAACAGTCTGCCCACCATGAGTGGCATATAATATTCGGGAGCTGGAACTCCTCTGGAGGGGCACCCAAAATATTTCCCCCACCTGTCTGTCCGGTACGCGTCTGGCTGTCAATGCCCCCGATCCGTTTGAATCTCCTCCACCGTGCCACATCCCAGGCCTCTCCGAAACCTTCCTCCAACGTCTCGAGCGTTTGCGCCTGTAATCATTGTACTCTGGACTACCGTCTGCCCGCCCCGTTCGGATTGAAATCCCAATTCCAACCTCGATCCCAAGACGACGGCAACAATGTGCCACTACTTTAAAAACTTTTACATCTACAGCACCTGTCGAGAGCCGGCTGCGCACATCATCAAGACCAACATGGACGATGAAAGCAAAGAGCCCAAATGCTCCGACAGTCCGCATGACAGGTTTATTGTGGTCGTGGGGTTATGCCTTCTCTGCCGCTAGCCGACATGAACGGCGGTGTCAATCGCGCCTTCCTTTCTTCCTTCCTTCCAGGGCCGAGACCGAGCTGGGAATTCTGTCCCTCCAGATCGCCATCACGACGACAACATCCCTCGCATCCCCACCTCCTTCACCTCCGCGTTCCATCACAAATACTTGATGTCTTTCCCCCGGGCTCTGGCTCTCGTGCCAGTTTGGATTTCTGTGTAGTTATCCTGTCGATATACTGTTTCTCTTGTACCTTTCTTTCTTGCCTGTTTTATTGGATGGCGACTTTACAATCTTGGAGAGTCAAGCTGGGCTTGATATTCTAACGGAATCGATACCATATACATGCATGGTGCTTGGGGAGTTCAACAAAGACCGGATATCACATCTAGATGGTTTCTGAATGCTTATTTTTCTTCTCTTTCCAACATCAACCTCAACCTGAACCTCAACTACAAAGCTGCCGGTCTGTCCTGCTTCTGTCCCTCTGGCCAGGAAATTAAAAGGAATAAAAAAAAGAAAATGAAAATCGAAAATGAAAATCGAAAATGAAGGAAAAGAAAAGGCGTGTCTGTCTGAGCGGTCGATTTTGTTCGTACCTCCAAGACCCCCATGTGGATTCGATCTAGAACCTGCACCAAACCCGCCAGCGGCATCACATGTTCTACACATGTGCTGCTCCGTCGGAACCTTCAGAAGAAGAGATGGAACGATTTCCTCCGGGGGACCAGGGCCAGCGGGCGAGTAAGAGTAGCGCAATACTGAGGAGACGCTACACAAGGTCCGCCTTGACCCTTTGTTCAGGGTATCTTGCCCGCAAGGTGTCCGGACGGGGGCGCTAGAGACAGCAAGCTAGCGAGCTGGCTATCAAGTGTCCGCGATGGCCTCTGACGCAAAGGCCTGCTTACCCTGCGAGGCCCGCGAGGACTCAGTGCTGGACCTGCTACGCAACCCGTTGCCTGCCAAGAGGGTGCTGCACCTACGGGGGGCCAGATGGCGTCTGAAGTCTGTGCTTTTCCGCTTAGACAGCGACCGGCCGAAAGGTGAACCCCAGTGGTCCACTCCACTGTGAATCCTAGCCGGGCGGGCGGCTTTAGTCTTTACTCTTTACTCTTTAGTCTTGGGCAACCCCCAGGCTATCTTTTTCGTCCTTCCTCCCCGATGTTCAGTGTTAGTGTCAGCGTTGAGGGGTCAAAGGGGGGGGAGGGGGGGGGGTCGCACCAGCTGAAGGTTTTGTCGCCAATCGCAACTGACAGGGATGCCACTCAGAACAAGGCAAAAAGCCAAAGAAAGAGCCGAAGATCGCTTCTCTCCCACTGGCTGCTTCAGTCACCGAACATCCGGAGCGCGGAGGGTTTTCATAACGGCAAACTCCACGAAACCACGCTACGCATTACATCTACGGACTATCTCTCTTTCCTTCCTTCTCTCTCCATTCTCCAGAGCGCGCATGCGTGATCCGTGACAGACCGTGGTTACACATCTGCCGGGACGCACGAATAGCGCTAGGCGGACGTTGCATGAGATGGTGGAGATGCTAAGTCACTAAAGCCCTGCTAAGAAACCAACATTTTCCGGGTGGAGATGGAAGGAATTTTCTGGCCGCAGCCATTGAGATGGCCGCGGTCCCAACGACCATCGCAGTTGGCTGCCGCAATTTGTCATGAGCCGGAGATAATAATTTGTCGTCCCACGAATCGGCGGCGCTCGGGTTCTGCCCAGGAGCCCTATAAAGTACGGTTGATTTAGGCCCTCTCTTCCCTACAGTACTACGCTGGACTAAGTCAAGGGGGGGAGTACCTATATGAGGCCCAGCACCCACGACCCCCCCCCCCCCTTCCCCTCAAGCTTACTCTCGGGCCGATGGTGCATTGCTGCAGGGCATGCGGGCAGGTGGCAGGCCCTCTTGAATAAGGTACCTTACGCCGTATACGGAGTAGTACGGCCGGCTGGACGGGCGCCGGGCAACGTATCCATCCATTCTTGATACACCGTACACAGCGGCCTCTCTACCCGGAGGAACAGGCGGCTCAGAGGAGTACTGTGGAGTCCCGATCGTGGAGTACAAACCTAACTGCTGTTCTTCGGTACGGTTGGGCATGATAGTTTTGTCAGATAAGAACCGGAATGCCCCTAGCTTCCGCTGGACATCGACCTTGTCCCAGTGAGGAGAAGGGTGAAAAGGGAAAAGCGGATCAGAACGGAGAACACCTGCGCGCATCCATACTCCTACTCGGTCCGAACTGGATGCGGTTGCAACCCCCGCCAGTCGTCGTATGTACGGGGTATGTATGTGGGTATGTATCTACAGTGTAAGGAAGGATGGATCGATGGACGGACGGCCACCCAGTGGATGGTTCGCAGCATTCGCCCACCTTTACTACGGATATACCGACACCCAGATTCCAGACAGAACCCGACGGGTCAGAAGCAACAAACATTCTGGAATGACTGGATGATTGAATGTGAAGCCGTCGATCACTTTGTCTTCATCCCATCCCTGCCTGTTTCAACCTGACTGGCAATTACTGGGCTCGGCTGGAGGATTGGCCTTAAAAGTTTTCCTCCAATTTTCTTTTTCTTTTCTTTCCCCTTGATCTTCTTTTTCTTGCCCCTTCCCCACCCCCTCCGTTTTTATTTCCCCTTTAAATTTTCCCATTTGGCCCTCCCCAGGCTGCTGTCGCCTGCCGGGTCTGCCATAGGGTGCTTTCAGAACGAGTCCGGCGCCACTAATGCGCGAACAATACCAGCTCGAGACAAGGGTATCCCGCTGCAAATCTTAAATCGCAATCGCTCCTGACGTTCCGACCTACGAGCTACCACGGAGTAGATGCCTCCACGCGATTCCCCATCCCATACTCCGGCCAAGGGGCTGAACGGCGGCGCGATTACCGGATGCAGCGCCTGGCCTATCGGTGCATGGCATGATTTGGCCCTCCGGAGCCCTGCAGAGAGCAAGATTCCAGCGCAGAAGTAGGCAAATCATGCAAGTATGACCTCATCCAAACGAGGACCTCATTGTTTTTTGTTTGCTTTATGCTGGCCATCAAGGCCTTTGTGTTATTATTATAGTTGGGAAGCGATATTACTGCGCCTGCCTGCCCCGTGCTCCGTAAGGTACGTACTTTACCTAACAATGGCGACGGTGACGGTACCACCCGCGGCCCCGGTCACGTATGACCAGGAAGATACCAGGTAGGTACCACCACCTATCCTGGTCTCTGTCTACCTGTGAGTACCTCTCCGGTACGGGTGAAGGTAGTTTGGATGGGCTGGCATCTTCCCAGAGGTTCCAGAGCACGCATGGGCGTAGAGAGAAGGAGAAGAGAGGGGGAGAGAGAGAGAGAGATGGGCATGGAGGGACTCGTCGACGCGTCCCCGGTCAAATCCGCAATTGCACAGAATCACGAAGACCTAAATTATGGCCTGCGTGTATCAGGGCCATCGATAAGGTTACCGGACGGGCTACCAGCCTGGCTAGGCACCATCAAGGCAATGTCAATGTCCACGCCTACAGTAGCAAACGAGCAAACACGGCATCTTCCGCCCTGCCCGCCTGAACAGGAACAAGGCGTTTCCTAACCAGCCACAGTGTCCGAGCACCCACTTCGCCGGCCCCTTCCACTTCCCCTTCCATTTCCACGTCTATCGCCATCGCCATCGACCTTCCCCAGTCTGCCTCCTCCCCGTGGGTGGCTCCCGTGTCACGACGGCGCATACGTAACGATCGACCCAGGACTGCCCACATCCCGGAATCCACATCACTCCCGCCCTCGGGTTGACGGGGTCAGACCAGTCTTCGGTGCAGGATCACTCGGCTCTCTAGTTCATTCGAGACGATCCGCTTCTCCAAGCTCCTTCATCCTTGGCTGTCCTGTCCGCTCGCCGTACGTCGCCTCGAAAAGGGAGGAGGAAGGAGAAGAAGACGCGTCCGTTCCGTCCCATTTCTAGCACCCTTTCCTGTTCGTTATGCGTTCTTCCACGGGGGACTTCCTGTCCATTGGCTTTCCATGCGACCAGGACATGCGGGAGAGGCGATCCCCGAATAAAGTCCGAAGCCAGACACAAGGCATATCTAGTACAACACTGGATCGACTTGGGGTCTCCACCTAAGTTACACGGATCCTGAGCAATTGATGATGAGTCGATGACCATCCTTCCGTCATCTCTGGAAGCCCGTCACCTTAAAACTGGATCCGATCGATTCCCTGCTCTGGGCTCCAACCCCGGCTTAAGATCAGTCCCGTTGGGGATCGCTGCGCCGCAGAAACCCTCAGCCACGGCTCAACTGCTACTCTCTACCATGGCTCCGAGACACGGCTACTCCGGGCCGGCTCCGAGCCATGGTATGTCAGATCACCTCATCTACTCGAGACGCTTTTCGGGCCCATGCCGAGCCTTGGCTTCCAAATCAAGTCTGCTTGGCAGGAGCAGATACGACTCAGAAGGCACGGGCATCATCTTAGATACTTGTTAGACGGACATCCGGTGCATGCCACCGAGCGGAATATCTCTCCGGTGAGCCCGGGAGTGAGAAGCTGTAGTCGCAGGGAAGCGTCGGCACATACGCGCCCTACCCAGCCAGTCAAGGAAGCTTTTGTTCCGGCAGGTGCTCCAAGTTCCTGTCTACTACTGCCAGTCCCCTGTCGGTTTCCTTATCTGTCTGCGCTGCTAGTCATGTCACAGCACTAGCATCGGCCCAGCCTGGGTTTTTCGTGACTGCGTTGTTCTCTAGTCGACGAATCATCACTCCAGGAGAGATACGTGCTAGGCAACTTGGTACGGTTGTATTATCCGCCATTGAGCATCGCCCTGGGGTCCGATTGACAGATTAGTGCGATGTATGCCGGGAACTCTGCGCCAATGGTTCTTGGCATGCATCGGACAGTGCCTATTATTTCCCCATTCTCTCCCCCCAACTCAGGTGGGAGTGGATCTTTCTCAAGTGAAGGAGGAGGGGGGTGTCATAACCCACATTCTGCGAATGCTTCTTTGGATTTCTCCGGATACGAGGTGCACCTTCCCATAATATAGGGCTCTATACTGCGGCACAACGCGCTAGGGCTGGAATGGCTGGGCGGCAGTCCGTTCCGGCCGGAGCAATGAGAGGACCTTGAAAGGGCCTGCAGAGATTATGCATCCATGTGTATACCGTCTTTGTCTGTTAAGGACCGGGCTCCCATGCCAGTAATCCTTGGCTAAAGCTTGGCCGTTCGATGATGAATATGGAAATTTCCACGAATTCCTCGACTGACCTCGTTGCGATGTCGTCGTCACTTGGAGACTAGACTATGCGTGCCGGTAGACCTCCGGCCTAGGAGCGAATCAAAACTGCAGCTCTCACATCGGATGCTCCGATGAGGTCTTTGATGCATGCGTCTCGGAAATGAATAGGGACAAGGCTTTAGGGGGCGCGCGAGCGCGCCCCATACAACCATATAGACTGTAAATATAGATTACAATAATCTATCTAAATCATATACTCAGTAATCTGTAAAAAAAAAAAAGAAATTATAAAATCTTATCAAGAAAATAATTAAACAGATCTTTACAAGTTTCTTAAGATATAGCTAGATAATCTGTGAAAGGGATGATATCCGCGGGATATGCATACTTCAGTTACATTGAAGGGTGAAGCCCATCTTCTCCCGGGTGTACTTGAGTAAATATATGGGATTCTAGGGGTCCGCAGGTAACTGCGGGTAATGTTAGCCTTTTGGCTCAGTGGCAACAACTCCCCTAGGTTGGTGTCTTACCATAAGAAGACAGACTATCTATAAGGGATGCTTCTAAGATATAGTGTGAGGAAGATAGTCATATCAATTAGGGAGATCTGCGACCGTTTAAGTGATTAACCGGGTACTGGCATATGCCGAACAAGGACCACTTTTCATCTCGACCGGGTGAGAGTTTAGTGGGTTTTCTCAACGACGGAGTACAACATCTGGGCACGCGTGGTAGGCTCTCAATCGTATAGAGGACCAGGACCAGCCCCCAGAATGTATATGTGAAACTTGGATACTATCCAGGGGCTAGGATATATGAATCTCTTGGCATTCTGGGGCGCTGAGAAGGAAGACCTTTGCAATCATCAGACGGCATCATCCCTGCTCATGAACCGTGGGCACGGCTGATTGTGTTCCTGATCTAGGAGAATAGAAGCCAGGATCACTCTTCCTGAACGAACTCTGGTATCAACTGTCGGGATACTTGCTTGGTCCTGTCAGTGTCACTGCCTGGTACCATCATGATCTCAAGTGATGATGCTCCCGGCATTTGATGGTTTTGCCGGTTTCCATGCCAACCATTCTTGATCACGTCATCCACCATAACTAGTTATCTAACTAACTGACTAGATACGCAGTACGCAGTACTATCTAGATAGTCCAGACTATCATGAAACAGAGCAACAGCCTATTTCTGTTTCTGTTTCTGCCGCTGGCGGCTGCGTCCGTGCTTCCCGGGAGCAGTGCTGTCAAGCGCCCTACACTACTGGATTCATTATGGGCATAATTTAGCTTCATCCTGCAAAGTAGATAGATGCATGATGCACCAAGAACTACTCACCGCTGCTAATGTGAATGTCATAGAAAGAAGATAGTTAACTATCGGCCTTATTCTCACCCAGGTCAAACAATAGCCACCCCTCCCCTCGAGCTTGGGCTTGTTCTCTATACACGTACGTATTTACCCGTAGGCTCCCGCATTTTTCTGTCCTGGGGCCTGGGTGGGTGCTTCCAGGCCAATCGATTTCTGCGGGTGTGGGATGTGGGATGGGATTTGATTTGATTTGATTTGATCCAGGGCCGTGCGCGAGATAAGGAGGTTAACTATGCAGTTTGTACCTACTATATACGGAGTAGTATATGGGAGATGGGGAGATGGGAGAAGGGATAGCAGCGGGTGTTAAGGCAGGGATTAGCATCAGTCTTAGTTTTTTGTATTAGATAGTGTCTGTGAGTGATTCTGTTGTCTAGGATGGGATGGGATAGATAGATAGATACCCGGTTGTTTGTTGGGGGGGGGGTATACTATAGATAGAGCTAATGGGTTATCTATCTGATTGTCTGGTTGGTTAGTGGGTAGATAGTGGTGTGGTGTAGTGTAGTGTGGTGTAGTATAATGTAGTGTAAAATAGTGTCTAGTAGCTAGTAAGCTATGCACAGCTCGGATAATTCTACGTCCGTCTTCCCTGTCTTCTATTGCAATTTGCATCTGCATCTTATTGAGAATTGGAGAACTTGAGCTTGAGATTGAGACTGACACTGATGTTTTTACTTTTTCCTGCGATGATGTCGTACCTTGGTATTGCTATTCCTTGGTGTGTTTCCCACTGCACACTGAACTGCAGAGAGAGGGGTGATATCTTCCCGATCGGGCATTTTCTATACTTCCAGTTGGGTACTCGGTTCTCGGTACTCAGTACTCAAGTACCTCGACTTAGATAAGTAGCTACAGCTAGGGCAATAGTATTGGCGGCGGATAATACTATAGTTACAACTTCAGTAAGAGGGAGATAAGAATGATTCTCAAAAATCATCGTCTGCACTGCATCAAGCACAAAGTCACTGCCAGCCGGCTGGACGAGCAAGCAAGAAGCGAAATGGGTTTAGTAATAAGGCCAGCTGGGCGAAAGAAAGTCAAGCAACGATATGAAACGCAACCAGGTGAGTAACGTAACCAAGCAGACGACTGAGCAGCAGCGCAGCAGCAGTAGTAAGAAAGAAAGAAAGAAAGAAAGAAAGAAAGAAAGAAAGAAAGAAAGAAAGATATCAACCCTTGTCTCTTATCTCTCCCCTCTCTCTTCTTCCTACTAACAATTCTGCAGCCACTTATCCAGCTTCATATTCTTCATCACCGTGGAAAACAAACCCGAGTTCTCGAATTCACACGCCTGCTTCTTCTTCTCATCATCGACCGGGTTCTCATCAGCCACGTCCTCTCCCTTGGGATACTCAATATGGAAGACGGGTTTGCCCTGTTCCACAAACGGCGCAAACATCTGACACTCGTGCTTCTGCGCACACTGCTCATTGACACTCCACTGCATATGATCGATGGTCTGACTGATGATCTCGCCCGCGTTCTTCAACCCGATCGCCAAGCCACGACTGCTCGCCTCCTTGGCCAGCCACAGCACGTACTCCACGGAATCCTTCTCGGTCAGCCCCAGTCCGTTGTCATTGTTGTACCCGTCCACGTTGTCGGGGTCCACGCCGTCGCAGCCGTTGTACGCCGCGAGATCCAGACGCGAGGACATGATGCTGCGGACGTTGGGCGAGTTGATGTTCAGCCAGCGCTCGGTGTGCCAGTCGGCATTGGTGAGGTTCTTGCCCATGTCCTCTTCGTGGAATCGGCGGTGGTCGCAGCGGTAGGGCTCGTACGTGCCGGCGGAGAAGTAGCAGATCACCTTGCGGTTCTTCGCGTGCAATGTGTCGATGGTGGGTTTGTGATTGATGAACAGGTCGATGTCGTACACCTCCACGTTCAGCATCGAGTCTGTCAGCTTTTCGGGAAGCTCGATCTGCCAGGTTGTGCCTACGCGGGGCTGCCAGATTGTGGTGTTGACGGGGGTGGGCGAGGTGGATGGGAGGAGGGTCTCATTGTCGCAGGAGTCGGGGGAGTCGATGGGGTCGGGGGAGTCATCGTCGTCAAAGGAACAAGAGGGGTCGGAGGAGTCGTCGCTGTCGATGGGTGCGAGGTCGGAGGAGGAGCGTGGGATGGCAAAGGCGGAGGATCCCTGGACCAGCAGGTGGGAGAGGAGAAGGAAGACAAAGTAAACAGGGAAGATCATTATGAAGGTATGTTTCGGTTGGTGGTTGATCAAGTGGGATGGTAGGGACGGACAGGAATCGAAGTCAAGAGGGGTGAGAGAAAGGAAGTGAGGAACCGAATGAGGAAGCAGGATGGGTTCGAGGCGCGAACAGCCTGGTTATATACCCCGTCCGCATCTGATATTCACAGACACCAGGCAGGCAGACACAGCCTGCCTGCTGCGTCTCACCCCTCATTTCACCGGATCAAAGGAACGTGAATCACAACCCTGCCGCCACGATCCCGCGATCTTTCAGCCAGTGGTAGGTGGCTCTATCCATCCAGGGTCAGTGATGACCAAGGGGGGGGGGGGGGGGGGAAGGTGGATGCCAATCACGAAATCACAGGGAGGCCATCATCCATTCCTCCTTATGAATTCCATCCATAGGAACTACAACCCCCTACACCCTCTCTCGAACCCCGATACAATTCCCCTCTACAGCACCCCTCCCAGTCTCCAAAGGTCTATCACCATTGGCCCAATAACCAAACTCACACAGCAGCAAGATACAAATCCCTCTTCATCTTCTGATCACTGAAACCAGGATCAAGCCCACAGTCACCAATAATGATCGTCGATATATCAGAACCATGGGTATAACGGCACCCTGGATCTCTCACTCACCCCTACTCATTCAACTTAAATCTCCGGATCAATGCGAGTGGCGCGCGCATGGCGGACTCGGCTTCCATATGACGGGGCGGACAGGGGGGTGATGTCCCTGGTGGCGTTATTGTTGTGTGACCGCGACTGTTGGCGCCAACGGCTGGGCGGTTTGAGGTGCGGGTTTAAGGAAAGGTGCGAGGGAAGGATAGATGTGAATTTCATATTGTTTGCTGGTAGGGGGGGGGGTGATGAGCTGGGATCAGGCATGCACTGGCTTATATAGGGAATTAGGTCCGATGAAGGTGTGTTTTCTTTGGGTTATAGGGTGCGTATGGGTTACCTATCTAGCAGGGGACTTGTTAATAATATAGTATATCTATCTATCTATCTGTTCTATATAATACACAAGTGCAGATTATATTAACTATCATGAAAACGGCTGAGTGGATTTGAGAAGTATACAGACATCACTTAGGCTTCTTGACTGCAGCATTGCAGAAACATCACCACCCTACCTAATCTGCAGCCGGGAATCACGCACAGTATATATGTAGATAATACAGCTACCACCATCCATCTCAAGTGGCAGCAGTAAATCGCCGTCGCAAATCTTAAACATTCATTTTTTTTGTATATATATAGTAGAACCAGGGTTGGCGGTGGCGCAGCAGCTACTTATAATAATAGAGAGAGAGGATACTATAGCCTATTTCATCGCTATTCCCCTGTTGGGATCAACATACCTATCATATAATGTTGGTAGATATGCAATTCTCGGTGTTGGAAATGTTGGATATATACTGAGCCACCCACTAGTAATCACCACCATCAATATAACTAGATCACTCTAGCCCCCTAGTTATCCTATCCTCGAACCTATTAACTAACCCATACTGATACTCGGTATATCCAAAAGTGTCAAGTTATTCACATCATCCCTTCCCACCCAGTCCTCAACATCCAGATCATATATCACGCGCACATACAGGGTACCGTATCCGGATAACAGGTTGGTACTTACTTACTTACCTACTTTATGTCCTATGTACTGTAAGTACATAGTAATGTTGGTGATGTACATGCAGCCACCCGTTAAACCCACCCACCCATCCGGCTATCGATCCCGAAACGCCCGTTTTCTTTGTCTCAGAGTCGGGTGCCATGTTTGTTGATCTGTTGGTCTGTTGGTGATCATCATCAATTTGGAATTGGACGGACTAGGTATGTATTTTCCTTTTCTCTCTTCGAGGGGAGTTGTATGTATGTATGTATGTATGTATGTATGTATGTATATTAACTATGTTTTATCTGGGTGTATAGCGCTATAGATGGAGTGGTCATATAAAAGGGTATTTAATATTTATTTCTCTCTGGGTATATAGTATTTTCCGTGTATACTCCGTATATCATCACTCTTATGCAGTGAACTCAAGTCAAGTGAAGTCAAGTCAAGTCCTGTCAAGCCAAGTCAAAGTACAATTACAAACAAATCTCAAAGCATCCTGATTCCTGATTCCCGATTCCCGATTCCCAAAAACATCCAGAATCAACCAAATGGATCAAATTCAACAACATTCAATCCACATCATAATCATTAAATAAATAGATAGATAAATAAATAAATAAACTAGCTTATATACCGATTTTTTACCATTAACACGCCGTATATCTCATAGCAGCTGCCCAGCTGACAGACCTCCCCAGTAAGTCAGTCATCAGTGCATCATGACCCGATCAGGAAACCGTTCGATTCTTCCTCTCCTCTCCTCTCCTCTCCTCTCCTCACTCATTTCCCTTTCATCTATCCATGCATCCCTCCATAAACCAGTCACCGATAAATCAGTCATCCATAAATCAGTCATCGATAATCACACATCGATAATCACTCATCGATAAACCGAAATCCTAAACTTCTGCAAATCCCTCGGCGACGGCAAAACAATCACATGATCATCCGCCGGACTATCCGGCACCAAGAAATCATCCCTGGGAGTCGGACTTAACCCATGACCCGGACCCAAACCAGGCGAATACAGTCTCTCGCGCAGCGGACACGCCACCGCCGCCGGGGGCCGCGTAAGGGACCGTTTGCGCGTGTACGTGTACGTGTACGTGTGCGGGTACGGGAGAATCTGCAGTTTCTCGCACTTGATGTTGGTTTGGGACATGGTGCGGAGGGGGTTGAGGCGGACGGCGGGGGGTGGGGAGAGCTGGAGGTGCTGGGGCTGGGGGGTGCGCGGGGGAAGTGGTGTAGGTGGAGGTGTTTGTTGGTGGTGGGGGGGGGAGTGAGGTTGTGATTGTGATGATGAAAATAGAGATTGAGATTGAGATGGAGAGATGCGGTAGAGGCGGCGCGGGCTGATGGGGTCCGGGAGGAGGTCGGTTTCCTTGGTGAGGGCGGAGGAGAGGGAGGCGGAGGATTTATTGCTGTTAAAATTATTGCTGATGATGTCGTTGTCGGTGTCGTTGTCGATGTCGATGTCGAGGTCGGAGGGGAGGGAGGGGATGGTGTGCAGGGTTGGGTATTGTTTAGAGGGGTCGTCGGATGGGGAGAGTTCGGATTCGGAGGGGAAGACGACGGCGGCCTCCAGGGCTGGGGAGGAAGGGGATGTTTGTTTGTGTTTGTGTTCGTGTTCGTTCGTTGATGTCGTGCGCGTGCGTCTGGGGATGGGCTGGCGGGTGAATAGAGTCCAGAGGGTAATACCAGGACCGCGCTTGATTCGGAGGAGGAGTAATGTTGCGAGAAGGATGAAGATCATCACGGCCGCTGTAAGGATATATGTATTTGTCAGTTAGAGAGCTCTGGTTACGGTTCAATTCAATCCATATGCAATTTGCAAGATGCAATATGCGAGGATCACCGGTCAGGGTCTGGATAGTACCTACCCAGGATGCCCAGAGCTAGTCCTACCCGCTGAGGCAAAGAGAGACCATTATTCCCCCCATCTCGAGCCCTAACTCGAATAACAGAGGACTGGACTCTTGGGAGAAATGAAGCCGTCGACCACGAAATCCCGAATTGGGACATGAATTCACTCCGGTCATGCGATTCCCGATCAAAGCAGACGAAGGAGGCGAGGAAATTGCAACAGACCAGCTGTTGACGGAATCGAATTGAAATGTGGACAGCGAGCGGGCGTGAAGTGTCCGGGCGACGTCAATAATATACAGAGAAAGAGAAAGAGAAAGGCGAGGCAGGGCAGGGGAGGGCCCAAAGGTTTGAGTTGGTTTGGTTGTTCTCAAAAAGAAAGCCACCTACTTTTGGCCCTGAAACTGGGAAAAAAAAAGCCTACCATAACTTACAACGTACGTACCCCATTATAACCTTAAACCGGGCAATCACACGCGACAAGACGGTGGCTCAATGGGCTCTTTGCTCTGCTTGCTACCCCCTGACACGGTCTAGGCCAGGTCAACGCTAGCATGGCACGCCAAAGAAGCCTCCATGATCGACTACCGGCGTCGTGAAACGGCGGTTCAGGGCTCGCTTGACTCGAGTCCTTCCTCCCTAGGTCTCGGACCATCCCAGGCAGCAGAAGGAAGAAACTGGCCCAGGGCAGTACAGCCCAGCAAAACAGCTGACCCAATACACTATTAGTCCATGGTGTCAAAAGTATCTATCCATCCCCTGGTGATTTGAGAATCGCATGGCAGAAGTAAGCAACATCCCTGAATTGCCAAGCAAAGGGGGCCTGACCAACAGTGGAGCCGTGGATCCGTATAGCGTCGTTCCCCGGGTTCCGGCTGTCAGCAACCCAGTAAGTAATAATTCCATTTCGGGGACCAAACGGCAACCGTTGGTGCAAAAAGAAAAGGGGGGGTTTTCTGCAGAGTGCAGCAGCCTAAGCGCCACCGTGAACAAACTCCAAAGGGCCAAAAAAAAAAAAAAAAGAACAAAGACAGAATTCTATTATTTCCATTTTTAGGACCGCCGAAAATCAGCCGCCACATGGAGTCGGAAAATCGTGCTGGTCCGAAAGACCAGCTGATATGGAGTTCTGATAGTTGATACGATCGGACGTCTACGTGCAGGAGACCTGAAGTCTCGTCTCAAGTCTGCAGTCTCAGGCTGATGCTGTCCTGTCGCACCATCCCCCAAACCAGAAAAAGAACCCCAACCCCCAATCCTGCGAACTGCGAACTAGTACTCCGTTCAAACCAAACTTCCAGAGCCCCCATCCCCATCACTGCCCAGCTTTTGGTTCGCGAACCATACAGTAAAGCTGTGGGATAGAGTTTGTTAGCACAACGTTTAGGCAGCAGACGCACGCAGCAGCATAAACCACAACCACAACCACAACCATAAACAAAAACAAAAACATAAAACATACCATACAAACATCCCCCCCATCCCGACACTCCATCTCCATCCTCATCTCAAATCCCAGCTTCTCATAAATGCTCACATTCGGCACATCCCTCGAGCTCTCCAGATAACAGCGGACGCCCTCGCGATCCGCCCGCTCCGTGACGGCCTCGAAGAGCTTCCTCCCCACGCCCCGGCCCTGCCACCGGGGGCTCACCGCGACAATATTGCAGAAGTAGTACCCCCGTGGGTCGTCCCAGATCTGGCTCTGGGCGTCCTGCTGCCGCGCTTTCCAGATCCAGTACCGGTTCGTGCGGAGCCCGCCGCGGCCCCAGTGTCGCACGTTGTTGAGCATCTGGCGGCACGAGAGGAGCCAGTCTTGCGTCCAGGTGTACCAGCTGGGGGGCGTGGAGGGGGGCTGGGGCGGTAGCCAGCAGGATACGCCGATGACGGGGGCTTTTCCTTTTTTTTCTTCTTCTTCTCCTTCTTTCGAGGATAAGAAGGATTCGCTCTCGATAATGGTGTCAGAATCGGTATCGGAGTCTGCTACCTCCCTCGCAACGTGAAAGATCGCGTTCTTGATCCCCCAGAGACATCGCACAGCGAGCGAATCGGAATTGCGCTCTTTGTTGAACTATTTCCCATGGTGCTTCCCCCCGATGGAACGCAAGTCGGCGACTAGATGCTTAGATACTAATCGACCGAACCCGCGTCCGGGGAGAGAGGTGGTCAGCTGACTTGCTTTTTGCATAGCTACCCTTCACTGATAATCTTCGCTGCAAACTATCCCAGGATGCACCAAGGACACTCTAGCACACTCCAGGACAAGTGGGTGCGGGCGTGGGCGTGATTGTGACTCACCTGCTCAGATTCAAAAACCCACTGGAAATACGGATCCTCTGCAAATGCGGACTGGATGATTTCAATCGCTGCGGGGATGTCGGTCTCCGTGAGGGGCGTGACTTTTATGGCCATTGCGTGTGCTGGTTTGGTTGGCTTGGCTGCGTGAATGCGATGCTGCAGTGGATGGTCAGCGCGTGTTACGCATTGCTGTGGATACAAGGACTTACGAGGTTGGGTAAGCTGGTAAGTCGGTGGTAGGTAGGTAGGTAGATTGTGTCGACCTCCAATTCAATTCAGCTCAGTTCAGCTCAACTCAACTCAATCAACTCTCCTCAGAGCTGCGCAAATAGATAGATAGACAGCTGCGCGTGGATAAGTAGGTACCTTACGCGAAAGAGCAAAAGACACCGAAGTGGTACAGACATGGAGATAAAAGCAGAACGAGCGAGACCGGTCGGCAGCGAAGAACGCCCGCGGATTGGTCGGAAGACTAAAGAGGCAGCTCCATGCGGAATTCACTGATCCACTCTTATCAGTCCATCTCTACTACTCTTACTACTACTAAAGTATGTATAATGTGTGAGTGTACTATCTATGGCTGTGAGTGGTGATGCGGTTAACTACTTTGTATGTATAAGTAGTTGTATTAATCCTGTTGTTGTTGTTGTTGCTGCAGAAGAGGTGGTATTACTATTGGTACACCGCTGTTGTTTAACGACAGTGCAGTGCAGTCACTCTGCGGGTGTTGATCAATAATATTTTTTCAAGGTGGTTTGCTGGCGCCATACCATGTGTTTCGTTCTCGCTACTGTAAGTGCACAGTGGTAGTGGTAGCGGCAGCACATGCAACAGACTGCAAGGCTGATCCATCTGATATATCACTATCATCACAGGTCTGGTCTGGGGTGCAGAGGGATGATTAGATATCGACAATTTACAGACTACTTACTATACGTGAGCCTTTCTGTTTTGGAGGAAGAAGAGGAGAAAAAATGTCACCAGACAATCCCATATTGGTATCTAAAATGTATCACTGTATAACAACAATGCGTATAAATGGGCAAAGATAAACCCCGCTTGCAACAATCAATGCCTTCAGTTTATGCCCACGCCCGCCATTCCATTGCATTGCATTCCACATCCCCACCCTCGGCGCCATATCCAACCCAAATCAACAATAAAAACACAACGGTGTGTGTGTGTGTGTGTGAGCCGGCCCGATAATGAATAACACCATATGTAACGTCAACTCCCAAACGGCCTTCTAGAAACAATGAAAGAAAAAAAGAATCAAATCAAATCTCGTAAGTGTCGTAAATTCCTATTCTCGTCGTCGCGGGGAGGGCCGTCATCCGATCAGTCGAAATTATACAGCCTCCTCCAGGCGCACCCACTCGCGCGGGACGTCCATGCTGCGGTTTACACGGCCTCCCGGGGTGAGAGGCACGTCCACTCGTCCGCGACCCCGGTCGTCGTCCGCGTGCTCCTCGTAGCAGGTCAGCCGCGAGAAGTAGTCCTCCAGCACTGATTCCCGATCGTTGTTCCCCACGATCGAGCTGTACTCGGGCGGCGGGGTGATGAGCGGAGGCGGTGGGGGGACGTCTTCGAAGGGGGGCGGCGCAAACGATGGGGCCCGGAGAAGATGCATGGGACGTGGCGGGCGATCGGTGGTTGGCTCGTCGGCCAGATGCGCTTGAGGTGGTCGAGTCAGACCGCCAGACCCGTTGGTGAAGCTTCTCGAGACCGCACCTCCGATCGGAATTTCGTCGCGATCAGATGACAGTGACTGCCTGCTGGAGCCGTTGCGCTGGTGGAGTGGCGGCGCCCCGGGACAACCGCATTCAAACTCCTGCGCCTGCGGCGACGGATCCGAGTCAGGCGAGGTATATGCTGGCAGGTAGATGTTGGCTTGTGTGGCCTTGCAAGAAAGCAGGTGGAACGGAGAGTCGATGGAGATCTCAAAGTGTCTCCGCTTGCCCGGATCTCTTTCATCCACCTTGGAAAGTCGTAGTACAATCTGCCAACCGTTAGACTAAGAAATCCAGAAGGACACTCATACTGGTGCAACATACCTTGATCCAATGGTTGATCTGAATGTTCTCGTACGTCGTGTCAAAGTGTAGCCGCTGAGACTCATCCCGGTTGCGCATCTCCTGGCAGCTGGGGAGCTGGACGTTGAACTCCATCTCGGTCGGCCCAACTCCCGAGTCACTGGAGAGATTCCCGAGAAGATTCGTTCGGTTCCGGTCAACAATCTCCTCACCTCTCGCGGCAGCCGCCCGACGATCCCACTCGATGCCGCCACCGACCGTGACGCGCATAGAGCTACCGGGGTAGGTGCTGGTACTGGGAGAGTCCGCGCGCTTCTCAAAGAGCAACACCTTCTTGGCTGGCTGGAAGCGATGGACACTCTTGTCCGCAGTCCAATGCTGAATATTCTCCGACACGTAGACTTTGATCCGGTGACATTCAACCTTGGCCAAGGGTGTCAACTTGAACGCGATCGGCACCTGGGACCCGAGAGGGAAGGATTTCCCTGAGATGACAATGTCATAATGCAGCTGATCCTCCCAGTTACGAGAGATTGCGATCGGTTCGACCTGCTCCAGCGAGCCTTCCGCAGGCGTGCGGATCACGGGAACCTCCAAAGTGCCGAGCAGGTTGGGGCGGAACGCACCCGACCTTTCCACGATCGCTTCGAGGTCGTACCGGACAGAGCCGAGATCGGTCTTGATCGTCTCCGGGAGAGAGCCATCGATCGGGAACTCGAAGCTGTACAGGTAGTCGCCGACGGGGAACAACCGGTATGTGCGCTGGGTATGTGCGGGAGGCGGTGGCGGCTCATTTCGCCCAAAACTGCGGGAGTGGTTGGACTGTAGAGAGAGGCGCTTGAGGTCCTTGGTGGAGAGCTGGCCGCTATTGCTCAGCGAGGTGGACGATCCAGTCTTGGAAAGCAGCTCGCGAGTACTTGTCATCGCGCCATCCTTTCCGGTCACTGAGATCGGCTTGGCATGTTGGTAGAAATGGGCACCGTAGTCATTCTGCATCAGCGCGGTATCGCCGTGGTTGAAGTACATGACGCCATGCGTGACCAGATCTTTCTTGTCGTGGAAATGGACCTTCTTGGGAGGAATTCCTACAGCAAAACGGTAAGATTAGCCACAGCGCCACTGACAACAAGAATGGGGGGAGGTCGGGAGGCGCATACCATCAGGCCAGTCGGTCTGCGCATGTCCGCGGAAACAGATCGAGATCTTCTTGACCTTGACACTCTTGGTAATTTTGAGGTGCAACTGCCCGCGCAGAATGGCCGACTTCTTGGTGCTAGGATCGTTTTGATCGTATCCCTGGAGAAAGAGCACCGGTTCTGTGAGCGCAATGCCGACGCTTATCCCACTGCCTGTCGCCACAATCTTCTCATTGTGCAGGGTCGGGAACGGCACAGTCGGATCCGAAGTCGGCATTGTCTGGTGGGCCGATGCCGGGGACGACACGGTCGACGAGGAGTGGGAGCGTATTCTGCCGGTCCTCAAACCCGCAGTACTGAGCATTTGGGCATCTTCGGGAGTCAAGACAATCTCAGACACCGGGCGAGGGCGATGGGTTTGGGGCATGGTTGGGTGGGTGGGTGGCGTCAGCGCAGGGTGGATAGTCGGGCCCCCCAAGCGGAGGAGGCGCTTTGCGTTTTCCCGCGGACCCGCCAGCTTCCTTAGTATGGATGTGCGGCGGCGATAGCCCGGGCGAGGAACTGGCTTAACAGCAACCCCGTCGTCGACGACCGTCGATGTTTCTAGCGACCGACGGTGTTCGGATCGGAAGCCCCAGAGGCTGTGGAGTGAAGGAACGGGTTCGGGCGCACCGCAGGGGACTTGGGTGACTGGACCGGTTGTGGTGGTAATCGAACCCGGTAATTCCTGCTGTAGATGGGAAACGTGAGCCGTCATTGTGATGAAGAGCGCCAACTGGGTTGCATTATTTGCTGGAGAACAGGAGATTGGAAAGAGAAAGACAGAATCCGGGGTGTTGGGGGTCGTCTTCTCAGTAACGGGGTACGAGGGGGGGGGGGGTATAGAGTATAGACAAGAAGGTGGTGGCGTGGGAAGAGAAACCACGAAGTATGGGGAGGGAACTATATGAGGGGGATTTACACCAGGACCTGCGAGGGATGCCACGAGAAGAATTGCAAGGTCAAGGTAGAAAGAAGAGTAACACAGGAGCGAAGGAAGAGCAGAAGAAGGTAGAAAAGACGATCGCGGGAGAAAAAGCGAAGAAGCAAGCACGTTTTGGTTGACTCGACGACTTACCCAAAGCGAAACGACTTCTGGGATGGAGAAGTATATTTTTTTTTTCCCTAGTGAATCTTACGCACTGTCCCAGCTGCAGTGAGTCGTGCGACCAGTGGACTTTTCCTGGGACGGGGCAAAGTGGTACTTTGTCCTTAATTTCACGATCTCTCTCTCTCTCTTTTTTTTTTTTTTTTTTTTCTAATGGGGTTTCGCCTTTTGCCTTTTTTTGGTGTTTGGATCCTTTCTGAGTTGGGGAGATGATCGACGGCGCAAGGCAAGGAGCACGTCCACCGCGGCGCAGCAGCAGCAGGGCAAGGAAAGTCCCACGCGCCGAGATGGGGGAGGATGATGGAGAGGAGGAGAAGGGATCACCGCTTTCAGTAAGTTCGATAGGCTGAAGTGGCTACTGGGCAGGCCAGATGAGTCGATGATGCGGGGGGAAGGGAAACCAAAGAATGAGCGGCCGGGGGACAGGGCGAGAGCGAGCAGTAAGTAGTGTTGCTTGGTGTGTACCCCCGTACAGTAGGTCAGTTATCGGCTAGAGGGCAAGGCAAGTCATGCGAAGGGGCCGCAGCATTGACATCGATGACAACACGGACACGACAAGAATGAGGCGGTGCGGGTGGTGTTCCTTGGGCACAAGATACTTAAAAGCAGACGAAGAGGGGGGGGGACCGACTAGATACTAGTAGGTGAACCAACCTGAACCAGTCCAGGCCGATGACGCGGAGTGGAAGTTGTCGGTAGGTTCAGTCATATCCGGTGATCCGTAGGCTACCTTTTTGGTGCTTGCGCCAATCGAGGCTGTCGCTGCTCGCTGAACCATAGTCGTCCGCCTGGTGGGATCCTGAATCTTTTTCCACCCGCCACTCGTTCTGGATTTGCGACAAAACATGGGCCTGCGAAGTACGAACGACCCGTGTGTTTTACGATGTGGACCGAATCTCCGAACCAAATTGACTTGGCCGTGGCTGGTATTCTGTTCTTACTCGGTTTCGGAGAACAATTATTGTGTAGATACAGAGTACTACTTGTGGTGTACTCCGTACCACCAACATCCTCCTTTCTGCCCCCATGTGATGGACGCTCCTCGGTTCCGCGACCCTAGTCTCCAGCAGTCCAGGTACTTGTCTTGTTTAGCACCGTTAGCTGAATCCTTAGCGCGGAGGATCGGGCTAGGCCTCGTCCATGGCTAAGGACAGTGACGTCCGACGCGTTGTGTCAGAGTTGTGCCCGGCGCCGAACTCGACGAGGCGCGCCCTGATGCCTGAGAGGGCGGATCTTCCGGCACGGTCTGGGTCCAAAAAGAACGCCCGGTCATAAGATGCCTGCCTGCCTGCCTGCCTCCTCTTCGCATGTCCCGGAGGGTCGACGAGGAGGAAGAAGGACGAGGGGGAAACTGACCTCGCGATCGAATCCTCCTACGTATGTCGAGGCGATCAGATCCATGGGCTCAGTTCGTCGTGACATCCGGGAGAGTCTGCGATTGTCGCGACAATCATGCACATCGCTATTTTCGCGGTCAATGCGGGGGATCCTTGGCTGGCCAAGTCAAAACGGACGGGGTTCGGTGATATCATCGGGGCTTCGACGGGAAGAATTTGACTAATCCCCCGTCCAGGCCTCGTCACTGGTTAACTACGGAGTCCTGGTGGTGTCTCGTCCCCGGCTGACCTGGCCGTGCTTACTCCAGGCCAAAAAGTGAGGGAACAGAGGGGGAAAAAACAAAAAAAAGAGAGAAAGGATACAATCTTGCCCCTCACCACAATCGATGGAGTGATCCAAAATAATTAATCCCGTCGGATGGTGAGAACCGGTCCCGATATTTCTGTCCCGACTGAAGAAGTTTAAACCCAAATCCATGGCCTGATCCCGGGAACCGTTCCGCACATCGCCAGCAAGGAATTTTCGGATATATCATTATTACGATTATCTGCTGGGACAGGGCCTTTGTTTGGCCACCCGTTAGCCGAGTGTGGGCCGAAATATGACCACTGTACGGACTACACAACACCCTTCTTTGACGGGAATCTATCGTTTCGATCAGGTTGTCGCTGAATACCAAATGTACTCCGTACATTATTGCATCAATCCGTGTAACGTGCTTTCCAACGTGGACGGTGGGTTCGCCCACTGGTTTCAACTCGGTGCTACGGCTCAATCCATCCACTTGCATGTGCCAGCTTGCCACGGAGCCATGGACGCGACAATACTGATCAACATCATCACCTGTTCGTACCTCCAGATGACAACCACAGTGCTGGTGGTGATGGTGGTGAGGATGGGGAAGGGGGTGCTCGGTCCCCACTGCGGCCGCCCTCCAGAGTACGATAGGGCAGCCACGGCGATGACATCACCAGCTAGTAACTTGGCGCGTTCCGTGTCCTTGATTTAACGAGGCCCTTTTGTCGACCTATTTATAGGCAACAGAGTAAAAGCAATGGTCGGGGCCCGAAAGCCGGCGAGCTACCTCACAGTGCTTACACGGAGCTGGTGATGTTCTCGTCTGGCAGCCACGGCCTACAGAGGAACTACACCCTCCAGGCTATCCCACTAGCTGAAACCGCACACATCCCCTCTTAGGCTCTTAGCAGTTCGTGATTACGCGAACTAGCAGGAAACAGCCTAGCTGCATACCAAGCCAAGGCCCGACGAATGCTTTAAGAGCTAATCTGGTTTAGAGTTGAAGCGTCTCCATGTCAGTCTGGGACTGAGATAAGCTCTGTCATGCCCCGGTCCGGGCATTCCTCCACCCCTCGGAGTGACTTGCGTCATACCGTAGTCAAAAGAGGTACCGATGCCCCCCTTACATAGTGGACCTCTGATCTACCGATTGGTTGCTCGGTAATGGTGTTTGCCATTGTGAGGGGTGTGACTCGACTGAAACAGCTGCAGTGTGTGGCCTGCGCAGCGCGCAGAGATGTCCCTACTGTGTAGAACACTTCTCGTAAATATTCTTCCATCATGTCATATTATGCCATAAAAGTTAGCCATCCAAGATGAGCTGTAGGTCGTGTGATATGTCGCTGAATGCTTTTGCTTATTGTCGAGCAGAATCGCCACGATCATGCAGATATCAAGTAAACCAGCTATCGTCCAAGTCGGTGATGTTTACTAGCCCGTCTCCATCCAGCAGGCTAGCATCCCCACCACCCCCTCCAAAATTATCGTTTTCCATAAACAGGTCATCGAAGCTAGATTCTCCCGGCGCCATCACATCTTCCATGTTACCGCCGCCGTGTCCATCAAAAGACTGCTCTCCCGCGTTCCCGGGTTGGGCAGAAAAGGCCTCTGCCTTCTGTAGCTCCAGGTCAAACGCGTCCCCACCCATTGGCGCGGAGGCTGTGGGGTTCTCCGTGCCAGGCAAGGCTGTTGTAGCATTGCTGGGCTGATTATTCGCCCCGTCATGGCCAGTGTTGTCATCGTTGCCGGTATTGACGAGGTTGGAACCTGACAAGAACCCGTCGTTCCCAACGTCGTCTCCAAAGTCGAGGTTTAGATCGAAATCATTAGCGCCGTTGCTGTCGTTCAGCATGGAATCAAAGTTGAAATCTCCTGGCGCAGAAAGTGGTTGCGCCGAAGGAGCGGCAGCAGCACCTTCCTCGGACTTCTCCACCTTGACAGGCTTATCACCCGAGCTCTGTTGACCAGCGTTCGCATCTGCTGGTGGCTTTTGGGGAGAAACATCGGCGGCTGATTCGGTCTTGATCTGTTCGGGGCTTGCGTCGACCGCGTGCTGCTCGGGATGTTGCGGTGTTGCTTCCGGCTCAACCTTGGCTTCCGGTTCACTCATAACAACATCTTCGACGGGCTGAAGGGCAGCCTTCTTGGCTCTGACTGCCTCATAGTCTCTCTCCAGGAAAGCCTTGGCGATGAACTGTCTGTTGTGAGTACGAAGTCAATCGAACGTGAGGTGAGAGTCGTACTATCTGCTCAGATAACTCATCCAGAGCGCTCTGGAATTGCTCGTGGGCAGCGGGAAGTGAACGTTTGAGCTGGGCTCGGGACTGCATGGAGCCCCCGGATTTGAAAAACCGGCCAGTCTCAATGAGCTGCCCGGGGTCAGCACATCCTCCTCTCAGACCAGGGGGATACCAAGGGAGGGAATACCGTTTGATTCACCATCGATGTTAGCACATCCAGGGAATCGGGATTGGAGAGGTTTGTTGCCGCCATGAGTACGGTGGTACGCGACTACGCGCTGCCTTTCCAGGGATGAACGGCTATAATTAGATTGAAGCAACCTCTGGAGTTAAGGCCGCTGGGCTGAATCAATATCAGGTGCCGGGGTTCGGACCCTTCAATTCGGCGTTAGAAAGCACGAGAACCAGTAGTCACCGAGTAGACGCGAAGGAGCCGTTTCGGCAGAAGCGTGAAGAGTGAGCGCGAGGTGGGAAGCGACAATGACCGACGGCAGTTTGCGTGAATGTGACGAACTAAGAATAAACAAGAGGGAGGTGGTATTGTATCCAGGCCAAGGCTGGGGGAGGGGGGAAGGGAAGGGAAGGGAAGGGAAGAAGATCGATCTACCCGGGCACTGGCAGGGCAGAAGTTAAGCGCCCTGAGGAGACTGGATCACTGAGCTTTCCAGGCCTGGCAGGACTGGCCGTCAAGGGGGCGCTAAACGCATCGGGGACTAGCGCGCCCCTCCCCACCCGGAGCGGCTCTTGACCATCCAAACCAAACTCCTCGTTCTTTTCTCCAGTCAAACTTCCCGTCAAGTCAGATCATCGCAGCTTTTCTTCCCTTCCCCTGTTTCTTCCCCATTATTTCATTGCCATTTCTCCCTCTTGTCGCGCTGCTTGTCCGCTGCGTCGAGACCCGAGTGATCTGGTCCTCTTCCCCTTTGTTTCCTTTCTTTGCTCCGTCTTTGCTGTTCCCTCCCCCCCCCACACCCCCCCCTCAGCCTGTTTTGCTCCGTTTGTCCCTCAAACGCGGCAGCTTCTGTGCTCCCGAATCTAAAGCTCTTCCGACCACATCGCTCACTTGTTGGGGCCCGTGGTTGAGAACCGCCGTGTCAAAGTCGTCTGCTCGCCAGCACCTTTTCAATCAACCACGCCGTCCGTCATCGCCTTCTTCTCCTTCTTCTTTTCATTCTTCTTCTCTTCTCTTCTTCTTCTTCTTCTTCTCCGCGACCGTCCTCTCACCCGTCGCCTGTGTCGTGCTCCATTGTATGATCTAGTTTAGCGCTTTGCCAGTTTCCATTCACTCCTGGGTGCTTCGATCCCCGCGTCGTCTTCCGCCTTCGCCTACTCTAATTCTGACTGCGTAACGCCCTGCATCGTCCCGTCACCAAAGATTGCATATTACTCTCCGCTGCCTCGTCAAACGCTTCTCTCGCCTTTGCCACCTTGCATTACCTCGTTTGACTGATCGGTTTCTCTGTAAATTGCATCTCGTGACCTCTCAACAATGGCCGACAACGTTGCCGCTCCGACCTCCTCGACCCTCCCTCCTCCCCCCCAGACTTCTGCTGCTGCCTCCAACCAGCAGTACGATGGGTCTCAGGGCAATGGTCAAGCCAATCCATCCCACATGCCACCTCCTCCCCGCCCGCCCGTGGTGATCCCTCAGAACACCAACCCGATCCCGACCGCCATGACCTCTCCGATGTCCGGCAACATGATGTCTCCGACCAGCGCCGGGGGCTTTGTGCGTCGGGCGGCCCCTGAGCCAAACAAGAGGGCGCTGTACGTTGGTGGCCTGGACCCTCGCGTGACCGAGGATATCTTGAAACAAATCTTCGAGACTACCGGCCATGTCATCAGTGTCAAGATCATTCCCGACAAGACTGTAAGTTGTTCCGAACCGCCCCATCAACTGTTCTAGCGCTTAGTGACCCCTTGTCTGAATCCCAGCAGAAGTTTAGCAGTAAAGGATTCAACTACGGCTTTGTCGAATTCGACGACCCCGGTGCCGCCGAAAGAGCCATGCAGACGCTCAACGGGCGCCGCATTCACCAGTCGGTATGTGAGACTCAGCTCCAAAACGCACCCTCGAATCGCTTCTAATAACCGGTGCAGGAGATCCGTGTCAACTGGGCCTACCAGTCCAACAGCACGAACAAGGAAGACACCTCGAATCACTTCCACATTTTCGTCGGCGATCTGAGCAACGAAGTCAACGACGACGTGCTCCTCCAAGCCTTCTGTGCCTTCGGCTCCGTGTCCGAAGCTCGTGTGATGTGGGATATGAAGACTGGTCGTTCCCGTGGCTATGGATTTGTTGCTTTCCGCGAGCGCAACGATGCCGACAAAGCGTTGAGCTCCATGGACGGCGAATGGCTCGGCTCCCGCGCCATCCGCTGCAACTGGGCCAACCAAAAGGGCCAGCCTTCTATCTCCCAACAGCAAGCTATGGCAGCGATGGGAATGACACCCACCACAGCATTCGGTCACCATCACTTCCCCACCCATGGCATTCAAAGCTACGACATGGTCGTCCAGCAAACCCCGCAGTGGCAGACCACGTGCTATGTGGGTAACTTGACCCCTTACACCGCGCAGAACGACCTCGTCCCGCTCTTCCAGAACTTCGGATATGTTCTTGAGACCCGTCTGCAGGCCGATCGGGGATTTGCGTTTATCAAGATGGACACACACGAGAACGCGGCTATGGCCATCTGCCAGCTCAACAGTTACAATGTCAACGGTCGCCCTCTGAAGTGCAGCGTATGTTACTAGACTTTCTGCTCTCCCGTTGTTCAAATACTGACGAACAATCGCAGTGGGGCAAGGATCGCCCCCCTACCGGCCAGTTCGACAACTTCTCCGGTCAGCAGGGCACCTCCCCTTTCAACAACAACCCGACCCCGTACTTCCCCCAGTACGGAGGCCCCGGCGCCCCCATGACTCCTCAAGGTAAATTCTACACCCTTGCTCCTCGTGCGCCTTACTAACCCCCCTCACAGCAGGCCCTAACAACCAAAGAGGCTGGGACCAGTCCGGCATGACTGGCCAAGGCTACGGCCAGGTCCCTGGCAACGCAGGGTATGGCCGTGGTCAAGCTACGCCTACCTCCGGCTGGAACCAGCAGCCAAACAATGCCAACTTCGGCAATGGTTTCGGTGGCTACCAAGCGTAGCCCGTCATCTACTATCCACGCGACTGCATGCCTGTCAGCACGGAACTTGTAGTACGGCTGCCGGCAACGGCAACAGCGATAAGCAGAAGTTCCTTTCTTATTCCTTTCTTTCTAATATTCTCACTTCCTGTTGTCTCTTGTCTTTCCAGCTTCGCTTTCAACTTTCATGACTGCCCCTACTAAGTGGATTTCTAAGCGCATCTCCCATTCTCAAACTCTTCCCCTTGAAATGAAATTTGTGTGTTATCGTACACCCAATACCCCAAATCCGCTTTGTTGAGTCAGCTTTTCATATTCTCTTTTCTTTGAACGAATGTGCGCGACTTTGATCAAAGGCTAAGCTTCTTGGGCTTCCCGTTCAAGCGTTCTGCGGAATAAACCAAAAGTACTTTCTGTTGTCATGCCGTTCTTGAGCCCTGTCTTTGGTCTATCGTCCAATAAATGCCTCTCTCAGCGTGTACCCTATCTCATTAGTATGTATGCGTGGCTTGCCGAAGAACTCTTATGTCTTTCTGCCTGCACACAACAGCCCTTGGCCTCAAGGGCTACGCTCTCTGTCTATTCTTTTCTTCCTCGATCGAGAAGCCCTGCTTCGTTGTTTCTTTGGCGACATCTTGACAGACAAATGTCGATCTTTTATTGATTAGTGCGATATCTCGCTATTTCGCGTCTTACCAGCGCCTTATCTCTATTTTGTGATACCAGATATTCCCAAGTTGATCTTAAGTCTCCTTAACCATATTCTGCTCCTGGCGTTTCGGGTACGATACCTATTTGATTTGGGGAGTTCAAGGGGGCCATTTCGGGGGGGGGGAGGCACCTTGTATCAGGATAGCGCATGGCCACCACGAGGTAGAACAGAAACCGCTGTTGTCTTAGCTATAGTAATGCGTTTTCAACGGCCCGAATGATGCGCATGACATAGCCCGTCCGCCGGCGCGGCTAGCCTTGCGGTTTCGTTTCTATTAATACACAGCTGTCACGGCGTGGCTGCGGATAAATCGTCTCCTTATTAGGATTATTATTAGGTATTAAAGTTGGAGGTGGAGAATTGGGCCGGGAATTTCTCAAGTTACCGCCTGGACCCTTTCTTGGCCGCGGCCGCCCACCCACTTCTACTGCTTATCCCCCCCCTCCCTTCAACCCTCCCCCATCTTCGAGCCCATGAGAGCTCCCCACCACCCCTCTGACGCCTGCTCTTTGGATGTGGGCGTGCTAAAAGCCAGCTAGTCGCGCCCAGCCTGCGCCAATGGAAGATGCAAGCGACGGCAAAGGTGCGGCTCTCTCGCTGGACAACAACACCAACAATGACCAGCTCTCGGGGCGGGTGCGCTCGGGGAGCGCAAGCAGCGGACACAAGCGCAGCTCTTCGGGCTCCCTCCTGTCGCGCCTCTCCTTTCTGCGAATGATCCAAGCGACCCAGAACACCCCGGAGCGGAACCATTCGGGCATCGAGCCCGACGACAGCGGCGACTTCGGCACCGGCCTGCGAGGGGGGAGGGCGATGTCGAACGCAATCCAACAGCACCGAAGAACGCGCAGGAGAAGAGGCTCCCTACGCAAAACTGCCCTCCTCGGCACCCGACTCGACTACCGAGACAAGAAACCCGCCAGACTCCCAGCGGACGCCCTCCGGCCAGATGTCACCGGGCAACGATCCAGCCCATCCCCTCTCCCCTCCGATTCCCAGATCCGATCCTTGACCGACTCCACCTCCCCCGACGATGAACCCGTCGCCCACAGAAGCTCAGCCCAGCAAGAACAGGCAGGGAATGCCGGATGGACGCTCATGGACGCTCCGCAGCGAACCCGGGCGGCAACAGCGTCATCGCATCGACAACAGCAGTCCAAAGAAAGCATCCTCGGCGACGAGTTGACCACCGACGACGAAGACATCGTATCCTTCCCCCGATCCAACACCACAATCCCCGCCATCGCCTCCGCCACAACAACCGCGCTCCACAACCCCTCTGCCACCGGCGCGACGGGCCTCCTCCTCCCCACTGCCTCCTCCAGCTCAGACTCGTACTACGCCCTCCAAGCCGACCCGACATACCGACCCCTCCACCGCGCGAAGTCGCCTCTCGCAACCCACTCCGTCGATATGGCCAGCAGCTCGGACATGACCTGGGACTACTCGGAGACGGAGTGGTGGGGATGGATCATACTGATTGTGACATGGCTGGTGTTCGTGGTCGGGATGGGCAGCTGCTTTGGCGTGTGGAGCTGGGCCTGGGACGTGGGAGAGACTCCCTACGCGCCCCCGGAGCTGGAGGATGATCCCACCCTGCCGATCGTGGGCTATTACCCTGCTCTTATCGTGCTCACCGCCGTGATGTCGTGGGTATGGGTCATCATTGCCTGGGTGGGGATGAAGTATTTCAAGCATGCCAATATATCCGGGGAGGACATATGAGAATGCTTTCTACGAATCTTTTTGTTTCTCTTATCGTCTGCTGTTCAAGCTGCATGTCTTCCCGCGGGTGGAAACTGTTTTGTTACTTTCTTTCTCTGTATATATATATAGTTTAGCGGGTCGGGATGATTGGATGGATAGATGGATGGATGGATGGATGGAGTTCGAGGCTCGGGAGTCTCGATATCGTTGGTAATTAATATTTTTTTTTCTTTTACTGGTCAGGAAGGTTGTAGCATATTGATACTATTCTATACATTTGAAGACTGTATAAGACTGTATCAAACCAGCTGAGTAAGGTAGGTACCTAGCTAGGTACCTAAGGTAAGTAGTACCTAGTACTGTAGGTGTTGAAGAATAATATCCCGAAATGTACCCGTAAAAAAACCACCAATCGTCCAACAACTCCACACACACCCATAATCGCAATGACAACAACAATAACAATAATGATAATGATAACTCCGGTTACTGCACTGCTGCGAGTCAAGCTGAAGGATATTCATCTTTTTTTTTTATTTTTTCTTCTTCATTCTTGTCCTTTTCGACAGATGTCGAAACGCAATCAGCGTTTAATGCGATACAGCGCACTGGTTTGCGCGGGTTATTTGCGGGGCGACCACCCCGGGGTCGAACTTGGAGCCGGAGCCGTTGGCATTGGCGGCGGCGCCATCGAGGTTATTATCGGCATTATGGGGCTGGACGGTAGTCCCGGGGGCCGTGCTGACCAGGCCCTTGGACACGGCGAAGCAGGAAGAGCGGTCCTGGTTGAGGTCTTCGACGTAGAACTCGTCCATGATCGGATGCAGCAGGACGGTCTGCTTGTGGATGGTGACGATGGAGTTGGCGGGGACGGAGACCCAGTTGTCTAGATGGCATGTGTTAGTCAAGCCGGGCATATAATATGATAAAGTCAAGCAGAAAAAACAGAGGAGCCTGGGCCTATCGAGTAGAGAAAGAAAGGAAGAAAGAAAGAAAGAAAGAAAGAAAGAAAGAAAGAAAGAAGCAGCAACAAACTCACGTCTCTCAAAGGTAATCGGCTCACTAGCGACCAAAACGATCTCGGCGCCCTTATCATGGCGCTCCATCTTGAAATGCCCCTTATCCTTGCCCTCCATCCACTTCGTTCCGGACGAGAAGTACAAGCTGGCCGGCTCATCCGTCTTACTACTGATATACCGCGTACAGATAACGGTATGGCCATCGGTAGCGGCAAAGTTGAGCAGACTGCGCGTCTCCACGTTCGACACATTATGCCGCTTGGGGATGTCGCGGATGAACTCGTTGATCTTGGCGATGGTCTTGACCATCACGCGGCGCAGAAGCGCCTGGCCGAATCCCTCGGGGCCCGGGTCGGAGCTGGGATCCACGCCCTCCTTCTCCAGCAGATCGAGGAACAGCGCGAACGCCCACTCGCTGTCCGTGCCGCCCTTGACGCCCAGGTACCATTTGTCGGCGAGGGAGTCGGCCAGCGGCCGCTTGATGTAGTGCCAGCCGCCGATGTTGCCGTTGTGCATCCACATTAGCGTGCTGTGCTGGAAGGGGTGGCAGTTCGTGTCGGAGAGGGTTCCCTCCGTGGTTGCGCGCACGTGCGCGAAGATCAGGTTCGAGCATGTCTTCGCTGCGAGCCGTTCGAGGTTCTCGCAGTTCCAGGCCGGAAGGGTCGACGTGAAGATGCATGGCTCCGGCCCGAGCTTCGGGTCGGTGTAGAATCCTACCCCGAAGCCGTCGCCGTTGACCGGGCGGCGGTTGTCCTGGATGTCTGGGTTAGAATTGGGGTGTGTATGCGTGTATAGAGAATGGGGTTGGGTTGGACTGGATGTCTCAAACAGTATGCCACAAGTGGTATACGTATGTACGCAGGTATGTACGTATACTGCTCTGCTGAGACGGAGCTGGACTTACCAATCGCAGACGAGAGTCGTATGACTGAGTGAGGATGGAATGGCTTGGTTCGGTGACCAGCTTGCTGAGACGAATCTCATGCCTGCCTTTGTATACCTGGAAGAGGAGCGGTCAGTCAAGTCGCACTGCTGGTGTATGACGTGGATGAGTCATGTCGTTGTAAAAGTACATACCAAAAAACGACACATGATCGGAAATTATCCTGTAGAGGAAGGAGATGAAGACGGATATTAATGAGGTCCAAAAGTATCCTCCAGGGGAGGTTCCAGGGGGGAAAAAGGGCAAATAACTGCCTTTTGCCAGCCTGCCTTCCTCTTCTTCTCAGCAAAGACACCGTTCGATCCGACCACGGAGCAGCTCGTTTCACCTCGAAAAGACGCAAGCCCGGTCCAATCACGCTTATCCGAATCTCGAGGCCTGGTCGAGCCCAACGTCAGAAATTAATCGAGCTGGTAGTCTAATCTACCTCTGAGTAGTAACCTGCGGTATTTTTAAGATGGTCTAGTAGTTGGCCATATCTGGCTCTATCCACTGCAATCCAGTCGGTGACACCGGCCCCACGTGACCCTCACCGGGCCTTCTACGGCCGGCGAAGCGGCCACTCGCGCAGGTCACGAGACCCGCTCCGGCGAGTCGTCAGTAATCAATCAGTCCATCATCCACTTTCCCCTCGACCCTCCTCTCTCTCCGTATTTATTGTTCTCGCTTTGAGCCCACCATCCCAGGTCGATCACCGCGGCGCTTGACCCGGAAATGACTATTCCCCTTACGTCGACCTACTTGATGTGTATGTGATTTCAGGAACCATGAGCGGGAGGATTCTCTCCCACCGTCTTGTTCCGCTCTTGCGGACCGGCCTGTTGGCCCGCCATGTCCATAATGCTGCGGCGAGGACCGGGGGTCTGCTTCGATCTGACGGCAGCAGTGTGCTGCGGGGCCGGGCCTGGCCCATAGGCTCGAATGCGATTCATAACAATGTGCCTGCTGTGCGGGCGATCTCCTTTACCAGAATACTCCCCAAGCTGGCTCTGAAGCTGGTGCGGCTGCCGGCCATGTTTGGGGGAGCTATGGTGGCAGGCTTGGCTTATTTTCAATACCAAGCTACACGTGAGTACTCGAGGTTCTAGCTCTATATATTCTTTATCGCGGAACTGACGGATTGTTGCTTTTGTCTCACAGAGGCGGGAAACTATGCTTTGGATATCATAAGTCGGGCGGGGCAAACGGCGGGCGATGCGGCGTCGAGCTTGTTCCAGGAAATCCAGGGTATGGCTGAGCAAACACAACGCGGCTGGCAGAAGACAACAGAAGACGTGGGGTTACCGGAATGGTTGCAGAAGATTTTACGCATGAACGAAGACCCCCAGTCCGAGAATGGTGGTCCCGGACGAGGAGGAGGAAAACCCCCGAAGGAGAGTCGACTCGGTGCGGCGGCTGTTGCTACGGGCGCAGCTTTCGGATACGATCAGTCTGACGAGGAGGATAGCCGCTCGGATAGGAAGATTGCGGAGGACGACCAGATGATGCTTCTCACGCGGAAAATGATCGAGATTAGGAACATACTGCAGAGCGTTGGTCAGTCCAATACGCTCACGCTGCCGTCGATCGTGGTCATTGGTTCCCAGTCTTCCGGTAAAAGCTCGGTTCTGGAGGCCATTGTCGGCCACGAGTTTCTCCCGAAAGGTTCGAACATGGTCACCCGGCGGCCCATAGAGCTTACCTTGGTCAACACGCCGAATGCGCAAGCTGAATATGGAGAGTTCCCAGCCCTGGGCCTGGGGAAGATCACAGATTTCTCCCAGATCCAGCGGACATTGACGGATTTGAACCTGGCGGTTCCGGAGAGGGACTGCGTCTCTGATGACCCCATTCAGCTATCTATCTACTCCCCAAACGTCCCCGATCTCTCCCTTATCGACCTTCCGGGCTACATTCAAGTGGCGGGGCACGATCAGCCTCCTGCGTTGAAGCAGAAAATCTCCGACCTGTGCGATAAGTATATCCAAGCGCCGAATGTCATTCTGGCTATCTCCGCGGCGGACGTTGATCTCGCCAACTCGACTGCTCTAAGAGCCAGCCGCAGGGTAGACCCCAGAGGCGAAAGAACAATCGGTGTCATAACGAAGATGGACCTTGTTGATCCGGAACGAGGCTATGGCATCCTCACCGACAAGAAATACCCTCTCCGTCTGGGCTACGTCGGCGTCGTCAGCCGGATTCCTCAAACGACCGCGCTATTTTCTAGGGGCAGTGGCAACGTCACCGGTGCTATTTTGAAGAACGAACACGCCTACTTCTCCGCTCACCCATCGGAATTCGGGTCGCAGTCTGATGTTTCCGTCGGCGTTTCCACTCTGCGCACAAAGCTTATGCATGTCCTCGAGCAGACGATGGCTTCAAGCCTAGCAGGTACTAGGGATGCCATCAGCCAAGAACTCGAGGAGGCTACATATGAGTTCAAGGTCCAATACAACGATCGCCCTCTGAGCGCTGAGTCATACCTTGCGGAGAGCTTGGACAGCTTCAAACACTCGTTCAAGGCGTTTGCTGAAAGCTTCGGCCGGCCTCAGGTCCGCGAGATGCTGAAAAGCGAACTCGACCAGCGGGTCATGGACATCCTGGCCCAGAGATACTGGAACAAGCCGATAGATGACCTGTCTGCCCCACTACCCGAATTAGATCCTCTCAGCGATCTTCCCAAAGCTGACCCCGACTCCCTGTACTGGCACCGTAAGCTGGATGCCTCAACCTCCTCGCTCACGAAGCTGGGAATTGGCCGACTCGCCACCACAGTCGTTGCAACCGCAATCCAAACGCATGTAGATCGCCTATTGGCCAACTCCACCTTCGCGACGCATCCGTACGCTCAAAAGCAGATCGTCGATTCGTGCAACAGCATCTTGAACGACCGGTTCTTCAGCACGAGCGATCAGGTCGAGAACTGCATCAAACCATTCAAGTTTGAAATCGAAGTCGAAGACCCAGAATGGACCAAGGGAAGAGAAAACGTCAGCAGAGCTCTCAAGGACGAGCTCCGAGCCTGCGAGGCGGCCTTCAAACGCGTGGAAGACTCGGTCGGACGGCGCAAGCTCAAGGACGTGATGTCGTTTGTCGACAAGGTCCGCAAGGGCGAAGTCGTCCTGGAAGGCGACGGCGCCGGCGGTGCAGGCGGATTCAGCTCCGCCCTCCTAGCCCGAGGTACGTCTCCATCCATCAAACCCTCCTTTCTCTCTCTCTCTCTTTCTCTCTCACCATCTAACTCCAACCAGGCCGAGAAAGCGCCTTCCTCCGCGACCGCGCCGACCTAATCAAGATGCGCCTCCTGGCCGTGCGCTCCAAACAATGCGCCTCCAAGAAAAACAAATACTACTGCCCGGAAGTCTTCCTCGACGTCGTCGCCGACAAACTCACCTCCACCGCCGTCCTCTTCCTCAACGTCGAGCTCCTCTCCGAATTCTACTACAACTTCCCCCGCGAACTCGACATGCGTCTCGGCCGCCACCTCTCCGACGCCGAGGTCGAGCGCTTCGCCCGCGAAGACCCCCGCATCCGGAACCACCTCGACGTCATCAAGAAGAAGGAGCTCCTCCAGCTTGCCCTCGAGAAGATCGAAAGTATTCGCCAGCTTGATGGTCGCGGTAAGAATCGCTCCAATGACCGTCCCATGGGTGCCAGGGAGCAGCGGAATCGGGGCTGGAATCTGTTCTAAACTACCTACTTACCTACCTACCTATTTACATATCGACTACCTACCTACATACACACCTACCTACCTACCTACCTCCTTAATCGATTAGACTTGTTCCTCCCCCCCCCCTCTCTCTCTCTCTGGCATGTCACTCTTTAGCGCTGTCTTTCGGTTCGGGCTGTATCGGGGCGGATGGCTCTCTCTTTCCCTCTCTCTCTCTCATCTCTGTCCGATTAATCCACACCGTACCATACCATATCATACCCTATCCTTCCTCCTCTCTGCGTTGCTGCGTATTCCTGTCCTGTCTATCCCTATCTCTATCTCTCCTTCTTACATGTGTCTTCTCCCTGTATACCATATCATACCAGATCTGACGGCACTCGATCCTGTCCATACTCATATCTTAGGATAGGATCGGAGCTAGCATCATGAGTGTTTCTTTGCCATTCCGGATACCTGAGGTTTCAGATATTGTCCCAATACGGTTTGAACTACCTTACGTATCTAATATCCAAAGTCATATATCATTCCGCACGTGGTCAGTAGGTGAGGCGTGAGACGAGACGCAAAGGAAACAAACGGCGACACGTGACACGCATTGTCTAAGGTATTATCTACGAAGTACGGTGTAGCTACGTACTTAATAGAGATGAGCATAAATATCAAGTAGAAGAGTAGACTTAAGTACAGTACTAAAATATATTGAAAATAACATTTCAAGTGGAATGACTATAGTACAAATGCTAGAATAGATAGATAGATATGCTCCAAAAATGAAACAAAAAAACTTTAAAAAGTAGGCATGATAATAAAGAGTGGTAATTAGTATGAGAGATAAAAAAATCACAACATAAGAGGAATGTATTTCATACAGAGACAAAACAAAGAAAATTATGGCCAATTCTAGCATGTCTAAACAGTAACCCGAGCCCGGTCTATCTATTTCGTACAGGTAAAAGAAACAAATGGTAAGAGGATCAAATGACTTTTATCCCGCGCTCGACTCTGCGCACTACTAGGCTCCAATATGTCCTTTCGGAACTGAACTGAACCGACTGCGGCAGAGGAGCGGGGGAATAGTGATCTTGATCATTACTGGTTGCTCGCGCGGAGCAAGTATGACAGACGCAATGGAAAGGCTCCCATTTAGGTCAAGAAGATGGTCATGGAAACGGCGTAAGGAAGGGGGAATGATGTCGATGAACAGGAGGTGAAATAAGAAAGAGGGGTTATCGCTTCGAAGTCATGGGCGTAGCATGTCTGCTGATGATAGTACAGAGTTTCCAATGTCTAACAATGGATTTACTCCCGAGAAACGTCACGGCCGAAGAGCTTGGCCTTGACCCAGTCGACGGCGACCAGGACACGGTTACGAGCTGTAAACAAAGTTAGCCTCATATCGTGCAAATCTTCGGGTAATGTAGGCTACTTACTGCTGAAGCACATGCTCAGGTAAGCACTGCGCCAGAAGAGGTAGGTCATGGTACCACCGCTGGCGATGTTGCCGCTCAGCCAGCTGATGTCAGCAACAGCGCGCTCCTTGCCAATGTAAGCCAGACTTCCCTGGTGGGAGTACTGGAAGGGACCAATCTGCTTGGTTCTCCGCAGCTGCTTCTGGCGCTCGCGGATCTCTTCCAGGACCTGGTTGCGGTCGTCGCCCTTGGCTTCCGCCTGGGCCTCGGAGAGCTGCTTCAGCTCCTGCTCGATCGACTCGGTCTTGGCCATGGTGTTGAAGAGACGGGCAAGGAAAGCACCCTCCTGACCAGCAACCTGGGCGGTGGGGGCATAGTTGGTGATGGCACAGTCGCCGACAGCCCAGACGTTGTCAGTGCCGTTCACGACGAGGTATTCGTTGACGGCCAGACCACGGCGCGAGTTCTTCTGGGCGGGGAGCTGGCTCATCAGGTCGCGAACAACGGGGCGGACAGCGTTACCGGTGGCCCAGACCAGCAGACCGTAGGGGATCCGCTCCAATTGCTTGGATCCGTCGGGGTTGGATACCTCGGCCTCGATATACTTGTCGGTGACGTTCTTGACCATAGTCTTGGCGCGGATGGAGATCTTCTCCTCCTTGAAGGTCGATTCGGTGTAGTCGATCAGCTGCTTGGAGAACATGGGGAGCACGTTGGGCAGAGCCTCAACCAGGGTGACCTTGAAGTTCTCCTGGATTTCAGGGATCCACTTCTTCAAGTCCTCCTCGAAGAAATCCTGCAGCTCACCAGCGAACTCGACACCGGTAGGGCCACCACCGACGACAACCATGTGGAGAAGACGGCTAACCTCCTCGGGGGTCTGGTCCTTGAACATGGCAGTCTCGACACAGTCCATGATGCGCTTGCGGATCTTCTGAGCATCATCGACCTCCTTCAGGAAGCAGGAGTTCTCCTTGACACCCTTGATGCCTAGTTGCTGTCAGCTAAATGACTCCGACGGGCGGAAGCACGGTTTCACATACCGAAAGTGGCGTTCTCAGCACCGACACCAACGACGAGCATGTCGAAGGGCACCTCGGTGTGGGAGATGTCTCCCTTGATCTCGGAGTCGTCGCTGATGTACACGACGCGCTTCTCGTAGTCGATCTTGGTGGCCTCGGCTTCGTAGAACTTCACGTGGCCAACCTTCTGGCGGAGGATGTTACGGATGGGCTCCATGATGGAGCGGTGCTCAATCAGACCGGTGGTGCAGGAGGGGAGAAGGGGGGTGAAAAGGAAGTAGTTGCGGGGAGAGATGACGACAACATTGTAGTTCTCGGTATCGATCTTCTTCAGCAGGGAAACGGAACCCCATCCGGTACCTGTATGGAGGGAGATTCGTGAGTTGCGACTCGGGCGCGATCGTGTCGCGATTCGCGACACGAGGTCAAGGACACCTACCCAGGATGACAAGGGTCTTCTTCGACGGGTCGGGAACGATCTGCTCAGCGGGATGACGCAGGTCGTAGATGCTGTAGGCCACAACACCAGCCAGGCCGATGCTGGAGAGCCAAGTCAGGCGCCAGGTCCAGCGCAGGAACCTGAAGCGCTTCTTGGGCTTGGGCGCCGGGGCGGCGTCGGCGTAAGAGCGGCGGGCAACGCGCTGCAATTGTTGCTGGGAGAAACCGCTGGGACGTGCGGAACGAAAGATCTGGGGCCGCGTCGAGAGCGACCTGCGCGACAGCGACGACAGCTGCATGGCGGCGGAGGGAGAGACCATCTTGGAGCGGAGTGCCAGCGTACTTCCAACCATTATCGGGGAGGTGGTCGCGCCTAAGCCAAAAGGCAAAGGAAAGGGAGGGGGGAGGGGAGAGTGGAGAGGGGTGGGAAGGAGAGAAGAAAGAGGAAGCGATTCAGAGAGAGGATAATGAGCACCTCTCAAAAAAATACGTGATCAAAAAAAATTAAACCCTGCGATGACTGATGCGCAAGTGTCAGTTAGCTGTTTTTGGCGAATCGGTGTGTCGCTGGGGAATCGAAGGGCGGATAATTTCCTTCTTCTGGCGACGGGCTCAAGACGCGACTGGCTCGAGGGGGGGTGGGTCCAGTTCCAGATGATCACAAGCTAAAGAGTTTTCCAGGTTTGCGTCAATTGTCAAAGACATCATCCTCCGGACTCGGGCTCAGTTGGAGACGGAGGGAGGGGATGGGCGGGAATTGGAGAGGTCCGTGAGGCCGTGAGGGGGAAATTTCGCGTGGTGGGGAGAAAAGTCGGCAGCGCCGGTATTTGCTGTGAGGGGAAAAGTGTTACATACCCTACTCCCTAGACCAGAAGCTGACGATGCTGCTGCTGTCTTGAAGATGTGCCCACTTTGGTTGTGCCTGGCATAGATTGATAGATAGTAGATAGATTGGCAAATAATCGGGATCGTCTCGGAGTTGTTGGAGCGGACTATCAGGAGGATTGTTGCTGAAGTTGCTTCCGTCTGGCCGACGCCGTCAATAATCGCCTGCCCTGCACTGCACGCTCCTGCCCGATTCTCCCTCCCTCCGTGCCTTCCCAATCCGGTCTCCCGACGACCACGGCCTCGCCCTGCTGACTCATCCCTGGCCGGCCAGCTGGGTCCGTCGCGGTCCTTCCCGGGATGCTCCCCGGCTTCGCCCGCATCTAGAACGGCTAGAGAATCTCCCCAGTCTTGGACATCCACTCTCCCACTGCACTCTGCGCCAAACAGCAGACACACGATGAGAATCCGGGGGTGAAGAGCTCCACTCTGCCCCCATGGCCCGTTTTCCTCCTTTACTATCAGCCTACCAGTCCGTGTATTCCCGTGGTTGTGGTCGATCATGCTCGAGCCGTGACGCAACCAGGCCGTTTCACCAGCTTTTTGTTGCACTGTTGCCGGTCTCGGGCAGGCCATGCCCCGGAAGTCGAGGTCCTTTGTGGATTATCAGTGAACTGACCTGCCAGGTGACTGTTTCTGATGCCTCCCGGTCGTTTGAATCGCCCGAACAAGGCCCTCGAAGTCTATGGGCAGTCAGCTACTTGCATCTTCCAGAGGAACCACTGCCCACTTGCACGATACTTCGATCTGTCTGCTAGCAGGGTTGATCGGTGATATCGAGCTTATACGCCACCGAATATGTCGCCCGGCACATAACTGATACTCCAATGGGTCACAAACATTTCGTTGTCAGCGGTCAGCTCGAAGCGATGCGGATGTGTACGACAACCGTTCTCTTCAACAATCAACAGAAACAACCACCCACCGCTAGGCGTCTTCAAGATCAGCCACTGACAGCAGCCGTCCGGTGCACGATTCCCTTCCCATCCAGATCCCAGCCTGCCCGTTTGCCCGATAAAACGTTCGAGAATGCAAGGGGCCTGCCAATAGAAGCCATACCAGATATCGGTTCTCTGGCGTTCTAGAACAAGGCGATGAGGTTACGAACACGATGCAACGTTCCACGGATACCCAGCAGCCAGGATATACTCCGTACGGAGCCCTGATATTGCACACAGGGTACAGCATACAGCATACAACAAGACATGGTATAAGTATGCCCAAGCAGCGGCGGCAGCAGGGATGCATATTACACATATCACGTACCTCAACTCGCCGTTCCCCCAAGATGCAGGAATTCCGTACTCCGTACGGCGAGTACGAGTGGGTAGTACAATTGAGACTATCTGACTTGTCAGTCGGAGGTCCAATGACCCCTGCAGTGGTAGCTGTACGACATAACCACTCAGGCAACCATTGTTACACCTGGCGTGCGATTCTGGCCAGGCATGCATGAGAGCTCGTGCGAAGTCATCTTCCTGCGTTTGAGATGCACTTCGTCATCCGTGCGTCCATATAGCTATAAAGATGCGAGGAAAGGGATACAAAGCAAGGACTCTGCTTACTTGGTATGGACTTCTCCCACTGATATTGTACTAAATTTCGTTGCGGTCTCCTTGAGTAGATATTTCTTGGTGAGCATTGCATCCGTTGCAACCGTTTCACTTCCCAGCATGCCAACTCCGCGAGCTTATGGAGGTTACACGCTTCTTAACTTCCGATCTGATATGCGGAGTACCAGGAAAGAGACAACCCAAAACAATGACGAGACGCTTTAAGAACGGCTTCTAATTATAGACTACTACCCATTACTCTCCGAGTACAAAGAAACTCCAACTGCCCATTTATAACGCTCTCCTGAACATCGCAGGCGTCAGATTCCAAGTACATAGTCGTTGGGTTCATCGGGGAGCATAACCGCAACGTACGCAGTGGGTTACATTGCTCAAGAACATGCTGACGCAGTTGCCTGTCGGCGAGGCTACTTCGCAACCATGCACTGTCCGACTGATCGGGAGTTACTATGGCCATTAGAATATTTGTAGACAATGCCATTGAGCTCTACATTCTACCTGTATGTTCCGAGTGAACATATAATAAGGGCACCAAATGGTTATTAAGTTGTAGCCTCGACAAGAGACACTTAACTGTTTCTGTATCTGTGGTATATAGATAAGGGGACAGAGAAATACACTTACATCCCGCAGTTGTTCCCTATTACATCGTGGAAAGGGCATATCCGTCTTTGGTCTCAGACCTTTCTTTCCTCGGCAATTGACTGGTTAACTGGCATAAATAAATACCAAGAATAGAACCTCAATAAACAAAGCTCCAACATACCATCCCGATCTTGAAAAAGCTCTCGCATACAGTCTTCCTCGCCCAGACCAACCCCCGACCCTTAATTCACTAGGTCTTTGCCTCCAAACGGTAGACATCCATCCGACATCGGAATCTACATCTTCTAATCTACCCCTGTTCAATCTCGAACTCACTCGAATCACCAGGAGCATAGCACAAAAGTCGACGAACCCAAGAATACCAAGAATACCAAGAAGACCATAGACAATATACCAAGAAGCATGTTACTTAATCAAGGTGAATAACCTGCATATAAAGGGGGGAAACAAGCCTAGTAGCAGCTTCCCCAGCGACAGAACCACAACTATATATTCCGTTGCGGCATGGAGTATATATAGCATAGATAGACAGATTCCTTGTCTCTAAAGCCAATGATTCCGGATCGAAGAAAAACCGCGTAGCATGTCTCAATTTAGCCATATCACACACACACACACACACACACACACACAACAGGAAACCGAATACTCCGTCCATACTGCATAGATCTCCTGATGGTGATTTATAATTACTAGACACCCTCATCCCTATAACTAACTACCATCTGATTATATCATCATGATCATCATACTATCAAAGCCATCCAGTTCAAGCCACAGCAATAATCAACCCCAATTAAGGCAATGAACCAACCACACCAACCACACCAACCAATCCAGCCTTATCCTATTTAGTCCTTCCGGATCTCTGGTTTGCAATTTTCCCGGGGGCTGTCTTTGACTGACATCTCGTGGCGTTCCTTCTCGGACGGTCGGAACTGTCCCCATCCGCTCCCATCTCCGCCGGATCTGCCACGGTCCGTTGCGTTAAGCTGTAAGCTTCCCCCCCCCCGACAGGGCAGATCGTCCGGGTCTGTCGCGAACCGTTCGATTTCTGCCCGGATCTTGCCCCTTCCTGTGGGCGATCGGTTGGGGATGGAGCTATAGGGGGGGGGGTTGGTAGACAAATCAGTCTGCTTGTATGATAGTTCTGTGTATAAATCGAGATTTCTTTTAACCATCAAAGTGAGGCTGTTTGAGGTTACGGGTGGTTTGTTTGTTTTTGGATGCTAGTCCTCTGAAGGATATACGATTCGGTCTTTTCATATTAAACCCGTTTGAATTTACCATCCTCCAAACGATTCGGAAGTACTTACCTTCATGAAATCATGACCTCAAGTGTCGCCGCAACAGTTGCCAGTAAAACTGAGCATGACGAGAGAGAAGATGGGCAGGGGCTTCCGCCCGTGGCATCGAAGAAGTCCTTCAGGTTCTATGCTATTATCGTGGCACTCGCGTTGTCGGGGTTGACGACCTCGTTGGAAGCAACAATCACATCGACCGCGTTGCCAACCATCACAGCGGATCTGGGTGGTGGTGATCTCTATATATGGGTTGTCAACGGATTCTATCTGACTCAGTATGTGGAATTTCCACTCTCCCACTACCCGATACTTCTTTTCCTTCCTTTTCTAACAGCAGAACCACAGGACGGCATTTCAGCCATTATTCGGACAAGTCGCAGATATCTATGGTCGCCGATGGCCGATGATCATCAGTACAGCGATGTTCACCTTAGGGAGTGGTCTCTGTGGCGGCTCGAGCAGCATCAATATGATGATTGCCGGACGACTCGTCCAAGGGATTGGTTCCGGTGGCATCACCGTCCTCATCGAAATCATCGTATGCGATCTGCTCCCGCTCAGAGAACGAGGACGATACATGGGCATGCTGTTCGGTCTTATAGCCATCGGCACGACTCTGGGTCCTCTCTTCGGCGGACTGATTGTCCAATACACCACGTGGCGCTGGGTGTTTTACCTGAACGTCCCTGTCGGGGGAGCAGCGTTAGTTACTCTGTTTGTGTTCCTTAGGGTCAAATCAGAGAACACACTCAACTACAAAATGCGGTTGAGGCGGATCGACTGGCTCGGAAACATCGTCTTCGTTCTCTCAATGATCTCCGTCCTCATCGCTCTATCCTGGGCAGGGAGCGCATATGCATGGTCATCATTCCGCGTCATCCTCCCACTTATCATGGGCTTTGCGGGGTTCGGCCTGTTCCTGACCTACGAGGCGTCCAGATACTGCGTCAACCCGACCATGCCCCTCCACCTATTCTCCAACCGAACGTCCGGAGCAGCATTTGGTCTGACGTTCCTCCACAGCCTCTCCGCAATCTCAGTCATGTACTTCCTCCCAGTCTACTTCCAAGCCGTACTTGCAGCCACACCCAGCCGGTCAGGTGTGGAACTCCTCCCAACAATCCTCTTCATGATACCCGCCGCCATAGTCGCCGGCGGCTTGCTATCCAAGCTCGGCCGCTACCGGCCCATTCAGCACGTCGGGTTCGCCCTGATGGTGATCGGATTCGGCCTTCTGACCTTGCTGGAAGGCCACGCCACAACCGCCCAATGGGTCGGGTACCAGCTCGCCAGCGCAGCGGGCTCAGGTCTCGCACTCCCCGTCCTCCTCCCAGCCGTCCAAGCATCTCTCACCGAAGAGGACACCGCGCTCTCCACTTCAACCTGGGCCTTCATCCGAAGCTTCGGCTTGATCTGGGGCGCCACGATCCCAACCACCGCTTTCAACAATCGCTTCGACGCGCTCCTGGGTCGGATTACCGACCCGGTCATTGCGGAAGAATTCGCAAACGGGAAGGGGTATGAGCGTGCCACAAAAGCCTTTATGGATACGATCACGGATCCAGTCACGCGTGCGCAGGTGGTGTCAGTCTATGTCGATTCGATCAGGATGGTCTGGTATGTCTCTATGGCGTTTTCGGCTCTGGCTTTTCTCCTCGTTATTGTCGAGAAAGAGGTCCCGCTTCGAAAGGAGCTAGATACTAAGTTTAGCATGGAGGAGACAGATAAGGATTCGGAGACTGACCTGGAGAATCCGTTAGTGAAAGGCGAATAGAGATGCTGGATTCGTTCTACATGCAGAGGGAGCTTTATCTTGGGGTTGTGTAGATGGCAGTCAGGAAGGAATCCCTTGTGTGTACCCTGAATTCAGAGTCAATTCACTGGAGACAGCTTTCCTTGTAATAGAATATTTTGGAGATGAGTGATGACAAGAGTATCGTTAGTAAGAGTATCGTCAGCAACACTTGCTGTTTCTGCCTTTTTTTCCAGAATGACAAGCACCCGTGGCAGGAATACTGAGCCATCAGGATGCAAGCAGATAGAGCGCTGTCAGCGTCAGCCCGGACACTAGATAGGACTGGAGCGTGGGTGAGTCTGGGACAGAAGGTGGGCCGCACTGACACCCGCGATCTGAATCGCGATACTCCCGAGTCCCTATTGGTTGGTGGCCGCTCAGAAAGGTCCACGAAGCACAGCCACAGTAAGCACATTAGCCACACTCCCCAGCCCCATACCCTCCCCTCACCGCCCGATTTGTCCCGACTAACCAGCCCCAGCCTCAGGCGGTGGCTTCAAAACACCACAAGTAGTAACAGCGATGAATCTCAGCAACGGAACTACAATAAAAAACTACACAATCCAAAACCAAAGATAATACTCTCAGATAACATATTTAGTTCTTTTCACAAGCCGGGTCAAGATCCAGCCCAGTAAATTTGTCCGACACTTCGTCAACGCCCTATCATGCACATGCAAGTAGACGTAAGTGTTTTTTAAACGTACAACAACGACGCCCTGTCCATGCATTCGGATCAACATAACAAAGAATAGTATCCTCCCATAACCCGGTATGCAAAGAAACAAACAAGTCCCTCCTGGTACACAAAAAAGACATCTATGAATGGGTAAAACGCCATGGGAATGCTAGGTCATAACAGGATGTAAAAGATGTAAGGAAAAAGATTTTGTACAAAATACAAAGGGGCCAGCATGAGTGACTAGAAGGAGGGAGAAAAAAAGGGAGAGAATGCGAAGGTCTTCTCGTGTGTATCGTCGTAAAATCTAGTCGTCGTGAAAATGCACGTTCGATGCGATGTATCGTCTAGTAATTCGGAGTGGAATGGAATATCGAAGGTTGGAAGTGGCCCTGTGGCCAGGCTTCGTGATGAAGGTAAGGCAATAGGCCCGTCTTGCGCTCCGACGCAGTCTTCCCAAGCGGCTGGTAGTGCATGTGGTCAAACGGAATGCTGCGCTGCTGCTGGGAGGCGGACGGGGGTGGTATCAACAATGTGTTGACACTGCGAACCGGACGGTAAGGTGAGTTCCGGTTCGCCAGGAAGAAGGAGGGAGAGAGGTGGTTTTGAGGAGTGTGGCCAGAGTACGCAGAGACTGCTGGTGAGATGGTGGCCGATGTCACCGCAAACGGGCTGCTGTGGTGTCTGCTGGGGTCGGGCAGTGAGATGGGCGTGTTGTACATTCCGGTGGCCATGGGTGGGACACCGGTGGAAGGAACGGTCGTTGCAGGTGGCATCTGGGGAACCCAGTTGGTGGGGGGTTTGTAGACTGGAGGCATCACACGACCAGCAGAGGGTACCTGGGACAGAGATGACGGCATGACCGGAGCCAGGCTGTGGGAGGGGAAGTTGGGGCGTGGAAGACGTTCCGGGATGGTCGGAAGGTGGGAAGGCGTAGACGTAGGTGCCAGAACCGGAGGCAGGGCCGGTATACTGGTCAGGGCCGACGATGGTGGAAGTGACGACATGGGGGTCGGCATGGGGTTGTGCATGGCTGTCCTCTTGGATGGATGCTCCTCGACGGGCTCGTCGCGACTCCGCTTCCGAGGGTTGACAGGCGGTATGTCACAGGGAAGCTGAGGAGCGGCGGTGTATGGCAGACCATTCAGTGGCAGACACCAGTTGTGCGCACGAGAGGGTTCAGAGCCGGGAGATGGCAATTTGGCTCCAGGAGACGACAATGGTGCCCGGGGAGAAAGTCCCAGATTGGGTGACACACGGAGCACTGGGGGTGTGGGCTGCTTCTCGGTCTTTTCGGGGGTCCGAGGCGCGGTGTTGAAGAAGTTGATGAAAAGCCCGAGCTTGGAGTGCCATTGAGCCCATTCCTCCTCGGAGACAAACAGGTTGTACCGAACATTGCTGAGAAATTCGACTTCCATGATATGTATTTCCTGGACGGTGATTCCGGAAACCTCTGCCCAGGTCTTGTTGGTGTAAGTGTTGTCGTCGAGGAACTTGTTGCCCAGCATGAGTGCAATCGTCATGAGCCTGTACTCACTGCCCTTCTTTCCCCGAACACCAGGGTTGAACTTCTTCAGCCGGTAGACGAACAAAAGGGCCAGCAAGATGACATTTTGACTGACTTGCGTAGTCGAGAGAATGTTCGTCACCCATTTCTGGAAAGCAACGGTGGGCATTGCCTCGGGAACAAGAGAAGTAGCGGAATTCAACTGATCCTCAATGGCCTTCAGTTTGGCGGTGCTCTCAAACCAGAACAGACATGTCATCTATTTCCAGATCAGTGACCGAGGTCTCGAAGAACGGTAGTAAAAGCAACTCACCTGAGCCGCAAATTCAGCCAAGCTCCCTTTGCTATTGCTGATAGACGAAGGGATCTGAAGATACGACGAAGCGGCACCGGGGCCGCCCTTCTTCTGAGACTCACGCTCCGAGGATCGAGCATCCTTGACCGGCGGTTGGTATTTGGGCTCAGAGGCCGGCATCCTCGCAGTTGGCGCATTCGAGTTCATGCGCGCGTAATCGGAGACTTTGGCGTAGGGTGGAAGCGTGATCCCATCCAGCTTCCCCGCATAGGAAGAAGCCGGGAGGGCACTGCAAGCAGTAACACCATTCATATCACTCGGGGGTGTTGGTAGACCGTCCCTGAAGGGAGCTGTCCAGGTGTGATCGGGAAGCCCTGAGATGGCCTCAAAATTCCGCTTCCTTGCGCTTGTCGAGTCTTGTAACCTCGAGTATGAAGCGATGGTCGGTGTGATCGGGTGGAGGGCGGGGAGATACGGTTGCGTCGAAAGGAGTGGGAGAGACATGAGAGACAGTTTTATGGATTGTTGAATTTCGGGGTGAATAGAGGGGAAGACCGGGCTCTTTGAAGTAACACTTTGGTCACAGAACACGCATTGGAATTGTTGGTGATGGGGTTACTCGATTGTCGGGTCGTGCGTGTTGATTCACCACCAGCCGGTTCCTCGGGACTCAATTCGGGTGTGGTATGCGGAGGCTTGTAGCGGAGATCGAGACAATGGCCTGAACACTCGAGATCGAATAGTTGAATCGCCAGAGGGTGGGTTGACTGCCAGGCAGGTAATATCAAATTGGCTGCGGGGGGGGGGGAACGTTGTAGGACAGCAACAGCAGCGGAGCCGGTGAATGTTGCCTTCCCAGAAAGAATGAAGGCACTTAAGGGGGTGGGAGTAATGGAAGCCAGGACCACAAGAAGGCAATTATCACATAGTAGTATATTAATGCTAGAAGAGGTAGCGAGGCAGGTAGGTGTAGTAGTTATAGAAAGTAGTAGTGACAGAAGAATGGAAGGTGAAGTCTGGGTATAGATTGCAATAACTTAGGTTGCAAGTACAACCAGTTATAAAAAAGGATTATTTTCCCAAATAATTTCCAAAAAAGGCAATGGAGATGATCAGTAAAGGAAAGTCAAAGGAGTTAATTTAGAGTAAGGGCAGGAAGGGAAAAGGGAAGGGAAAAGAGAAAAAAAAAAAAAAAAAAAAAAAAAAAAAAAAGAACCTCAATGGACCTCAACCCATATAGGAGAACGGATACAACTGAATAAGGCAGAATAATAAAATGGAGTAAAAATAAATTCAGGAAATTGGAAAAAGTAAAAGAAGGGAACTAATAATGGAGGATGAGGTCAAGACATCGTCCTCCATCCAGTAAATAACTAATCATCTTCATAACAACTCCGCTGGAGGAGCCAGGGTAGGTTAGTCCTCGTCCGGAGAAAGTGCTGTGTCCATACAGGATAGACAGAGTTTGACCCGGACGCAGGTCCAGAGGGTTGATCCTCCTTTCTGGCCTCGTTTTGGTCGGTTCCGGTTTGGCTGCCCAGGTTTGATTGTCTCTGCTTTGTCTTGAAGAGAATGAAATACCGGTTGATGTCAGAGCCACGGGGAGTGGGAGGGGGGGGAACAAGTGGATGCATGCTACTACGGAGTAGTGGAAGGGTAACAAGGTCAGCAGCCCTAGACCAGATCCAGCGTTAGGTTCTAGCGCCTGTAGGTCAGTCACTTTACTGGTCCAGGGTAGGGGGGGGCTTTTTTGGAGAGAGGGGAGGGAGGAAAAGGAAGAGGGGTGGAAGTTCGGACAGGACCTCGCGCGCGGTCTTGGAATAATACGTGCCTGCTAACTCCGTAGGACCCATATCAGATCCAATAATAAGTCGGGTTTAGCGTCGCATTGCAACCGTCGTGGTGTGCCGCCCAGATTTAATTCCCTTTTTTTTTTTTTTACACATTTTTATTTCAGACGATTTACTCCGTACCGTACGTACCGTACCATCCGTCCTTCCCTCTTGTGTCCATCCTTTGCAGTTTCCGTCCTTGGTGCTGACAAGCCGGGAACGGGGTGTAGCATGTAAAATGGAAACTAGAGTAGATAGATGGTAGGATGGATACTACACCTATGGTGAAAATGACAATAATAACAACTCAGACACTAAAGCTAATAATAAGGATAACAGTAATAATAATAACAGGGAGGAAAAAGGTAAAGGTTTGACACCAAGGGAGATGGGGTGGGCATTGCTCAGCAGCCCCGGGAGGCACGGGAGAGAGTGGACGAAGGGAGGTTTGTGCACTCTGAATGTGGTTGATCGCCAGTTCTAGTTCAACTCAGGTCGAAGGCAAAGGAATGAAACCTTTCGGTACGAGATAGTACGGCGCCTCCGGCTGCTGCTGCGTAAGAATCAAACAACTCTTACGGAATCATACCGAAAAGGGCGTTAGTGCCGCACCCATTAGAGTGCGCGCAGCAGCAGCAACTGGGGACGGGCCAAGAAGGAGAGAGGAAGAGAGGGCGGGGGGGGAAGGCATGGAATTATGGATCGCTGCGTACGGCAGCTGTAAGCCTGTAAGAGGTCATGCCCATCACGCCCATCACGCCCATCACGCCCATGTCCATGGTGGCTAAAACCAATCTAGTACGTGGTGGGAAGTCGGTTGCCCTCGAGGCCACTGCCACTGCCACTCTCCCTGATTAAGTAAGGTACGGAGGAAGGGCTAACTAGCTGAAGGAGCCAGGCAAAAGGAAGTCAGTCGGTCTATCCGTGGTGGTGGTGGTGATGATGACAAGGGTACGTACGTACGAGACAAGACAGGAACCGACTCGCCGACTCAGCTTTTGGGTGGCTCGAGTTCTGCGCTGTACCAAAAGTCCATTCGATACGCGGTACTGCGTCGTACCTTCCTTTCACGGTACCGGGCGCCTCCTCCCTACACCGAATCAGGGATGGAACCAGTCCGGATAGGCTGGGAGGGCCTGGCAGGTATGGGAGCAAACTGGGCGGTTGGACAGCCTGCTTGCAACTTAACTCCAAGTGGATTAGGCTCGCAGTCTTCGACAGGTAACAGCTGCTGCAAAGTATCGGTATTACAGATAGATATAGTGTTTCTCCGTCCTGGGCGCGCCCATCCGTGAGTCCGGAGTGGTATCTAAGCAATTTTGGGAAACTTTAGCATAGGCCGGTCGGCATCCTCGCCTGGCCGTTATCCACCCGCTGTGTAAGAATGAGGGGGCCAAGACAGGATGTTGCGTATCCATCATGTCGACGGCATGTAAGGCATGTGTGAGTACGAGAATTGGATGGATGGATGATGGGATGAGATGCGGATGGGATGGGATGGATGCACACCACGACCCAGAGAGAGGCGTAATGAGCCCCAGAGCCAATCAGCCCGCGGCAGGCAAATGGCCGGCTCCATCGATCTGGAAACACCGTCCAATAGCGGAAGGGCTTTGCCTTCCACTCGAAGGACAGGCAGCTGAGACTGAGACTGAGACTGGGTGGAGGGAGGGACTGGACCACTTGGCTAACTACGGAGTACGGATGCTCAACTACTGTACATACACAGAAGGTACCGTCTGGGCTGAGTAAAGAAGTAGAGAGGAGATAGACGGTACGCGCCCCCTGTGACTATGACTGTGACTGTGACTGTGACTGTGACTGTGACTGTGACTGTGACTGCCTGTGACTGCCTTGCCTGCCTGCCTGCCTGCCCGCTTGCCCGCCTCCATAGTAGTCCATACTCCGTACTCTGTACAGCCCGAATAGAATGAATAATGGATGGCCGCGGGGCTGACCGGCCACCTGCTACACTCAGTGCTACCTACTACGGAGTATACCTACACAGACTTACTCCATTCATACTCCGTTCAATACTCCATACTCCATACCTGGGTTATCCACCGCGCGCCCCGGGTGATAGATGATGATGCCGATGATGCCGATGCTGATGATGCTGATGATGCTGATGCTGCTGGTGTTAATGACTTATGGGTGGCTAAGGTGGTCTGGTTATCCACAAGGCCAACCGCCCCGTCCAATCCGCGAAACCACACCACCAACCAAACTAACTCTCGCTCGCCTGCGCCTTTCCAGGTTCCTCGCTTCCTTCTCTGCCGTCATACTCCGCCTGGCCGTCTCGTAAGATTGATTCCGTGTATCGATGGTCCAACCCAACGAAATAATGGGACCTCGCCGTTTCTGTGTTCTTCTACGAGGCCCAGCAGCCGCCGTCTAGTCTATCGAGGCGATGAAATTCAATCCGGCTGGCCCATCCATTGTTTCCGCCACCGGTCAGTCGGTCGACTTGCGCCCACCGACCAAATGTGACTCGGTTTTGAGGCATTCGAATCACGGCAGGCGAGAAAAGGAAATCAAGAGACCGGGAGAGGACCCATGAAGGCGCAGGTCGCTGTCGATTTGGGTTTCCCTGTGCATCCTGTCAGCTGCTCGTGTACGTCCTGTCTCCTTTATGATGGCCGTCGACTTTGCCGAAAGGAGGAACCCTGTTTCCATGGTTTGATATCGCCCTTGTTCAGTAGGTACTATTCAGCATCTTCAGTATCTATCTATCTAGTATTCAACCTCGCGCAGCCCATCCGCCGCCGCGGTAGTCCTGAAACTAACAATGGGGAGGGGAGGGAGGGGGCCGCTGGATCCAAGACATGCCCTCCTCCTCCTCCTCCTCCTCCTCTTCCTCCCGACGCCCGTACATTCATGACCACCTCACCACTCCAGGGTCCCTAGCATTGGCGAGGGCGCTATGTCCGTTTTGGTCTCCAACGGACAAAAAGCCTGCTCCTGACAACTGTGCTCCGTCCATCCTATCCCTCGGTCCAAAGAAGGAAGGAGAAGGAGGGGACACCACTCAAAGTACCTTGTAACACTTGGCCGGTCGCACGCCATGGTACCCTGTGGATGGGCACGCGTACCTCTCACTCAGTCAGTCAGTCAGTCAGTCAGTCATTGAAGGCTGTGTCAATCAATCGATATGTTCCGCAAATAGTACCCCGTACGGGGAGGGGGGAAGAGATATGGATGGGCGGGAGCAATCTATACTTTGTACAGTGCGAGTGCTGTGTCATGGTTGGGTCAATCAGAAAGGTTGGTCATGTTACTATTACGATCATTGGTGAAGCCCCGGGACGAGCGAGGACCAGGGCCACTCGCGCGCCGTCCTACTCCTGTCGGCCATGGGTCGCGGAAACGCGCCATTGCTTCGAATCAATCCTGCCCGGCACGCGCTTGGGGGGATTATTGGCATAGATTATGAATATGATTTCATATACTTCGTACCGACCGATGATCGATAGTCGGTTGGCGGCTGAGAATTAATCTGTCTAGTCGTGGACCATTTCCGGACGCGTCTCGTTTCTGCGTTCGGGGGGGGGGAGGGGGGCGAGCTGAGCCTGACTTCGGGGTCTAATTGTCGACGGATGGCGCTCGAACTCTACCTTAGCCGTTTAGCCCTGGGCGCGATGACCATCAAAGTACGGAGGCTTTCCTTTTCTTTACCTCGAGGCCGAAACTGAAAGGTCTGGGATGGGGATGGCCACCCAAGTCTCCATCCCCATCGTTAGCGTCACGATCGTTTTCAATGTTGATGTACCCTTGTCTCTCTTAGTTCGTTGACAATGTGCATCCGTCGGAGGACTTCCCTCCCTGACCCTAGACTGCGGTGGTAGTGCCCTTCCCAGTTCCCCCCCCCCCATCCCCATGCACGTACGTCCGACTGAGTTCAGGGGGGAATCCAAATCCCACATCTGATAGTTCAGGCATGGCGTTATGACGGTGCAATACCACTGGAGCAGATCCGAGGTGATTGATGCACCCGCACCCAGGTCAAGGTCAAGGTCAAGGTCAAGGTCAACATTGCAACGGGCCCTCTCTTATCCATCCGGCCATCCAAGAGCGGCTAACGATCAACCCCCCGCCCCTTGGAAGAGGAGAGTCCGAGAGTGAACGTTCAGGCAGGAGGTTGAGAAAGAACGAACACTACTCCAACTACGGGAGTCAGTACTACCGGTATCCATCCATCCATGTACTATGTAGAGTATCTAGATTCCGTACCCACGGAAAGCACTTTTGCCAAAGTTCCAAACAGTCCTCCCAGCAACGTGACAAATAGGGAGCGAGGAAGGGCTGAAGGGGGGGGGGGGGGGGGGGGGGCTTGCTTGAACATCCGTGCTTTTCTGAAGGCCACACAAACATCCCTGACGATACGGGAGATGGCTAAGATAGGGATTGGATTGGAATTTTAATATCCTGGTTCCCTCAACTATCTACTACGGAGTAGGTAGGTACGGACTAACTAGATAGTACTAGTATCCATCTCGCATTCTTCTTCCCTTTCAACAATCCCATAGAGAAGCAGCACCTAGATAACCCAGTCCCACACTCAAGTATCATGGCCGAGGTATGAATGAATGAACTGAACCCTGCAGCCGGGGTTTGATTGACATACCTACCTACCTACCTACCTGCCTACCGTACCTCAAAAGATGAAAAAGATAGTATGTAAAGAAGAAGAAAAGAAAAATAGAAATAAAAATAAAAAAATAAAAAAAAATAAGAAGGATCTAGGCGTTGGTACTACTACTACTACTACTACTGGTAGCTACGGAGTAGCACTGATTGAAAAGCCCATTATTATTATTATTATGAATATGATGATGGTGATGATGCATGGATGGATGGCTCGCGCTTGGCCGGGCAAAATCCGTTTCGTGATTATGGGATTGATTGGCATGGCTGCTGCGGAGCTCGTCCATACTTGTGGCTTCTTCACCACCGAATCATATCAACCCGGTTTCAATAATAATAATGAGACTTTTGACAGCCGCTACCCACCGGTAGTAGTAGGGTGCTCCGTACTGTATGTAGTATGTACATTTGTACCGATCGGGGAGGCGAGTTCTTTTGGTTGCCCCGTTAAGTAGTATGTACATAACTGATACCGGTGACTTGTCCAAATAACATAACATCATCCCATCATCATCATCATCACCATCACCATCACCAACAGCAACAGCAACATCAGCAACAAGTAAATTTTTCATGATGCACTCACTACCTGCTATACTACCAACACAACTCGGAGTCAGAAGTTGTCAATGCTATGGAATGGAATTGGATCAGATGATTATTTCCAAAACTTCAAAGACCGCCCAACAAACCGCAGAGTGTGGTACTTTGTCAGTAGTAAGTGAAAACAAAAAAAGGGAAAAGTGAATTAGTGCCGATAGAGACTGATAACGTCTGCTCTGGCGCGTCGCGACTCTATCTTCGAACTATCTACAATAGGCAGGCACGGCTTGGCTGGGTTCCTCTCGTATGGATCTTCGGCAGAGAAAGAAAGAAAGAGAAGTTGGTCGTCGAACCCCTGTTTCTTTTGAAACTTATTTTTTTTTCTTTTCCGTTCTGTCGTACGGAGGACGACCTACGTACCTACCTTGTCGGACTCGGCTCATTTGTTTCTAAATCTGGGCCTGGTTTCTAGGGTCCTTCTTCAACCTTCTTCCGAAGGTAAGAAAGAAAGACCGACAGACAGACAGACAGAAAGAAATCACCGTACGGAGTACTACTCCGTAGACTAGATAGCCCCATACTACTGGTAACCTCGAACCTCGAACCTCGAAAGATGCGTTTTGCAGATGGAGGGAACCATACCCACTCACCCTCCCCTTCTCACTCTATTGGTGAATTACGGAGTACAGTCAGTCGAGAGCTGGATGTCTGGATATGAACGCGGACACTTGAATTGGGGGGGGGGGGAAGAAGAGGAGCATATCAAACGAATCAGGGTTGCGGATATACCTCCCTGGGTCCTGGGAGTATACTTTGGTAGCACTAACTACTACTCCCGTAGTTAGTGTGCTCTTGTCTGCCTTAATTTTTGCAGCCTGCTTGCTTTCTTCTAGGTTCGGGTTCGGGTTCAGGTTGTCACGACTCAAGAGCGATACGGTGTAACAAATAGACAGGGTGGGTTTTCCGATGTTCCAGAACTTCCGAGGGCAAAAGTGATCAGTCCAAGTGGAGCGTGCGTGCCACTAATTTCCCAGCTCAGAAATAGCCACGATTGATTGATGCTAACCAACCACTATCTATCTACAGAGTAGATACCGTCCATCATCGGTTTCTGGTGAGTGTGAGTATCGAATTCGACGGTACTCCATAGTGGCATCCAGATTCCAGATAGATAGATAGATAGATAGTCAGTACTCCGTACTCAGTAGGTATCTAGTCAGTCCGTCCCAAACGGTCCTACACTAGCCAAGGCCTACTAAACCAGCCCACCAACCCCGACCACCCGGCACCCATGATCCATCGGCATCATGAGGGCGACTCCATTTTTATTCTCAAACCTTCGAGCCTTCGAGTTCGAGGTCCCGTCCAGCTTCGAAAAACCGGGGCTGGTCAAATCCTTGGGTCGTTTGTTACCCGAGCACTCGGGCGCAGCAGCCAGCAGCACAGGCGATGTGCTAGCCTGCTAGGCTGCTAGCAGCAGTAGGCGAACAATGGGCAGTTTACGCGACGATCGAGGGTCGGAAATACCACCATCCCAGAATGAATAATTCCGGGCACAGCTCCCTCCAGCCCTTCAATAGGTTCGTGGCGCTGCTTGAGGGGGGGCAGCACGGATTCTAGGCTGGAAAGGGTGAGGGTGTGTCTGTCTGTGTGTCTGTCTGTCTCCCCACTCAAGTTCCTGCTGATTGCCTGGAACTGGAACAGATATGGAGAGAGAGAGAAGCGGAGCTCTGCTGCTAGGCCCTCAGTCCTCCTGCAAAATGCAATGTGCTCATTCATCACTCTGACTCTCCAACCCCAACAATCATGATGATGACTGACGACTGACAAGCTTAAGCTTTTTTCGTTTTTTTTTTTTTTTTCAAAACACTAATTGTTTTTTCTTGCTGCCTTTTCGTTTGCATCCATCGATCCATCTGTTCATCCATTTGGGTTTTTTTTGCCGGGGCTCTCCGGTCGGTTTTTGCCCCGGGGCGACGACTTTGGGTTCAATTCAATCAATAAAATAATGATGACTCTTCGTCTGGGCAGATCAACCATGCCGGAACTGCTCCTGATCGTGTCATTGGGCCGAACTTCATCCATCTTACCCAAAACCTGCGGCCAATGACATCCACACTGCCCTCTACTGTACCTCCCATCCTCGCCATCATCTGCCGCCTCCCTCGGGATTGTCGGCGCGAGGCGAGAATGAGATTGCTGGGAAACGAAGCCTTCTCAAAACCTAGATACCTACAATATCCCCCCCATTAGTCCTCCGTAGAGGGCTACGTAGGTATGAGCCGTAGTCGCGTCCTCCGCGTTGGAGACTCCCTGCTAGCTGGTCCCAAGAAAAGAAAAACCAAAAGACCCAGCGGCGGATGGAGATGGTGGTGTCTCTCTTCGCCGCTACAGTACTACTGCGGACGAAGTACGAAGTACAGAGTACTTGGGTGCACACTACGATGTGCAGTACGACTGTGTACTTGTGTACCTCAGCCCTGGTTGCGGCAGACTTGGCCGAGGCTGGAACGGTCACCGCCATTATTACTGTCATGATGGATTCATTCATTTCTGCAAAGTGCAAGTACAGACCAGTCCTGAGGCGATGGACTGGACTGGACTGGGCCTAGTAGTAATTATTCCCTCAAGGCACACGACGGACTGCCAAGTAACTGACTGCCACCCCGTACACTACTGCTACTTTGTACTTACGGAGTACCCGTAAGGTCCATACAGTAAGGTCCGAAGCCATCTCACCCAGTCACCACATCCACATCCATCGAGATACTTGCCGCTGCCGACAACGAACGATGGCTTTGTCACCCACCAAGGACGTCGTCGGCCTTCAATCTCGACTTAACCGCGTCAACAATCTCCGCCGATCTAAATCATTCATTCCACTGCCCCTCTCCCCCCTCCCCCCCCGTCACCCTATTAATATCATTGCCATGATAATTTAGCCTTCTTTATTTTCCCGACAACATAGGTACCATCGCTAACCATTCTGGTGGTCCCTCCCCCCCTTCCCCTCTCTTCCACCCCTGTGGTCAGTGGCCAGTGGTGGTGGTACCCTCGGTTCTGGTTCCGTCTACCGACAGGTTATTTGCTTTCGTTCGTGCAGGGGCCGCAACAGAATCCATCCTTCAATCCTGAACCGCCTTGGAAATAATCGGCCTTCCTGATCGAGTTGGAATCTGGTTATTAATGACGAGGAACCAGGGCCCCGTCCTGAGTGGCCATGCTCATTACACAGAGTGCAGCCTAATTTAACGGGATTCCACAAGATGCCACAGCAAGATGCATAGCCATCCGATGTCCGTCGTCCGTCGTCCGTGATCCGTGTGGTGGTGGATATCCCTGGCCTCAGTGTCTTAACTTTTGAATAATCATCCCCTGGCCAAGTCATTACTACTGTTACTGGTGTGGTCGTGATTGAGACTAACATCTCACGGTGCGCTGTCTGGGGCCTCGGAAACGACGGTCTGTCCTTCTTGGAATTATACGCAGATCGACACACCGTCGTCCTCGATAATAATATTATTATCGCTCTCGTTCCGCGCGTACCCTGCTGGAAATTGGTTTGCATAAGACGGTTGCCGTCTATCCAGTATCCATCCACAGCAGCTCCTCGTTGTGACTGATGAGGATGGATGCCGTTAGCTCTCCGGCGGGACTCATCAAGTCCGCCTCCAGCCATGACTCGACTCGACTCGACTTACATACTTACTTATTGCATGAACTGGGCCTGGCCTATCACTTAGACTAACTAGACGGGTAACGATGCTCGTCGGAGACTTTCTTATCACGCAACCCGTCTGAAGGTGCTGCCCTAGCTGCCCCGTGGGTTGTCATCCCCAGCTCCCCCCAATCCATCCATTCTCTTCCGCCTTCAACAAATGATCGCATCACCGGACTGTGTCAGAATGAATGAATAAAAAAAAGGGGGCGTACGCAAGGACAGGTCCTACCTACTCTCGCGGGGAATTTTCTCGACCGTGGGAGATGAGCAGCTTGCCTGTCCTTCCCACCTTGCTGCCTTTCCAGGCTCCTTGCATTCTCTGATCCTTGCGGCTTCGATACTTTCGCGAGAAGCCGTGTCGTCGGAGGTAAACAAACAACCACCTTATGAAGGATAAGCACGATACATCATCGCACAAAGGGCGCGATATGATACTGCAGCTTAAGCTTTGCCTCCCAGCCAGGCGCGTGTGTATCCACGCTTACTGCCGCCGACCGATTGCTACGTGCTGTGTATGTACTTCGTAGTAGTTGAGACTCAGTGTCCCTTCGTCCTCCCTTGGAAAGGATTGTTAAACAGACAGCCAGGCAGGCAGCAGTCGATCCAAATCCCCCATGAGACGAGGCCATCGATCCTTGCTCCTGTTGAACCACCCACGAACGACAGCAATATACCTTGGGGGGAGGTGTTCCAGTTTCGACTACAGCTTTACTCCGTACTTCCATAGTAGAGGGGAACCAGGGGAATGCATCCGGTGGCCTGGTTGACAAGCGGTTGGAAGCGATCCTTCTTCCTTCCCTTCCAAGTCCGGGGTTTCGTAATGATGATGAGGCCGATAAGTCTGCAGGCTGAAGTGGAAGACGAAAAAGTCATCCATCGGGGTTGTTGCGTTGGAAAAAGCACCGGCTGGGCCATCATCCACTGCCATGCGACCGTAACCAGCGCGAATAAGCTCAGCAATGACCACTCCCTCTCCCTCTCGCTTGACATGTATCTAGCCAGCCTGCTAGCTAGACTGGAGCGAGTCCGAGAGATCATCACGATCACGAAGCCAACAACCATCCATTACCTACATCCATACCCACACACTGCATGTGCAACTGCATGAGCCTGAACTCAACTCCGGCACAAACGCCCGTCCAGCCTTCTCTCTCTCTCTCTCTCTCTCTCTCTCTTTTTTTTTTCCCTTTTTTTCCCCTTTTTCAAGGTTTTCGCTCTTCGCCCTTGGTTTTTCCTTTTCCCAACCGAGTTCTTGCGTATATAGTACTCCGTACATACGGTAGGTTGAGATCCGACGACGCGACGGCATGCTCATCTGGCCATGTACCGAGCGAGCCCCATCCACTTAACCCACTATGGGTAAGGTAGGTAGGTACCTTCTCACCTCGTACCTAGTACTTCCTCTTAGCACACAAGGCACAGCATGAAACCCTTCCCCGCCCGCCTAGGTAGGTACCTAATCCACGTCGTAGACTTTGAGCGCCAATGGCCGTTGCACGTCGTACCGGCACAGGTAAGTATCTATCTATACCGTATGCGACGGTACCCTCCACACCTGCCAGGTTTGAGGTTTGAGCTGGATCGAGATAGTAATATTAGGTAAATACTACCTAGTAACTAGTTACTCATGATCCCGGTACTCGTTTGTCTCTGGGTGTGGGTAAGTATGACTATGCAGCCAGTCCCTGACGAATCCCGTCTCATCGTCCGGCCTCATCATCCATCATACACATGCCTACCAGGTACCAACCAGGTCCTGAGTCTAGGACCGAGTCCAGTTTACCTATGTACTTATGTATATTTCTACCTTATGTGCCCTGCATCCTGAGTTCCTCCAAGGCTGACATTAATACTCCGTAATAAATATTAGTAAATGGGTATGTATGTAGTTATGTAAATAAGTAAGCAACCATTCCTCTTCTTCTACTGTACTTGATCACTAGTACTCCGTACTTACTGCCCTATCTACCTAGGTATAGATAGTAGTAAGGTAGATATGAAGTAGCAACAAACAGCACGGACGGATCCTTCCACACAGATACTCACTCCCGCAAAGCACCCGACTATCTACTATCCACCTACCTAGCCCTGAAGTACCTTACCTACCAAGTTTTTCTAGTAGGTACTTACCTACCCCTGGTGTGTGTATGTATGTATGTATGTATGTATGTATGTACCGACTGTTAGTTTGAGTTTTGGTGCTGGTGTGTTAGTTGTTCCCCATCCCTGTCCTTAGCTGGAACTATATACCGGTCCCAGGCCAGCATGATCTGGATTCTCCATCCACCCATCCCCCCGGACAAGGCTGGCCACAACCTGCTTACTTGCTGCTTGCTGCTCACTACTTGTGGACTAACCAGTTCAACTACATAGGTACATATTTTAGCTGTTTGGCATGACTTGATTTTTTCCAACCCTAGCATGGAAATCTCGCAGATGTGAATGACCACCGCCTCCCAACGTTATCGTGTGCTACTAAATCATGAGGTAGGTGCACGTAAGTACTAAGTTCTACTAAGGGTCTGGACTTCCGTCTGTCTATCTGGAGATAGGCTGGGCTGGGATGCTAACAGGTACCCCCCCCCCCCGGTTCTTTCTCTTTTCTCTGCTACGAATATAAAAGAACTTGCTTTTGCTTACTATTTGCTTCGCTATCCACGGCTGAAACTATTCGCATTCCTGTGGAGCTCTTGGTTTCTGTAGCTGTACGGGGTAGAATTGTCATATTGTCAAACATATATATATATATATATATAAGGTAGGTAGGTATCTAGTGAGTGCTTTGCTTACTGAGATGATGGGTGGTCGGTTGTTCGATCTAGATCAAGTACTACTTACTACTTACTAGGTAGTAGTTACTATCGCACCGCTAGTTACCATGTAGCTGATCTCATCTATCTGTCTGTCTACCTAGTTGTAAAGTTTTGGATTACTGGTACGTACGTAGCTAGATAAATAACTAGCCAGCTAGCCAGTGTTCAATCAAGCAAAGCACCTAGGTACTGCATAGGTAGGTAAGATAGTTCATGAAGAATGTGCTTATCTTACTGCACTCGTTCTCGCCTGGCTAAATCGTCTCTTGGAAGTCGAATCACCGGACATGTGGAATTAAATTAGATCGGGCCAGGTCAGATCAGATCAGATCAGATCATGCGAGAGAGAGAGAGAGAGAGACTGTGTGTGTGTGTGTGTGTGAGGCAAGATCGACTGACTCTTCTGTATTAGCATCGGTAGCTATACATAAACCACATCACCTCTTCTATCTCCCTCTCTCCTCCCCAACCGAACGCACGCGCCTACAGCAAAAAGCAACCCCCTCATTCTTCAGGCCCCAGGGCAAAAGCAAACGCAAAAGCAAAAAGACGAAAGAACAGAAGGGTACGCGTAGAAAGAAAAGAAGCAAAGAAGAAACATGGCGTTGTCTGATATCCTCACAGGACCCGAATTTCGATCGAAGTTTCTTGCTTCCCCCCCCATGTACTATCTAGGTATGTATTTCGTAGTTGTTGGCGTAGGTTGGGGGACTGTTATTGGTCGGCTAAATTGGCTGAAGGATTCGTCATCTCATGAGGGAGGGAAATAGAACTGGATCTATTTGGTAATTGATTTGTATATTCTAGAATGGTGGCAACGGATGATTTATTTCCATTTCCAGAACCATAAGGGGATAGAGATGAGGGTCGTTGGTGAGCTCTTGAGTCAGTGAAACATGCGAGGGCTATAGTCAGGCTCTAACAGACTCCCTCCATATGGGATATATGTGGTCAGACAGGCAAGCTGGATCAAACGATTCGGTAAGTACAGCTGCTGCTGCTGCTGATGCAAATTGCAACGCCATGAAAGGCTTTATTGTAGAGAGTATTTATGTGCCATTATGGGTGTTTGGACTAGTCTGGACGCCAAAAATCTTAGCATGAGTTGTATGTAAGTCAGGATTCTTGGGAGTTGGCCGAGTGGCTTTTCTTTTGTATACACGGTTGATTGACAGTGTTATACAGGATTCAAGGAGAACAGTTCATATTAAATAGGACATATACCACTTAAAATATACTATTAAAACTGCTAACTATAGTACTACTACCTCGTAGCTTAAGTCCGCCCGGGCCGAAATTGCTCCGGTCCGTCCGCCTCAGGCCCCCCAACCTCCGAAAGATCTTTTGTCCGCCCGCGGATATCATCAACCCAGCAAGCAGCAGGAGGACAGACAGCAGGACACCACACTCACCTCCACCTCCAACCTCCACCACACCACGCAGCCATGCCTCCCCGGCTCCAATTGCTGCCCTTCCAGTGGCAGCGCACGACAGCCACCACCACCCTCGCCCCGCTGTCCTTCCTCCTGCCCCTGCAGCAACAAAGCCGCAATGCCCACATCTTAGCCTCGCTGTCCGACACCCCCGGTGCCTACAACAAGCGCATCCGCAGAGGTCGCGGTCCCGCCTCTGGAAAGGGTAAGACCTCCGGAAGAGGTCACAAGGGTCAGGGCCAGCACGGAAAGGTCCCTGCTCGGTTCAATGGTGGTCAGACGCCCGAGATCATCGTCCATGGTGAGACGGGGTTTAACAATGTGTATGTTTTTTTTTTTTTGCTTTTTCTGTTTCTTCCTTCCTTTATTTCTTTCTTTCTAATCACATTTACCTACTCTTCTTGGCATAAACGAACAAGGGAGAATAAAAAGGAAAGGAGAATTGGAATTGAGCACATACTGATGATTATAAACAATACAGCCACTCGATCGACCTCGCGCCCGTCAACCTGGACCGAATCCAAGCGTGGATCGACCAAGGCCGAATTGACCCCAGCCGGCCGATCACGGTGCGCGAACTCGCGCAATCGAAATGCATCCACCAAACCAAAGAAGGCGTGAAGCTGCTGGGCCGGGGGATCGAAAAGGACGACCACGAGGTGCCCGTGGCCAGCGTGCTCAAGCAGCCCATCCACATTATCGTGTCGCGGGCGTCCGCGCCGGCCATCGCCGCCATCGAAGCCGCCGGCGGCTCCGTCACCACCCGCTTCTACACCAAGTCGTCGATTGCGCGGATCTTGCGCCGCGAGACGCATCCGTTCGTGTCGACCGCGTGGGCCAAGGAGGCCGGCAGCGTCGAGCTGGCCAAGGCGGAGGGCCTGGAGGGCGAGATTACCGAGGCTAGGGTCATGAGTGAGATGGGCTTCCAGTATCGGTTGCCGGATCCCACGAAGAGACGCGATATTGAGTATTATCGTGACCCTGCCCATCGGGGTTACTTGAGCCATTTGTTGAAGCCTATGGAGGGTCCTAGTTTGTTCTTCCGTTCTCCTGCTGAGAGGAAGTCTGCTGCTGGTGGGCGCAAGGAGAAGACTCTGCCTGCGAATAGACTCTGGTAGGCGGCGGGTGTGTGAGTTGGTTTTGTTTTTTTTTTCATCATCTAGGATGGTGATGATGTGAGGATTGGAGAGATGTGGATATCATTTTATTTTATCTGGTTATTTTGTGGGCTCGTTTTTTATATGTATAAATATGCTGCTTGTATGTTATGCTCGTGGGTATGTTTCCAAAGCATTTGATTTTTTCAAGGTATTCCTACGTGTGTTGCTGGTTGGGTTGAAGTGGCTGGTGGTTACGATTTGTAGGTGTATTGATTGATACGTTGGAAACTTAGGAGACTGCAAAAAAAGCTCCCTCCATTTTGATCAATCGATATTAACAAAGAAAAGCCCGCCCACACGTTGAAAGCAAACGCTCATCAACAAACGGAACGTACAAGTCAGAAAACCTCAGCAAGATAAGAAGACCATCCGGTTTTTGGTACGTTATACATGTGAACGGAGAAGCCAAATTTTGAAACCCTCACCAGTAGAACGCCATGTCGAGGTACCAAAGCCCAGACCCAGACCCTCTTGCCCAGGGACGTGTCCCGATCCGAAATGTCCGAAACAAAAGAAAAAGGAAAAAAAGGTATACCGAAATCCGCTCAAATAAAGAACCCGATAATATATCCGAACGCTGGTAACAGAAAGAGGGTATCATAGATGATCAACAATCCCGAAACACCAGCGCTTGTCCAGTTCATAAAAAGCGCCAGTCATGATCATCGGTCAATCGTAAGTAACGTATAGCACTTCCCGCTATAAGGGAGGCTCATCAACCTGTAGAGTTGAAGAGCTGTTATCGTGCAGTCGAAGGAAGCCTTTATAGCCTCCAGCTGGCCTCGGTGGGACTATCCTCTCCGCCCTCGGAGAACTCCCGCAGCCAGCGAGAGCAGATCACATCGCGGATTGTCCACCGTCTACCGACATTCATTTGCAAACAACCGCTGATTAACTCCAGCGCGTCTTCTCTGTCCTGGCGAAGCTGGGGATCCGTTTCTTCGCCGAGCACTGCGTCTTTGTTCCAGTTTCCACTGGTAATATTCGATATAATCCGCGGCGCGAACGGATCCTGGAACGGCCGGGACCCGACGAGGACGGTGAAAACGATGACACCGAAGGCCCACATATCGACACAGGGACTGATGAGCCCGTTATCAGACTGGAGCAGCTCAGGGGAAGCGTACTCCAAGCTTCCCGCGACACTGGTGCTGGAACCAGCTGGGCCGATGTTCTTGGGCGGAGGACGATCCGCCACGTTGTCATAAGGATCAGACGAAGCATCATCGTTGTCGGTGTTCATCCACTCTGCCATCCCAAAGTCACAAAGAACGAGGGTGGATGACTCCGGTCCACCAGATGATTCGGTTGGATCTAGCAAACAATTCTCCAGCTTGATATCTCTATGCACTACGCGTGCATCTTCGTGCAGATATCTCACAGCACAAGCGAGCTCGTACGTATATTTCTTGGCTAGCTTCATATCCAGTCCACGGCGGTTTTGGCGCACGAGGTCAAAAAGTGTACCTCCTATGGCCAGCTTCGTGAAACAGAAGGTAGCGTAATCGGTTTCGTAGACCGCATCTAGCGTCAATACGTTGGGGTGGCTAAGGTATCGCCATACTCGGACCTCATGGTCAAATTCCGCTTGAACTTCGTCGTTCTCCTTCTCGCTCCGTCCTGAGATCTGCTTCTTGACGATCTTGACAGCAAGCCGCTTCGTCTTGCCGCTCTCCTCGACCTTGTAGGCCTCCTTCACAGTACTAAACCCACCAAAGCCGATCTGCTTCCCAAGGACATACTCAGTCCCGACCATTTGACCCTCGTCATCGGGCTGCGGCGCAGGCTCTTCGGCGCCAGCACTCCACATGGACAGGAACATGCTCGCCGGAGACTTGCTGCTGGAGGCGGTAGACCTGCGAGACCGTTGACGTGTGGAGATTCGAGGACCTCTTTTGCTCCCGAAAGGTGTCATAACGCTACCTGACCAGGAGCTCCGATCGTCGAGCGAGGCAAATGTCTGCACAGGAGATGCCATGACGATAGGGGAGGGCAAGATCCCACGGGATCCCTCTGGAGGAGTTCGCAGCTCCTCCATCACGGGAGACGCGGTTGAGACCGACGTGAGAGAGGTCGGACGGTCGAGGTCAGTGGTGCCGTTTTCTTCGGGAAACCCGCCGCGAGGTATTCCAGTAGGGATGGCCCGGTTGCCTTGCTGCCGCCTAAGGCTGCGTCCCACCTGGCTTCCGTTGTCGTCAGCATCGTCATCTTGAGGTAGAGAATTCCTCAGGCTCGAGCCCCGCGCCTGGAACCGTTGGGTCCGGCTTCTAGAGTCACCCTTTCCCGAGTCCTCTAGCGGTCGGCGGCGACCTGAATCGAGGGCAGCGGTGGAGTCGAAGCCGATGGATGGACGGCGGTCTTGCAGGAAACTGTCCAGCGGGGAGGACGCTTGTAGATCCTCGGGCTTGTGAGGGAAGCTGACATCTTGCTTGTGATAGTCATCATGTCGTGGTACCGAGATGGGAGGTGTCGCTGAGTGTAGACCACTCAAAGCACTGTTGTCTTCATCAGTACCGCAACGGGGTGCGTGATAATCGTGAAAGATGTTTGTACGATCGCCCTCGAAACCATCTCCCTCGTCCGTCGCTCCTCTGCCTCCGTCCTCACCCCGCCACCGGGGCCTAGGCGTATGCTGAAAGGACGTCTCTAGCTTCAACCCTGCCAATCCGTTGTTTCTCACAGTCTGAGCCATGCCCTCTGAGAGAGAGCAGATTTAAGAGAGAGATTCAAGAAGATAGAAAGGATAGACGGCCGCAGTCTAGGTGTGGCTGTGGTCGTGGGGAGTGTGAAAGAAGCACATGAAGGAAGAAAGAGGAGGTGGGCGGGAGTGGCCGTTTGTATCTTATCGAGAAGTAGGTCGGAGGCAGGCGCACTAAGGGGGGCACAGATCGGAGGGTCCCGATGGCGACAGGAGCCTAAACCCAAAGAGAAGTTAGGGGGAGATGAGTCAAAGGCAACTAAAATAGAACGGAGTGGTGTGGTAGTGCGATGAAGCAGCAGCACGAAGGAGTTAGACAGGGGCAGGAAGGAAAGAGGGAAAAATGGGCAGACTACTGACGAAAATGGTCAGCGAATATCGGGTGATGACGGAGCGCGGAGGGCGAGGTTGCGTCGTTCGATTGAAGGATTGGCGCGCCCGAACTGCAGCAAGCAGCCAAAGCAGCAGCGGGGGAGGCGGTGGGTGGGGCTCGCCCAGACCCTGTACCTATCAGCGGGCTGGCCAACTAAGCCCAGGTCGTACACCGATGGCGTTAATAATGCAAGGTTGGCTCATTGATCATTGATGACGGCGCGATCGGCCGGCCCTCAGCCAGTCACCGGCCGGGCTGACTCACCGGCCAGTCAGAGCCCAGCAATTGCCCAGCCCGCCCCATCACCTGATATCCCGACCCTGGCCCTATGCCCTATGCCCTATTGCCGCCTTCAGCTAGCCTCCCGCCCCTCGAGGCCTTGGCGCCTGGAGCGGGACCCGCCGGTCCAGGCAAGTCAGGCACGGGGCGGTGGCCGGCTCGATCGGGAAAGGCGTGGGACGGACTGGACAAGCGCGCGCAAGGGGCGCTTGTTTGCGGGAGTTTGGAGACCTCCTTTTTTCGGGAGTGTCTCAAAAGTCCGGGGAACTCGTTGGGCCTTTGGCACTTACTGGCACGGTTCTGGGTACCAGCTTGTCTTCTTCTTCGCAATAAACAACCTTGGCGTTTTTGGCTATCTTTTCCCCTTCGGTTCCCTTTCTGTTTCGTCGCTGCGTCGCTCTGGAAGTCGTTCTTTCGCCCTGCTGCCTGAACTGCCGTTGCCTGGTCGTGCGTGCAGTCCTCACCCCGCCGCTGCTCCTTGGGCACTTCCCTCCTTCTTTCGCGTCCACTATACTTCGATCGCGCCTCGAATTTCCGCGGAATTCGCTCGTTCGACTTCCATTCGCCGACTCCTTCCACTCCTTACGGATTCCACCCGGACATCGGGCAGCGCCGAGTTGCGTTCACCACGTGGTTCCAATGCCCGTGGTTTCATGAGTCGTTCTGTCGCGCGCAATAATCAAACAACGCTCTCTTCGACTCAAGTCTCCGATATCTTAAAATGCCAGCAAGCATGGCTAGGCCACGGATTGTGCGGGCGGGTACGTGCTCACTCGGCAGACATGGCTGTTGCGCTCAGTGCTGACCTGGACTTCGTTATGATAGACACCCTTGACCTCCAAAACCACGACGCCCCTTCGGCTCAAGACCACAGCAAGCCCCTTGTGAAACCCACTGGTCTCGCGCCTCACCAGGAGAAAACCATTCGCCATGCGGAACATGATGCCAAGGCTGAGATCATGCATGGTCCTGGTGCCGACGATCAGTACGGTGACGGTATCGATATCTACGATGACGATGACGATGATGATGACGAGGAAATCGAAGATATAGATGAACTTCGACACCATCAACGGGGCTCGGAAGAAGGCGACCTTGCTGACGGGGAAGGGGACGATATGTTAGATGATGATGATGACGATCTGATGGACAAGATCTCAAGCTCTCCATCGATTGATGACGGTGCGTTCGACTGGCTTTGTTATGATCTCATCCGGTTTAGTGTCACACAAACCGTTTGAAGCAAAGCCCCCCAGTTGCATTCGCAGTGCCGTGGCTGACCCTGACCAGAAGACATTGACTTTGAATTCGTTTACGCCCTTCACAATTTTGTCGCAACCGTTGACGGGCAGGCCAATGCGGCGAAGGGCGATACTATGGTTCTCTTGGACGATAGCAACAGCTATTGGTGGCTTGTTCGGATCGTGAAGGATGGCAGTATTGGTGGGTGTCCTTGTTTATGTTACACGACATGCGCTAACACTGGGAAGGGTACTTGCCCGCCGAGCACATTGAGACACCTACAGAGAGGTTGGCCAGACTTAATAAACACCGAAACGTAGATGTGAGTCCTGCCATACTCTTCTTTTTGCGCCTTCTAACGAGAATAGCTGTCTGCGACCATGCTTGGAGATAATTCGGAGAAGTCCAAGAACCCGTTGAAGAAAGCTATGCGCCGCAGAAACGCGAAGACTGTCACTTTCACTAGCCCGACATATATCGAAGCATCTGATGTGGATTACTCGACCGACGAGGAGCTGGAGGACGACGATGTGTCATTCAACGACGAAGACATCGCTCGCGAAGACGCCGAAAATCTACAGGATGGCCAGAATGATGACATTGTCGTCGAGCCTCTTCGGCCCAAGTCGCGGGAGAGGTGCAGCGAAGACGACAGCTTACACGAGGCACAGGAAGCTGACAGCGCTAGACCCGATAGGCAGCGCTCCAGCCAGGAAATCTTCGAGACGGAAGGTGAGGAAGCCCCCGAGTAATATTTGAGTCTTGCTAACTTGTCTAGTTGACAATGCTGTCAGCAGGTCCAGAAATGGCACTGTGCGGAACACAGACTCTTTCTTCAAAGACGATACCGCAGAGACCAAGAAAATCTCTCTGACGCCGAACCTCCTTCGTGATGAGGTAGGCGGTGGTGCTGTATCCAGCGAAGCGAAAGAGGTGAGTGTTGAGCGAACGATACGCCTATTCGATGAGATCTAACAGGTTAGCAGAGCCGCGGTAGCTTAGACGCGATGGACAAGGCCTTCAGTGCTATCGACAAAGAAAAGAAAGACAAAGGCCGCAAGGACAAAAAGCCAGGGATGCTCAGTGGCTTGTTCAAGCGGAAGGACAAGAAGACTAGAACCAGCGAAGACGATGGTGAGGAAACAGAAAAGAATTCGACCGAGCTATCTCGCGCATCTCCCCAACCGAAGACATCGATGGACTCTGTATCCTCGCCCGAGTCAGCCCGATCACCTAAACCTCTGGTCGTGCAGAGGTCTACCAAGCTGCAAAAGCAACCACCGGTGGTTATGTCTCCTACCAAACAAGCCTTCCTCCAAGAACCTGTCAACCAGGGCTCGTTCGACGGCGAGGAGGTGAAGCCAGCTATGAACTCAAAGGCCGACCAGACGATCCGGCAAGTGACTTCTGAAGAAGCCGACGATATTCCGTCTTCCCCTCCGTTGGGTGCTTTCGACGAGAACCAGGGAGCTATTTCGTCTTCCGCCCGTGTAACAAGTCCTTCCAAGAAATCGACCATCGCCCAGTCTGAGCCTCAAGAGTACATGAGCTCGCCTGTTGAGTCTCCAAGGGACTGGCAAGATAAGTCGGAGGGCACGACATACTCCCAGCGTTCTGTGGCGTCTCCGCCGCAGAGATTCCAGCCCAGGGCGGCAGTGAACTACGAGCAGCATCGACTGGACTCACCTATCGATGTTTCCCCGGTAGATGGCCCAGTATCTCCTGTTGTACCAGCCTTGGTGACGGGCGCTGCATCCCCCGAAAGACATTCCGTTGTCTCGGCGTCCCCGCCTTTGTCGCCTGTTGCTAGTACGCGTGACAGCAGAGGTACTGATACTGCACCCGTGTCATACGAAACCGCATCCGTTGGAACTCCAACATGGAGTGATGCTAGCCTGCGGTCGTATTTGGATGACGAAAACGACATCCGCGATCTGTTCCTTATTGTCCATGACAATTCTAATATTCCACCTGCCGGCCCTGACCACCCAATAACTGGATCTCTCTTCAAAGAAGAGAGCAAGAGGCTGCGAGAGATGACCAGCCAGCTGGACACAATGCTGGCCGACTGGGTAGGCCGGCGGATGCGGACTTCCGCAGGCAAATAAGCAGATCTTGGGTCTCAGGGACTGGTTTACACCAGACCCATCTCTTCAAATCCGGCTTCTCACGTCAAGCCAAGAAGAGCTGGAGCATCTATTCGCTCACAATGTGCTGGACACATCGAATAAGGCAGCCCATGCTTTTTTGTCTCGTTTACTACCGTCCGTGATTTGACCCATGCTGCTGACATTGCGGGTTGAAACTTCGCAATCGCCAGTGTTAAAACAGGTCGGTTCCGGTTTTCGGAACCCTTTGTTATTGGCATTTTGTACGGTTCAGTCTTTTTCTTGTTTCGAGCTATTTTTTTTTGTTTACTTGTTTCCTCTACCACTTTCTACAGCCACTGGGATACCCCAAACTATACATGTCTTCTATACTTCGCGTGCCTTTTACTCGACTTTGCTTCATGAAGTGATGTTATTTAAAGGGCTGCTCTATCTATATTCATATCGATCAACTACTACTTACTTTACTACTACCTTTGAAATGACCAACCCGTAAACATAGTCAACCCACTTCCAATTTTCCCTCGTCCTCAATCGTAATTCACTGATACAACTTGCTCCTCTTGAATGCAGCCACCCAGCCACGTGTTCCCTGTCGCTCACCCGGCCATCATCAGGCTGAGTCGCGCGGAGCGATCACCTGCACCCAACAGGCAGTCATACAACCAACCAGTCCACCCAAACCAGTTGACCCTTCCCGCTGAACAAACCCGATGACAAGCCTCTCCTTGCCTTTCCAAGTATAAAGGTGGCCGCAAATAAAACAAAAAAAACAACAACCCACCCAACCTCTACCCTCCGCCCTCTGCATAACTCACCTCACCTCACCACCCTCAAATCCACAATGTCCGACCCCTACACCCAGCACCCATCGTCCTACCCTCCCGCATCCACCAACTCATCCTACTACTCCCCCCCGGACGGAGCCGTCTACCAACAGCCACCGCACGATTACGACCCCCAGCAGTTCTACCCGCAGCGGCCTATCCAACCACCCCAGGACTACGCGCATAATTCCCAATACGACGTGTCGCAGATCCCCCGATCCTATTCGACTCAATGGTCAGATCAGAACAATGTTCCTCCTGTTGCTGCTGCTGCTGCTGCTGCTGCTGCTGCTGCCGCTCCGCCGGGATATGATTCGGGGCGACTGGGTCCGCATTATGAGCCTGTAGCGGCTGTGCGGCAGGGGAGTAATGCTGAGTATTAGTATGGGCTTTCTTTTCCTGTTTGATCCCTTCGATCCCTTTGATCCCTTCGATCCCTTCGATCCCTTCCCTTCCCTTCCCTTCCCTTCCCTTCCCCTTTCCCGTTTAAAACCACCTCTTCCACTCCCGCCCCAACACATCCATCCATCCATCCATCCACGAACAAACCAAGTAAATAACAACTAAACCCACAAACGTAGCAATCAATCCGCAACCGAACAAACCCTCCCTGTCCCTCCGCTCCCGCAACCCGATACCGAAATCAGCAACAACCCCGCAGACTCAGATCCCACGGCCGAAGGCGACCGCAGTCTCGGCGGCACACTCCTCGGCGGCGCAACAGGATACTACCTGGGCCATCAGCGCGACCATGGCTTCCTGGGCGCGGTGGGCGGTGCCCTGCTGGGGAATTTCGTCGGCGACAAGTTGAAGGCGAGGAAGGCGGGGAAAGGTAGTGGTGGGGAGGGGGAGGAGGAGGAAGAGGTCGATGAGGAGGAAACTGATACCGAGACGAGATATAGTCATTATAGTCGGAGGACGTATCGCGAGCATGAGCATGGGCATGGGCATGGGCATGGACACCATCACCATCGTCATCACCATCACCATCATCATGATGGGCATCGGAGTCGGTCGAGGAATAGTTTTTATGAGGAGGAGGATTAGGGGGGTTGGGTTTGGGTGGATGAGGGGATGGGATGGGATGGGATGGGATCTTGGCGGGCGTGGCTTATTTTCTTTTCGTGTTGATGATTGCTTTTGATGACTTGATGACTTGATGACGATGACGATGACTTACGGTTGCGTTGCATGCCTTGCCTTGCCTTGCGTTGTGCAACGATTGCTGCTCTTCCGTTGATACCCGCTCGTTGCACTGCCTATACCTACCAACTGTGTACTTAGGTAGTTGGTTTGGTTTGGTTTCCTCTCTAGGTAGACTCGCGTTACACACTCTCATAGATTGATAGATAGATAGATGGACAGCAACCAATAGCACCTACCCTGCCAACCTCGCCTGAATCCCAATCCTAGAACGAACGATTGTAGCACACACAAAACACTTATCAACTACTAGCCGTTAACCTCTCTACCTCCCTCAGCAGAGCACAGTAGAAATCTGCAGATCATATCAGATCCATCTAATCTAACCTACCCAATCAGATCCCCACCTCCGATGTACCCCCCCCCCCCCCCCCCCCCGAACCTTAGATTTCGATATTGAAATAATCTGGTCCTGGAACCAATTGCAGGCCATAGAGAACCCGAATGTCAAAGGAATCGCGAAAATCCACTCTGGGCTGCTGGCCAATGGGGTGGGTTCCTGGCGACGCGTTGAACGTGTCGGAGGGGTTGTGGGGATGGGATGGGGGCTGATGGGAGGGAGTGAATGATGGATAGGTTGTGTTGATAGTTGGGGTAGGGATTACGGGTGGTGAATGTTGTATTGGGCGGTTGTTGGTTCCTGTAGTCAATTATTATTGGACACGCTGCTTACTTGCATAAAAGCATGGTGCCATTCAACACCTCATCAATCCATCCAAAATACTAGGTATGTACCTACGTAGACGGGCTATAAGACGCTTACTATAGCCGACGATCCATGGGGGGGGGGCTGAAAACACCAACACCCCGTCCCGTGGGAGATGACGAACCAAACTCGCGTCTTTCGTCAGGAACCCCGACCGACCGACCGAACACCTCGTGTCTAGGTACTGATTGTCTGGTCCAATCCATGCGTGAGAAAGCCACGAGGGAAATGGAGACGAACGATGACGACAATTCCGGAGTATATCACCAAAGCTGCCGCCCTACTGTGTACCCTTGTACCTTGCATATGTTAGTGCCGTCCAGACCAGACCCCGGTTGTTCGCGCACCTCGATCGTCAACCCTCGAGGTAGGCGGTGAGATTGGCTGGCGGCGAATCTGGCAATTGATCGCGTGGCTGGGGTTGTTGTTATTCATTGAGGTTGGAGATTTGGTTGAGTGATGGGTTTTTGGGTTGGGTTGGCTTTGGGGAATGGGGGATGAGGGAAGGTGAGTCTCGCGCATGCTCACTAGATACTGGGGCGTTGCTGGCAAAGTTCTGGCAGGGTTTCAGGGTCAGAGGGGGGCTTCGGTAGATATCTCCATTGTCTCTGGGAGAGAGTTCTTTTTTTTTTTTTTTTTTTTGTCTCTTGATTATTACGTTTTCTCATACACTGATGCGGGGGAGGGGAATGTTATTAGTGCCTTCTTGGACTCTGCAATGTCTTTGTTCCCATTCCCATGTCTTACGTAGCCGATCGCCGCCGTGATATTCTAGGTCACTTATGATGTAAACCGATACCATGATATGATGTCTTCTAGACCTGCTGACAGTTAGCTATTCGTGTCCTTCGCCACAGCATGCAAGCTACAATGATGTAGTTCAACAGGCGGAAATCATTAGGGTTGGTCGGGATGCCCTGTGCCCTGTGCTCTGTGCTTGCCTGCTTTTGGGTTTAACCTTCGATAAAGAAGTGTGGGTCAGGTTCCCGGCGGCCGTGACTGCCCGGGGATCCTTACCAGGGAGTGCCCTGTCCGGTCATGCCAGGCTCTGCCTTGTCAAAAGACTTCCTGTCTCCCATGGGCGGAGCGCAGATACGGTTTGGGAAAATTCTAAGTCTCCGTGTCACCCCATGCTGGCTGCTGTCTCTTATCTGGCTGGGGTTTGGGGGAGGGGGGGGGGGTTAAAGGAGGCAGCAGCGATAGATAATAGACATAGCCGACTGAAGCGCGGCGGAGAGAGATAGATAGTCCACAGGTAGGAAGAGTATCTGGTAATCTATCCGGGTGACAAAAGGATATTATTACCGGATGGGGTGGCGAAGGTTGAAGACGGAGGAGGGAGGGCCTGCAACCCCTGCAACACACCCAGTCAGGGAGCCCGCTGGGCGAAGTAGCGGAAGATCAGCGATCCTTGATTGGAGACGCTCAAGAATCCCGGACGGACTCCGCTCCATTCCGAGGCCCTGCTGGCCCCCCCGCGGTCCAATCAGCACGCCCCGATAGGCACTGGGGCCAGTAACCCTCAGGCTCCTCAGCCCCGGGGCACTCGTGACCCGATCTCGAGGCTGCCCCGGTCTGGGAGTGTGACTCCTTCAGTCCTCATATGCTCTCTCTCTCTCTCTCTCTCTCTCTCTCTCTTCCTCTTCTTCCCCCATTCACACTCCTTTCACCTGTCCTCCCGATTCCTCCCTCTCCCCCTCCCAGCAATCTACCGGCTGGGTTGACCCATCCCTCCCCTCCCTCTTAGAGAACTATATCAGCTGGCTTTCTTCTTTCTCCCACACAGTCCCTTATCGTCGCGTCTTATCTGGTGTCCATTTCCCCAGCTTCACGACCCCAGTCCACTACGCCCATTCTCTCACACCACCCAGTTGATTGATTTTAGCCAAATCCACCCAAAGTCTACCAACCATGCCTCCTCCTCTATTGCAACACATCCAGGCCGTCCTCCCGCAACACTGTGAGCCGACATCGCCCTTCCTAGCCGCCATATCCTCCTACCTCCACATCTGCCTCCCCACGCCGTTAGCCTTGATATCGTCCATCTTGGGCACGCTCAGCATTGTCTCGTGGCTCTTCGCACAACTTCCCCAAATATACAAGAACTTCCAACTACAGTCTACATCCGGCTTGTCCCTGTTCTTCCTTGTGGAGTGGTGTTTGGGTGATCTGAGCAATCTTCTGGGGGCTCTGCTGACCCGGCAAGCCGGCTGGCAGGTGATCGTGGCTGGCTATTACGTATGCGTCGACGTGACCCTCGTCTTCCAGTACTACTGGTATACACACTACAAGGGAGGACAAGACAGCTACGGCGGCTTCCCTTCCTCCCACTACGATCACCCTCCGGGAAGTGTCTTGGAAGGCATCTCATTCCCCGAGAATGACTCATCCAGCCATGGCGCCCCCTCTGCACACTCTCCACGTCCCTCAAAGCCCAAGGATGTGAAGGATATCCAGGATATCAAGGAACCTATGGGAACTCCGTCCAGCAGTCAATCGCGGTCATACTCCAACGAGAAATTCAGCACCTCCAAGCGCTCCGTCAATCGAACCGGCAGTGGACTCAATCTCCCCATGGGCTCACCCCGTACGCTTCTTCTGGCATCTATGCTCTGCGCTGTCGTAGCGAACGCCTCCCCAACAGAGCAACACGCCACGTCCGATGCTCCCAAAGAGACCCTCGAGATCCTCGGCCGGATCATCTCCTGGATGTCGACCTTCCTCTACCTTGGCTCGCGCCCGCCCCAACTGTACAAGAACTACTGCCGCAAGAGCACGTCTGGTCTCTCCCCGTTACTATTCATGGCTGCCTTCTGCGGTAACTTCTTCTATTCCACCTCCCTCCTGACCAACCCGAACGCCTGGTACGACTTCGGTCCTTACGGAGGTGGTGGCTGGGCCGACGCAGACGGCAACGACCGCCTCCAATGGGTCTCTCTCGCCACTCCCTTCTTCCTGGGAGCTTTCGGGGTTCTCGCCTTCGACGGCTTGATGGGCGTGCAGTTCCTCATGTACGGGTCCCGGGACGACGAGTCCATCATGGAGGTCGAAGACCCCAAAGACGGACGAAACCACTGGACCCGGGTTCGCGGCTGGATGAGGGGCTGGATCCCCTCTGTATCCCCCGAGCGAGGATATCTCTCCGACCCCACCACCGTCCCACCCCAGGAGAACCAATCTCTCCTGCACTCCGAGCGTGAGAGATACGGTACAGTTTGAATGCAATCTCATCCTGTATCAAAACCACACCCACATCTTACCTCTTTCCCCCCCCGCTTTTGTTGCTTCTTGGTTACATACAACAGGCGAACATGATCATTTCACGACGTTATGCCCATCATCCTAGGATATTCTTCCCATCGTTGCAAATACCTTGCTTCTCTTATGATTCCGTGTTCTTCTTCCTGTCTCGTTTTGGTTTTTCTCACGTCGTCATCTTTTGTGGATGGAGTTCCTCTATTTCGGGAGATCTCTAGATTGGGCTTTTTTTCTTTTTCATTCCATTCCATTAGCAGGACTCGTTTCTCAACCGGCATAGCATTTGTCTGTTTTGGGTCATGTCATCATCTCACCATCATCATCATCATCATCTGGCGTTCTTGGATATGGGTTCGTTTCTTTTCGGGTTTATCCTATCGGATTAGCTTGGGTTTGTTTGGTCTGGTCTGGTCTGGTCTGGTTCATTGCACATTCCATCCTCATGCTCATACTTACTACTTGCATCCAGCATGCGCTGCCGGATTTTTTTTCTCCGGATCAGGAAGGTGTTCTATCTTCCTTCCGTTATTGTTTGGCTCTTCTTGTCCTTTTTGAAGTTTCTGGTCTGGCATATACACTGAGTGATTGAGACTGGTATAGACACACACACACACACACACACGCAGAGAGAGAGAGAGAGAGAGACTATGATTCACATCCAGATATTACTACTTACTAGATTGTTTTTTACCACTTTCATACATACACGCATGCGATAAATGCAGCATGATATTCAATAACCACTTATAACTTACTACTCTACTGAGAACTTGGAATCATACAAGCCAAAGTAAAGTAAACAAGGTAGTTCATTAATAGCAATTATTAGTAACAAAAGCCCATTAAATGTTGACTTCACACAAAAAAAGAATAAATCACAATCCCATCAATCCATTTCGAAATTTTGCAAATTCAATTTTTTTTTCATGAAAAGAATATTAACAGTCATCTAATTATAATCGCTAAGGTAAGTGGCCCCAAACGGCGAAAAGAAAAATCAATCAATCAATCAATCAATCACCGGGCCAGGTAAAGTAAGGTAAGGTAGGTAGGTAGTGTAGTTAGTTGTTTTGTCCGTCCGTCCGTTCATGGCCCACCCTCTCATCAATTTCATTCATTAGGTACAGTTTGGCAAAGCCCCCCATGATTTAGACAATAAGCGCGGCTTGCTCTGGTCCCAGCCCTCCAGCACTTGGTGAGGGGGACCGGAGTCAGCAGGAATATTCTATAGGGTAACAATGAAAGAAGGGGCAGGGGTAAAAAGGGGAAGAGGAAGGAGACAAAAAGAAAAACAGAGACACCACCGCGGGCCAAGTCAGGTTGAAGGGTTGCTCTGGCGAACAACCGACTGACCTGGTGCGGGGACTCGAGGAAAGGGTGCAAAAAAAAGAACAACAATGTGCATTGGGCAAAAGGGACACCGCGGCGCTCTTGCCTTGTGATTCATGGTTTGTAAGGTTTTGTTTGGGGTGCGCAGAGGGCAAAGCCAACATAGCGGGACAACCATACGGCTGTCTAATGATACACAGGAAGCAGGTGGGTAGCCTCGAATCGACCAGCGACGCGGCGGGACCGGCATCGAACGAGTCCGGTGAATGTGCTGAGTAACTCCAACGGTATATGCAACAGCTTTGTCACAAAATTGTCAGATCAGGTTCAGCGGCGTGTGAAGCGAGAAAGCTCGGTGAGGACGGTACATCTCAAGATTAGTACAGTGGGGACTTGACATCCTGGACACCCCGTCTGATCACGTCCTCGATCCGCCATCTGGGAGGCACAACCCTCAGCTCCCGCTTGCGGCGCCACTCCTTCTCCATCTCCGGGGGGGCCGTCACGTCTCCAGTCACAGCGCCACCCGCAATGCCCGTGGAGAATTTGAGCTGCAAAACATTTCCGATTTCGTCACATGCAGTCAGGATGCGATCAAGGTCCTCCTTAGTGTGCGCAGCAGAGACACAAAAGCGAGCCCGAGAAGAGACCAACGGCGTAGCAGGGTAACCCACGACGACGACGGAGATCTTCCGCTTGAGCATCTCGTGAGAAAAGGCCGGCATCTTGGCAGGGTTGAAGAGAAGAATAGGAATGATTGGCGAATCATCGTGGCCGTACACTATGAACCCAAGACGTTTTAGCCCCAGGCGAAGGTACCGAGAGTTAAAGGCCAAACGCTGCAGTCGCTCTTCACCCTGGCCCGGAACGAGTTCACCGTTGATGATCCGCAGCGCTGACATGATCTGTGCCAAAACTGCTGGGGCCGGCGACTCCCCGTAGAAAACGCCAGAGTTGGTCGCGCGGAGCTTGTCAATCATCGCCCTATCCGCAGCAATGTATCCACCGTTCGCACCGAAGGATTTGGTCAGAGTACCCATTAGGATGTCCACTTCGTTTGTGTCAATTCCGAAGTAATCACAGACACCGCGGCCACTAGGACCCACGGCGCCAATAGAGTGAGCTTCATCAACGAATAGGTGGAACTTGTAGCGGCGCTTCAACATAATCAGTCCGGGGAGGTTACACATCGAACCCTCCATGGAGTAAAGCCCTTCTACGACAATCAGGATATTCTTCCAGGGTCGGTGGGTGCGAGGTTGGCCTTGACTAATAGCTTCACGGAGTTTGGCTTCCAGGTCATGCATGTCGTTGTGCTTGAACATGGCAATGGAGGCACCGGAGAGACGCGCACCGAACCGAATTGAGGCGTGGTTCAGCTCATCAGAGATGATCAGACAACCCTTACCGACAATAGCAGGGAAGATGTTTGCATTGGTGCCAAAGCCCATGGAGAAGACCATGGACGCCTCTTTTCCAACGAACTTCGCGACCAGATCCTCCACTTCCACATGGAGGTCCTGCGTTCCAACCTCTGCACGAGTACTTGGGGAAACAATGCCATACTTTCTGAGCGTTTCTTCCGAAATGTCCGCGCAGGGGCCTTCGGACTGAGCGAATCCAAGGTAGTTGTACGAGCTCAGATTCAGGGTATCCGTGGTTGTTCCGGTGAAGTAGAAGTGCCTGTTGTGGTCATCCGTGGCCCGATCGAGCAAGGTGATGTAACGTCCGGGGACGCCCGTGACGGGACGTTCGAAGCAATCGTTGATACGCAATTTGAGGCGACGCACGTAGAAGTTGTCGAAGTCACTGTTCAAAGCCCCGTATCCATTTTGGGGCTTCAGATGCCGGTAGTTCTCTTCGCGAAAACGCTTTCCGAAGAAATCTCGAACATGCCCGAACGCGATCAGAATGAGATAACTGATATAGGTGGTGAGGAGATAATAATAGGGCGGTTCATCCATTACGGGCTCCGGGAAGGCACCGCCAGGGTGTCGACTAGTATACCGGTGGCTATGGTGACCAATGGGGCCGAATTGGGCATGCTGCTTGGCCAGCCGACGAGCCTCTTCGGGCGACGGCGGCTGGAAGAGGGTGGTTGGTGGCTCGTCCATATTTGGGTTTCCTGCAGTAGCCGTAGAAAGCGAAATCGTAGGAAGCGACAGAGAGGCCGAGCTAATCGGCGGAGTGGCGGTACTAGGAACGGAGATCCCACTGGCCAGTTGGATAGCGGCCTGCGCACTCTGAGGTTCGGTCTTGGACTTAGGAGAGGTCGAAAAGAACTGGCTTAGGCGATTAGGTCTGATGGAGGGTGCCTTGATGGCGATGCCGCCCTTTCCGGAGGCGAGTGAAGAAGAGGGCGCGTTGGCGGGTTGATTGGCGGGAGAAGAGCTGGCAGCGCGACGAGGCATCGCAAGGAAACAGCGAGAGCGAAACCGGCAACACCGATAGGATGAAGGAACTTGTACCGCGGGTCCCAAGCAATTGAGCACGGCAAGCACCACCTGGTTGACGACGGTCGAGTTTTGCAGGCTGTGTGCTCCTTTTTACCTGACCTCCTTTATACTTCTCTCCGAACGGACAAGGAATGACGATCGATCAATGCCACCTGAATAGCCACCACGACACGGTCAGTCACCATCTCACGAGGTTGGAACAGCTAGAATCGCCAAGCGACCAAAATAATGCGCGTCGCACGCACCAGTATATATTTGGACGGAGAGGCGAAAAAGGGCGGAGAGGGGCTTGAGGAGAAAGGGGGGGGGGGGGGGGGAGGGAGGCTTGACTCTCGAGACCACCGGAGAATCCGGGTTGATCAGTCACGACGTACCTTTGCACGTGGATGAGCAGCGGTACTAGTAGAAAGTCGAGGGCACGGAGCCCTTTTGAGAACGGGGATCTGTCGGGTCCCTGAGCCCAGGGAAATCAATCAATCGACACGATTGACCGACGTGGCGATAGGGAGGAGAAGTCGGTGGCCGGGCGGTGCTGTGAAGAATCGGAGAAGACGAGGAGGAGGAGGAGGGACCGAAGAAGGCTGAAGGTGGTCGAGAACAGGGCACAGCACAGGACCAGGGCACTGGAAGAAGACAGATTGGGTGAATTATCCGATTTGTGACCAGAATAAAAATGAAATTATTAATGTAATGGATTAATGCGAATGAACGCGAATCAAGAGGGCCCGAAGCTAGCCAACCTGAAGTGGAGATTGTTCTGTTCAAACTTCAGAGTGAGTGCGTAAGGTATTATTCTATTCTATCTCGAGGTGTAACCTTACAGGGTTTTTCTCTTTTTATTACGGGTGGGAACCAGCCTCATCGGCGGGCGGCCGGGCGCGTCACAGGGCGGTATTGCTTTCCGCCCGTGCCCGGGCCCACTACTTGACCGGCCGGTAATAATAGTGTATTGGGTACTGTGTAAAGTTACACCTGGACCCTGCGGTCGTGTTTTGTTGAGTTTGCAGCCACCGAGAGTACAGTCCATGCAGTCAAGAAAGGGGCAACGCAAGGCAATGGATTTGAAGCACACTGAAACTGACATCCATTCCGGGGTTTCACCGCCACTCTTCAGAACAGCCATTGCATTTACTACAACTGGCACGGGGTTCATTGCAGTCCAACTCGAGGAAAGGGAACCTCAGGATGCAACATGCATTGTCTGCCTCAGGCCGCCAACCTCGATCAGGCTGCGGACAACAATAGATAGAGTCCATGTGGTGATTGTTCCCATCTGACAAACTATGTGCCGGCTGGCTCGGATGAGCTGTTTACATCCCCTCCGGTTCGAAATGTGTGTACACAATGCTGCGCAAGAACCATATCTCTCTCACCTTCCCCTCCAGACGCACCGTTGGTCGTGTGTGCCCATGGCCGGGGCTCCTTACGTATTCCGTTCCGTCCGGGCTTCTCGGACGCTCATACTATCTACCTCTTCGTAACAGTCTTCATCCTCCCGATTGATCCTTTTTCGGCTCGAGAAACTTAAGATTGTGTACAATTGAATGGAGATCGCGTGTTCGACCGTACCCTGGTGCTAGACAAATCTTTGGGCGCGACAAAGAAGTCGGAACGTCGTAGGTAAGGACGGAAAGACTTCCGAAGGGCCGGCTCGCTGGTGGCCCCATCTACTACTACTTACTTCCCCGTACTATCCACCCGCATTCCACAACCCCATCCAGCCTGGCAAACAACGCCGTACTTGTTGACTTGACTATTGTTTTGGGAAAGGGTGATCAGCAAGAATTTAAGACCATGTCCACCAATGGGACCAGTTCCAAGGAACTATGGCGACACTCGAGTCCGCAAACCACCCAGGTCTATGACTTTATCAAAGTGTCCAATGCCTTGCATGGCCGGTTCATGACCACGTACAACGACCTCTGGCAGTGGAGTGTATCAGAGCCCGCCAAGTTTTGGGAAGATGTCTGGCACTATACTTCCATCAAGGCTCATCAACCGTACGATAGCGTGAGTAGCTCGAACGATCCTGTCGTGGCCGTGGTCGGGGTCGCGGTCGTTGTGCGATAGAATGACTGCTGCCTATCTGCCTTGGTTGATATCAAAATAACTGACCCCGCTGCAGGTCCTAGGCTCAGACGAGCTTCTTTTCCCTCGACCTCGCTTCTTCGAGGGAAGCAGACTCAACTTTGCCGAGAATCTTCTCTTCCCATCTTCTTCTCCTGACGAGAATGCGGTGGCGATCATTGCGGCGACGGAAGCAGATCGGGAATTCGTATCCTGGAAGGAACTACGCGATCGAGTTCGAAGATGCGCCAATGCGTTGAAGGATGCGGGGTTGCAATCTGGGGATCGGGTCGCGGGCTTTCTAGGTAACCACACCAATACTGTTGTTGCAATGCTGGCAACGACATCGATCGGCGCTTTCTGGACGGGTGTGTCGCCCGATACAGGTGTGTATGCGGTGCTAGAGCGTCTGAAGCAGATAGAACCGAAGATCCTGTTTGCCGACAATGCCTCTTTATACAATGGTAAGGTACACGGGGCGGATGCCAAACTGCGCCAATTAGTCCCAGGCCTACCGAATTTGGAGCTCTTGGTTGTGTTCAAAACGATTCAGTCGTACGAATTTGACATCCAGGAACTGAAGCCGGTACAAGGGAGAGTGTCTTTTTACGAGGACTTCCTCTCTAATGCCAGCAACTCCTCGGCCCCACTTGAATTCGCAAGTCTGGAGCCCGAGCATCCTGTTTACATACTATACTCCTCCGGTACGACAGGTGCGCCAAAGCCTATTGTCCATGGTGCGTTGGGAACACTGCTGCAACACAAGAAAGAGCATGTGCTTCACTGCGATCTTCGCCCCGGCGATCGTCTATTCTACTTTACAACGGTCACTTGGATGATGTGGCATTGGCTAGTCTCTGGTTTGGCTAGCGGCGCTACCATTGTGCTATATGATGGCTCACCTTTCCGGCCATTTGATAAGGAAGGTGGGAAGGGCGAAATGGCCATGCCACGTCTCATCGATGAACTACAGATCACGCACTTTGGAACATCGGCCAAGTATCTGTCCATGTTGGAGCAGGCCTCACTGCAGCCGGCAAACCACCCTCATCGACCCACAAGCTTGAAGACCTTGAAAGCCATCTTTAGCACTGGATCTCCGTTGGCACCATCTACGTTCGAGTATGTGTACTCCTCCATCAAGGCCGACATCATGTTGGGTTCCATTACCGGTGGTACGGACATTCTGTCCCTGTTTTGTGGGAGCTGCCCGATACTACCCGTCTACAAGGGCGAGATCCAGTGTCGCTGCTTGGGAATGGCCGTCTCTGCATACGACTACGCTGGCAACGACGTCTCTGCCTCTGGTGAACCTGGTGACTTAGTATGTACCAAGCCATTTCCGGCGCAGCCCGTGATGTTCTGGCCTCCCGGTTCGACTGGGGCGGAGAAATACCGCAAGAGCTACTTCGATGTATTCGGGCCCACAATTTGGCATCACGGTGATTTCGTGCGTCTGGACCCCTATACTGGGGGTGTGGTCATGTTGGGTCGGAGTGACGGTGTCCTAAAGCCGGCCGGGGTCCGGTTCGGCAGCGCGGAGATATACAACATTCTTCTGAAGCATTTCGCAGATGAAGTTGAAGATTCGCTGTGCATTGGCAGGCGCCGGGATGGAATCGACACGGACGAAACAGTAGTTCTCTTTGTGAAGCTGACATCGCCTGGAGACGCCCTGGAAGTCATACCGTCCGACCTCGCAGCGCGTATCCAAGCGATCATCCGCAAAGAGCTCAGTCCTCGTCATGTGCCTGGCATTGTGGACGTCTGCCCGGAGATCCCAATAACGTCGAACGGCAAGAAGGTCGAGAACGCTGTGAAGCAGATCTTGTGCGGTCTAAATATTAAGATCGGCGCGAGTGTGGCCAACGCTTCGTGTCTGGACTGGTATCGCGCGTGGGCTACGGCGCACCCGTAATTTCTGGTTGCAGTCTCTCTCGATAGTTTGGTTTGCCCGTGAAAAGTTCAAGGAGCAAGGACAGGAGGCATGGTGTGGTATTTGTTGTCCGACTAAAAGGTTGGGATGGTAGACTACTTTTCTCGCGAGAATGCCCTGTTAGACCGTGTTTGCGGCGCAGACACAGCTATTACTCACTTAGAAACCCAGCATAAGTAAAACGTTCGCAGTGGCCAAATTATCTGCATTCTCTCCTTTGAATGTTTTCCTGTTAAGATTCCACCCATGGGTGATGGAAGGAGTGGTAGTTTAGGAAGCAACATTCCTCTGCGCTGACGTCGTGCGGCGACGGAGTGCCTGGGTGATTAGATAAGCCGCCCATCTCCGAATCCAAATCCTTGCGGCGCCGGCGTGACGACGACATCTCCGGAACCCAGCTTTCACGCCTCCGGGAAGGAACCAATTCAAATCAAGGACTTCCGGTCACTTGGTCAACAGGAGATTCAAACATGCGCCGCTCTGTATTGCGGGCCGTTGAGTCCGCGAAGCCGCTTGCCCGCGTGCCTCGCTCGGCGGCGAGAAGCTTCGCGACTGCTAGCGAGGACGTTTCTAAGGTGAGGATTTCGATATGTGATTCCGGGCCTGAAAACTTTGTCTAAGCCCAGACTAATCGCTCTTTCTTCTGCTCCACAGGATCCCGCCGAGCTCGAGCAGATCACAACCCTTCCAAATGGCATCCGTGTCGCTACTGAATCCCTGCCAGGACCCTTCTCTGGTGTCGGAGTTTACGTCGACGCCGGGTCTCGTTACGAAGATGACAGTCTACGAGGTGTGAGCCACATTATGGATCGGTTGGCATTCAAGTCGACCAAGTCGCATACCAGCGATCAGATGCTCGAGACGCTCGAGAGCCTCGGAGGAAACATCCAGTGTGCATCTTCTCGCGAATCCTTGATGTACCAGTCTGCTAGCTTCAACTCGGCTGTCCCGACAACCCTGGGACTGTTGGCGGAAACTATCCGGGACCCCCTTATCACGGAGGAAGAAGTCGTTCAGCAGCTGGCTACCGCTGAATACGAGATTGGGGAGATCTGGTCCAAGCCCGAGCTCATCCTGCCCGAGTTGGTCCACACGGCGGCGTACAAGAATAACACATTGGGCAACCCTTTGCTTTGCCCGGAGGAGAGACTCGGTCAGATAAACAAGGCGGTTGTCGATAAGTACCGCGAGACTTTCTTCAACCCCGAACGCATGGTTGTTGCCTTTGCTGGAGTGCCGCACGACACGGCGGTTAAGCTCACGGAGCAATACTTCGGTAGCATGAAGACACACAAGCAGGCCGACGGTCCTGCTCTTACGGGCGCTGGCGTCGAGACTACCTTGTCCGGCTCCAAGTCGGCTGCTGAGGAGGGCCAGGTGCCTGCAGTTCCCCAGTTCACGCCGTCATCGACCATCTCCACCCCGGCTTCCGGTGGCCTCTTTTCGAAATTCCGCCTTTTTTCCGGCCAAAAATCGGAAGACGCTACCACATCGCGCGACCCGTCCTTGGGACAGTCCTCGACTTTGGATCTGAACCGACCCTCCCACTACACTGGTGGCTTCCTGTCCCTTCCTCCTATTCCCCCTCCCGCAAACCCTATGCTGCCTCGACTGAGTCATATCCACCTTGCCTTTGAGGCCCTTCCCATCTCCAACCCCGACATCTACGCCTTGGCCACCCTCCAGACCCTGCTGGGAGGAGGCGGGTCTTTCTCCGCCGGTGGTCCCGGTAAGGGGATGTACTCGCGTCTGTACACCAACGTACTGAACCAGCACGGATGGGTTGAGAGCTGCATTGCGTTCAACCACAGCTACACGGACAGCGGAATCTTCGGAATCTCTGCTTCCTGCAGCCCCACCCGGACGACCGAGATGCTGGAGGTCATGTGCCGGGAGTTCCAGGCTCTGACCCTCGACACGGGATACCTGGCTCTGCAGCCCGCGGAGGTCAACCGCGCGAAGAACCAGCTTCGCTCCTCGCTCCTCATGAACCTGGAGTCGCGTATGGTGGAGTTGGAGGATCTAGGCCGCCAGGTCCAGGTCCATGGCCGTAAGGTTGGTGTTAAGGAGATGTGCGCGCACATTGAGGCCTTGACCGTGGAGGACCTGCGCCGCGTTGCCAGACAGGTCTTCGGTGGTCTTGTCAAGAACAAGGGATGCGGCACTGGTAAGCCCACCGTTGTGTTGCAGGAGGGCGAGCTAGAGGGCTACAAGCTCCGTCCTTTCCCCTGGGAGGAGATCCAGGAGCGCATCGCTCGGTGGAAGCTGGGAAGAAGGTAAATCCAGCATTGAGCTGGAGGATTGATGCAGAAATGAAAGGGGCAACGGTGTAAGACCATTGCTTGTGTTCTATGTGATGGGACAGAGAGGGACGGACGGGCTCCCATTTTCTTCACTCCATGTAATTAGAGATAGCCTTAAACTACCTTGTACAATATAGATCAATGTTTATTGTGCTATTTGGCAATGAGCGCCCCCCAAAAAAACAATAATTTGTTGGTTGTTGGGAGTATAAAGCGACAGGCGGTCGAAGCTCCTTACCGTATTGAGTTCGTGTCCGCCCGGGAAAAAAGTTGGAACCGGATGTTCGAATCCGCCGGCCTCCATCAATCTCCGTCCGTTCCTCAACTCTTTCTCTCCATCATCGCCCTCTCTTCCAACCACCACAACACCTCCTACCACTCCGCTCCCCCTTGCAACCCACATCCACCCCCGCCGTCACAATGGTCAAGCTCACCGAGGTCGAGGACGAGCACTTCGCCCAGGAGAAGCCTCAGTCCAGCAAGCACAACGTCCTTCTCACCTCCGACGACGAGGAGGAAGACGACTACACTGACACCGGTTAGTATACACCTTCACATTCATCTGACACCATCCATCGAAAACACAGGCGGCCAGCCTGTTACCCCTTTCATACGGGAGCAATTGCACGCCTATAATCCCTAATAATACCACGCGACAACCTCCCGCCGCCTGGACCGACGTGATCCATCCTTCCACCTCGACCTACCTATTCATCGTCATCTCAGACCAGAAAGAAGGAACATCCTCTAACATGCCATCCACGCAGAGTCCGAGATCTCCGTCGAGTCCGACATCGAGGTCGACACCGAGTCCCTGTACGAACGTCTGTACGCCCTGAAGGACATCGTCCCTCCCTCCGCCCGCCGCCAAGTCACCAGCTCCGTCAACGCCGTTACCTCCTTCACAAAGTCCAGCATCTCCTTCAGCGGCAAGGCGCTGTGGATCATCAGCACCAGCGCCTTCCTCCTCGGTGTCCCGTGGGCTCTGGCCTACGCCGAAGAGGAGCAGTACATCCAGATGGAGCGCGAACAGGGCATGATCAAGGGTGCCAACGAGGTATGTTATCCACTACCACTTCCTTTTTCTTATCCATCTCTTGTCGCTTTCGGTCACTCTTTTTGGGTCGATCGGACATCCCTTTGATCCCTGTCTGTCGTCCCATCCTGCCCGGGGTAATCCGCGATGACGTGAAAACTCTTTTTTCGCCGGCATTTCGCGCCAAGAAAAAAAACAACAGACGTCATCGGGATCTCAAATTCATATTTCCTATGCTATATCTTTGAGCGCTCCGAGGGAATATGCTAATCAGACCTTTTTTTTTCTTCTAATAATAGATGCTCACGCCCGGCGCTCCCGCGGAGGAGAACCAGGCTCAACCCACCCTGTAAATGAATTCCATCGTCAAAGATGAAGATCGCGACAGGTGAAGATGCAATAATCAGCCGGTGGCCTGTCGAATCATCATCCACCCTCCCTCCCGTTCTCCCGTTCTCCCATACCTGGAGCCGCCTGTTGCCACGAGACCTACGGTTTTTAAATACGAACGTCATCGGTCTGCCTGGGGCGGAATGTCGAATATTTATCTACTATCTATGTCGGTAATGATGTTCTGTTGATACTGAGGTCGCTATGTCACGAAAACGAGTCGATGCGATGTGTCTTATTTAATCCCGAAGAGAGAATTTCTGGTTTCGGCTACGGTATATGTTGGATTGAAAAAAACGAATTGTACAAACAAAAAACGATCTGGGATAAATTCGGAGTGGATATGTTATCCGATTTTCTCTCTCTCTCATCTCATCAACCATTGGTTTGGGGCTTGCGTGGCAAAATAAGACAAGGGTGATGGATGGATGGATGGATGGATGGACAATGGAAATGGTATTCTACATATGGACATGGAACATGAGGATTATTCGCTCACGCTGTTACTTTCGGAATCTTTGGCACTCTCCTTTCCCCCTTTTTTCTCCTCTCTCATCCTTTGATTCCAGATCTACTTTACTGGCTTGGGCGATGTGTGTGTGTGTGTGTGTGTATTTGTATACTGGTTTCCCTTTTTTTTCACTATCTGTTCGTTTCGTTTTATGTCTTTCTTCATTTACTTTTGGGATCATGTTTCTAGATAATGAAATGTGAACGATCTTAAGACTCGGATTGGAAAAGGCAAAGTGCTATCTAGGATAGTAAAAAACTAATAGATAAATGTGAAAGGTGCCGAAAAAAGTATGCTGGGTAGGGTATCTTGTGCTAGCAGAATGTACAGAAATGATCCAATCCCTCCCTCTGAAACCGAAGGGGGGTCCATGACTATGATTATGAACAAGAAAAAAATAAGGTCGATCCGATCTCTCTATCCAAGTGTCTATATTAATCTTTCATTAGCCAAGTCTTCATTTCAAATGCCAGTCACAAACGCAAACACAACATAATAAGATGATAAACAACCCAACACATACCGAAGATTCCCGCGCCGTCCGCAGATTAATCTTGAAGTCGCGCCAGAGCTTCTTGACCTCGCCGTTGTGGATCATCGATTCAACTACCTCGGTGGCATACTTGTTCTTGCGACTTTGGCGCCAGTGGTTGCGCTCCAGCACACTTTCGTCACTCAGGTATCCCTCGTGTTCGAGGTAGCCTGTTACCCATTCGTTGAGGTGGATGCGCCAGTGCGTGAGCGTGTGCGCGAGGGTGGCTTTGGTTTTGCAGTGGCTGGTGTTTTGTTAGCGGGGGTGTTTAACACGATGTAGGGAGTATTGGTTTGGGTTAGGAAGATCTGATTTGGGGGGTTGAGGGAATGAAAGAAAAGGGTTGGATGGGGTAGTATAGGGTTGGGGTAATTTAATTTACCTTCCAAGGAAGAACCGCTTATTCTCATCTGGCAGGGTACGGCCATCCCGGTCTCTCTCCTGGGCATGGCTATCCGCATCATCATCATCACTATCTTCATCCGACAGCGGCTCGAGCGTCTCCAGCGAATACGCCTTTCCGTAGAGCTTGATATCGTACGACGCCGGATGCCCCGACCGGTTACACGCATCACAAGGATGGCCCTCTATCGTCGGAAACGAGGTGATTTCAATCTGCGGACGAGCCAGGAGGGCTCTACAGAAATTTGCGTTCCAGACGGAGGAAACGAGCTGCGATCCCGTCCGTCCCTTGACTTCGTCTTCGATCTTGCTGAAAGCGACTTTATAGACGGGGCTGGTGCGAGGGAACGCGGGGTTCAGCTGGTTGTGCACCATCCATTCGACCGTATCCTGGAAGTAATCTTTCGATTGCTTGTAGGCGTGGCGGGTGAATTCGAACGGGATGTCTTCGAGGCCGGTGGGTGCGCCGAGCGGGTCGTTCTCGTCTTCGATCACGAAGTCGTCTTCGTAGCGGTCCAGGTCGTCGTTCTCGCCGATGGCGGATTCGATGTCACTTTCTTCTTGGCGGTTGCGGAGTCGGGGTTTAGTTGTGGGCTTTTCTGGTTCGTTGGAGGCGTCACTTTCGGCGTCGGAGCTTTCGCTTGACTCGGCGTTGGAGGATGGGCGGTTCGACTTTTCTTCTTCTTCTTCGCTTGACGACTCGGTGGTTTTGCCTGCTCGTCGCCGACGGAGAGCGTCTAGGTGCGCTTGTCGCTGAGCTCTTGCGGAATTCGCGACCCGGCCGCGGGTTCGGGTGTCTCTCACCACTGTTGTAGAAAGAAAAAAGTTCTGTTAGACGGACGAGCGGAGTTGAAGATAGTGGAGCAACCATACCTGAGTCTTGCAAGTAGTCAAGATCCTCCACGATATCAAGATCATCCTGATCCATCTTCCCACGCGGCGTCTGAGGGACATCCGCGCTCATATTGCGCCGCTTTCGCTTCACCGGGGAAGAAACCAGCTCTTCTTCCGACCCATCGTTATCATCATCATCATCATCATCCACCACCACCACCGCCGGCCGAGCGGCCTTCCCACGCCTCAGTTTCCGATGCGACGCCACAACAACATCCTCTTCATCGTCGCTATCATCCAAAACGATCTTTTTAGCAGGTGTCTGCGCAAGAGTCTCTGACTCCTCGGAATCCCCTCTTCTCTTGCGCTTCCGGGATTTCTGCTTGTGGGGTTTGCGCGCGCTGCGCACGACCTCTATATCGCTGTCGCTTTCTTGGACTGGGGCTGCTGGGGCTTCTGCTGCGGTTTCCGGGGTAGGTTGTCGTGGGGGGTTCTCCGTTTTTGTTTCTGTTCCTGTCGGTAGGGATTTCTCTGTTCGCGTTTCCATCAGGTAAGTAAATCGGTCGTCGGATCGATGGCAGATAGACAACGTAACCAAGAAGATCAAGACTCACTATCAGACCGAGATCGGCCGCGACGGAGGGTCGGCAATGAAGGATGCGCATAGCGTAAGGTCGCTCGCCGGTCCTGCTCGCCGTCCGACTCGCGCTCCTTTTTTGGCGGCGGAGCGCTTATCGGGGCGAAGGCGAGCCGCGTCTGTTTCTTCTTGCTGTAGGTGCGGGGCATTGGTGGTGAATGGGGCGAATGTGGTAGCGGGGAGGGGTGCAGGGTGTAGGAATCAATGATAGAGAGATGGAGCTACTTTCCTGGCTTGAATGAAGGATTCCCTTACATGCGCACGTAGAAGAAGTGGGGAAGATGGGCTGAAGAGGATGGGAGTCATAGCTCGTATGAAGCAGAAGGTTGGTCCCATCCGTCGCGACGGAATCGCGTCGGAGAGTCACGAGAGCACGTGACATCTAATGACTTGCACAGGTGAATCGGCTTGGACGCTGCAATGAAACTGTGTCTGTGAACATGAGTCGGTTAATTTTCAGAGATGGAATGCTCCTGCACATTAACCTCTCTTGGTAGCTGTGCTTGCCAATACTCTCTCTGGGTTCCATCACTGAGCCTTCGCATTTTCAGCCATAGTTAACAATTAGAGTGATGGATGAATGGCAGGTGTTGAACCTAGTGCACCTCTATGACTAGAAGGATGTCGAGACACCTTTTTAGTCTCGGCGGGGTACCAGGCGAATTCCAACAATAGAAAAGGGATCATAACTGAGATAGTGTATCCATCTAGAGATCTGGTCAATAGTAAAGCAAACCAAGTAAGAGTCTGGTTCTCTACCATCCCTCAACACTATGCTATCATGGTGTCTAATACATGCATTCGTTCAATAACAGTGTGGATCCTGAAGGCCATGCAAACCATCCTATGGTGAACCTCACGCATAATAGCTTGACTGAGACAAAGTACCCTCGAAGGAGATCAAGGCTCTCTCTCCCACATTGTCTGGTTTCTCGTCTCCATTGATGTGGGAGTTTGTGCGAGATTTCCATGCACTGGAATGTCTCCGTACACTTGCATTGGGAGCGCGTGGAAGTACCGGGATCCGTTTCAGATTGTCTACTTCTGGCTCACCCCGATATGCCTCAAAAGACTCCAGGTCAAAGACATCCTGGACCCTGCGGCGAGACTCCTTGGTGAAAGGCCCGAACCGCTTGAATCTCTGCTGGATCATGGTACTGGTGGCTGTGGGCATCTCAACACTGCCAAGCGAGTAGATACTTGACAGGCCAGTCTTCGTAGTGGTGTCTGACAATTGAGGACATATGTTTTGAAAAAATCGACATCGCATTCGGAGCCGTCTGCCAATCTCCCGTAGCAGGTAGATGAGTGTAGCCCCCAGCACCGATGCACCCAAGAGGGCACAGGCCTTGTAGAACACGTCGAGCTCCGTATATCTTCGTTCTTGACAATAGTGCCTCACGAGGCCCATATGCTTTTGAGGATAGCACATGAGGCATTGTTCTTGTCTGTCCGCGGGGATGGCACTTGAGATGCAGATCTCTTCCCAATCATATCCTTCACAAACGATATCCTCGCAAATAGGGCCCAAACTATATAGGTCCCGTTGAACGGCTGGCCTCTGAGAAAAAGGAACGAGAGCCTCCCCGTTGCTTCTCTTCGCAGGACCCATCCCGTTCATTTTTGAGATGATGTACTTCAGGATCCCATGGTATCCCTGCGTTGGAGAATCCGCTTGCGGGTCCTTCTCGGGCTCACCCTGCCACAAGGTTCGTCTCGCGTAGACTTGAGAAGCTGACGGGAGTGGCAGACGGATGTCTGATCGCAAATTTCCCAGGTTGGTTTCCGGGTCTTGGGAAAAGATGAGGCCTTCCAGTAAGGTGTCGCACTGCAGATTCATCGATCTTTTCCCGGGATATGTTAGCGTGAAAGTGAGCTTTAATGCCGGCTCATTCGCATTAAGAGAAGGCCTCGTATCCCAACCCATTGGGTTGGTCAGAGATACGGCACACCCTGGTCCATCCTGGTCAAGAACCTCGGACACCGTGATGTACTGAGAGATGCTGGACAAGGTACTGGCACATTCCGTCCGATATTGTCCACCATTGGCTTCGTATGGAATCAGGGGCGGGATTTCTAGGGTGGTGTTGGTGAATACCCCTAGGACCGCATAAAGAAATGCGAAAAGACGCTGCTGGCAATACATTGGAAGAGATAGGTATGGAGCCACTAAGTAAACTGAAAGGCGATGCATGCAACTCTCTGACAATGGTTGAGTAAGGAGTAACAAAGACATTCCTCACAATCATCAGAGTCAAGGGGATATCCGAGGCTGACCCGCCTACCACACCAGGAAGGCGCTCCCTGGGCAGCAGGGAAACTGCAACCCATGGTTGGCACATAGGTCGGGCAAAGGACACAGGGCTGAGGTTTTTGGCAAGCCTATCTATAGCATCAACCCAGCAGAGGCTGATAGACTGAGATATCTTGTTGCATACAGATGCAGAAAAGAAGCGTTCACCTGTACGGGGCACACCTCGCGTAATGAATGGCACTAGACATCGTCCAAAAGTACCGTTGGCCATCAACGCACTGACCAGAGCTGATCGCCGAGAGTCGAATACGATACGAGGGGGAGGGATATTAATTAATGCCAGGGGTCTCGTGACCCCCTCCGCTTACTCGCCAATCGTCGTCGCTCGCTTCTTCCTCTCCACGCCATCTCCCCTCCATGTGAAAAACCACTTGGACTCCCCGGATATTAAACGCTGAAACCCATCGATTCCCTCAATTTTACCATTGGTGGACCCTCTTTGCCCCCCCTTGGCAATCCTGCTGCGGCTGATTTGTGGAAAGTGGTGTCCAGGCCAGCCGTGCCTGACCGAGAATTTCCTCGAATCTCGACCCCGGATTTCTCCACGTTACGATAAACCCCAACAATGGCCCCGTCTGGGGTGTCTCCATACCCCATCAGCTTCCCCGTTCGACTCACCCCGGATACCCCGCGACCGACGAAATCCTGGAGCTGATGCTTGCGCCCTACCAACGTCACGTCCAGGATTGCAGCAGGTTGTTTAGGCCTCTGGGGCAATCCAGCCACCCCCAGGAATGTATCTGCGTTAGCGTCTAGTGCTATGGCGCCTTATGGCTTGGTGTAGTGCTCGCCACCTGGCTGCTGGCACGCGGCCTGGTAGCTTATCAGCCTGCAGGTTTGGTGGTTTACCGTGTGGGATATATATACCCACCGCCGCCAGTGCAGGTCTTTTCGCCTTCTTCCTCTGTATACCCACCTTGTGCATCTTTGAGCAGCCTTGGTTGGCCTGTTGGGGCAGCTGTCGTGGCAATCAAGCATCTAGGAGGCATTTCAATCTACTATTGAGGTAGAATCACCTCATCAGTCTCACTGCCATCATGTTGGACTTCATGTTTCGCTCGAAAAGAGCTTATAATTGGTTCTTATACCTCAACCGCCTTTGTGGAGCATGTCTCACAGTCAGCCAGGTTCATTTCCCTCGTTGCAGCAGCATGCATGGTGCTTTACGGCTACGATGCGTCCGTCTATAACTCCGTCCAAGGCTCGGACAACTGGGTCGCCTACTTCAATGACCCGGACGAGAGCATGATCGGTGGGATCAACACGGCTTACACCGTGGGTGCAATCTTTGGCGGTTTCTTCCTGGGTGGTCCCATCGCCGACTTCCTGGGCCGCAAGATTGGAATGGCCATCGGCTGTGTTCTTGTGGTTGCAGCGACATTCATGCAGTGTTGGGCACCTCGTGGGGATATTGCATGCTTCCTTGCCGGAAGATGCATCATCGGTATTGGTCAGGGCATCGCGTTGAGTGAGTGAGCCTGTCAAACTTTCCTTGCTATGAACTGGAACCTTCATGCTGACGTTTCACGCACAGCCGCGGGCCCCATCTACATCGGAGAGCTCGCACCCCCGGAGATCCGCGGAAAGATCATGACCTTCTGGCAGATGTTTTACTCCGTAGGCTCCTTTATCTGCTTCTGGGTGAACTATGGATGCACAAAGCACACAAAGCACCTTGGAGAGTGGGACTGGAAATTGGTTATCATCTTCCAGCTCCTTGTCCCTATAATCATTCTCGCCATCTTGCCAACTATTCCCGGCTCCCCAAGATGGTAAGTGGCCCCTATCTCAGATCTTTACTCTTACGAACACCTCCGCAGGTACATCCAACACGGCAACAACATTGAAAAGGCGCGTGCAGCTTTGCTCCGCGTCCGAGAGTCCGAAGAAGAGGTTGAAGACGAGCTACTCCGAATTCGCGAGGCTATCGAGTACGAGAGAGAGGCCATCTCCAGCAGCTACTCCGCTCTCTGGAAAGACAAGTCCCTCCGCAAGCGCATGGCCCTGGCCCTGGTAATCAACGCCGGCCAGCAAGTGAGCGGGCAAGGCACATTGAACACATACTCCACCAAGATCTACGAGAAGGTGTTCACCAGCGCCAGCCAGATTGCCCTCATCAACGCCCTCAACGCCACTTTCGGTATCATCTTCACCCTGAACGCCGTCTGGTTCATCGACCGATTCGGCCGCAAATTCCTCCTCATCGTCGGTGGTATCGGCATGGGCGTCTGCATGATCATCATCTCGGCCGTCGAGACCGAAACGCCATCACCAAACGGGGCAAAAACCACACCCGTCGGCATATCCATCGTATTCTTATTCTTCCTCTTTATCTTCTTCTGTGAGTCCACCGACCCAGCCGTCTGTTTCTAACCCTTACTAACACCCCACCCCCAGACAAACCATCCTGGGGTGCCACCGTCTGGATCTGGACCTCGGAGGTCTTCTCGATGAACGTCCGCGCCCAAGCCGTGGGTATGGCCTCGCAGACCCAGAACGTCGCCAACGCCATCGTCCAGCAGTTCTTCCCCACCTTCCTCAACAACTGCGGCTTCTACGCCTTCTACATGTTCGCCGGCATCAACTTCCTCCTCGCCCTGTTCACCTACTTCTTCATTCCGGAGACGAAGAAGGTCCCGCTCGAGGAGATCGATGCGCTCTTTGGCGGTGCCAACCACGTCACCCGGGGTGAGGACCTCTTCGCTTCCGAGAAGCAGATGCGGGTCACGCACCAGGATGCCGACGTGGAGAAGCCCAATTCTGTGACGGTTGAGAATGCAGGGCGCTAAATTATAGCCTGTTTTTAGTTGAATATATGTCATGTTGTGTGCATTGGTGAAATACCACACTTTATCCCCCTCCCCCTCTCCCTTCTATAAATCATCTAAGCATGAGTATCCCGTATATACACCGTCCTCGCAACCTCACCATGCCCATTCTCCTCCTCCCCCTCCTCCTTCAAAAACACTCCACACTCCCAACCCACCACCGACACCCCCTCAAACCAAAACGTATACTCATACTCATACGGCACCTCACCACTCCCCGTCCCCGATCCCAACCCGGTCCCCCGAACAAGATACTTCCCGCTTCCAAAATTTTCTTTTCCATCCCCATTCGACCCCCCCACATCAAGCTTTCCTCCTCTCCCCGCCAATCCAACCCTAATCCCATGCGAAAATGCCCCCACGGAACTGTTGGATTCGTTGTCTACCCCCATATCCCAGATATGGATGTGGCCATCTCCATCTCCATGTCCATGCCCATGTCCATGGTTGTCTGTCTCGGTCGGAGTGCAAGAGATCCCGTCTTGGAGGAGTCGGAATACGGAGTGGAGTTGAGGTAGACGTTCGTTTTTTTTGTTCGGACCGGTACTGGCTCTGTTACTGTTATTGTCACTGTCATTGCCACTGTTCCAGTTGTCTGGTTCATGCCCATATTCGGGGATTGTGAGGAGTTTCTCTTGATAGATATACTCCTTCTCATAATGAGGGTGGGATGGATAGCGTGGTGTGAAGACCGCTAGACCCGATTGCTTTTTTTTGTCGGGATTAGTAGCAGCAGCAGCTGCTGCTGCTGCTGCTGCAGAAGAAGAAGAGGGGGGTTGAGGAGAAAAAGTGCGTTCGAACTTCCAAGACCCATGTAAAGCCCTGAAGATGGCTATTGCTGTGCTCGGATCTGGATGTTTTTTGTCCCAGGGGGGGAAGAGGGTAGATTGCAGTGAGGAGAGGGTGGTGTTTCTTTCTGTGGCTGGGTCTGGGTCTGGGTCTGGGTTTGTTCTCGAAGATGAGAGTGTAGGTGTGTTTGTAGGTGTAGTTTCTGATTCGAATGCGTAGCGACTTGGAATCGCAGGTCCGGATCTATCGCCATCACCACCACCCTCTCCCCCACCATCCATCCCCGAAATAGGAGCCCGAGATATCCCCATCTCCCTTGCGAACTCCTCAACCAGACCCACGTAATCGCCCATTGGAAATTGAGCGCGCTGAGAGGTATCCAAAGTAGAACTCGCACTCAAACAAGAATTCAATCTAAACTCCCTCACACGCCCCCGCTCAACCTCCCTCCCCGCTCCCTCTTCCCCCGACATTCCAGGCATCTTATCTCTAGCCCACCTCATCGCCACACTCCTCGCCTGCATCTCCATAGCCCCCCAGTATGGACCGCGGTAGAAGCCCACGAACCCCAGGTCAGGGATTTCAGCGTGGGAGGTACCTTTTCCGTCCAGGATGAGAGGGAGGAAGGCATCGGCTGGGGAGTATTCGAGGGTTTTGAGGACGAAAGGTGGAAGGAAGGAGAGAGAGGGAGTGGGGTGAAGCCTGTGGCTGCTATTATGGCGGTGATGTTGGTGAGGGTTTTGGGGGGTGGGAGGTGGGGTTGGTTTGGGTTTGGGGGAGAGTTATGGTTAGGGATGGGAGGTTGGTTTTGCTGGTGTCGGGGTCGGGGTCGGTGTGGATGTTGGAGACGCGGCCGATGGTGACGGTTATAGACCCGGCCCGGACGTATTCTGCGTAGTCGTCGCCGATTGCTACCCAGGGGGGTTGGGGGGTAGGGGTGGGGGTGGGGGTGGAGGTGGAGGTGAGTTTGGGGTTGGGGTTGGTGATCCCGAAGCTGCCGGTGCGGGTGTAGTCCTCTCCGAGGAGGGAGCTGAAATAGCCGTTTATCTTGCCTATTTGCTGCGTGGAGGGGGGCCCAAAACCATGCTCGATTGGGCCTGGGGGTCGGCGGCCGAGGTCATATAGGACGAGGTCTAGGGGTAGGAATGGGGTATCTTTCGTTTGTGCTTGGCTGGTTCCTTGCGAGTAGCTGTGAGGCAGGTACGTGGGTATCGTCCAGAAGGGTCTTGAGCAGACGTGGTGGACCTCGTAGTCTCTTCCGGATTGACCTGGTGAGAGGTTCAACGACGATAGGTGTAGAGCGAGTGTAGACGCGGCCTCAACTCCAGACATACTCCCCCCGACGACGACCAGCTTGCCTCCCGGACCCGATGACCCAGACCTGTCAATCAACCGCTGCACGTCCTCCGGGCTCTGTAACTCCGTGCTGTGAACGACGTTGTCACCGAACCGATCCAACCCGGGGATATCCGGAAAGTGAGGCTTCGCGAAGTATCCGGACGTGACGACGAGGTAGTCAAACTGCTCTGATTTCACAGCATCCTTTCCACAGTCCCCATCAACACTGTAAGCCCGTCAATCTCAAACTTCCCAGATAACCGGTACATATGTATACGCACCTCCTCTCCACCCACCGCACCGTCCATCCAGCCCTTAACCCATCCACAGCCACCCCACGATCCGTCTGCACAACCTCCGCCCCCAGCCTCAGTACCCCGTCCGGGATATACCTCTCCGCGTATTTCTCCAGGTACCTGCCCACCTGCCACGCCTGCGGGAACACCGGGACCTCCGCGTCGGCGTCAGCATCACCAAGAACCGACTCCCACGCCAGATCGGAGAAGGCAACCGAGAAGCGACTCAGGTTCGTGCGCATCGACGGGCTGATCAACCCTCTAGAAGCGGTCGTAGCTCCATGCCCAGTGATTGATGGCTCGGATGGCCAGAGGCCCCCGATTCTGTGGCTCTTTTCGAATATGGTGGGGCTGAAGGTTCCATGGGGGAAGCTGTGGAGGAGTGTTTTGGCGGTTACTAGGCCAGAAGGGCCTGCGCCTGCGGGGGGGTGTTAGATGGTGTGGTACGGATTTGTGGGTTGTGGATTCTGGAGGGGGTGTTGCTGACCGATTATGGCGACCCTTTTTAGTCGGGGCATTATCCGGCTGCCTTGTGAGGTGAGGGGTGGTGGTGAAGGTTTGAATTGGGAGGGCGAGAGACAGGAGTTCCCCTCACACAGCAGTTCACGTTAACTACCCCTCCTCAGCTCACGCAGGCAGGCAAACCCGGCCGTTGGACGATGCGGGGAGCGGAGTGGGGGCTGCAATGCCAGTTGCTAGTAGCTGCATCGGACAGGTCTACACTTGTGCACTAGTGGTTGGAGATCATGGCGGGAAGAATTATATCTATATAATGCAGACCTAACTGATAAATAGTTGATTATCCATGCATTAATGGAAAGAAATCAACTGTACCCACCCTTGTTTTCGGGTGAAGGAAAATGCCCCAGAGAGTTCATAGAAGAAGAATGGATTATTAATTGAATAACGGTATTGTTATTAACTACCTAGCACCAGAAAATGCCTAGTCTACAGAATCGCCATTAAACCATTCTAGAATAACCGTGTCTCGCTAACCAAAACCGACCCGCTGCCAAACAAATGACAGGCTCGCCGTTATTACATTATGAATTGTTCAGGTCTGGTATCACACAATCCCAACTATAAGAGCAGGGTCTTCAAGACAGGGGGAATCAAAAAAGAATCCAATCGAGGATCCAAACGAACGTCCAAAGAGACCAGCTAAAAAGACTGACAAAGTCCAAAAATGTAACGGCCCGAGCCGCGGATCGAACGCGGGACCTCTCGCAGATATGCTTGGGTTGTAACCCTAAGCGAGAATCATACCACTAGACCACCCGGGCGTTGAATGATGAAGAGTGTGTGGAGTTTTTGCTTTATGAGAGGCTGGGATGGCTGTATTCCCACTGCAAACGATCGCGTCGGTGTCGATACCCGCGGGCATCCTTGGCGGCGCGCCGAGTGCCATGACGTTGACGCCAAGGAAGGACAGCCACGGCAAGCAGGTAACCCTCCCAATTCACATGTGCCGCAAGATATGTATCGAGAACCCGAATGACAAGTTGCTGGCTATCGCGCACGATTCTTCCCAGCTGCCATCGAGGGTGGTCGATCAAAGGTGGGAGAGATAAGCGGGTGGAGGATGCGGGATCGGTTTGCGATATATGTAGATCTCGTGAGTGCAGGACAAACAAGTGAGAACCAAGCGCATGCATCAGTATGACAGTCGGTCCAACCATGCCGAGATCTGCAATTCCCGGCTATGTTTGTTGGGATAACAAGCGTCGGAGTACAGCTGCTCCGAGACAAAGGCGTCCATGTTTCGTTCGGTCAAGGGGACCTTGAACCGATTCTTTATCTTGAGAAGCTCCTTCTCAGCGCGCGCGGACGGCGTGAATCGCTGGAGTGTATTGCGGATGCGCCAGATGCGACCCGGGAAATGGGGGATCTGAGGCGGTCCGAAGGGCGTGTCGACCCTCCAGGGATCCTCGGACGCGATGGACCGGGCGTTCTTCTTGCGCTGCTGGGAGCGGAATCTGTGAGACATGGTGGTGGGGTTTGGAGGGGGCTGAGGGGGTTGAGGGAGGGCTCAGTCGAGGCCATAGAATAGGATGAGCGGTGAGAGACGGGTGTAGGGAGAGAAAGAGGAGGGAGGGGGAGAGGGTGGAAGATAAGGCCGCGATGAGGGAGGACTATATAGAGAGTAGAGTGCAAGTAAAGAGAGTAGTAGTTGGGTGGCCATCAGCCATCAAGGAGGCCCACGGGAGGGGGTCACCGGGGCAAGCGTGGATCGCAATGCGGGGGCTCTGCGGCCACACTAACCGCAGCAGGCCCGCCCTTTCCCTTCCGGGCCTCGACAGAGTCAAGTCACCGCTTCGATCGGCATCCCATCCGCCGCCCTGCAATCGCTTTCCACGCAGCCCAATTCGCAACCTTCTTTCTGCTCGGTCCGACAGCTGCCCAGCGTGCCCCCAGGAAGACACGGATGGGAGATCCCCTCAGGGCATTTGCAGACCCGACCGGTTCAGTTCCCTCCCAACAAGTGGGCCAGTGGATCTGCCTTTTGCAGATCATCGCATGTCGTCACTCCAACCACTTGGGAAAGTCTGTCGACTCCCGTACAGAGCCAAGGCTTGGGGGGAGCTTTCTTTCCCCTTGGCAATCAATATCGTGCAGGGATTACGTGGAAGAGAAGAAAAGAAAACGCCCACGGAGATATATTGGGCGTACTGATAAGTACTATCGTACTCACAAAGTATGGAGTGGTGGCTGGCTGCCTTTTTCCCTTTCAGCCTGGTGAGCTGCCCTTAATGGCGCATTCTACTCCCCGCACCCGCGTCGAATGCCCCTTCTCGGATTGTCCTCCACCGGAATGAGGGCGTCTTGACGACATGGGCTAGCCCGAACCTTTGGATCAGAAATCCTGATGGGTTTATGCACGGCTTGGGCTTGGCGAATGGGGTAGGGTTAAGGATATGCAGCTACTCCAGGAGTCCAGACAGCCTGCCTCCTTCTCATGCTTGTCGGCGAGCAGAACTGCACCTCATAATCAGGGATAAAGGGGACTGGCTGGCTGGCTGACCACCTGCAGCTGACAAGGTGTTAGTGGAATGACTGTCTGGGTCGTATTCATTGTCACTGAGACATCTCGCATGGGCCATGGTTGTTTGGGTGCTCGGGCTGGAATGGTGCCCGGGAATACTCTGTATATGCACACCTTCGATTCCTGTTGTTCCCAACCACAGGATATGCCCATCGCCTCTCACCACCACCAGCTTCCCCCCCCCCTAACACCATCGGGACTAGGAATATGTCTAGAAGAGCAAAAGAAGTCCGGTCCAGTGCGGGGTAGGCGATCAACAGCCGCATCTAGACACGCCACTATCATCATCCAGGTGAGGCCGAGACAATTTCAGTTTGATGCTCAGCGACCCCTGCTGCGTATCGGGAGCTCGGCAAGTTTTATGACTGGCCCGTCGCCCTTCTTATCGGACAGTACCTCAGACCTACTGCCGTCAAGTGATGGCACACTGGCAGGGGTTAGATGGGCTGTCGGCCTGCAGCCTGTCATCCTTCGCGGGTGCTTGGGGATCATCGCAATTGGTGCTGGGTTGGGGCTAGTGGTACGGCTCACATTCCCTAGAAATGGCCCGAGAAAAGGTACGACACGGTCGCGCTCGGCGTGGCTTCGACTGCGGTCTTGTTGGTGGGTTCGCTGGATCCTCATAAGGCGGAGAGAGTTTCTTACACTCTAAATTAAACTTTATCAGAGCGCCGATCTGAGCCCTAGGATGGTCGAGGTAAGAAGTTGGTCTGTACCTTGGATAAATTCTGTCGGGAACCATCACATGTGGATGCATCTTAGAGCAGATTGGTGGTTCTCGAACAAATTCATTGTTTGACCACATTGCATGAGCGCTATTTGAAATACGGCCATCACTTGCACTGGACCAGCCTGCAAACAAGAAACAAATAAGCCGCATACCTCGCACTACTCAAAGCAAAAAGCAAGAGCGCCTGTCCGACCATCATCACCGACCCTTGTATGGATATCCTGCACGCCACTTGATACCGATGATTTATCACAGAGAGAACATGAATCATTATAAGGAAACGCGGTATAGACCGAACATCAAGAAATAAGCAGGTCTTTTACGCTCATTCCGACCTTCCTCTGCGGGTCCTGCATGCTATTCCCCCGCGAACGAGAATGAGCTTCAGTATGCATATCATGGGCAGAGCCGACCGATCCCCGGCAGTCTCGATTCAGCATGAGGAGGGCAGCAGATGCTTCGTGGTCGACATCGGCGGAAGAAGCGAGGGAGTGTCTGGGTTGAAGCATCGGGGAGGCGCTGGCAGACGAGGCGGCCCATGAGCCATGCCCGGAACGCATTGTGCTTTCATTTGGGTGGGTCGGCATCAGAGCAGGACTCGGCGTGACTGATGGTGCAAACTCAATGACGGTCCCCGTGGGACCATGACTGCGAGGCGAATATGCCGGCGAGGTTGCGTGGGCTGCAGCATCTGCTGGAGGGAGTGATGGGGATACGGAAGCCGAGGACGAAAAAGCCGACTCTTCGGCCAGAGCATCAGGAGATGTTGGGGAAGGAGGGGCGGGTGGCATCTGCGGCGGGCCTTTTGTGGGTCGATTTCCAGCGGTTTTCAGATCGAGTATACATTGTTCAAGGTAGTTGACGTAGTCGATGCTGGCCTGGATAAACAAGACGGTTAACTACTTCAACAAACAGAAAGATCATCAGCAGTAGAGGGCCGGACGAACCTGCAAGATGGCTAGTTTGTGCATGTCTTGCCCTGTGCAAGCCGGGATCATGTCTTTCAAGGTAGCGAATTCCTCATTCATCTTCGACCGCCGCCGTCTTTCAATCAAGCTGTGAGCCGTTTTCCTGGCAATCTTCCGGCCAGCCGCACTTGTCGCACTGGGTTGTTTCTTCTTAGAATTGGTCGAGGCGGCATTATTAGACGAAGCCTTGCCGGTATCCTTCGCGGAGGCCTTGCTGGCTGATGGCATCGGCTTGGGGGCGGTTTGCGTTTTCGGCTTCATCTGAATGATTTTGCGGGTGCGGGTCGGGGGTGGAGGAAGGTTGAAATCCTCCAGGGGTCTCTTGAGGCCCGGTTGACGGGGGGAGCTTGCCATAGACCCGAAGGCCAGATCCGGGGAGGCTGGCGAGGCGGGGAAGCAAAGGGACGACGGGTTGTCTGATTTGGAGGATCGTCTGTTGGCCGCATCCATCTTGGAGGGACTGATGGCGGCAGGAGGCAACGTGAACGAGTCCGAGCCATCGACCGACGGATTGTCCTTCACGATGAATTCGCCCGACATGGCGGGAGTGGGTGGTAGACGAGAGCGTGACATGACTTGATTCGGGGGGGGGGGGGTCGAACAACGATGGGAAAGTCAAGCTAATTTCCTTCCTCGCATGAGACAAGCTAATAGGAACGAGATGACCCCAGCCAAAGTAAGACCGGGCCAATGGTCGAGCAACGTTGGATGACAACCCGTTGAGCGTCGTACAGCCGTGGTCGTCAACGAAGATAAGAGATTGGGTGGACGGAGAGGAGAGAGGCGGGGGGTGGGTTGGGGCTGGGACGTGGGAGAGACCGTTGACGGTGCGAGTAGGGACGGTCGATTAGGTAAAATAAGAGACAGGGGTAAGAGATAGTACTCTGTTGTGTATACACTGGATGTTCAAGAGAACGGAGATTCTGAGTGTGGTAAGTTGGTAAAGGAAGCACCACTGGCGGGTTTATATGAAGAAAGGCGGGAAAGAGAGGCGATTGTGCACGAGGGAAGTGATAAGAAGTAGGAAGTAGGGTGCGGAGACTGAGACAGTCCTCATAAAGTGTAATAGGGATGATCGACGGAGCGATGGACACTTGACTTTCTGTGATATTGGGGAAGCCAGAGTTGATACTGGGACAGTTACTACCGTTGTATACTCCAGCAGTGTCGCGTGCTTGGGGAAGCCCACGCGGTAGCTGGCGGCGCGATGATTGGCCCAGCGGGCGGGCGGAGGGGGCACGAGACCGGCTGCCTGGGGCCAAATCGCCGGCGCTTCTGGGGCTCGTGCTTCCGTCCGCTGTTCTTACGGGTCGTACGGCCCTCGTCGGTCCAGCGCCCGGCCCTTGTCCCTTACTTCTTCCCCCATCATCTCCCATCGGCACGTCGGTTTCAGTCGTCCTGTCTGCTCCGGACTAGAAGGAAGACAGACACTAGCTAGCTATGGAACTGGAAGGACTGACTCTCAGGTTCCGGCCCATTGCCTGCCTACCTACCTACCAGACCCTCTCCCACCCAAGGTCCCAAGGTACTATACTATACCATCCCGTCCTGCTCACTTCCTGACCACCAAAGATGGGGTTCAGATCCCCTACTCCTTTAGGCCGAGTCCCTCGTCCTGGCGAAAAGCACGGAATGGACTGGAACCACGCCCATGCGAACGAGACGCTATCTAATTGGTGCTGTCACACAGGTTTAAATGCCTCCCTCGCCACCCACAGGACCCCGGATACCTATCGAGCTTCCATCGAGACCTGTTGGCTGGTGTGGATGCAGCCTCGGGTTTCCCAGTCCCACAGCGACGGAGCATAATGTCCCTCGACGAGAATGACTGACTGCGTTGGCCAAGCAAAGGGAGTCGAAGAGGAAGAGCGAAGCGAGATAACAGACAGTCGGACGGGGACATTCATCAGGACCGTGCTGATCCGGGCTATCGCATCATCCACCGCTATCGAGTGTAAAATGAAGTGAAGTGGACCCCTCTAATAATGTCCTATTTCTAGGCTGCAAGACTCTGCAGTCGAGCCGAAACGCAAGTGGCCATGATCTCACCCCGGCCTATTCTTGAGGATTGGCGACGTTCTCGTCCAGACGGGGCATCGGAGCACGTGCGTGCCCTCTTCCCAATCAGTGGGCCCCTCAGGCCACGGGGTCGCATGTGCAAGTGCCCCTCGGTAGGACGGACCCTAACTATGTAGTAGTACTTATCTAGAAGTAGCAGGTGAGGTGGGCAGGCACCGCTATCATCGTCCGGAGATGGCCGCTTTAACAGGCCGACCTGGTGAGTCAGGTGATTAACTCCCTATCTTCGTCTTTGTTCGATGTGGAACAAGACCACTCGACCAAATAGGTCCAGATAGGTGTAACGGTGCTGTATATGCTCTAGCATTCAGTCTGACTTGGTCAAGTTCCGTGGTACTCAGTATATCATGAGCAGGGGTCTGCAGTCACCTGCCTAATTGGGATTCCCACGAAGCGATTCGAACCTTAGGCTAACACGCTATTCTGTAGAAATCCAACTGCTAATATTCAATCAATCATATTCAATTTACCACATTGAATCAACTCTATTCAATCTCTTGCTAATCACTGTGCTTGAACCACCCCTTTTAATTCAATGTATTCAATGCACTGTAAGGAGTATTTAACCGACAGTAATCATTTCGTCAGCCTCTCATAATGTTGACGTCGTTAGGCGGTCATCTCAAACCATTTAACAGAGCACTGTCGCCAAAATCTGCTCTTCCCCCCTTTCCTCTTACGCAACACTATTCTTTCTCTTCACCCTTACCATGTCTCCGAAAACCTGGTTCTCCAAGAGTCTTGTTTCTCCAGACCTGAATATCTCGCTCCGTGACAAAGAATGGACAATCGTGGAGAAGGTCAACGAGCATGCGTTTCAGAAGGAGGAGGAGGACCTGCTTGAGGGCTCCGCCCCCTCATACAGTTGCACAAGGCTTCGTTGCCAGTCCCACGATCCTGAAAGCACCCCAGCATTCGTGCGAATCTAAATGCAAATCCCACTCTCTGGCACCGAGGTCGAGCCATCTTCCGATCGAGCCCAGCAAGCTTGTTCGTTTATCCCTGATGAACTCATGGCCCTTAAAGCTATGATAGAGTGTGGGTCCGAGACCCAGAATACTCCACGTCTTTTGGATTATAAAGAAGAGAAGCAAGACGACACAGGTCTTGTCCCGGGTGGGTTTATTATATGGATCGTGTGGGAGATTGTCCCGGGAATCCGGCTGGGGAATGAGATTGGAGCGGATGAATTCTGGAATCTTGAGCTGGATGAACGTCGGGTTATTCAAAGGATGCTTCCTGGTGAATATGAGTAGGGACTCCTATATAATCCCCCCTGCCCCTTTTTTCTTTCTGCTTCTCTCTTGCTTCTCTCTTATATCTCTTATCTCTTTCTTATCCATCTCCCGTCATTATCTCCTTATGTCCCTCCCTCTGGCGTTTATCAGCTCAATGTCTAACTAACATGTATACCGAATTAGGAAGATGGTATCCACTGGATACTTTCCATGTTTCCAGCGGGCGAGGAATTTGGTCTGGGACTCAGCAAACCAGCGCCTGTGAGCTTCTTCTTTCTTTATCATATAGACCTAATATCTATCCCGATACTAATTGGTTTCAACAAGCTACTTCGTTGGGTTTCGGGAATGCCATAAGACTGAAGACCCGGACAGAAAATGGAGACCCTCTCTGTATGCCGTCTACAAACTTGCTAAGCCACCTCCTGAGTGCAACTGGTGGGCACCGACACGGGATGGAGATATGAGAGGCTGGCAGTGGTTATGGAAACTGTTGCTTAATCAGCCATTCACTCTTGAGCCAACATCGGTTTTTCCACAGCAGTGTAATCCATCACAAGGGTGGTCCGCATATCACTTCGACAAGCTATTTTCTGTTCTGGAAAGGTAATATGGACGCGCAACCACAGACAAAATGAGGTTCACGCGTCAAGAGGCGCAATTACACGCAAGACTTGAGTCTCAAGATTGGCTTTATCTCTACTTGCGAGTGAATATTGTTATTCCAAGCAGAAAGACAGTACACGGGACAAGGAGATTACCCTGTGACCCCATTCATTATGATAATACTTGGAGTATCGATCGGGGTATTTGAGTGTTGACGTAGCACTTCGACAAGCTTTCTTCTACATGGAAGATTTGCGCACCGCCGTAAACATATACAACCAAGACTAAGCGGAAAGATTCATGGGTCAAGAAGCACATGGATATGAGAGCCTTGAACCTGAAATACAGATCCATGTCAGACTACGAGAAAATAGTCTTCTTCAAGCAAGCAAATATCACAGGGGAAAGATAATTAGGACTCCCATGAAGCGATTTGGAACTGCTAGCGTGCTATTCTTTAGATATTCAATCCTTAATATCCAATCCATAGTATTCAATCCACAATATTCAATCCCCTACACTCAATCTGCTAGATTCCACATATCATATTTAATTTGCCATATTTCACTTACATTATTCAACTTCCTTTGTCCAAATAAATGTGTTTAATTCACAATAACATTCTTAGTAATCCCCTTCGTCATGTTGAGGCCGCCCACCGGCCATTTCAATCTGACCATCTCCGTCTACCACACAGAGTGTCCATCACCATATTATCCGCGTCCATGCTTCGACCAACTCATACCTACGACCTTCACCATGGCCTCCCAGACCTGGTTTCCCAAGCACTTAGTCTCGCCAAACCTCAAGATCAAGCTTGACCGGAAAGAATGGATAATGATGGAAAAGTTGAGCGAGCATGACTTCCAGAAAGACGAAAATGACTTGCGCGAAGGCTCCGATCCCTCATTCAGCTGCATCAGACTTCGCTGCCGCTCTCGCGATTCCGGCACCCCGGCATTTATGAGGATCTACATGCAGATCCCACTCGCCGGCGCTGGGATCCAGCTGCCCCAAGCCTGCTCATTCATCCCGGATGAGCTCACAGTCCTCCGCACCATGACCGAACATGGCTGCAAACACCCCCCCCTCCTGCTAGACTGCAAGGAGGCCAGCCAAGACGAGTCCGGACTGGTCCGCGGGGGCTTCATAACTTGGATCGTGTACGAGATCGTGCCGGGGGTCCGTCTGGGAGATGTAACCGGAGCCGACAGATTCTGGAATCTTCGGCGAGAGGAGCGTCGGGAGATCCAGAAGGCGCTTCCAGAAGCATACGGGTAGGCGCTTCCTCCCTCTTGCGTCTTCGATATAAACCCCACAAGTCCAACTAACATGAGAGAAAATCTCTACTATATAGTAAAATGATCTCCAATGGATTTTACCCAGCCTTCGAGGGTGCGGATAATCTGGTCTGGGACTCGGTTAACAAGCACCTGTAAGTCAAGTCATACTTTGACTTTCTAGCCTATAGATGCATGCTAGATATCTATATCTCTCTGGATATTAACTGGTTCTAGGTACTTTGTCGGGTTTCGGCTCTGCAATGAGGCTGTGCCCCCTTGCGATAAATGGCGACCAGGTCTTTACGCCGTCTTCTCGGTTGCAAAGCCACCCAGTGGGAGCCATTGGTACCTGCCCACATGGGATGGAAACATGAGGGGTTGGGAATGGTGATGGAAACCTGCTTTACGATCGGCTCTTTTGAAAATTCTAGCTAAGATCGATATTCCTTTATGTCTTTTACAACATTTAGTTTTTTTTGAATGCAATTTCAGATGCTCTTGGGGGGGAAACTGTATACAAGAATAGACAATATTTAGCGGACTGTGTTGTTCCCTTCCCGCCTCCATAAAACACAATACTCCGTATGGCAGTATTACTATATACCACACGCTCGCAGTGAGAACCAACCCCGTTCATCGGCGCTCTAAAGAATGCCTCCAATCCTTTCATTGAATACAGAGTCTTGCTTGATGACATTCCCCCATTGCTTTACCTGCGGGCCTTACTCAATTACTACAAACTAACTACTAATATTGAAGCTTTTATTTATCTAGTTATGAATCTACTAACTTACATCTTCGTGGGTCTGTTGTTACTCTGGTTTAGTGACCAGGTCACGAGTGGTTTCTTTGTGTTGTGTTGCTGTCTCCTCGTCTCTAATATCTACCATTTCTCCCTTAGCATTAACCTCCCTACTGTAGTTTAGTCTCTGGTCTACTTCGACAGCCAGATGGATCTTGGTACTTAATTACATCAATCAGTGTCTCCCTTGCCTGCCTGAGGCAAAACTCATTCTTAAATAGTCGAAGGGTCTATAACATATCCACAATATTCGAGCCCAAAGGCTTATCTATACTGTACTATATCCAACGGGTAAAATCTCAAAGGGAGCGAAAGGGCTAATACCCGCTCATCCCAGGCCTTGAGGCACACCCGCCCCTACATCACATGAAAATCCTGTCGAGAAGAGTATCACCGAAAGTGTCTTCCACCTCGGAGCTATCCATTCTCCAAACACGGTTTCCCGCCTTCGTACTCAACCAAAGCCCATGATCACTCGAACTCTCCTCCTCCGCTTCAATGGGATGTCTGCTCCGCCGATCGACAACACACAGCCCGCGCGTCCACTGCCCGGTGGTCTCAATGCGGATATCCTCCGGCGACGTCGGGGTCGGTTTCCACCCGGCATGGTCAGCGGTCATGGCGTACCAAACGCAGACGGGATCGTGCAGACTCAGTTCCGCGACATCGCCCACGTGGCCCGGATGTAATCTCTCCAGCGTGCGGAAGGTATGGGCCATGAAGGCGGAGACCCATTCCGCTAGGGGAGAGCCGGATTCAAGGAGAGGTGAGATCATGCGTCGGAACTGGCCCTGCGTTACCCCGTGCTTGAGAGTGATGTCCAGCGGGAAGATGCGCAGAGTGAGCTGCTTGCTGAGGGTCGCGGGGTATGCGGGTAGACTTGTGCAGGGGGGCAGAGTGCTTCTGGGTGAGGGGGAGGTGAGGGCGTAGACCCGTGCAGCGGCGACTGCGTCGGCGTATGCATTGAATTCGGCGGCTGGGGTGACCTGCGGATGGTTGGTTAGTATGCGGTGGTTGATTGGGATATGATGAGGGATGATGAAGGGGGGGGGAAGCGCACGTTTCCGGGCTCGTTTACAGCTCCGCCCATTACCACGACCTCCTTCACCCGAAGGAAGGTCTCCGGGTCGGCGGCAGAGGCCAAGGCAAGGTTGGTTAGAGGGCCGACGGCCACGAGAGTGACGGTGTCGGGGTCGTTTTCGCGCAGAACGCGAAGAATCTCCTCGTGAGCGGGACGGTTGGAAGGGATGAATGACTGGTGGGCTGAGTCGCCTGTGGGAACGGGCTTGATCCCGGTGGGATCGACCGCGGGGTCGAACAGGTGCTCCCAGGCCTCTTTGGGAGTTAGGTGGGGGTGCTAGGGATAGGTATATTAGTGGGACTGCAGATGAAGGCTCACGGTGATGATATACGTACGCTCTCATGGATGCCTCCCAGACCGTCCGTGCCGTCTGCAACAAGTCAGTTTCATGATGGCATAAAAACTGGACCTCATAGTAGGTACTCACGGAAATAATCCGCCAGCATCTTCTGGTCCTCCAGGGGATCTTCGGCACCCACGGCCACCACTGGGGGAGACGCGCGGAGAGTACCGTAGCCTTCGGGCCGGCCCTGCTCTCGACGCCACTGGAACTCGCGCTCGAGGATGTGGAACATGGACACGACATTTCGCAAGCAGCTGTCGTCGTCAGGATCTGATATCGGGAGATCAACAGACCAAGCGGACTTACCTCTTCACCTCGATATTTCCGAATGTGAGCGAGATCAGCAGAATCTCGACTTCCTCGGGCTTGGCAGACAAGGCCAGAAGAAGAGCCAGAATATCATCGATACCCTGTCCGGGAGATCGATCAGATCAGTGGGGGTGACACGGAAGAGCTTTGACGGAAGGGACCGCGGGTAGGTAGGTATATCATACAGGATCGGTATCGATGATGATCTTTCTGGGAGACATTTTGGAGGACTGTGTCTATTCCCTGTCTATTTGGTAGAGATCTATTGGATCTGTGGGTGTGTTGTGCGGAGTATGGGAGAGAAAGATGTTGATGTTTGGGAGGGGAAGTGGGCAGGATGAAGTCTTGGCTGCTGTTATCACCGCTTCCCCGCTGCGTATCTGCGCCGACTCGCCGTTAGTCATGGCAACTAGCGCCGGGTTGCCGATGGAGATACAGCGCGACGTTCTAGAAGGACCCGGCAGATGGCTCGAAAAAATCGATATCAGTTCCCTCGGAGCTCTCCGTCTTTCTCAGTAGAAGACACGCGGTGAAAAGACCTCCAGATTGATATGGATATTTGAACCGCCAGTGCTCCGTCTCCCGTATCGCTCCAAAAGGCACTTTCTAGACGGATACCCAAAGCGGCTAGCAGCATCAATCCGCCCATATCTGGTCGCTGTAAGTCTGGGGATCGACCCCTGAAAGCAGGCAGCGAATCGAGATCGTCTGCTCATTAAATCATCATGTCAGCAGACACACCCTGTCAGTATCACAGTGTAGGGTCGCGAACTCGTAAGGACGGCCTGCTACTCGTCCCATCTCCCGTTTGATCGGATGCGTTTGCTTGGGTTACATTCCTGTTGGACCTCGTGGTGACGCTGTTAAGGGGGTCTGGACCGGCTGTGTGTTATATATGTCTTGCTTGCTTCCGAAGCTTCGACTTGTGAACACTGTGCCGGCGACGACGCAGTGGCACTCTGGTATAGATACTGGGTGTGGCCTCCCGATTACCCACTGTATGGATATCCATTAGTAACGGAGGGCACCAGACTCCAGAGAAGGCCGTGGACGGAGGCAGCCCGTGGCCTGGGCAGTGGGCAAACCCGAGACGTGGCCTGTTCGGGAGCAGCTGCGAGGTAAATTACGGGGGTATTACCGCGGGGCCTGTCATGGTGTAAGTGTAAGTGTAACTAACTGCCGGTTCTCCTGAGGCCCAACCTATCATTCGAGGATGGAATCTTCCGCCGGCTCGTCTAGGCGCCTCCTGGGACTACTACTGCGAGTATGCGACAGGGGCGAGATGACATTGCAGAGTGGGATGGTCGAGCCAGCGTCGAGGCGTGGAAGATCTTCCCCCGCGTAATTTCCCTGTCGGACTGTCGGACAGTGTCCTCCACACCCAGCGATATTAAAGGCGTCTCAATTTATCGTCATGAGCACGGCTGCGCTCGGGCGGCTTGTCCACGAGGTCTGGCTGGCGATGTTTTGGATTCGTGGTGGTTGATATGACCGAGTCGAATTTGCCTAGCTCCGAATACAGTCCCTGGCTGGAGGAGCCTACCTACTATCTACTAGTAGAGGAGTAGATCTTGAAATGCGCCACAGGCTTGTCCGCCCCTGATATGATCATGGATAAAGAGCCAGACTGGACGATGATTCAAGAAGAAGTTGAGATTCAATCTAATAACATCTTCTCCTAGTGGAGCAGGATTAATTGCCAGTCTGTGTCCACTCACCCACAGCAATAATACCGGTACGAGCTCTGACTGCCCGCCCGCGAAGTTACCTACCCGGGCAGGTATACCGCTGCCTCCTCCGTCCGCCGGCCGTAATTTATTATTCACGGGCACTAAGAGGTGGTAGTTCTGTTCTGGACAACCCCTTCGTCTCTCCAGACCAGACCGTGTCCTCTTCTTCTCTCTCTCAACCTCCTTTCTCTCTCTTCCCAACCCTCTGACGTCTCATCTCCCCCCCTCCCTCATCTGGCCCCCATTGCCACCCATTGCCACCAACCCCCCCCCAACGTATCGGTCGACGGGTGCCTCGATGTCCCTGCGGTGATTCCTGGTATCCGTTTTCCCTTACCTCATCCCCGTATCCTCGCTACCTACCTACCTTTCTCTCCCGCGAAGCGCAGCCGGAACTCTGAACCATTCCCCGACCCTGAGGTCATAAACAACGCTTTCACTTCTCGGCGGTTCATCACCTGAGCCTCCGGATATCGATCCTTCTGGGATTGTTGGCTTCGTCGCGACAGGAATTGTGTTCCATAGCTCGGCGTCCGAGGCCCACGAGGAAATCTGGCCTTTCTACGCGACTGGCCTGCTCTCTCCCTTTGTCCTCCAACCACCCTTCGTATCTCCGTCGGTCACGGCCTGATGCATAGGAGCTGAACAGAGAACTTGCGAAAGCGTTCCCTATACTTTTCTCTTCATTTCACCTTTGTTGGATCTCCCTTTTCTCTCTTCCCTTCCCCGCCAAGTGTCGGACGCGCGTGTTCGGCGTCCTAAGACAGACTTTCAGTCATTGATTGGAGCTGTCTCTTTCAATTGACTCTCTTACGAAATTTTCTACGTCTGAAGTTTTACCTGAATGTACGTCAATTGTCCCCTGCCTCATCCAGACATGTGGTTTACGAGCTGACAGTAACCCGGCATAGCTTTAACGATGATGAATCCTTACATTAGCTGGGCTCTCCTGCTCGTCGTCGCAGGTGGCCTTGGCTGGTACTACAATGGCCCCACCCCCAAGCAAAAGACCCCGATCGTGGAAAAGACCGAGATCGCGCCGGCTGTGAAGAAACCGAAGCGCAAGGCAAAGAAGTCCCCGGAGCCTTCCCCTGCTCCTAGCAAGCAGGTGGAGGAGAAGCCCGCAGCCCAGCCCACGGGCTCGAAGGCCAATGAGGTGGACGAGGAGATTGACAAGAAGGAGATGGCGAAGCGTTTCGCCGCCGTGAAGAACGGAGTTTCCATGCAGGCGCCCGCCGCCACCAAGGCCCAGAAGAAGAAGAAGGGCAAGGTCGCTCAGGTTGAGAACGGCGAGCGCTCCACCTCCCGCGTTTCTACCCGCACCTCGTCTACCACCGGTGCCGATGCCGATGATGATCTCTCCCCTGCTGCCTCCCCTCTTGTCAACGCCACTTCTTCCCCCGCTGGTTACGTTTCGGATATGCTCGAGGAGCCCGCTCCCGGCGCGTCAGTTCTCCGGGTCACTGGTTCCATGGCCGAAGCCCCCAAGAAGCAGAAGCCCCAGTCCTTCAAGCAGGTTGAAACCAAGAAGCAGCGCCAGCAGCGGTTGAAGAACGAGGCCCGCAAGCAGCAGGTTCAGGAAGCCGAGGTCGAGAGACGTAAATTGCTCGAGAAGCAGCTCCACCTGGCTCGCGAAGCTGAACGCCGCGAGGCGGCCCAGTCGAAGCCCGCCGCTCCCCAGACGAACGCCTGGCAGACCAAGACTTCCGCTCCCGCCACTAACGGTACTCCCAAGTCGACCCCCAGCCCCAAGGTGGAGCTGTTGGACACTTTTGTGTCGGACGCACCCGTCGCCCAGGCCAGCTCCAAGAAGCAATGGGACCAGGGCCTTCCCTCCGAGGAGGAGCAGCTGCGCATCCTTGGTGCCGAGAACGTTCAGGACCAGTGGACCACGGTCCCCAGCAAGGGCAAGAAGCCCAAGAAGAAGGGAGGTAAGACCGACGAGAGTGAGGTCAGCGCTCCGGAAAGTCAGCCCGCTCCCGCTGTCGCGGCCCCTGTTCCTGTTGAGCCCAAGGTGACGGTGACGCCCACTTATCTTCCCGACATCCTTCGCTCGAACGTGAAGGGACACCCTCTCGACTCCGACTGGGCTGCTTAGAGCCCGCGGCTTGAGGAAAGAAGCTAGACACGGGAGGCATGTCTAGTTCATTCGGGACCCCCACCTGAATTGTATGTATTATCCATGGACCTGGCGTTTGGGGCACTCCATTATACCAAAAACGTATCCCGTATCTTGCGAGTTGATCTGTTCCCCCCGTGACATTCCGCGGTGGCAGAAAAGCAGCAGTGGACAGAAGAAACAGAAAAAACCCCTCGCAAAAAAGACATCATGTATTATTCTCGTTATGCTCGGTTTCCTATTATTTCATGCTCCTTCTTTTTCTTTCAAACTGCTGTGTTTCTCCCTATTGATAATCGGCCCGGGGGCTCTCCCCCGATGGCCTGACATTGTATTCCACCCACGCCTTGCAGCCCGGGGTGGTGAACCCGCGGGGCTGACAGACGGGCGAGCGGGTTTTCGAGATGGTCATTTTGACGACATTCCCCATTGTGTCTTACCTGTTTATTACTTGATTGAGCGCCGTGCGAGAGCGCGCCGGCGAAAAGAGCATGGAGGGAGGCGGCGGTGATGTACGAGCGTGGATTGGAACGTGCCGGGGGTTGGAGACAGCTGGCATCTTATGTCTTATTTATCTCTCTTCGCTTCTTGATGCCGTTGGGGGGTTTCACTACTACATACCTTAAGTAACTACATTTTACTGTTCTCCTTTTTTTAAGATTCGAAGGGCTGGCCCCGTTTCTTTTATTAGCACGACGGGCCCCCCTGGTTCATCTTTCTGGGTCCTGGCAGGCCCGATCTGTCTGGATCTTGTTTGAGTTGTTTCACGGTGGTCGGGTCTCAGACGACGGATCTGTTGCCGAACGCCTAAAATTCGGTCCCTGAAGGGTGTGGGGACCGCAATGCCTGTTCTCTGGACGGGGTAGGGAGGCCTGACCGTGGGTGGGGAGTATCTAGTGTTCGGAGCAGAATGGTAGTGCAGTGGTCGTCTGTCTTGTTGTGTTATGGGCTTGTAGAGTGTTCTCCGTAGCGTAGCGACTAGCGAGAAACAACCCGAAGAGCGGGAGACATGGGGAATGCGGGCCGTGAGTGAAGAATGGGGATCGATGCCAGGAACGACGAACTGACCAGCGGAGGGCGGAGGGGGAACCGAGGGAGATCCCTTTAGCTAAGGGGGATTGGGAATAATGAGACGGGAGATCATGGCGTCACGGGTCCAGGGTCGCTCCCGGTCTTGGCTCGGTCCTACGCCCAGACGGGACTAGCGTGCAGTTCCGGTCATCGTGGCCTGAACGGGAGTCGCAGTCACGGGCCCTGCTCCAACACCGCGGAGGTGCTGCCGGCTGCAATCATCACTCTCTCCACCATCCTTCTCTTCTTCTTGACTTCCCCCTCATCCCCCCCCCTGCTTCGTCTTCTTCATCCTCTTCAGCTGGCTCTGCCTTCTTCTTCCCCCCATCACCACCACCTCCTCTTCTGGGATCCCACCCAGCCCGAACGCTGCCAATCCCTCCGTCTGCCTCTGACCCTCTGGCCCGTTCCCTTGTTTATTGTCCCTTATTCATTCCAATTGTCGGGGGCCCTATTCGTGCTGCTCCCACCCTCCTCGCTCGTCCACCACCCCCCTCTCAGCACCCGTTCATAATCGCCATGGCGCAAATCCGTGGCACTGCGGGCTACAATCTCGGCCACCAGAACCCCTTTGGGGGTCCTGGCAGCGCAGACGCGACCAGCGACCCGAGTCCCCTGGACGCCATCCGGGAACAGACCAGCAAGATCGAGGACTGGCTGGACACAATGTCGGACCCTATCAAGCCGTATGTGATCCCTCGGGCGCTGCTCTCCCCCATTGCCCTTGACCTGGCTGTGTCCGGGGAGAGGTCCACGACAATTCGCATGCGAGGATGGGCTTATCGCTGACACCGTGGCTTTTTCGCCCCTCAGGTATATGCCCGCCATTGGTCGCTTCCTGATTGTGGTCACCTTCATTGAGGACAGTCTGCGGATGATCACCCAGTGGAATGACCAGCTCCTATACCTCCGTGACTACCGCAAGAGTAAGCATGACGCTGGCCCCCTCCCTCCCATCCCTCGGCGGGTGTGCCGAGGGACCCGACTCAGGATCGGCCCTAACGTGGATTTCGTCGCGTCACAGTCCCTTGGGGAGTCACGCATACCTTCCTTCTCGTCAACATGCTCGCTATGTCGCTATGCTCGTTCATGGTGATTGCCCGCAGACACACCGAGTACGCCGTTGCCGGTCTTCTGGTCGTCGTCGTCGTCCAGGGCCTCGGATACGGACTGATTTTCGATCTCAACTTCTTCCTTCGCAACCTGAGTGTCGTGGGAGGTCTGCTCATGGTCCTGTCCGACTCGTGGGTGCGCAAGAAGTTCGTTCCCGCCGGCCTGCCCCAGCTCGATGAGAAGGACCGCAAGATGTACGTCCAGTTCGCTGGTCGCGTGCTGCTGATCTTCCTCTTCGTCGGGTTCGTCTTCTCGGGCCAGTGGAGCCTGTGGCGCATCCTGGTCAGCCTGTTCGGCTTTGTTGCCTGTGTCATGGTCATTGTTGGATTCAAGGCCAAGTGGAGTGCGATCATCCTGGTGGTGTTGCTGAGTGTGTTCAACGTGCTGGTCAACAACTTCTGGACGGTATGTTTCTCCTGCAGCTCGTCGATCGCATACACTGACTAATCCCTGCAGCTTCACCCCCACCACCCCCACAAGGACTTCGCCAAGTACGACTTCTTCCAGGTCCTGTCCATTGTGTAAGTTTCTTTTCCAACTCTCTTCTGAAGCACGGACTAATCGGCTCGCCAACAGCGGAGGACTCCTGCTCCTCATCAACATGGGCCCCGGTCAGTTGAGTATGGACGAGAAGAAGAAGGTCTACTAAACGACCACGCAACGATTGAGTGCTGGGCATGTGATGTGATTTCCCCGGGCCGTCGTGACCCAGTATATGAACCTGCTTTCTCTTTATCTCCTGCCTTGTTTGGACCCATCTACGTCCTCATAACCATCAAGCTCACCGCACTACACCATGATCATGTCATTCGGAAAAAATGTTCAATACTTTCGTTATCCCTTGGCTACGTGCGAGATTTTCCTCTGGCCTGTTTGCCTTCTTATACAGTGCATATTGAGGAATGATCATATTGAATATTTGGAAACAACCAAAAACAAACAAACAAACAAGAAGACAATGGACACAAAATACCAATCATCATCTTATTCCATATGCATGCCTTATTTTATTGTTTGGGGAATTTGTAGTTGGGTTGTACATAGTAGGCCGCTGGCGGAAGTTACCGCGAGGTTGTGGCCAGTTGTGGCCAGTTGTGGCTAGTTGTGACCAGTTGCATAACAGTTCCTAATAGTTGCTGACTAAAATAAATAGTAAGCATCCCTATTATACTGTATATAATAGTTATTACACTATTTTGAAACTATATTTAAGAAAACAACAAGAAAGTAACTGTTTGAAGCTTATTTTATAATTATTTATTATTATTAAAAGCTTATTACTTTTCTATTTCTAATCTATCTACAAATAATTATATTACTATTTCTTTTTTTTTATAGTAAGTAAGTTCTCCACAGGTTATTCACTGAATCACTGTTACCTTACTGTCAATTCACTGTCAATTTACTATCAATTCACTGTTACTTCACTCTCTTCTTATATATATTACATCTTTCTCTCTTCTCATTCTCTCACTCTTTCTCTTCTCTACATCACTCTCTTAAGTTGTTTCTGTCACTTCCTCCCTCCCTCTCTCTCAATCTTTTACTATCTCTCTCCTTTACACTTCTTCTTCACAACTAGACCGTCATGGAGAAGGCTACCAGCATCAAAATGGCAGAAACGCCCGAAACGCCCGAAGAAACAGTCATCCATTGGTCGAGAGGTGAGCTGAAATGCTTTTGCAGACGACGCAAGGAGACAGTACTAATATGGAAGAAATAGGTAACAAACACAGCTTAGAACCCTCCTCTGCAAGCAACAATACAGCAGAGGTGACAGCGGCACAGGAGCTGGCCAAGAAAGGCAAAAGGGACTGCTGGAGTTACTGAAACTCAATTCCGAAGACGACTGGAGGGAGTGGTTAGTGTCAGACTTAGTCAAACCGTACTGGCTAGAACTTTGGGACTATCTGGCGAAAAACCCGACTGCTAAGCAGAAGCGCGGAGCCGGGCTGGCCCGGATCCAGGAGCTAATAATTAAAGGAGAAGCACGGGCGTCGCGAAATACAGCCGTCGCCATGTCGAGAAAACCGGATGGGATCTTAACGAACACCTCGCATACTTCGTCCATAATGTGAGATCGGAAAACACGCACAGACGGGGGGGAGTGTTCTTTCAGAAGAACCTCCCTGAGAACATCATGGACACGGCAATATGGACTTTGAAGAACATTCTCATACAGATGCATAGCCCGTCGCAAATAAATAAGCCAAGTGGCGGAAAGGCGATTTTCGGGGAGACCCTGCCAGGTAAGAATTCGGGAGCATTCTGGAAAAGGCTTTCACAGCTGACTCCAGTGATCAAAAAAAATGATAGAGTACAAATCCATCAAAGTGCACAACACTAGGGCGCAGCAAGCGGCCAAGGCAGGGGCTGATTCCGCAGCTAAGAGCAAGGCGGACCCGAAGGAGGTACAAGAACCAGAGTCAGATGGAGAATCATCGCTGTCATCACTTGCAGACACAACCGAAGATGAGTTCCCGGGTCCGTTGGGGGCACAGCAACCACGGACCCAAGTCTGGGAGCACGAGCCGTTGAGTGACCGACAAAGGCTGATCCTCAAACGGCAGTCGGAGACCTTTGATCTTAAAGATCCGTTTTGGGCCTATGCTCGCATAGAAGCCGCCCTGCAGTTATCAGGCCCTCAAACCATAGCACAGGCAGAGGAGATGGTCGCGACTGCTGAGAGTGCTGAAAGTGTGGAACTGATGATGTCAGTGATACCACACCAAGAAACCCAAGCGCGTCAAGAAAGCAGTGGATATGAGGAAAATGCTGGACAACCGCGTTTTCGAGTCAAGCGCATACCAGACCGCAGAGAATCTCCAGTGGTCGTTTGATACCAGTACAGATGCAAATGATCTGCTCATCCAACCAACATTGGAGGATTATGAGAGGATCTCGATGCATGAAAAGTGGCTAGACGCCCAGGAGTACCAATTCGATAA